TAGCGTTCATTCCGAACGCGCCAGCCAAGGCTAGCAGTTCAGACTGAGGCCAAAACCTCAACGCGTCATCACGGCGTGAGGCCCCTCGGGTTTCAGCAAACTCTATAAGAGGTGAGGCAAGGCGCGCAGAGTTTCGATATCTGCTCATCCTCGCGCCTTGCCTCGGTAAGTCTCTCGTCTCTATTCTTTACTACCTGAGCATTTGCTCATCTTCGCGCCTTGCTAGTTAGCATCTTCATTTTTTGCTACCCACCCTCCTTCCCCCGAGCCTCGCCTCACAGCTACGTCACACATCCCTTGCATTCTCCATGAACATTTCTATTGCCTTACTGTACCTGGTTTACCCATAGTCCTACGATACGATAGCCTATGCATTCAATATACTCGGGCCCCCGGATTGACCGGTGGGCCGCGTTGGCTCTACACGTTTCGGACACCCCAGGACCGTAGACTCCGACCTGATTAGTAGTATTTTATATGATTAGAAGCACATTGCAACTGACACGGGCGATTGCAATCCACTTTCAGGAGCGTTGCAACCGCTTGCAGCTTAGACGTAATAAAATCTCAACCATAGTCGCTAAAAATACTCTAAAATCCGCGAGACCTCCGCTGCGTTCCCGCTTCAATTAAATTGCAGGCTGGTTGCAAGGCACCAAAATCGGAAATGGCTGCAATCGAACTATTAAATTTGCGACACACCTGCGCACGCGTCGCGTCAATCCCAGTCCTTGGCTATCATCCAATCTTTAATGCAAACCAATGGCGAACGGACCGCCTCAACCGCAAGGTGCCTCATCAAATCCTCAGCTGAAGAACCCAGATGCCCCCTCTCCACAAACAGCCACTTGTTCACAGGCCTTTACGACCCCAGACACAAACGCGATAGCTAGCACTCAGAACCTCACTGCGTCTCCGCGAATTGAACAGGAAGTTCATTGCCAACCTCAAGTTAACCCGACCAGCCAACCGCCTACATCCTCTGCCTCTCGCCCAATCGCGCCCAAGGCTGTACCACCAATCACCACTTCTATCCCTCCCCAATCATCTTCAGCCTCAAGCACAGCAGGCAGCACACAGACTCAGGGCTACTATGCTGTCAGTTATCCTCCCTCAGCTTGGCAGAATGCGTGGCAAGTCGCCTCGTATCCATACACCTCCTCCCCATCGTCGTCATCCTACACAACTCAAGTGCACTCGGCCGGCGGCGGGCAGCCCCCACACTATTCCCAGCTTCCTTATGCGCAGTATTACGCTCCACCACCTACGGGGACACGTTCAAAACAGAAGAAAGTGCGGACACCAAGCCCTTCCCCACCGCCACCTACACTTCACCGTCACTGGGACGGCGTTCTCCGTGCATTCTTGGAAAGAGTGGGGTTTGGTAGAGCGCTTAGGGGTTTTGACGAGGACATGTTGGTAATGAGCACAGACTGGGAGAGGCAGCGTGTACCAGGTGCGATTGGAGAACTCATGAAGGACCTGATGGTAGCTCTTTGCTCCTTGACTTTCATTCTCGAGTCGTTGCTTACGTACAGACAGACTTTGGGAAAGTTCAAGGAAGATGAAGAACCTTCGGAACGCTCTCTGGAAGATCGCAAGCTGAACTATGTGCATACCATCGATGGCGTTGAACCACGTTCTCAGACCTCAGTACGTTTCCATCTTTGGTGCGCCAGTTTTGTCTTACGCGATTGTACAGGTCATCAAAGAGGTTTCGGGCTTTCTTGCCCGAAGTCGAGCGCGAAACGATACATCAAATCGCGCAGAGTTTATTGAAAGTCTGACACAGAAACGAAGACGTTTGAACCCTCCGAATCTACCTCCCGGTCCTGCACTCCCGCAACCCGCTGGCCAACACGATGCCGAAATAGAAGTCACTTCTGGACCCAGTCATGCCTCAAATATTTCTGGCGGCCCTCCTCGGCATCCTTCAGCTATGCCTGATCAAGACGCTCCTGACAATAACACTGACGCCGACGCGACGGATCATCGCCCCCCTACTTGTGCACGTACAGACGCCAAAACGCAGGATCGCGACCGTCATATGACCTACGACATCATGAAGAACGAAGGGGGTCCACTTCAACGCACTGTCAAGGGTCTCCCAGCATTGGCGGAAGAGGAGCAGGGAGGAGCAGGGAAGACCGCTCAGATAAAACCCGTAACAGATGACAGCCTGAGCGAGGAACAACCTGCTATGGATGAGAGGGTACGAAACGTGGAAGTTCATCTGGGCATACGTTATGGTGAGTTTTCCTTGGTATAGCTTATAGTGCAATGTGCCTGGGATGATTTGGAAGGGCGTCTCAAAGTCACATCGCTCATTTGAACTGGACAGTGCCTGGCAGACCGCGAAAGTTGCTTGATCGTCTCAAGCACCTGGAAGACTACCTTGCCAAGCTAGAGCGTGAATATCCGCCATGGGCGGCCCTGCACTTTAACCAACCGAACCGAGGTGTTCGTAGTAATTTGATTGGACAACATAGTCTTTCATTTACTAAACCTTTTGCTTTCAGTGGCCGCCTCCCCCACGTGCAACGCCAATTATCGTCCCTTCGCACCTCGCTTCCTTCACGCCCACAAGTAGTGTCGTACCATCGCCTGCACCTGGCGGATCCCTCTCTGGCAGTGGCGCAGGTGGCGCAGGTGACGGTGCTCCGGCGGCGTTTATTGAAGGCCGTAAGTTGAAGAATACGGGCTCCAGTCTACATCGTGCCGTCATGGAGAAGCTGGAGGTCCAGAGAGCTATTGATGAGATGAAACGTGGCGGATGAAGTGTATGTTTGAAGCTGATGAACTACGTGGCGATGTGCAGTACAGTTTACATGTGCCAGGCTAGGTGACTGTTGATACGTGTTCAAGGTGCGTCATACCTATCAAGTGCTACAATGGCTTAATGAACATGAAGATAGGTGATATAACACACTATGACCGGATTATTCTTGTGCATCATCGGGTGAATGCATACATCATGATTGGAGCTAATGAAGTGAAGGTAAGATCACGCACGCACGTTTAAGTACACGCCTTTCCGCGTACTGGCGGTGGAGTCTCTTTAGAGATTCACCTTAGCTGGACCCCTTACAGCCAACGAAATCATTCCGATTCCCAATGACGCGCTGTGGCCATCCGTTTTCTTTTGCTCGCTACACCACGGTGAATACTCTTCCAGATAGCCGCTAATCTGAAGAAAGACAGCCGTTCCTTTGTTATGTACTACGGTAAGCTACGTATGTCATCATAACGGTCTTTCTCAGAACAGGCACAAGGCACTTCGACTAAGCGAACAGCAGATATGAGTACTAATGCAAAGTTCCTGGAAGTTTCAGAACGTACACGTCGGCCTGCCGTTGGGTTCTATTTTAGTAAGTGAATGTGTTATCCCACAGGACTCAGGGTGCTGCCCATTAAACACGTAATAGTCATTTTCACTCAATACACCGACTTACCTTGGTGGCTGGAACTAGCGGTTGCGCACTAACACAATCTGTGTTCTCTTCATTCTGAAGGCACAAGCAATATGGGCGTTCTCTGGCCTTACTCATGGAACACCGAAACAGTTTGCCTGCTTCTCCGGAAAAGAGATGGCCCTCGGTGTGCGGTGGCATCGCAGTGCTGATTGTCTCTCCATTACAAACAGGAACACTGCATTCCTTCATCTGATCACTTGCCGTCTGGTCAAGGTGGCGATCAGAAAGGACAAGACCACCACCTCCAGACCTCTCCATCGCAGAAGAGCCTTTTTGACAGTCAAATGTGGCTATTGAATAGGTGGAGTCGGTGTACCACCAGGCCACATTTACTATAGTCGTAAGTTAGAGGCTGCATTCCTTGCAATCCACAGACGTCGGCTGATAAACCACGGCCGATGAGAAGGCGCTAGTGTTCCCACTTCTATGATGGGGCGCATATGCCATTCCTTCCACGTTATATGAACAGCCTGAGCCATACATAAACAGCCTATCTGCTCGTATCCTCTGTCTCTACCAACTCCCGTGAACCACCAACCCCACCATGACTAGCGTCGAAATTACTCAAGACATTGGATTTTTGACTCAAGCCAATAATCCCAAAGAGCGCGTCTATCATGTCGTTGCCGACTCAGCCTACGTTCTCCCTGCAGACGAGGAGGAAGGAAACAGGTAGGTGGCGCAGGGCTGCTGAACGGTGCGACATCCTCATCAAATATTGTAGACTTGACCTGCAACATCTGCTCGTGAAGAACGTTTTCGGCGGCCGTGTAATATTCGCGCCCATAGCGTTCACAGATGAAGACAATGTCCTAGATAACGGTACCGGCACTGGTATGTTCCTGTCAATGAAACTGCGCATTATAGACTAACGACAACGCCAGGGGCGTGGATTATGGACGTCTTCCAGAGCATCCCGCCCACAGTATCTTTTTACGGCGTCGACCTCCACATCCGTCTCGTTCCAGCAGATCCACCGGAGAACACGCAGTTCATAGCGTGCTCGTTCCTTGACCTTCCAGCTGATTGGACTGACAAATTTGCTCTGGTCAATCAGCGCCTGATGCTGGCCGCGCTTACGCGGGAGAACTGGACAAAGTGCATCAGCGAAATCTATCGCGTTCTGAAGCCTGGCGCCTGGGTCCAGTTGGTAGAGATTGATGGATACCTATTCTCCGACGATCATGATGAGAGCGCAGAGTGGTTCTCGAGCCTTCTGGGCGCGCTTTTTGGGCATAAAGGGCTCATCCAAGATTGTCATAAGGTCATCCCGAGCCTGTTGTGCGAAAAAGGCTTTGAGAACGTGGTAGTTGAAGAGCGCAAGGTCCGGTTGGGGCACAAGCACGGCGAGGATGGCATCAAAATGTTGGAGAACATGGTTCGTGTCTACCAGGGCATGAAAGCTCCCATTTTCGAGGCCGGTGGATGTGGGATCGTAAACTCCGAGGGAGACTTCGATTCCCACCTTGAAACCTTGGCAAAGAGCTGCAATGACAAGGGGAGCATCGAGACTAGATGGTACGCAATACACGGACAGAAGCCTTATTAGTGCCAGCTTATTACATGTCCTGAATCGTACTACGCTATTGTATGGCAAACAGACAAGATTTATTCTATGTGAAACCAGAAATCGTCATTGACTGGCAACACACATATGTAACGTTGGATAGCTATCAGACGTGGAAGCCTTGCCAAATTACCCAGCTTCGGGAAATGCGTTGTCTAGTTTGTCTGAGCTCGAAGACTGCTGGGATGGTACTTGGATGGTACTTTCGTGTAGGACTGATAAAACAAAAAGGTTAACACAGAGGCGCTACCAGGGCTCGAACCTGGGTTACAGGAATCTTCATATCAGAATCCTGAGTGATAACCACTACACTATAGCGCCAGCTGGGAGCAGTAGTACAAATTTTGAATACAATCTCCTGTACGAAGACGCCAATGCTGCCACACTTCCCCCCTATCGAGCGCTCGTCGGTTAAGCTGGGTTTGTGATGACGACGAACCCGTCCCACATCTTGATTGCGCGTAATTCGCGGGGGCCCAATAATCCATCCGCTGCTCTCAGTTCACCAACAGAAACACACGCAGCAGCAGCCGGCATTTTTCGTTCAACAGCTGCATCTGGTCCGTCTAGCTCGGGCTCTCCTCCTTGGTTGCTCGAGGAATGCGAGACAGATGAGCTCGTTGAGGAGCTCTCCCTTTATGAGGAAGAGCCCATCGAGCTCAATCCTACATTTACTCGCGAAGGTCGCTTTCCAGGGACAGTCAAGATAGTCGTCGAGAGCACCACGTTCTGGTGAGTTAGTCTGGCACTTACCCACTGTTGCAAGCCCGGAGAGCGGGTATACCGATGGCTAGCTTCCAGGGCACACAAGGAAATTCTTTACTTTGCTTCTCCATTCTTCGAGGCCGCCTTGAGTGGCTGTTGGCTCGAAACCGGTCGCCCGCCCAGCATGTCCTCCGTTATCACCATATCCCAGCCGCCTTCCGTGCCCGAACGATCGACGCGTCCTTCTTCCGCTGTCTTCACCTCCGATGACGCCGAGAATGACACTTCGCCTGACGCAGACAATGCCGATGACTCTGACCTGTCCGACGTGCCAGAAGATCAACCCAAAATGGCCAATGACGCTCCGGGACCCAACCGGTCACAAGATAGCAGCGATGCAAGCGCGAGCGGTACGAGTGAAGACGAAGTTCAAACGCGCGATGCACGCTCTGATAGTCTTGCCAAGCTTCAGGGTGCTAGTGGCTCTTTAGACTCCCGCTCGACCTCAACCTCAACTCCCGTAACTCTCGCTCGTCCCAATTCACCTGAATCGTCCAATGAAGGAGTAAAGTCCACGAAAATATCAAAGGGTACCCAGGCACAAGGAAAGTTCAAATCGCGCGAAGACGATCAAGTGTCTGCTCGTAGGGCAGCACAGCCTGCTCGAGCTGCTGTCCGCAAGCGACACAGGGCCGACAAAGAAGGACAGGACGCGATCATTGTCCTCAAAGAAGAGCGAGTACGAATTACAGTTTCTCAATGAAATTTGGGGCTGACGCCCAGATAGGCAGTGACTTTTCATGACTTCCTCAAGTTTGTGTATCCCCAGTACGTTCCTTGCTCCTTATTGTCAGGACATACGCTGACCGTGGTTGCAGTCTTGAATGTACTATCACCTGGAACAATGTGGAGGGCCTGATGAACATCTCACACAAGCTTCTCGTTCCTGCACTGCAGAGCGCCTGTCTCAATTTCCTGCTTACTCATGCCGCAGGCCGTCCCATCAAGGCCATGCGTATAGCAGAGCTTTTTGAAGAGGAGGAGCTTTATCGCGAAGCCAGCCGCTTCGTGCTCGACAATCCAGGAGGCTGGTCGGAGGAGGAGCTCAGTACCTTGTCCTGCGAAACGCTACTGAAGCTTGAGAAGCGACGTAACTGGTTTTTGGAGAGAGTGCTCAAACTAGGCATGGTTCCGCTGGCAAAGGAATACCAGTGTGTGCGTTGCATCATCCACTGAACCCAAGTATCCAGCTCATGGGTGTTTCCACTTTCTAGTGCAGCACATGTCCAGATACAGCGAATTGCGCACGACTACTTGAAGAAAAATGGCGCCAGGCTTATAACGCCGTCTTTCGCTTTGGTGAGTGGTGACTAGCTAATGTAGGCGTTTCAAAACATATTCCGTTCATCTATGTACTAGGTCCGTGTCAGCCGTCAATGGTCTACCGCTATCTGCGTAACCTTGAAGGTGTTAGTCCACCGCTGTCCCTCACGCACCTCGCCTGTCAGACCACAGCGAAGGCTTTCATAGCAACGCGTCAGTGAGAATCCCTTTGCAAAACAAAACATAAAAACTTATTGTCCATCAGTCTTCGATCGCATGTTCTCCCTAGGCGTCCGTGGCGAGCCAAACGTGACGGCCACAGCACTCGGTGCGCGGGCTGCCGCGGTAGCGGCGGCAGCGTCCGGCCCAAGACGTCACTTCCTCTTCTGTGCCCTCAAACCAGAGAAGCCCGTTACACGCCCTCGACGCTCCCGCGAGCAAACGGCCTGAGCATGCTTTGTTGTCCTTGTTCAATATTCGCACTGCTATATCGGGGGAGTTTTATCCCAGTCAATGATAATGAATCCTGCCCAGACAATAAATCGAATTCATATGTGCATTGCGAGGAGAGATAGGAAATCAAGCAGCACACACTAGTCAGCCGTGTAAGATGTATAGTGTTAATCTAAACCCGTATCCACAATCCTAGTCAACCAACCCTGACTCCAGAACACAACAGGGAAATTTGAAGACAATGATAGCTACGAAAAGAGCAAAGGATGAAGAAACCGAAGTGAAACTACTACAAGGGGAGAAATCAATGAGGGCCGTGCAAAGAGTCCGTTCCGTAGGAGTGAGTGCAGCAAGCATGTACAGTACAATAGACAATGAGGAATACATAAGATACTGGCCATTCACTTCTGCCGGAGGAGGGGTAGGCGAGCTAGAATATTGAGGGTGCTTTTTCAACGAGCCATTCTACAAGGAGGGCTTTGCCAGCCATGTCACTGAACTCGGAGCCAGGATCGCGTGCACGCATGAGGGTCGCTGGGAACAGTTAAGTTGAGCGCTAGGCTTGAAATGGCTGAAGAGAAACTGCTCACGTCCGAACACAACGCCCAAGTTCCTGGCGTTCATTAAATTGACTTCACTATGGTTGCATACCCTGAAGGCATCAAGTCAGCAATCGGATTTAATCGGTCGTTTCAATGACATACTTGTGCAGGTGCAGCATGAGTGCCCTCAACGTGGCATGATGCTCAGCGGGAAGTTTGCTGATCAAGTCAGTGAGAGCTTCTGACTTGACCTCAGCATCCTTCAAACTCGCTGAAGAGATGAAGGCATCGTGGAAGTCATAGGTCATGAGCGGAGTCGGGAGCGTGCGGAAGTACGTCTTAAAGACAGATGTCACGCTACAGATGTCATTGAAACGGTCTGTGTCGCGGAGGTCGAAAGCGTAGTCGCCACGCTCGAACAGCTGCTGGATCATCTTTGTCTGCCCAGAGCCTCCTGTCTTGCGGTAGATACCTTCGTAGTCCAGTGCGATCTCTTCGACAGCCTCGATGCACTTCTCAACAATAATTGGAATTTGGCGCTCGCCAAATCTGCAGTCTGACTGAACCTGTTCAATGAGCTCGCGGCCGAACATGGATGGAACTTTGAGCAGCGGAGTCAACATAAACAGAAGTGTTCAACCCGAACGTAAAAAAAATCGTACCATTAGATGTCAGCTGAGCGGATGGATCGTATCGGGTGGCATATTGCTGCGAACAAGCGCTCTGGACAGCATTGAGGCACCGAGGGTGAACTGAAACATGGCATCCTGATATGTCGTAATTAAAGCATGGTCAGTGTTGATATAGGTTTAACTGCTTACCCGAGCACTTGAACTGTGAGCCCCACAGCTTCTCGCCGCAATGATCACATTTTGAGAACCGCAGGACGCTCGTCTGGTGGAATGAGTGTTCCCGCCTGCCCTTGCCCTTATCACCACCTGAGGTTGCATCCTTAGTCCGAGACACAGCCCATTTGATGACCTTGCCCGCCTTCGACATCGGCGTGCTATCAGCAGTCTCGGGACGGATGAGTTTGACGATCTTGGGCTCCGACTCTTCCACCAGGGTAACAGAGCTTGGTGCAGATATATTGAGCGTTGAAGCCATGGGTGAGAGCTCAGCACGGCTGCGGTCAAATGATGTGCTCTTCTTCCCCTGTAGCGATTCGTCTCTCGTGGGAGGAGGCCGAGTAACCTCAACCGAAGGAGAACCAAGACGAGCGGCCTCGATGTGACGGTCGTATTGCGCGCTAATTTGAGCAAGCTGTTCGTTACGAGCATTCAAAGCCGCCGTCTCCTCCAGGAACTGCTCTTTAGCCGCCTTCAGGTCAGCAACCTCCCGCAGAAGTGCCTCACGTTGTTGCGTGAGCGGGACAAGGTCTTGCTGGTACTTGGTCTTAATGTTCTCTAGACGCATGGTAAGCGAGCGACTCATTTGACCTGTCGGGACTTCGCCAGCGCCGACAGCTGTGCTTGAGCTGCAAACGGTGTTGAGATGAGAGCTAATGATGGGGACACAGGCCACGTACCTCTTAGACGAGACCAGCTCCTCTACCTCGGCCATGGCGATGTCGCGCTGGACTTTGAGCTTCGACAAATCCGTCTCCAATATGCCCAAGTTGGTCTCGAGCTCCTGCGAGAGCTGTATTCGAGTCTCTCGCTTCCTTGCTTCCCCGTTCATGACAGACATTTTGGCAACCTGGCCAGAAAGCAAGACGCGCAAGCGAGCATTCTGAGCTTGCACGTCCTGCCGGAGCTGTACTTCGTTTTCGTACTCCTTCTGAGCAACAGACAATCCCTCAATGTAATGCTGACTCGCACGCTGGCCAAAAGGGTTAGCATCGTTGCCAGTGGCCAAGTATAGGCGGCTTACCTTGGTCTTATCGTATTTTCCTCGCAATTCTATCAGATCACTCTCATATTGGTCGAGAACGTTCATGATGGTTTCCACGAAACGCTTGTCTAGCTTCAGGTGCGGTGCTCCGCGGTTTGTTGCATCAGTCAGTGCTTCTTTCAGTCTCCGGGATACTAGCTGTGCTGAAGTATTCACAGGGCTTGGCGTTGTTGAGGGTGGCTGCCCCGGTGTGATAGTCACCTTGGAACCATTGGACAGATTCATCAAGGAAGCGTTAGACTCCAGTCGAGGACGCTGTTGAGTTGCAGATGCGGATTGTGACTCTGAGGAAGCACGCCCACGGCTTGCAAGGTCCTTCGACATCCTAGCAGCTTCATCAAAAGTTTCTGAGTTGATGAACGCCAACGTTGCGTCGATAGACGAACTCGTTGAAGGCCTAGATTGCTGCTGTGACTTGGGAGGAGTTGATGTAACTGACTGCTTCCCATTCTCGGCGATCTGAGAACGAGCGGGGATATCCTGTCTCGATAAACTGTCATGTTCACCTCGCCCAAGTTCACTCAACGGCTTCAGAGTCGGGGTGCCATGCATCGACTTGAGGAAGTCCGAGAAATCCGAGTTTGACAGGGAGAAGCGAATGGGGGGCAAAGCAGGGGCGATATAGGTCGATATAGACTGGCGCTCCACGGTAGGCGACGACTCGCCATCTTCCAACTCGTTCAACGTTGATGACTTCGGATCGGGCCTCAAATCGAGTACGGATGGCAACTTCTCAGCATTTTGTGCCTGTTTAGGCGGTAACGTTGGTGGTTCGGATGCACTTGGCTTGTCTCCTTCGGAATTTCGCCCACTGTCATCAGTATCACTCTCGACACCGTGCGGAACGTCTGTTGGATGAGACGGGGACACAGGGCTTACTAGGCCTGGCCGGTCGTTCACGTGGCGAGGAGGAAGGGTAATACCTGTAGATTGCATACCGTTGATTCGTGCAGCGCGGTCATTGCGGTACTCGTTGGGTGACAGTCTGTCCTCGGACGGCTGCATGACCTTTGCAGCTTCTGTAGCATTGCCGAGACTATCCGAACGCATGGGGACTCGCTCAAGGGTGTTGTTCGCGCGAATCTTGGGTCGTAGAGGAGAGCCAGAGCGAACATGAGCTGGTGAGGATTGAGTATCTTCTGACAGCGCACGCGCGCGAGTCCCTTCTGGAGGGAATTTGCTTGACTCCGTAGGTCCAGGTGAAGCCGCAGGTGAGTGGTAAACTGATGAGCTTTGAGAACCCCGTCTTGACTCCGAGAAGTATGATCTCAGCGGCGAAGATACCGACGAGTTGTCGCTTCCAGTAGATAATGTCTGCGAGCGGACGACTGACTCCGGGTTGACGGGGCCAGGTGCGGTCACGGGTCGTGAAATCTTGCCATAGTCGAGAGCAAGTCCGGGTTTGACAGGACGCCGTTCGGGAGTGTTGCCATTGGGTACTGTTAAGGCACCCGTCGCATCTGCGGTAGATGGCCGTTCGGAGGGTGATCGTTTATCCGGACTCTTCAAGAGAACGTCTAGCGGCCTCACACCATCATCGTAGCTTTTTCTACGCGGCAAAAGGCCATTGGGGCCAGCTGCGCTTGATGGGTCAAGAGAACCACCCATTCCAGCCTTTGGTGACGTTGAGTTGGGTGGAGGCCGCAAAGGTTCTGGACGAAGAGTGCCTACAGAGTTGAGAGTCGTTGCGAGCTTAGGCGCACTTGTAACAACGTTGCCATCTCGACCAAGTTCGGGAGGTGCAACGGTGACCGTCAACGGTGACCGCGAAACATCAGCATTCGACGACGGCGACGATCTCAGCGGCTGGGGGGTGGACAGGCCGGAGGATGAGCCCTGCTTGGTCAGTCCAGCCCCTCCACTCGGTCCCGGTCTATCATCCCCCTGCTGCAGCGACTTCCGCTTCCGCGCCGGGGTTGATGGACCCTCCATGGGTGAACTACTGGAGCTCAACATGGATGGTGCTTCGCGGAAGCTGGTCGATCCTGAGCCTCTGAGTGTCTGGGGTTGTGGAGAGTTACTAGAGAGATGATTCGAGACCTGCTACGCGCATGTTAGTTTGTACACAGGATCAAGTCTCGTAGATTGCTGAATCGCACCGAGTTTTCCTTGAAATAGTCTTTGCCTTCTGGTTCACGCGTCGGAGTGACGGCACCCGCAACGGCATTCTTTTCCTTCTCTCTCTTGCGTTGAGCATGGCGTCTGATCTTGGCCATACGTTCATTGTGACAGTTCATACAGTAGATGCCATGACTTGTCTTTGCGAATATGAGTTCATCTATGCGTCCGTTGCAAACTTTGCATTTGAAACAGTGTGCGTGATACGAGTCGTCTCCGGTCATGATAGCCTCGTCGAGAATTGGCTGATGGCAAACATTGCAGTTGTAGGAACAGTCCGCACATATAGGAGATCCATCCGAGAGAAGCAAGAGGTTGGTATCCGCGGTGACCTGATTGCTGCACTTGGCGCATCTGAAGCAATCTACGTGGAAGAAGGATTGACTGGGGAACGCGTGAGTGGTAGTCAGTTGCACGCACAGAGGCAGGAGGGATGAGACGTTACCCGAATGCGACGACATAACCTCCGCCCTCGCTAACGGCCGAGAGTTTGCATCCCGGACAGATCCTGTCCTCCATATCGTTTGGGAGGGAATTCATTGCCACAGCTTCTGCCATTAGGGTATCTCGCGTTGAAGCCGACTATTTTGGCGGTATAGGTGGCAAGGAGTGTGTCACAGGGGAGAAGAGCTTGCTATGGTGAAGAAGAGAAGGGGCGCGAATTAGGAGTGTCGGGGTGCGCGTCGAGACGTGTCTGAGATCGCGGGCCGCCAGCTGGCGGAAGAGGAGGTGAGTGGTGTCGGGGAGAAGGTGGTGGTAGGAAAGGAACAATGAACGCGTCCGAGTGAGAGAGAGATGGGGAAGGGAACAGATGGCGAGTCGACCGTGCCAACTGTGCCAGCGACGGTGTCGGCGTCGCTAGGCGGCACTCTAACCAAGATATCGGCAATATTATCAATTATTTCATTTTCGTTTTTCCGTCACGCCTATCCAGTCTCGTTGCTCTCGCCCCTGTCAAGACCCCATGGGCCTCGTCCCTCATTTAGCTGCTTCCAGCCAATACCTGGTGGGCATCTACCCTTAGCTTGATCAGTCCCTTGCCAACGTAGCTGAATATTCCTGCTCTGTCCAAGTCCCCGTCCTTACGAGTACTTACGCTGTTGGCAGTCGTTGAGTTTCCCTGTCTACCACCATCGAACACCCACATATGTTACAGTAGTCATGGCCTGGTTCTCACATCTGACCCGCTTACAGCGACTAGGTCCAGGACGGTAGGTGCACTTTTTGATCGAACTCTCGTATATTCACACGGCACTGAATAGTGTTCTGTTGCAGACCTCATGTCTTCGCCTAGACTTTCGCCTAGATCTCGATCATAATTCCCGCTACCTTAGGTAGTGGGTCTCAGTGCAACTCTTGTGCTAGGGATCTCTGCCAAAACTCAGCTCCTACGTGATCACGTGATTTTTCGGTCCCCGCTTCATTTTCCGCGCACGCATTTTCCTCTTTAGGCAATCTATTGAGCTTCCGACACAACGTCAGCGTGAGGTCCCCTGTTCTCGTTTCGCCCCCACAGCGTTCTTTTCTTGTTGATACATACCCCAAGATCTCCCTTTTCTTCAAGCGTTCCCGGTCCCAGAACCTTTGTTCGTGAGTTGGCAGAAAACGCATACTGTCTGTGATTCCCATAGTCCATGCATGCTTGTTCAAGCGAACGTGCATACAGACAACTCCCAGTCCATGATGCAAGCTGCCAGTGGTAATCTGTCCTCGACTTCTCGCGTAGAACTGAACCATCACCACTCTCATGGATGCCGCTGTTAATTTCTGTGATTAAAAGCTTGACTTCGACAATCATTTGTTGGCCCTCGTCCTATATTCGATGTTGACGTCAGAAACCCTTGCCTCTCTTCATCAGGTATCAAATGAGACTGAATGGCCCACACTGTACATGCGGTTTTGCGCTTGGTTTTGGGCCATTGAAGCTGTTCTGGATACATACTCAATCACGTATTTTCATGTCAGACTCTGTCAACTAGGTGCATGCGATGTTTCAAGCGTTTGCTTGAAATTTAGCAGGTTTCTGGCCTGCAGCTTCGACAAAGAAAGGTGGGGACCTCAGAGTTTTTAATGGGCTCATGGGCACGGGTTCATCATTACACAAAGGGGAGGACAAGGTTGAAGTGGTGTCTCCGCCATCTCCTTCATCGGCAGGTGCAGGCAGGTGCGAACAACAGGGGACGTAGTAGGCAACCGGGTTGACGGATTCTAAGTCATACCGCCCTTGCACCCCTATTGAATGCAACATGGCACCCTCAATGTAACAGGGTGTCTGCTCTTTTATTCACGATAGAGTTTTTTTGTGGGCTGGTGAAATACATCTATCCAAGTCTATAGGTAAATATGCTCTATATATTACTATAGGATTATTATCATATGACACAGACTTTTAAGAAAAATGCCAGGGAGAGCGCACTCAGCGCATGTTACACTGCAGACAAGCTGTGATTTTTCTGTTACAAAAAGTGATTGGAGAAGGCGGACAGATGAAAGCCTTTTTCACCCATCTTTTGCTGTGCGAAAAGTTACTGAAAAGTTGAACTTTTGCCTCGGAGTTTGCATTTCTGTGCGGAGATTAGATAAAAACACGTCCAAATCGGGAAGATGGAGTCCGAATTCGATAACCCATCCATTTTACCAGCGCAAAATTGACGCAAATGTCGGCCAAAAGAATACCTTTTCCTGTGCAAAAAGGCGTTCCAAAACTCGGAGGAAAAGGCTTTCATCTCGCCGCCTCTTTCTCTCGGTTTAATCCCGGGTAAAATCGCCGTTTGTCTGCAGTGTTAGATTATGGGTGCCATGTTCATTGGGGGGAAAGGGCGGTATCTTTTAGCTTTAGAGTAACTTATTGTCATACACATTTCAAGGGTTGCAAGGTGTGGCTCAAACGATCTACGGTAGCGGGCTCTTGCTGCGCATGCGTGGCCCTACGTTATTGGGTGAGCAGGGCGTCCGTGATGAAGATTACATGTCTCTCAGTGACACGGTGACGCGCGAGATATTTGCGATAGGTATCGGAAGGCCATCACGCGCACGACGTGAGTTTACATAATTCAGAGCGTTTGAGCTTTCTCAACTACAGTCATCTGCTGTCCTGTCATGTTACATGCAGAGTTACAATGCCAACTAGCCGCTGCACAGTAGACTATTGCGCATCTCGACGAGATGGTTTAATTAGAACTAATTTAGTGGTGTGTTCGAGATGCAAGTAAGTATCATGATTTTGAGACGCGCCCAACCAAGCCACGTTGATCGCTATCAAGCCAACAAACAAAGGCTTCGCAAAGGTTTTCTTGGAACGGAGCCTTTTGAGGCTACCCGGTCCAAAAGCGGTAGGACAGGTGTACCGCGAGAGCAGACTGGTCCGTGCGCATGCATGCCATATATAAACACAGACCCTCCTGTGTGTGACTCTTTATCTCTTGTGCTCGGGCATGTACTGTCGCCAGTGAAGTCTTTACTGAGGCACAGTCTTTTGCTGATTGCAAATTACACATCCGAACCCGTCTGTCAGCTTCGGCTTTCAGCAATTTTTGGAAAAAACCTCTTCCTTCGAGCTTTGTGCTTGATAGTTTCAGTGACAGTAGATAAAAACTTGCAATGCAATCATAATTAATTCTCTTCATATTAATGTGTGATCGAGATCAGTCAATGAGTGTAGACATCGCACCGGAGTTTCAAAGAAATAATCCGATGGGAAGTTGGGGTGAATACACTCTCCTACCCAGATGATTGGTCGTGTAGTGTCGCATCAATCCTAGTGCACTTATATTAATTTTTACTTGCAATTACTACAAACAGTTTAATCTCCGACCCGATTACGAAAACTTTCGAGCGACGACGTACACGACCAACCCTCTGGGAGAAATTGCAGGGGCCGGCATGCTCGGCATGCTCGGCTGGCTCGGTTATGTCTAGATTGGGCAGCCCGAGCCGGCCGACATAATTGAGTTCCAGCTCTCTGTCTGTCTTTTGTTCGAAAGTTCTCGCACTTGAATCTCTTGTTGCTCATGCAACTATGGCCACCTTTGCACTCGGGTGAAGACAGCCTTGGTCAAGGGGCCCGCGGGAGCCCTCGGCTATTGTAGTTAACATTATCAAGATTTGATGGCTGCGCCGCCGTTTTTGTAGCATGTCAAGTAAGGTATATAGGGGAGATATTTGGGAGATATTAAGTACTGAGACTGCTCACTCATAACTCGAAGATCCGAGTCAATATTGACAACATCAGCTTGATACAAGGTAGCCAGCATTGCACAACCCGCCCCGAGGTCTGTCTTATCATTCATCGACACCTATGAAGTTGTTGCACCAACGGCCAAGCAGCCGGCTCAGGCTGCCCAATCTAGACATAACCGAGCCAGCCGAGCATGCCGAGCATGCCGGCCCCTGCAATTTCTCCCAGAGGGTTGGTCGTGTACGTCGTCGCTCGAAAGTTTTCGTAATCGGGTCGGAGATTAAACTGTTTGTAGTAATTGCAAGTAAAAATTAATATAAGTGCACTAGGATTGATGCGACACTACACGACCAATCATCTGGGTAGGAGAGTGGGGTGAATATAAGAAAAATTCTATATTCCTCACTGCTGTTTACAGAAAAGTTGCGCGTGTCAAAACACGCGCTTTTTTCGACCTCAGCTAATATAGCACTGGGCCGTTTCACTCGAAATTAGCTGCATTCGATTGATTGCCTCGTCAATCCTCAGGTGCGTGTATAATTTTTATTTCATATGACAGAGTTCTCAAAATTCATGCTTCAGGGGCTATTGTTGGATGCTATCTGACATTGTTCACTCATATCTCGTCAACGCGTGGGCTGTTGGACTCAAAAGTGGGATCAATGGATTCGTACTGATGTGGCCGAGGTGCGTGCATACTTTTCACGTTGACTGAATTACACTCGAACGTCCGTCACTGGGAACGGCGCTGTTTTTTCAAGATTCGTGAACTTGAGGCCACTAGAATCACCCATACAAGCTCAAAATGTATATAGTATTCATGCGCAATATCAGTTATACTTAGGATAATGAATGAACAGCTAACGAGGGTGAAAACGTGAAGGCGAGATGGGTGCATAACATAATGGTGACAGGTTTTCCAACCCTCGTGATCAAAAAACATGGAAGAAGTCATAGTCAACCACAACAATTACAATGTACTTGCCTCCTGGGACGGAGTTCAGATGGAATGAGACCATCTGTAAGTTGGGAAAGCCATCCAACGAGGAGCGATAGCCCAAAAGCCGCCTATACAACCTCGACGCGCCTCCATGTGATACCAAGAACAGCCGTTATTCAATCCATACGAAAACCATATACGCACCTGTGGGTCTCAAGGACAAATGATTGATGTCGTGATTGAGTCGAGGGAGTGTTTTGCTGATGAGTTATGACCGAACATTCGTAGACCTTATGCAGATAGTGCCATCCCTAACAACAGACAATGTCAGACAGCATCCAACAATAGCCCCTGAAGCACGAATTTTGAGAACTCTGTCATATGAAATAAAAATTATACACGCACCTGGGGATTGACGAGGCGAGTCGAACGCGGCTAATTGCTCGAACACTGTTCTCCGGCTCCAGCACCACGCCTGCAGGCTGAGATAGCCCAGACACAGATCTACGCAAACGAGAAGGCGGAGGAGTTACCGATGAGCAGGGAGGGTATAGAGGGAGCCCGGGAAGGACGAGCTCGGCGTCATAGGTAGGCTGCTCGTGTTCTTCAGGCTCGTTCGCTGGCACTGTCTTGAAAGGTGTCTTGAATGGCTTAGGTGCAGTACTAGCGTCCGAGGCCGTTTCTGACCCGTTTCTTCCGCAGTGCCAGACGCGCTGCTTGTATGCATGGGTGACTGACCTTGGGCTCCTGCAGTGCTTGCCCGGCCCCCTCCATTCCCGTCCCCTGACCCTTCCATCTCCCCTACTCCTTGCGCCTCCTCTGCCTGGCGCGCCTCGCCCCTGCCCACATCCAGGTCCAGGTCCAGGTCCACTAGAGCCTGCTTCACCGGGTTCTGGCACTGCAGGCACTGTATCATGGCTCTGCGGCTCTGTCTCAGGGACTTGGGCGCTTTCGGGCATTTTGAATACTTTCAGATGCTTGGTGAGTTGTTTTGTTGGTTGGTTTTGCTACGATTGACTGGTTTGAAGGGAATATACACGCAGAGACGAGCGCGAGTCGAAGGTTTAGAGCTCAGGGATGGCTTCCCGATTTGGGTTAGATGCGCCTCGAACCGGCCCGCGAGCTGTGCCGTGCGTTGTGGTCTCACGCGGCGTATAGTCAATAGCTAGTGTTTTAGTAGTGAATACATGACTAGTACTTATATAACTACTTGCATATTCAGCAGCGGGAACATAAGCGAAAGGGGGACTATCCGCAAGACATCAGCCACTGGGCGAAGTTGCGGGAATATGTATAGTATTTTCGCGTCGGAATATTTCCTTGAAACTCCGGTGGAATTCAATGTGTCAAGACTCCCAAACAACACCATTTTCCTTAACCGCCATGTTGAACCATCGGGTGCTCACTCATTTCCTGTCATGGCGTTGGTGACAATTTCGGGCTATCCATGTTCGGGCAAATCGAGGAGAGCAGATCAGATCAAGCAACACCTTGAAGCGAGATTGGATGCGCAAGAATATGCCGGACCGAAACTGAAAGTCGTAATTCTTTCGGACGACACACTGAATATAGATCGAACATCTTACAGTGGTACATCATCTGCTACAACCTTATCACTCCTCTGCTGATATGTATACAGACAGTCGATCGGAAAAACCAGCTCGAGGCACACTGTTCACTGCAATGCAGCGGCAGATGGGCCAGGATACCATCCTGATCGTGGACTCGCTCAATTACATCAAAGGGTTCCGATATCAAATGTACTGTGCTGCTAGGGAACACAAGTTGCGAGTATGCACAGTGCGCCTTGCTTTCCCTATCACAAAGACATGTTAGCTTGATGATCTTTCAGGTGTGGGTAGTTGCGAAGAAGGAGATGTGTGAGGAGTGGAACTCGTCGCGCTCTAGTGGTCGCGCATACAATCCAGAGACGTTCGTTGCGTATTCCAGTATTCAGGAGTTTGCTCGTACTAATCGCTCGTCCACAGGTTGGAGAATCTCTTTCTGCGTTATGAAGAACCATCGTCGATGGTTCGGTGGGATTCGCCCCTTGTCACAATTACCTGGGAGGATCAAGATGTACCTGCGGAGGACATCTGGCAAGCCGTTACAGGTGGTGTTGTGAAGCCTCCTAATACCGGCACTCAGGCGGTACGTTTCTTCGATATAATACCGCGTAGGAGGCTAACATATTGCATCAATAAGGTTCCCAAGGCACCCACAGACGCTCTGCTCACGCTTGAGCACACAACAGCCGCAGTGATCTCGAGCATTATATCCGAGCAGTCCATATTGCAAGGAATAGGAGGCACGATCACACTCGCACTTTCAACGCCAACACTCAGACCAAAGGTGACCTTACCGGCACGTAATGTCACGCTGTCCGAGATGCAGCGCCTGAAGCGACAGTTCGTCACCGTACACAAGAAGGCAATTACCCTTGGTTCAACAGAGAAGGGCGGCGTGGACTGGAGCGAGGAGAGCGTAGCAGATAAGTTTGCAACGTATCTAACTGAGAACATCAAGTCATAGAGCCCTCAACGCTATCAGTCGTATATTGATGTGCAATTTCATTCTGCATGTATTATCTGGACCCCAATAGACCGCCACATCGTGCTCCCCGGTACTTTCGTCGGATGTATACATACATAGATGTTCACAGCAATTAGCCCCTGAACGGAAGCAGTGCAGATCACGTTACGCGGCGCAGTACCAGTCCCCGAAGATGCCGTGGCACGTATCACAACTGTCCACACAAACCAGGAAACTAGCTAGTGTAGCAGCTAAGGTCATACGAAGCCTCCGTGCAGGCCCAAACTCTGCCATGAAACTACTCGAGGGCCACGTTCATGCGCTCACATCTCTCCTTGCTTTTCTCACTGCAGCCAACGGCTTCTACCTCCCCGGCGCCGCGCCTCACAACTTTGGCCCTGGCGAACCCGTGAATGTTTATGTCAATACTCTGACGCCAATCTTGGCGGGCAAAGACGACGCAAAAGTGGTGCGCCTCATCCTCCGAGCTCTCCTCGTATGGCTTTCTGACGCTGATGCGATTGCCTGAAGAAATCTCTTATTAATTGTGGGTCTCAGCGTCGGCTTCTTGTTCTCAATGACACACTGGTGTCCTAGATGACTACTACAACGAGAAGCTGCACTTCTGTCAGCCCGACGGAGGACCCACGAGCTCTCCAGAAGGGCTTGGATCCGTGCTGTTTGGTGACCGCATATTCAACTCCCCGTTCGATGTACGTACCCAATATGCCTCGTTTATGCGCCCTCATCGCATGGATGCGCATACTTTGACAGATCAAGATGTTGGAAGGGAACGGGACATGCAGAAGCCTTTGCATCGTCCCCGACATACCAGGGGAAGACTCCAAGTTCATAAACGAATTGATTCGCGAAGACTACGCGCTCAACTGGCTCGTGGACGGTCTACCGGCCGCTGAGATGAAGGAGGATCTTAAAAGCGGGGACATATTCTACGACATGGGCTTCAATCTCGGTGACGACGAGACGGAGACGCCCTACTTGAATAACCACTACGAGATAGTGATGAAGTCGGTCACTACATCATGGTGACTCTACGGGCGAAGCTGAATAGTCATCCAGGTATCACGAACCTTCACCAGGAGTTTACCGCGTTGTCGGTGTGCTGGTCTGGCCATCGAGGTGGGGCTTACTCATGTAGACCATATGGTTCTAACGAGTCCAATCAGTCGAGGGGGTTCCCAAGAAAGCACGACACCCAACTGCGAAGGTGCTGCAGGAAAGCTGGCCCTTTCAGAAACTTCGAATACAACCGTCCATTACACGTACCGAGTAACTTGGGAGGTACGTCAGCTACATCACAGCCTGGTTGGGGGTCTAATTGCTGCTTTTAGGAATCCGACACGCCATGGGTAGGTTCTCCTGTGGTCAGAAGCATAGCTTGACCGCGTTGCTTATAATCCCAAGGCCACTCGCTGGGATAACTACCTTCACATATTCGACCCCCGTATCCATTGGTTCAGCCTCGTCAACTCGCTCGTCATCGCTTTCTTCCTCTGCGTAATGGTCGCCATGATTCTCTACCGCACAGTTTCCCGCGACGTGAGCTTCAATTGTTCTTGTCTGGTCATCGCCTGACTGGCTCGTTGTGCATGTATAGATTTCAAGATATAATGCCATTGATCTCAGTGTACGTTCCAAATTTCGTTCGTTTTGGATTCCTTTTGCCTACTGTGTTGTTACAGGAAGATGTCCACGAAGATTGGGGGTGGAAGCTCGTCCACGGTGAAGTGTTCCGCTCTCCACAGAATCCCTTGCTGCTTGCAATCCTGGTTGGAAATGGCACACAGCTATGTGCCATGGTGTCAGTTACCCTTGGTAAGTTGGTTGCTGGAGACCTTCGTCATCCTCCTAATGGCTCCTGTCAGTGTTTGCTTTGCTCGGTTTCCTTTCACCATCTAATCGTGGATCGATTGCCACGGTGATGATGGTGTGCTGGACATTATTCGGAGGGTAAGCGTTTTCCCGTATTCTTAATCAGTGGCGAGCGCTAACGGGTTCTCAGTATCGGAGGATACTACTCAAGCCGTGTCTACTCATCTCTTGGTGGCCAGAACCGGAGGCGGGCTGCTTTCTTGACTGCTACTGCATTGCCCACGTATGTTTACGTCAAACAAACATGGGACGAAGTACGCTAACCGTGGCATTGACCAGGACTATCTTTGCCATCATGTTCCTTCTGAATTTCTTCCTCTTGACTGCAGGGTCCTCTGGAGCTGTACCCTTCGGTGCGTCCTTCTCGTTGTCATCATGGTAGGACCTGTGTTGACAGCAACAATAAAGGTACAATGCTGCTTGTCGTTGTCTTGTGGTATGGTATTTCTGCGCCGTTGTCAGCAATTGGCTCGTACATTGGCGGTAAACAAGGAGTACGTGACTATGACTTATTATCATTTTTCTTGGACGCTGATTGTTGCTTCAGGGTGTCTCTCACCCTGTCCGCGTGAACCAGATTCCTAGACAAATTCCTCCGGGGCCAAAATATCTTCGCCCGTGGGTGCGTTTGCACCTGCTCTTCTCCAGTACCTCTTGATACTGACTAAACTGTAGGCAGCCGCCCTGTTGGGAGGCATTTTGCCTTTCGGTAACCTCCTTGATTTGCACTCCTAATCATTTATGTTGACATGAATCCCTCAGGTGCCGCTTTTGTAGAGCTGTTCTTCGTCATGTCCAGTCTATTTGCCTCACGGGCGTACTACGCTTTCGGCTTCTTGGCACTCACGGCTCTCATCGTGTCGCTCACCGTTGCAACAGTGTCCATTCTTTTCACGTACTTTATGCTTTGCGCCGAAGAGTACAGGTTTGTCGTCATGTTGTTACAGACGACAAAAAAGTTGACTTTCGCCTAGGTGGCACTGGCGAGCTTTCCTCGTGGGTGGTGGCAGCGCTTTCTGGGTGCTGGGATACGGTTTGTTCTACTGGGCCACCAGGCTCTCTCTGGAATCATTCACGAGCATTTTGTTGTATTTGGGCTACTTGCTCCTGCTGGTTCTGTTGGTCTTCATGGTCACAGGTAAACTCGATTATGCCACTGAGATGCTACCGTACATTCCACTGACACCTATTGCAATTACAGGTACTATTGGATTCTTGGCATCGTATTGGGCGGTACGGAGACTATACAGTGCCATCCGCGTGGATTAGATCTATGCCCCATAGTTTTCTGCCTGCTTGCCACCTAACTGTTAGCTTTAACGGGTGCCTTGGTATTCGGATATGTAGACGTGATCATATCATATCACAACTAATAATAGTAGTATGTCCGCAGACGGCTCAAGGTGAAGTACTCTGACATCTACCTTCTCGCTACTGCCTCTCCGATGCCAGTATGAGGTGTTTATCCTTGCCAGCGCGCACGACTGCTATTCGCCCATCTATCAAGTCACTTTCAGCTAGTTGATAGCGAATGTCGGCTACCGTCTTGTTGTTGAGGTAGAGTCCCCCTGCAGAGACAAGCTGTTTCGCGGCAGCTATAACAGCAACTTCAACCTCTAGTCGAGTATTTGCGTGCAAGAAACTCACAGCGAGATGCAGCAAGTTTGCGAGATGCTACAAGACCAATAAGAGGGCCATTAAGCATCTCATCTTGATTACAGAACACAAGCCTAGGGTCGCCTTTCAAGGAGTCTAGAACCTGGTCTGCAGTGAGTGATGAGTAGTCGGTTCCGAAGAGGATTTGTGTCGCGATCCTTGCTTTGTTGAGAGCAGCGTCTGGTCGTAGCAGACTTTTTGAGCATGAACATGTGGGTTGAGCGAGGAGGAGCGTACCTCCATGAATCATTCCCGTCATTTCATCCGCCAACCTGCGTTGAGCGACACGTTTTTCTGGGGCATTCTGACGACCGAGCGTCGGCAGTAGATAGCGAATCAAATAATTGGTCACAAACCTGGTGCTCTGATATCAGAGACTCGATTTGCTCTATCGGCATGAGAGTAAACATCTTCAGGTATTTCCCAACGTCTGCGTCGGTTGTTTTCAGCCAAAACTGCACATCACTTTCGGTTAGAGCAAGTTGCCCAGGTTGAAGTCACCGAACTTACCTGGTAGAAGTCCAAATAGCTTGTCATTGACTCATCGAGCCAGACTGCATTTCCAGCACTTTTGCCAAACTTTTCCCCAGTCGAGGTGGTCAACAATGGCGTGGTAAGAGCGAAGCCTTTTTCGTGCGCATCTCCTCGCAGAGTCTTGTCTTCCGCGTTGGCGCGCTCAGACTTGTTGATGAGCTCTATTCCACTCAGTATATTGCCCCACTGGTCGGACCCGCCGATTTGTATCGTACATTGGCGACGCTTATAGAGCATGTAGAAATCGTATCCCTGCAGCAGCTGATAGGTGAACTCAGCAAATGAGATACCTGACTGAGCAGCCATGCGAGTCTTGACACTGAGAGCAACGATGTTGAGCTACGGCATCCATATGAGCAAATAATCGAGCAGGAGCCTACCTATCTCGTGCTATCATTTGGTTTACTCTGAAGTGGACGCCAGCAGTGCGGAGAAACTCGAGCAGATTTAGGCCACCCAGCCAGTCCTTGTTGTTTGCTACTTCAAGTGTTCCGCAAGTTTGAGAAGATGTATTTCTTGACGCATATGCGGTGATTCTATCGAAAAAGTTCTGGATTGCTGTGGTCAGGGCGGCCACGTTGTTAGCGATATGCTCTTCGTGAGAGAGAGCACGCTCAGTGGCCCGACCAGACGGGTCTCCTACTAGACCTGTGCCTCCTCCTATCTGAGTGTCTGTAAAATGTGCGATCTCGGTAGGACCTAAAATGGAATACTCACGAGGGCAATCACATTGTGACCTGCAGCATAGAAGCGGTAGGAGGATATGAGAGGTATGAGATGGCCCGCGTGGAGAGCGCTGGCAGTCGGGTCGACGCCAACATAGAGAGTTCTTGCACTGTTCGCTAGGTGCTGCTCGAAGTCTGTCTGCCTGCGTGGACATGTTTATGAACTCTGTCCCAGTCGCAAGACGCGTTAGAGAAACGCGTACCTAGTAATGTCCGCAACAAGCTGCCGTTTCTGAAGGTCGTTGAGGAGGTTGTGTGCTGATGCGTGATGTCTCCTGTAGACGTTGAGGCTATAGTAGCTTGGATCGCAGCGTGTGCTAGGTCGGATGGCACCTCGCCCCAGGCGAAACATAATATTCCGATTCGGAGCCGTGCAAAGCAAACCAAGCAAACGGTCATCCGTACCTGCCAGCTATAAATAACTGCGCCGTCGCGTCGGCGTTTGGACTCCTGGCTAATTACAACCTATTACAGCTCGCGTAGATCTGCATCAACTTTCAAGCTCAAACTTAAGCTTCGGGGCTTTAAAGCTTGCTTCAAAGCTTCAGGCTTTTTAGCGACTCAATGTCATTTCTGGCCAGTCTCAAAACCATCAAACTGAAACCTTTGCAATCGCTTGCTGCTCTCAAAAGCCGTTGGTCCGCAGCCAGGGACCCATCCTAGCTTGCATCCTAGGCAGCGCTGCTCCGTTAAGGAGGGTATTCAAACGGTAACCACCACCGTACGTCATCGAAAACCCACTAAATAATGGGTTGTTTTAGGGTTTCTTTGAAAATGATTAATGGGGGGTAAACAGCCTGGGCAAACTGACCACCATCCGCATCCTCTACGAGCTACAACAAAGACAATTCAAAGTGGTTAAATACGTGCGCGGCAAGCCTTATCAAGTTACAGAGACCGAGGATTAGAAGAGAACCCCATCCTCGATCGTGACACTACCATCAACGGCGGAAGTATTCCACGATTCTGTGAATCTCAGTCGCCTATAGCTAGTATATGTATGTACTGTATGCGTACAGCGGCTTTTCCTTGCACAACCAACAACCTCCCCGTTCCTTGGCTCGGGCACTCAGCGACTAAGCTGGCCTCAGGCTAGATGACCGTCTTGACCTCCGGTCAGACTGCTGCTCTAGGTATGTGTTTATATGGCTCCGTGCAACTGCCCTGCTAAGCCTTGCATGCAGTCATCGAGACCGCCTTTCATGGCCTAACTGTGATCTTGACTGTGCTCCGTTTGACCTTGAGAGTTCGCAGTCGGAGATTCTGGTACGAGGATGCGTGCGCGAGTCTAGCCTTGATTTCTGCTTGTGCGACACTCGTCTCGCTCTGGCTCGAGTCTCTTCCGCTTGGTATGACCCCTGTTCGTTGTTCCGCTCTCTTTTTCACTCATCCAAATATCAAAGACTGCACAAATAGCTGTCCAGAGTCGAACAAACGCTTCGTTGGTGTGTGGATTATGATAGTGGCGTACACCGTCACCGTATGGGCTTCTCGTAGTAGCATACTGCTCTCCATCTTGCGGGTTGCAGCTGATAGGCATATTTATATGCTGGCGAGTCTTTCCTTCGGCCTATTTATCACGATGGCCGTTGTTGCAATCAGCATCAAGACCGCCGTGTGTACCTCAGACGACAAGTGGGGAACGACGTACCCTGTGCTCTGTCCACTGGGGGGGCGAATAGCTATCACGGAGGCTGTCAGTGAGTGGACTATGCTGCGTTTCCAAGCAGAATCAGTCTTTCCAACTTCAATCGCCTTTCAGCCGGTGTGGTCGGTGACCTCATTCTTATCTTCCTTCCATTTCGCATGCTCTGGCGGACCAAGCTAGCAGCTAGTTTTCGTAAACTTTTGTTGACTGTTTTCGCAATGAGCGTTCTTAATACCGCGGCAACTGTGGTGCATATTGTCTTGATCCTTCAGCCGCCAGGGTTCTTCACGGGCCTTACGGCGAATCTGCACGTGAGTCTGTGGATTCCTTCGTATGCATGACTTTCATCCGGCTACGCCTTTAACAGGCCTCGGTGACGTTGCTCGTCTGCAATTTGCTTGTCATCACGACTTTTTGCTACCGCATATTCCGTGGTACAGACATTGAAAGCACAGTGACAATGGTAACTACAAGACCTACAAGCACGCCGACAACTTTCACCACTGTCGAATTAAATTCTCTCCAATCTGTATCGCATGCCGCCGGATTTTGGTCGGATGTCAATTCAGGAACAGGCGGCGACGGTTCGCGGGGCTTTCATGAGGATGTCAGAAGCGTTTCTATAAATTTGTAGCCATCATCAGCTGCCTTGTTATCCAGATAATATCTTACACTCCAGGCTTTGTCCGTTCTACACCTGTAATCAAGCTAACTCACTTCTGACACCTGGGTGTCTTTGCGGAGAATGCATTATGCATGAGCGCTTGAGCGGCCACAACGAACAGGGAGAAAGCATCCAGCTGAAATTGAGCTAGGGCTGGTGGCATTCGGTGCAAGCGCGAAGTCCTTCGTCACAGGTGGAAGCTCATGAAGTAGTACAACTCAAGTAGCTAGTTGACAACTTAAGGGTTCAAACGTTCAAGTTGGCACAACTGATACTACTTGGGTTGGTGAAACTTTTTAGTGGACTGAATGCCGTGGATATCCGTCTGTGATCCTTGTTAGCTAGCCTATGGGCAGATCTTTTGCAAGATAGTCGTTCCTGTTAAAGGAACAAGTCGCGACAAGCTACTACTAATTTTGGAGTAGTTGGCATCTTAACTACTGTGATTCACCGTCAGAATAGACAGACTTTTGTGCAACGCGTGTGGAATATTTTTCCTTTGCCCAACTTGCTTAAATTTAGGTTTGAGATATCCTTGGTATGCGATCTACCTTACAAAAAATCGCTGAGTGAAGAAAGCATAGGGTGCATGTGCAATGCACGAATCAGTATTTTAGGCCGAATACCGTCAGAATAGACAGTCCGCGCGGGTGGTGATTATCCATATTAGGCAGGCCGTCCACCATAGCCGGTCTCAAAAAGGAAAGTCAGGGCGTTATCACTGAGCCGAAATCGCCGTTACAGCGGCTATAAGATTATGGCAAGGCTCGAGAGGACACTCTGTCATCGTTCCGACATATTGAGAGTTGTCGCCTTTTGCAGCGTCCAAAATTGCTTCAACGAAGGGTAAAGATGTCACTACAACATACAATAGCTCTATCATCCACACTGTGTCGCATGTTCACAGCTGGTTATCCGCCGAAGCTAAGAAATTTTTTACAACACCCTGTCTTTCATGCTTTGAGGCTTGCAGCTTCACATCCAGACATTCCCTCGCTAATCGCATGTTCAGGCATAAATTACAGCATATTCTCGTAATTACCATGAATTTAGTTCGAATGATTTGCCAAGGAAACGGGCACAAAAGCGAGTTGTCTATTCTGAAGGTGGTGTCTACTCTGACGGTGAATCACAGTACTTGTACTCAACTAGCTATATGTTCCTGTACCGATGCTACATTGCTGCCGTGAAGTAGTCGCACGCATCCTAGAATTAGAACATGGCATCGGTTGCCCTGTCTTCTGCTTCATATCTGACGCGCTTTTGCTGTAGGCCTTGCACCTGCTCCTTTCTGGTCTTACTCAGGGAGACTAGTCTCGCCTCACTTCGCATACTCATTGTGAACAGTGCACGCATCTCAAGAAGACAGATATGCAATTCGAGGTCCTTGCCACTTGTCAGACAACGCGTGCGCGCGTTTCTCGCATGAAGTTAGCTCGTATGTACTAAGCGTCTTTCATTACGATACAAGTACCTCATCCCCGACGGGACAGATGGCACTACCATGCTCCCTACATTCATGCCCGTGGCCACTCAGGCGGCTATCAAGGGCTTGACACCACAGCAGGTCGAATCACTTGGGATCACCCTCATGCTTAACAACACCTATCACCTGAACCTTCGGCCTGGTATCAAGGTGCTCAACGAGGCTGGAGGCGCACATCGCTTTCAAGGCTGGAACCGCAACCTTTTAACCGTGAGCAACAGATAGATGATCACGGTTGCGCTAGCTAATCATACAGACAAATGATGCCAAGGATAGCGGTGGTTTCCAACTCGTATCACTGAGCAAGTTTACCAAAATATCAGAGGAAGGGGCCTTGTTCGCCAGCCCATTTGACGGAAAACCAACGATGCTGACGGTGAGAGTCCAGACCATCATGTCTGACGTTGACAAGTTGGTTGAAATATGCTTCCAGCCCGAAGAAAGCATTTCCATACAGCACGCGATCGGTGCCGATATTATCATGCAGCTGGACGACGTGGGTAAGGCTCCTCTAGTCTACGTTCTGAAACTGAAGGTATCGATGATGATTTAGTGAGCAGCCTCACCACGGGTCCTCGGGTGGAAGAGGCGATGAATAGATCTGTCAGATGGCTAGATCGGTGCATACAGCAGCACGACAAGTCGGGACGCCAAGACGTGCAGAACCTATTTGCCATTGTACAAGGCGGTCTTGACCCCACCCTTCGAGATCAGTGCTTGGAGGAGATGGTCAAGCGGAAAGACCGTGTCGCAGGTTACGCAATTGGTGGTCTGAGCGGAGGTGAAGAGAAAGGTGAGGCGCTGACCGTGACTTGCTGGTGTACGAGGGCGCTAAACATACCTCCAGATGTGTTCTGGCGAATGTTGGAACTTTTCTTTTGTGACTTCTATTATCCTTACTTATGCCATCGCCCTCAGCATTAAACAGTGCGCTGACAAGTTGCCAGATGACCGTAAGTCACAAATATTCATTTCTGAGGAAGCCGTGTAAGAGTTGACATTTATCAGGTCCACGCTACTCCATGGGTGTCGGTTTTGCCGAAGGTAATTCGACTTCATAGGTCATGTGGCGTCTACTCGTTGACTCTCGTCTGTATCAGACCTCTTGGTCTGTGTTGCTTTAGGTGTCGATATGGTTCGTTCTTCTATTGTCGCTGGTGAACTCGTTGAGGACGTCATTGCCGCAGGCAGACTGTGTGTTCCCTACGCGAACAGCGAGATTCGGGGTCGCGCTCACATTCTCTGGGCCAATAAACCTAAGTGAGTGTATGAAAGCCGGTTTCCATTTATCAAATCTGAGTTGTGGCAGAACTTAGCAAGCACGCTAAAGACTTTGGGCCCATTGAAGGGGGCTGCCCTTGTCCTACTTGTAGCAGCGGCACGTCTAGAGCGCATCTCCATCACATTATTACACTCGAAACAGCTGGTGCTCACGGTAAGTTTCAGGCCCCTTTTGCCGTCACCGAGGTTTAGTTCATCATGCTTCTCAGCCGTCACCCAGCACAATCTGGTCTTCCAAGCGCGAATCATGGGAGGTGCTCGAGACGCCATTATGGAAGATCGATTCCCCGAATACCTTCGATCGTTTTTCGAGTCATACTTTGGCACTCAGGGATACCCAGAGTGGTGTGTTAACGCTCTGCGCAGCGTCGGTGTCGATCTTCTGCAAGGAAAAGACGTGCCAATTATCGCAGGCTCAGGAGCAAAATGGGAGTATTCAGACGCCGCGTAGACCAACAAAAATAAACAGGGTGATGGTACATGCGTGCTCTATCGTCTTCCCTTTCTGGTTGTCCGAGCATTCTTTGCCTTCCTCTGTTCCGTTGCTTTCCTCTGCTTCCGTATCTGATCCACCGTTTTAATCTCGTTCTTGACTCTACCCATTGGTTTTCCACCATGTCGTGTCTTGCCCTTGGCACCCTTGGGTCCATTTGTGGATCCACGTTTTGAGGTAGGTTTCGTCGGGCCATCGTTCGCTTCTTCAGCTTTCTTCGATTGTCGAACCTTTCTATCATAATCGGAGCGTAACTGGTCAAGAGGCTTGGCTTCCGTGACTTTGTTGTGTCTGAACTTGCGGGAGCCTGTGCCTGGGCGGCGGTCCTGCTCGGCTTCACCGATCTTAGGCAGTGAGACCTTGCTCTTCGCTTTCCATTCCTCGAAGCGGCCGCTGCGGTAGGTTGCAGGCAGTTTGACACCACTTTCTGTCTTGACCATTTTAACGTTATCTGCACCAACGCCGTCACCCTTGACGAAACGCTTCTTCTTTTTGTCCCACTTGACTTGGTGTCGCTGCCGTCCAGCGACCCCGTCATCTCCTGTAAGGTCAAAGGTTGCGCCTCGTGCTTGCTCCACGAATGAGGCACCGTCAGTCAGCGCATACCTGCGAAAACGCCCTAAGTCAGCCAGCAAAGGCTCATGAAATGATGGACCCTACCCTTTGTCTGTGGCAGAATCTTTTTGGTAATGGGACATATAGAACTCTTCGTCTCGAAAGTTGTCCTTGCCGCCTTTTTTGCTCGTGCCAAACACAGCCTGATAGAAGCATCAGCATTGAGTGAAAGCATAGGCGCCAATTCCTCTTGACCTCAATTTCGTCCTCGTCCGCCATGTCGAGGCTGATACCTTTGGCCTTCTCGACAAGTTCAGAGGTATCTTCAACAACAGCCGTGGACGTAGAAGGCACTGCCCGTTCGACAGCTTTTTGTAGTGCTTTTCTCCTCTCTTTCATGAGCGCAGAAGTGACCGTCGTCCCCTTCCCTTTGTGGCCAACCTCGAACACAGTTTCCGAGGGAGTGAACGAGTTGACAACCTGCATTAACTTGCTTCTCGCCTGCTCCACATCAGAGCCTTTCGCGCTCCTCCACCCGCGCTGCACTAAGATAGGATGCACACTAGCCTCTGTAGCTCCAGCGAGGGACCACTGGTGGTCTTTGGACATTTCCTTCGCCCGCTTGTAACTGGCCTGACTAGCCTTGCCCTTGCTCCGCTCGTACATCATATGCCCGCGTTTCATTACATCACGGAGCGTTGGAAGCTGGTGGTACGCCTCATCGAGCTGCCGGACGTACTCGACATCCTCGTCGATCTCTTCTCGACCAAATGGACCGAATATGAGTGACTCGGTATACGCCTCGTCCCCGCTGTCAGATGGGACTTCGCCAGAAAGAGGCCGGCCAAGGAAGAGTTGCAGGTCCAGTAGATATGGCAGCTCGGTGTGGGTGACGAAGGACCATGCCCAGCCTTGCCGCCCGGCACGAGCTGTTCGGCCGACTCGGTGAACAAAGACACGCGCGCCGTGCGGGAAGTCGTAGTTGACCACGTTCTCCAGCACAGGAATATCAATACCTCGAGCTGCGACGTCGGTGACTACAAGCAAGCTGGTGTGACCCCTTCGGAACTGCTCCATCTGGAACTGTCGCGCAGCCTGGTCGAGAGCACCGTAAATGTGTGAGACCGCATAGCCCGCTGACGAAAGTAAATTGGCCAAGTACTCGACGTGATGTTTAGTCGCCGCAAAGATGAGTGTCTGGTGTGGAGCTGTCGTCACTTGTGTTGCTCGCTGCTTGCCCTTGCCTTTACGGAACTTGCCGCCTGACGTATCGTCTTTGTCGTCCTGCGGCATTTCAGACCCAAGCGGTACATGAATGACGTCGCGGAGCAGCGCCAGTAAGCACGCGTCCTTTTCGGCTTGCTTTACGGAGAAGAAGGCCATTTTGAGGTCAGAGCTAATTTTTGATTCCGCATCTAGACGGACGAGCTTGGGGTCCTGAAGTCCAGCTTTGGCGAATTCAACTAACGATTTCGGGAGCGTAGCTGAGAACAGCAAAGTCTGACGGGACGCTGGAAGGCGGTGAATGATCTCGTTTAGCGCGGTCTCGAAGCCCATTTCGAATAGGCGGTCTGCCTCATCAAACACTACGTATTGAACGGACCTGAGGTCCAGGTTCATCTCCACGATGAGGTGCAGCAGTCGCCCCGGAGTGGCTATGATACTGCGTTTCATGTGCGATGTCAGTAATAATATTCACGAAAAACGCCCTTTGGAACGCACACATCGGGGTTGTTTGTAATCATCTCGAATTGTTCATCCAGACCCTCTCCTCCAACAATCATACCCCAGCGAAGGCTCTGGCCTTTGGTGGAGTCTGATCCCGTCTGGTCTCCCGCATGGGCACCCTCGTCACTCCACCCGCGGGCAAGTTCCTTGCCCACACGGAGAACCTGAAGTGCAAGTTCACGTGTTGGAGTAAGAATGAGGGCACGAGCACCGAACGTGGTAGAGTGCCGTCCACCGAGTCTCTGTACGAGCGGAATCATGTATGCTAGGGTTTTTCCTGAGCCTGTGCGAGCCATGCCGACAAGGTCGCGCGGAGGACTGGCCAAAAGTGAGGGTATGGACGATCGCTGGATCGGCGTCGGTATCCGATAGCCTTGTAGAGTCAATGAACGTAGCAGAGAGGGATGCAGACCTGATACCAACACCTATTCAGCGCATTCAACCAAGAAACAAAGCAACGGCACGTACCCATGCTTTGGAAGCTACCACCTCCCACCTCGCCTTTGACAAACTTGGTCTTGCCTTTGGTTTTCTTAAGCACATCAGTGCCGCCCTTGACATTCCGCTTCGCTATCGAGTCACGTATGAGGTCTTGCAGATCGTCCAAGTCTCCGTCGGACGCATCGTCTGCTTGAGGATTTGGTTTATGTTTTTTGGCGGTCAGAGCAGACGAGATGTCGATCTCGTCGTCGGAGTCGGCCTTCACGACCGAGAAAGAGCTCGAGTCCGACTGTGCATCGTCGGAATCTGAGACATCTACGGCAGCTGAGGAGGGTCTCTTGCGTTTGGGTGCGGCCATGTTCGCCGATGCGGGACAAGCTCAGGAGCGTTTCTTCGAGAAAAGTGCACGGGAGCAGTTAGCATTGATCTGCGCCTGCCATTTACGGACTTGCCGCTGTCTTTGTAGATGACCCGAACACTATGCATCACGAATTTCTGGGGAATATTATACACACACAGTAGCACACTCTAGTGTTTACAATTCTTAATCGAGTATGTGTAGTGCCCTAAAATTCTCACATCGTGTCAAAACAGTGAAAGACGGTCGATAAGGAAGTGATAAATGATCTAGAGTGGCGCTATTACCAATCTATGGCACCGGTACAGATGCTTTCGAAACACGTTACTAGAGAGTTGTATGTATATAATACCATGGGTATTACAGCATTACGGCGCAAAGTAGCTTCGTCGTAGTTTCATTATACGATAGTTGTAACTTTGGTACAGCTACCCTGCTGCGAGTGCACAATACGTTATACTTGGATTATACACTGAAGGAAGCTGCTCGTCACTCAGACCATTCGCAATAGACAGAATAAACAACAATTCGTATTCAATGACTTTGAACGAGGCCTGCACAAATACTACTAAACTACACTGTGAACTCCTCAGCCCTCGTGTTCTAATCACGCTTGCCCCTCTCTGAGCTCTGCTGAAGCGCTGAAGCCTCGCTAACTGTTCTTGCGCTTGTTTCTGGGGTATCCCAGCTGATGTATCCGGCTCGGCGTCTTGATCCGAAGAGGAGCTGCAAGGGAATATTTGTCTGAAAACAAACCCCGTGAAGGGTTAGCTTGTAGCATCTAAAGTACGGAAGGAGACTTGACGTACTCGTTCCACCATACAAGTAATTCATCCATCTTATTATTCACGAAAGACTTACCAGATCCGACGAGCTCATGATAATACTGGCGGTGAGAGAATTGTCCTGGATCCTTTGTATCACCAGCAATGAATGTACTCAAGCTCAAGAGAACCGTACCTGTGAAGTACAGTGAGTACAACACCCACAAAACATCGAAACAAGACTTACGAGTGTAGCTACGTAACAAATGGAGGGTCTGGTGAGGACGAGAGATGGCGACGGCGTCAAGGTGAATTGTCCAGGGAAGTAGCGACACAATCTTCACGTTGACGAGTGCCGAGTCCAGACCTCTTGCGCTTGCGTCCGTTTGCGACAATACGAGGTTTACAAGCAGAGGGAGATACAGACCGGGGTGCGCGGGTGAAAGGCATCATGATGGTGAGCAAGCAGACGCACCTTTAGCGTGGTTTAAAGGTGTAGCATAGGTGGAGTCGGTCGGCGCGCGCCATCACCGCTCGTGGTGTACTATTCAAAATCGGAGAAAACGTATGAAGTAAAGTGCCACCACGCTACAAATGACTCGATGCTTACCAACAAGTTTGTTCTCTGGAATCCATTGATGACTCGATGCGTCGTATTGAATCGCGTCGCGCACCGCTAATAAAGGCAGTTTCCTGTGCATTAGTCCCGGAGGTGGAGCCGGCTATGACGTCGATGCATAACGCCTGGGCGTGGTCTCTCTCAAGCTCATTTCGCAATCAAATACGGTCCGATGCCTACCATTGCGCCCTAACTCTTTGCTGTTTTTGCACTTGCGCAGGTTCGTAGACAGAGATGTGATGATGCGTTACCTTGGATGTAGGCCATTTGAATCATCCAGATTTCCCGCACAAAGCGGATGAGTTCGTCAGCTTAGATGAGGATGGAGACATCACGGTGAGCTCGCCTTCACAGGACCTGGTCGAAGTGGAAGAGGCTCGTAACGATTGGACAGGAAACAATAATGAGGTTGCAGAAGATGGAGAGGATGTAGATAGTGACGAGGATGGAGACGAGGACGAAGACTTGTCATATTCGTACTGAATTCTGGGTATTTTCTGCAAATGACTCGAGGATACTATACAACGATTTGTAACCATGATACCGCGCATTTCTACACTCTTGCAACGCCCAAAACAAGCTACTTTCTTTATATCTGCATTGCATTGGTACGCGAGCGGTTTTATCGCCTAATCAAAAGCTCCCGCAAACGAGCCAACATTATAAAGTATGTTACACACTACAACATGTCACAATAGTCACGGGTTTTTCGTGATGATACCGACGGTTTCGACCGTGACGCCCGCTGACCTCAACGTTGCATACATTCTGAGGCACAAAGCGGTCAGAATGTACTCTCGTGGGCACGTCGGGCTCCATCCGCAAGGATGAGAGGCCATCCCTGCCCGTCATGTATTTCTTCCTCATCGTATAAAGGTGGATCGACTTCGTTACCTGAAAGTCCAACAGCTTCTACGAGACGTACCAGTCAGACCAAGTCTCCGCACAATGTTCTCTACTGTGTTTTCCATCGTCGGAACAGCCCTTGCACTGGCGTCTGCCTCTGCTGCTTCCGCTCTGCCTGTTTCTAGCAGGGACGTGTGGGACCCTGCTATTTTCACCCCAACCTCTGAAACCCTCTGGTACATCGGTCAAGACTACACCGTGACTTGGAACACCTCCAATCCACCCCAAGAAGTCACCGACGTCTATGGCAGACTTTATCTCACTCAAGGCGATTCCGGCCAAGCAGGGCCCACTCTCGCGCAAGGATTCCCCTTGTCAGATGGCGAGGTCAGCATCACCGTTCCGGATGTCCAGCCTGCATTGAATTGGAAGGTCGTTTGTGAGTTTGCTTTCATGATGTTCTGGATTTACTTCGAGCTGAAACGCATCAAGTGATGGGCGACTCTGGCGATTATAGTGCCGAGTTCAGGATTGAGAGTGCACCGGCCGACGCTTAATCGCACCTGCGTGCTCGATGCAGACCCGTCGAGTTTTAGGGGTGTTGGTATCGAGATTTGGACTGCATATGGACTTTCTTATCTACGGTTGTTTACGAGAATGGACTTTTGTTGGGTCTTTGATGGTAATGCACTACGATAACGGTCTAGAATAGATACTTGAGTTACCTGAAATAAGCAAGTTACAGCTCACAGACGTAAGATAGCTGCATGCAAGGCGACCGTGGTACATCCAGAACATAGAACAATCAGGCGGCGGAAGAGGGTGCTTGATCATGTTCATCACAGGGTCCCTGAACAGATGTGCATGTTCGGAGACAAGCGTAGTAGACGTCCTTGGCTGATGGTTCTCCAAGGATGTGGAGGAAACCTGCCTAGACGATACCCCCATCCGCGTGGCTTGCCTGTCGTTGCGAAGCCCAGTGTTCTGCTTTGCCCAAGGGAGTATGTGGCGCCCGCACATGACCAGGTGAATTGCGCTCCTCACTCATCTGCAGGTGCTGCAGGATCGGGGATGCGTCACACGACTCTATGGCAGACAACTGTTCACATGTTGACTGGATTCACTGGCGAATCCCCACCATGGTTATGAGGGAGCGGTACGAGACGGAGAGTAGCTGCATGATGAGGCCGCTAGCTAGAAAGGTCTGGAATTTCAGCTTCATATTCCGGGTTTTCACGAGCTAACACTGCCAGACACTGCCGTCATCGGGGGACGGAGAATAATCTAGAATATTATCTTTTCGGACTGACATAAGTCTGCTGAGCGTTAAAGATTGGTTGAAGATAAGCACGGCTGAGGCTGGCCGAAAGTTCTACAGAGAGGTTCTTCTGCTTCTGGGGTTGCTTTTCGGCGACTTTAGTCATCCAGATATCGTACGTCGGGCCCGTCGGGCAGACACCTGCAGACACCGGACCACGGTAGACCCAGTGTAGACCCATGCTAGTCCCAGTGGACTGCTCCATATGCAATGCAAGGCAGTTACTGCCACGGCAAGATGGGGCCTTTGTGGGTGACGGATATGTATGACCAGGAGGGAGAGGAGCATGGATGCCGCGGTCAGCGCTCTTGGGCTGGAGCTAACACCGGTCTCTTTAGATCTGACGCACTGCACATCTTCGATCCAGTCTCACGCGTCGGCCTCTCTGGACCTCTGCGGTGCCAATCCAAGCCATATATAAGCAGCTGTCCATCGTCCACATTATCCATCGACCTGTCCTCGTCGACTCACCCTCACCCACCTCACGATCCTCACGAACCATCCTAATCTCGCTTACCAACCTCACGTAATGTCTGCCGTCACCCGCACCATCATGACTTTCTGCTTCGCCATTATGGCTCTCTTCTCCCTTGTCTCCGCCGTCCCGCTTTCCCTCAACCGCAGAGACGTTTGGGACCCACCTGTGACCTACCCCACCAACGGCACCGTTTGGACCGCAGGTCAGACTTACAACGTTACCTGGGACACCTCCAGCAAGCCTACTCAGGTCACCAACCCCGAGGGTGTTGTTTACCTCCGCACTGGCAACACGACCTTGGCCGACAGCCCTCTCGCCCAGGGCTTCAACCTCACTCAAGGGTCCGTCAACGTGACCATACCCGCCAACATTACCGCCGGTGATGACTACATCATTGTCTGTAAGTAAAGTTGAGATGTGGTTTCTTGAACTTGAGCTGACAGCAAATGTGCTCTCATAGTGATGGGTGACTCTGGCAACTGGAGCAATCAGTTCTCCATCCAGGCCACGAACTCCTCTGCTACCGCTTAAATGCACCGTAGCAGGGATGCACCGTCTGCAATGAACTGGACTTTTGGCTGCTCTGCAGACCTTCAAAACAGCATGGACTGATAACGAACGGACTATCACATTGGACATGCTTGGACATGCTTGACGATCACAGTTTACGATACATATGGACTTTACAACTTGTACTCAGTAGCACAATCACCCTACTTTGATCTTTTTCTCTCAGGATATGGCGACGTAGTTGCATATATCTCACCACTTGTTACCATTTTGCAGTATCACATTGGTTCATCTGACGAGTTGTGCTTATCGTTCGCGAACATCGTGGTATAGGTGCAGTGATGTGTCGTAAGGTTCATTCCACTGGAATAGCCAATTACACCCTCCCTCGCAATGATCCTCTTGATATTGATGAGCCCGACCTTCCACTCACACTGCCAGTGGCGCTTCCCGTCCGTGTATGCGCTGAACTCGATGGAATGCCAGAAGGTGCTGCTCAGTGCGCTCACGTCAGTCACCACCCCCAATCAAAGTATCACATATACGTACCACCTCTCGTCGAACCCCTTGCTCCACGCGCAGCCATGATGGACGCGCGTGTTCCTCGCACACCACGAACACCGCTAGCTATCATCGGCGTTCTAGACGACGACGTTGTGCCAGCTCCACGTCCCCGGGGCGCGATCTTGGACCGCGCCCGCTCCTCAGCGAGAGCGCGTTCCTCAGCTTCTCGTCGGGTGCGTTCCTCTGCTTCCCGCCGTGCTGCCTCCCTTTCCGCTTCTTGTCGAGCACGCTCTTCAGCCTCGCGCCTGAGACGCTCCTCCTCTTCTCGCCGTTCTCGGAGAACCCGCTGCTCGTCCTGGATGCATGTACACCAATCAGTGACTCGAACTCCAGATGAGACATTGCGATGTAATAGCTCACAGCAGCGGAGCCCTCCCATCGCTGATCAAAGATGAGGCGCGTCGCGCTTTCAGACTTGGCGAGCACAGTAGCATACTTGTCCAGCAGTGCATTGGTCTGCGCCAGTTGCTGACCCATAGTCTGGCACATTCGTCAATCGACCGTGAGCGTGGCGCGTGCGATGTTAAGATGCTTCGCACCTCTGTTGCAGTCTGCGTGGACCGCAGCGCCTCCTTGAACACGGCAAAGGACGCGTTTATCTTGCGAAGCGTATGCAGATCGCGCAGCAGGCGCTCCTCTCTGGCGCGTGCAGCCTCGGACGCTCGCAGCACCGATCTTCCAGGCTCATGCTCTGGAGCATGTTCGTCCTCCTCCTCTTCGTTTATCGTATCATCGACGGCCGGGCCAGCGGCGTCATCCTGGCCGCGCTGATGTGCCGGAGCGAGGAGGCTAAATCGCCAAGGCTTATCCTCGGGTGGTCTGTCATTCAGTGATAGTTCGGATAGAGAGAGATCGGCTCCGCCTGGGCCAGTCCTTTCGGCAGTTGGCGTTTCTGGAAGTGATTCAGAGAGCAGATGGGAGCCGCTGAAGGAGGGCAAGGACGCCGAAGATGTTGAAGGCGAGTCCATAGTTCGGTTATTACAGCTACTGCTCCCGAGGCGCTCGGTTGGTGTTCCTTTCCCACGTCTCTCCTTTCAACGAAGGCTCTGGTAGGTTTTTTTTTGAATTTGTCGCTGCTATTGCAGGGGGAGTACAACAAGAAGAAGACTCTGGTAGTATCGTGTGTTACACTCAACCTAGCCAGCTGTCAAATTAGGTGGTGTCTCAATAAATACCAGCTTCCATGTTCTACAAGAGAAGAAGAAACATGATATCTAGATTCCCAATGAAACGACCGGCTCGAGAAGTTGCGACATCCTCACGAACGCTGTGAGGTGTCTGGCCTGGCCACCGAAATGACAACACTCTCCCCAATATCGATCACACCAAAGCCGCCTTCTTCGTGCCAGTCCCCACTTCGAGCCTGTATCAAGCGGTATTGCGGCTCAAAAGCCTCGTGGTCGCTGCCCGCCCATGTCGCAAAGTGCATTGCCAGAGAATGACGAGCACGAATATCCTTCGTGAGGAGGACGGCATCCTCAGGAGATGCATGGGTGGTAGCGAGGTGACTGTCGTCCGATAGCTGACAAGAGAAATGTCAGCCAAGATTGTAGGAAGAGCGCATCGAGGTTACCTTGTAGCCCCATGAGCTTACGAAACTCAGCGAAGCGCCACGCCAAATGGGTATCATAGCAAGGTCGAAAGGACCATATTTATCTCCGATTTCTGAGGAATGCCATCAATATGACACGAAGCTAATTATAAAGCCGTCAGATGCAAGGTCACCTTTGAATGCAGCTGCATTGAGGGAAAATGAGTAACCATGATACGTATCCGTGACAGAGACGTACGACATGGCCCTGCAGCGGTCTGGTACCCGGTATCTCTACCAAATGTCAAGCTCAGAACATGGAGAAGCTCACGTAAGTCAAACTCTCGTACCCAGCGTGATATACAGAAGCCATGAGGTCACTGTCCGGCGATTTTTGCTGCACAACCCAGCTAGACCAGAGGGTCCCTTTTTGATCAAACACGCCTCGCCCTGATGGTTTGCGGGCATAAATGTCAGAAGATAATAAAAGAGAAAGCGCTAACCACTCGTGTGCTGGCAGGGTGTACAGGCCAGCGTGACCTCTTGTCCACCTGCACATGGGTATGCGACTGAGTCCCACCAGTCTAGCTCCACAATCGCTGACTTGGGTATACCTGCAGACATAAGAAGAGACTTAAGACCAAGAGGGACTAAGAACTTGATAGGTCTATCCGCTTTTGATCTTTTCCAGAGGACGGAGAGTGCTTCAAGGTCACAGTGGTCATAGCTGATAAAGACGCGAAGTTAATTGGCATTCAGTGTAAAAAGAGGGAGCTCACTGGTTATGGCTCACGACAACAAAATCAATCTCGGGTAGTTGCGAAATGCTGCACGGTGGAGGCAGGCGCCTGGCTAGACCGTTCATGATATTTGACGGGTATGCATACTGGGCGAATATGGGATCAAAGATAACACGATGAGCCTTGCAGCCCTTGGCCGTAGGGAGCTGGACCAGGTAGCCCTAGAGAAAGACAGTAAGCGACGCAACAACTGAGGACGACAACCTGGGAAGACGACCGACTGCATGTCCGAGCCAAGTGGCGTGTAACGAATGCTCCATATCGCCAGAGGAGTACGCGGTGAAGTCAGCCGGGACTGTGACAGTGGGCTTGACGCGTTCATTGTCGGTAGCATCAACTCTAACGAGAGGAAGACTGAGGGATGATACAACTGCCCTGAGAGACTGGAGCGGTGTGCTGACAGGAGCCCATGGGTTGTCGAACGACGTCTTGCGGTCATTCTTGTGATGGGCGGGTAAGGGCGCCGGCATAGTAGATACACTTAGTGCAGTACTGTTGCTGGAGATGGTAGGTGAATGTAGGACGAGTAAGCGTACTTAAGGACCATGCTTGGTCTGGCGGGCCTTGGAGGGTTGTGCTCCACATTGCAGCTTAGTGTATTCAGTACGGCCCGATGGTGGTGCTGGTGAACCGTGTGGGGAAGCGTGACGTCGTAATTCTCGACCTCTCGTGGGAAAATGGCACCACTTTCCTTCTTCACTGCTCTCTGAGAGGATTAGATCGACTTGCATCTGGCTCCAAAGCCTACTATGTTATATTCAAGAATGCGATCAAATGGCAGCAAGTCTGATATACATGAAGCAATAAATTAAACAACAAGATCATCATGTTCAACGTTCTAGCACCAAGTTGGCCGAACTCAAGACTTGGACGTTGCAATTATGTCATGACACGTTATCACCTCAACATCAAGTACTGTATGAGGAGGGCGAAGGTCGGCCAACCCCCGGATTCCTGATGGGGATTTCAGTAACTCATTCGCACCAACGACATCCGAGCGTCTCTGTCACACATTGTATGACCCACGAACCTTACCTCACCAGCGCAGAAGGAACTCTTGTACCTGGCTTGAGCGGAGAGCGTACATCGTCTTTCATCGTTGGTCCTTGATATTGTATTTGTGCGTGCGACATCCCGAACGAAGCAAAAGACACGGCCAACTCCGCTGAGCTAGTCGCTTCGTGCTTCTTATGCACCCTATCGCGTGTGGGACTGGTAGACGTTACAGGACTGCGCTTCCCGTGCCCTGCTTGTAACCGCGCGAGGTACTTGTTTCGAGGACTGTCGGGATCTTCACTTTCGAACCCGACTGGAGCAGCGTTCTCATGCGGTCCTTCAGTTGCTTCAAGAAGAGCTCGGGGTTGCACGACGGATTTGGTTTCCTTGACGGGAGTGTGATTTGCTTGACAATGCGACGGACAGCGTAGTGTGATACTTGAATTACCCTCCTGTCTGTCAGCAAGCGAAGAATGGTGTGCATCATCCTGAGGTGGGGGTGTTTGTCTGGCCTTCTCCTTCCCTTTTCTACCCTGGTATTTACTCGAGGTCATCTCATCTTCGCCATCCGATGGATCGAGGTCGGTGATCGCGGCGGACGATGCTTCCTCCCTCCACTGAGAGACACGGCATCTAGGAGACTCCGTACTGACCGACGGGATTTGTTTGAGGCGTGGTTGGATGGAAGTACTGCTCCCGCTAGGCTGACGCAGGTTGCTGGGGCTTGTTGCTGTCCGATGTTTCTGCTCAAAGTCCTGGCTATCACCAAGCGTCCTAGATTTGCGCACAAGAGAACCTGAATGTGCTTCCCGCTCGGAGTGTAGCACCTCAGGCAGCGTGTGCGATCTTTCGATGGGACGAATGTTTGACGACCGCAATCGAGAGCGCTGCCTCGCAACTTCAAGAGGACTGGCATTCTGGAGTGTGAGAAGTTGCTCGGTCCTGGGAAGCGCACTCGAGGTCGAGGCACCTTCTGGAGTCCATTGCGAGTAAGAAGACTTGGTCACGGCGGTCGCTCGTGGCGATTGTGTCGTCTGGCTTGAACTGCTGCCACCCGGGTTAGAAGGCTCCCTTATAGTGACAAGAGTAGGAAAGGATGATCGAGAAGCGACTTCTTCCTGAGATTGGGGTATTGAAGGCCGTCGTGAGTGCTCACTCTGCAAGGCAGCCGAGCCAACAGAGGCGCGTTCATACACGGAAGATGGTCTTCCAACAGTGCTAGCACGGTCTGAGGCGACAACGATAGGTTCCAAGTCCTGACGAAAAAGACTGGGGGTTGTTGGCAATCTCGCCAACGACATTGACAACGGAGAGATTGTTGCGGCCTGGACCGGCGCCTGGCTGAGGTCAGGAATAGCTGCAATTCGTTTGACCTTGCCACGCGCACGAGCACCCTCGAAGACAATGTTTGCTTCTTCCATTGTATCAAAGCCCTGATATAAGGCTCCTGGAACGCGATATATCTGTTCTTGCGCTTCAATCCTGAAACCGCGACTCTACAACGCGTCTTGTAAATCCAAAGTAAAGGCGGTCACGTACCAGTTGAGATATATTCCGGGCTGCACTCCCCGAGTCACGACATAGACTTTCCTGGCCATCGTGTCTGGTATAAAAAAACAGGAACGTAGCTAGAAACGTCTATGTTGCCCTGTGGCGGTTGACCGACCGTTGGAGAAGGTCGGGGTCTAAAATATTGTGACTTTACTTATGACGGCGCCTTTTGTCGCTGGGCTGCCGATCAGGCGGATAGAGTTGTAGGGAAATGACCCTAGACTAAAGCACTCTGTACGGTGTTGCAAACCAAAACTTGTCACTAAGCATTACGATATTATGAGACCCGACTATATTACGACTGTAAGCTCTACTCGGAAAGACGGGTGATCCTCGACACCCCAGCCTACTATAACCAGCATCATAGTGACGGAAAGCCTGAGAACCGCAAACGCTAGGACGTTCACTAGCACTGCTCATACAGCTATATATCCCCTGTTCGACATGCGTCGTGGACGAACTGACGAGCACAGGTGAGAAACCACATCTTGTAACATGTAGGGAACTTCTCTCCAGAAGGTCCGGTGTCTGCGACAAAGTCAATTAGTCGAGCGACGGACAGGACACCCAGAACGAGCTCACGGTATGAGATCCAGGCCGCGAGCCCCATAGTTAGAGTAGTTGTAGTAGGCACCCACACCAAAGTACGCCAAGATCGCCAACAGTAACCTGATACCCATGATAAGGCGTGAGAGGCAGATAAAAGCAAAAAGGACGTACACCAAAAAGAACCAGCCTATTCCACTACCGACTTTCTCTGACGAGGGCGAGTCGGGATTAGGATCGGGTGTCTCGTCTTCGTTGTCGGGCTTGTCGTCCGCTGAGCGGCCGCAAGCAACTGTAGTATTCCATTCAACATGTACTTCACCGTTTTCATATGAGGAGAAGACAGGATCGGAGGTGCTATCTTTGTTGCAGATGAGACTGAAACGTAACGACTGTGGTGTTGGTGAAGACGCAGAAGCGGGGTAGGAAGCGCCATGGAATTTAAGAGAGACACCATCCGGCGCTGGGAGCAGTATCAGTTTTCACCACCAGTGAAAAGTTTGAACTCTATGGCAGTACTAGACGTACAAGAAATTGTGGAATAATCTGGGCGGAGGGAGGCCGTCTGAGCCACGGGAATGACCGCGACTATTCGATCCGAGTTGTCTCCTTTCCGATTCGTCTTTGTCAAACATGCTCGCGTGCCTGTTTCACACTAAAGAGAGGATAAGCAGAACGCAAGAAAGCATAAGTCGAGAGCACGCACCTGGTCTCCTTGAGGGACATCGTCCAGAGCTGGTAGCTCATCACACAAGTCAAATCGCAACGAGTCGAGCATCGTGCTCGGAGGTGTCTCTCTTTCTCGGGTCACCGACTTTGGGCCAGCAAGAGGTGTCATGTCATATTTCAGCGATCCTATTGAGAACTGGCAGCTAAACGAGTCTGCGTTGTTGTCATCCTGTATCGCGACGACTGCACTAGCCCAGATCAAGAAGAAAGAAAAGAGCGAGAGGGAGATGGGTGAAGACGTGGTGCGTACTGGCCTCCGGAGAGACATTGTGTAGTGAGAAAGAGGAAAAGATGGTGCCCCTGCGGACAGCGGAAACGGGTATTTCACGACAAAGTGATTCTGAGGCAGAGGCAACTTGCACAGCTCTCGTGGCACATCCGCTGACGTAAGACACGCGTGCGCGTCTCCTGGTGTGCCTTTCGATAACGCGCGTCGCTTGTGAAGGCCTTTGTGTAGATCTCTATCCGATTTATCCCTTTACTTTCGCCACCGATCATACAATGTCTGCAATGGACAACCTAGTATCCCACATTTATCATGAGAAGCAGCAAGAAGGCTCCATGCTTTGTGCTCAACACGCCCTCAACTCCCTGCTTCGTACGCTTGTCTGGTTATGCCTTTGCTGTATTACGCTGATCGTCAGGTAACAGAGGGCAACTATGTCTGTCGTTGAGGGTGGTCTGTTCAATGGAATACTGACACTTAACCTCTTCAGTTTTCTGCCCCTGACCTTTCGGATATTGCTCGGACGCTGGATTCGATGGAGCAAAGCTATGATCAGGACCGGGAGACTGGCAGCACAAACATGGACGACACCGGTGTGATATGGATCGCCGTTATATCTGATGGCTGAACTAAATCTATTACGACAGGCTTCTTCTCTATTCAAGTTCTAGAGCACGCTCTCAATGTTTGGGGCCTTAGGTGTGTCGGAGACATCCTATATTGTCACGCAGTTCTTAATCTTGCATTTAGTCTTGTTCGATGGAGATCGGAGGAGATGAGGCCCTATCAAGAGTTTCCTCAGTGAGTATATGCTTCTTTCCATCGTTTCCCATGTTCAATATTTTCATTTTTATAGCAACCGACTAGGCTTTGTGCTCAACCAAAATCAACATTGGTACACCTTGCGCAGGTTAGGTTCACCAGCCACAGACCCCACCAACGACACCGGTAACTCACACTGGTTCAACCTCAATTCCTTCGAATCAGCCCCACAGTGGGTCGGCAAGCTTTATTTGAGCATGTTCATACAGCAAGCCGAGAACGATGGTCAGCCACTTGCATGCGACCGATAGAAAATTGAGCTGACATGGTAAATACAGGGTACTCCGTCTTTGTGATAATTCCACTGGATCCTGCAGCGCCCTCAGCCCTACCACATTGCGTCGCGGACGATATCGCATCCACTATCCCGGAATCTGCGCTATCTTCATCATCATCTCGTTCTGCCGCAAGCACCAACGATCCTGGAGCAGTGGCTTCTCACAGCATGGAAGGTTTTGAAGACGAGGATATGGAGCTCCAGGCTGCCCTCCAAGCTTCCCTCGCCGGAGGATCAAGCACCTTCCCTCTGCCACTGACGGCTGGCTCATTCTCCCCAATACAGCCTCCTCAACTAGAGCAGTCCACTGCGCCAAGGGCGCCAACATCATCGTTGATACCACCTGGACAGGACCCATACGGTAACGCCGATGTTGATCCCGTGGCTGCATCCATGGCACGAAATCGGGCTATCATGAACCGTATGCGGGAGCAGCAAGAAATGGCACTAAGGGAACAGTATGAAGATGAAACTGCTCGCTTTCCTCTTGAGCCGCGCGCGCGGGGTTCTCAGGGACCACAATCCTCCGCAGATGAAGGCAACGAAGACGATATGCTACGTAGAGCCATGGAGGAGTCACTGGCTCACCATCAGCAGCAAGATGGTCAGGATGACGTCGAGCCTGAAGCTTCGGTGCCGCGAAGAGCTATGACGAACTCCTGGGGAGATCACGGTATAGAACGCGTCTACGATGACGACGATGCTGAATTTCAAGCTGCCCTCAAAGCTTCACTTGAAAACATGCCCGAAGGCTTTAACATCCCTGAAAACACAATTCCTACCCGGCCGCCTTCATCCTCAGAGGCTCCCTCTAATGCCACAACTGTGTCAAGCAGTATGAAACCGCAGGATAGCGACGGAGAGACCGAGTCAGACGCTGGTACTGCACGGACTGAATCAGAACAGCCAGAACCATCAGCAGAAGCCGTCGACATGGATGAGATGAGGCGCCGAAGACTTGCGCGCTTCGGTGGATAAGAAAGTAGTATTGGACGTAAATAGAACCATAATGATAATAATAAGATAGTGGCGTAATTCCACGCCATGTAGATTTCAAGACCTGCGAATAAAGTGAGCCAAATCTCGAGGTTGATGCATTGCGTATGACGTTGCTACGAGTTACATCGTTGCACTTGCATGTGCATCATGGCCGAATAACCATGTTAAATCTTTGAGAAGACGTATTGAATTTGAATCATATAAGGAAGTTCATATTTATCGTTGCCGCCTTAGGAATCAACCGCAATTTTGGCCGTCATCGTTTTGAATTTACAATGTCAAGGTAACTATAATGTACATGTTCAAGATCATAACGTTACATCATAAATGTCCACAAAAACTAAACTCAAGCGTTGTTGCGGTTGCCCATCCCCATGGTGTCCTTGGCCTTATCGAGCATAGAACCCTGCGGCCGAAATGTAAGCGAACGATCAGGTTCTAAACATTGTGGCAAACATACAGAGTTCTGGTTGGAGTTACCGCTGACAGTGTCAGTGGCCTGCTGGCCGTATGATTTCTGACCCTCGGGCTGAGCGGTCGAGGCAGCGGAGTCACCCATGCCCTTGGCTTTGTCACCAGCCTGCTCAGTCATGGACTTCTGAGAATCGGGCTGTAGTAACCATTTGAGCGTTTTAGGTTAAAGTAGAGGAGGACAAGAATACCTTAAGGTTAGACTGGGCCTTGTCGCCGGCAGATTGACGTCCGAAGTCGGTCATTGTGATAAAACTAGTTGGGTGGTGTGGTTTGGTGAAGTGGTAGTAGATACTGAGGTCGAGGGAGAAAATCGTCCTGCCTTTATACTGAGACCTCGTCTGGGGTATAGGAGCTTTCGTCTCGAATCGGTCGAGGAGTCCTCGAGGAAAGGTCGATGATGACGGTAACAATGACGAGGCTTCTCCCTGGATTCGGCAAATCACAGGTCAATCCCTGTCCATCCGCCTCTCGGATTCAGTGGTAAATTCGTGCATGCTCCGCTCGGGACTGGATCGGGCACTGAACCCCAGCCCCTGCGTCACCGCAGTCCGAAGCCTAGGTTTACTCCACCGAAGAATTGTCGGTCGGTCAGCGACCCCTTCGTATGACCTAGTTGCAAGTCAGACGGTCAGTTTGTTTCGGCACGTCAAGAACTCCGAAACCGAGGCGTCAGCTGGGGCTGTCATGATGCATCTGCAGACTAGACAAACGAGCAAAGGGTAAGCAAGGGTGTGTAAATACCGTTATGAACAATGGATGTAAGACAATACATGCCTGCGGATCCTGAACAATAAAGGGAGTACATACACGTAACTGCTAAATAAAACATAATGTGGTGGAAGATATTAATCATAATGGTCACTGTCCTTGTCGCCTTGAGCCTGACTCCTCCACTGGCTCGAGAGGGGGGTTGTCTGCGCCTTCACCGGGGGTATCAAGTGATCGCTGGTTGCGTTGATGTCGTCGTCTCGCGAAACGCAGATAGCGCGAGAAACGATTGCCTTGTGACATTGTCCGACTTCGTCTTTGTACGGCTGGATCGTCTTGCTCGAAGCCGGACTCCGAAAGCATAGCTTCAAGAGCATGAAAATCTAATCACATGACTTAGCATCGTACATCTTCTGTAGTCAAACTTGACCTATGAGACACGCACCGTGTCGACAGATTGGACATGACCCAGAAAGCTCCAGAAGCCAAGGGTCAACGCAGGTCTGATGGAACCGGTGCTTCCCTTCGCATGGCAGCACTCGTAGGTCGTCGCCGGCTTCAAAATCCACAATGCAGATAGGGCATGTTTCTCGACCAATCTGATCAGGCATCACGTCAGACTGTGACCGGTCAAGCCCAGTGCTAGCTGAAGGCCGAGGCTGGGGGTACCCAAGCTCCTGGGTTTCTCCTGACGCGGTCGATCCACCAGCTCCAAATGGTCTGTGGCGTCCAACCGGAGGCGGCACCTCTGAGCTTGGAATGGCTAGCATCTCCATCCTGTCTCCAGGTTCCGGCGCATTATGAGTAGTCTCTATGTCCTTAGGAATAGTTGCACTATGGTCATTTGGGGGATGACCAAACTTGACGATAGGGAACGTGTCCAGTATCGCCCGGCCAAGACCCTGAGCACGACTCTGGCCAACAATTACGCCTCCATGGTGGGCAGTCATGGAACCGTACCTTTCCGGATGGCGCACCGCTCTAATAGCCTACCATCGATATGAGCAAACGTTCCAAACGGACAAAATATGTGCCTACCCCAGAGATAATGACGATGCAAAACAAGGCTGATACCAGACCAGTTATAGCATACAGGATAATCCTAAGATTCAAACCATTACATTAGTCTCGCGCAAGGACCGAATGCCGAATTGTTTTCAAGACAAACATTGCAAGCCCCGTTGATTTGTGGCTACCAGAATTGCCAGAGCTGACAGTTCCAGAGCCGTTGTTGGATCCACCTGCAGTGGATCCAGTCGCGTTGTATGCGATGAGGGATCCGTACAGCCATCCCGGTTTTTCGGGACTCCCGTTGTTGAGAGACTGGTTGACGTCGGCGAACGATTGGTTTAAGCGTGTCGCGTTGAAATAGCCATAGTAGCTCTCGTTTCCGGGTCCAAACTCACCGAACTCATACTCGATGAAACTGCGCAAGACAATCGATCAGGCCGACCAGCCCACGTCCAGGGCCAATACGTACTGAGACACTTTTTCGCTTTGCGTAGCAAAGATGTCGAAGACTTGATCGAAGTTTTCGGGGTCGGCATACTCAGAGTTGATAATGCATTGCTCTGAGAAGTTAGAGTACAACAGCTGGCCGACATGTTAATTAGCTAATGAGCCTTCAAGATGATGCCCTTACAGCTGAAACTGCACCCCGGTCTCGAGCAAGGGTGAAGATGTCATCCTCCATCGATGCATTGGTTGCATTAGCATCGCAAGCAATAAGAGCTATCCATGGTGTGATAGCTGTACAGTAATGAGTGTGTGCATATGAGCGTTGTGTCAAGGAGTTCCCTTACTTGTCGAATTGAAGGCGTAATCCTCCGAGAAGTGCACCAACACGCCCTGTAATACTTAGGATACACGACACATTGGCTTGCATGAAAGAAATCACCTGGCTGACACCATTGCTGTTGTTTCCAACTAGTTGATACGAAACGTACTCCCAATCCGAGCTATGGGCATGGCATAAAGATCACGAGTAAGGCCTATCATACAACAACGCGGACAAGTGTCCTCGCACCCGTTCTGGTACCACTGGAGGTGCAGCCTTGATGAACCGTTCGCGTCCGGGCCCCGCTGGGTATCAGGGCTTGTGTCGTTTGTGGGTGTTGCCGGGATATAAGCGTTGACAATGCCAATGCTGCCAAGGAGGGCCGCGAAGAGAACACCGATCAGACAACACCTGGCTGCGATTGCCATGGCCGAAAGTAGAGGATATATGATAGGCCGGCGAGCTGGTGCTCAGACTATAGAGTGTGGAGACGGCTGGGCGCACATTCGATGATGGGCTGAGAGAGAGAAGCGTATTACCCGTGAGTAGGACACGCGCCACTCAGAAATAGCAGCACGCCGGTTGAACGTTGAGACTTGCCAGGACTGCATTTGGCGCGCAATGAAATCATTTTGATTGCCAAGGATTTGCATCCTCGGCTAATAAGATACGGGCCCCTCAGCAGTAGCTAGCAGCAACGGGTTGAATGCGAAAAGCATCGACGAATGACCATGCTTTCGTATAATCAGCATCGTATTGACCTGGTACCAGTAGTGCATAACTAGTCGACTAAAGTATCCTACAGTATCCTACGCAGAAGTACTGGTGCAAACGGAGGCGTCGAATGCACGGTGACGTCTCCCAATAAAAGGCCCGCGGCGGCTGCCGTCCAGACTCTTTGGATAATAGAGCGCTCTGAGTTCAGTATGTCCATGTGTTTCTGAGAGAAATTACAACACGATTGTGAGGGTCTACTTATACAAATTATCCATCTCAAATCAGGACAGTCAGTTACCCTCAGCAACGACCTCCTTCACCGACTCAGCGAAGATGTCGATGCCCTTCTTCAGGTCCTCTTGCGAGATGTTGAGGGGCGGGATGAACCGCACCACTTCATATACAGACGTGGTCAGGATCAACATGCCCTTCTCAATGCATTTCTTAGCAACCCGTGCAGCCATGCCCTTTGGAGCAGACGGCTGCAGAGCAACATCGTACTTGTTGTACGACGACGAAGCGAACTCAACGCCAACCATCAGACCCTGGCCACGAACATCGACAATGGTCGACTTGATGGCAGGGTCCTCGCTCAGCTTATTGAGTGCCGAGAAAAGTTCCTCAGAGCTGGGAGTGAGATAAATTTGGTTAGAAGGGTAGGTCAAGCAACGTATATTGTTACTAACCGAGCATTGACGTTCGCTAGAATGTTCTCCTCCTTGAAAGCTTGAGCAACAGCAATACCAGCGGCACAGGAAACCGCATTCCCTGCATAGGTCCCACCCTTTATTGTCTCCCTTTAGCACAGAAGCAAGAACTAGCGAGAACATTTTACCATAGAACCAGGCTTGAGCATGTCAGTAAGCTCTTTGCGGCTAACAACGGCGCTGAGTGGGAAACCGTTGGCCAGACCCTATAATACCTATAAGCACCTGCGAGACCCTGACGAACTCGACAAAAACCTTGGCCATGAGCATCATGTCCGGGCGAACACCGCTGTACTCGATGTTGAAGACCCTGCCGGTCCGACCAAAGCCGCTTTGAACCTCATCGACGATCAGGAGTATGTCATGCTTGTCGCAGATCTCCCGCAGGCCGCGAAGGAACGCGTGAGGTGCAGGGACATATCCACCTTCCCCGATGACAGGCTCGATAATTATGGCAGCGGTATCCTTGGGCGCGGTTTGCTGTTGAAGGACAAGTTCAAGCTGATAAAGCGAGAGGCGAACTAGCTCCTCCTCGCTCGTGTCTTTCGGCACACCGAGCTGGTGCCAATATGGGAATGCCGTGCCATAGACACCGGGCTGCGGGACCCAATTTGTTATACGTGAACGTTGCTAAATGACCATTGTGGTACACACGCACCATCAACGGCATGAAGCCTTCACTGTATGCCGTCTTGCTCTTGGTAACCGCCATAGCTCCATATGTACGGCCGTGATAGGCGCCTTGAAAATAAGGAAGCCACGCAAGCGTGAATAGTCTTGTTGTCGAGTTGCAAGATGTTGATGGAACGATTACGTACCCTGCATTGAAATGATGTTCTGTTTCCCAGTGATGAACCGGGCCATCTTAATTGACGCCTCAACGGCCTCTGAGCCAGAGTTCCATAAGAAAAACGAGTCAAGAGACGGATCGGGCATCATGGGCAGGAGCTTCTCAATCAAGCGAAGGTACGTCGAGTGGAAAGAGATGCTGCACTAGAATACAAGAGATGAAGATTAGCATGGAAGTGTATTGTGGCGTTATAAAAACGTACTTGACTGTGGACCAGATTCATGCACTGGTCTGCGGCTGCTTGGCTGACCTTGGGATGACAGTGACCTACGTGTTTACATACGTCAGAAAGCAAAAAGAACTGATACACTGAGATACTGACCAAGGTTCGTCACGCCGATACCACAGCTGAAATCAAGCATGCGATGTCCATCTTCAAATTGCACATAGGAGCCTTCGCCCTTGGTCATGACCCGGTCGGTGAGGCGGCCGACGCCTTTAGTTACATGGCGTTGACCGAAGGCGGGGAGCTGGTCGGACGAAGTGGCCATGCATCTTGCACCTGCCAAGCGCGAAGCACTGCAAGAGACACCGAGCGGCGGCCTTCCATGGTGAGCGATGACCGACAAAGTGTAAAAGGCAATCTATGACGTACGGTGCGGGGATATGACGAACGCAAGTACGGAGCGACGATTTCGCAAGAGACGACATGTCTGAAAGCTAGGGGACTCTACCAGAGAGGTTTCTTTGTATCCAGACGATCCGGGGCAGGAAGTCCAGTGAACGAGGGGCCAAAACAGCCAACAGCAAGAGGATATATACTCCACACTTTCGATCACAAGTGACGTCCACGAGCCAAACTCTCTTGCCGAAACGACGTGGGAACCTCATAAGCGAGCCTCTTTCCCATTAGCCGGTGCCTCTCGGTCCCTTTAGGCGAGCCGTATCAGATTGGGCCCTACATCATGGGAAGCAAACACAACGTCAACGTGCGGACAGTGTATACAACTTGATCTCTTTTCAATATCTGTTACCGCTTGTGCCTTGTCGGACAACTCCCTATCGTGACAATCATCTACCAAGCTAAGCGAGGGCGCAAGAAACTATGATGTCCGTAGTATGCGACAGTAACTTGCCGAGCCCGCACTCGTGTCGACTCCTCAGAGCAGCACACCAAGCGGGGCGAGGCCATCAAAACCACTGTACTTGTCGTATACCAGCTGTCCTCGGAGATATGTTTGCTGCACGACCCCAAAAAGTGTCATGCCCTCATATGCAGATAGCTTGTTTTTGAAAGCAAGAAGAGCCGCCCGGACCTGATCGGTGAAAGTCATTCTCCGTTCTACCATTGAGCTTAATATTTAGCCGGGAGCCTACCTTGAACTGTTCCTCGGAGTCCCATATGACAAAGTCTCCATCATAACCGACCTTGAGTTGACCTTTCGATGCTGAAAGCCCAGCATGTTCTGCCGTCTTCACACAGGTCCACCGAATGATTTGCGCCAGTGAAACCCCGTGTTTTCGTCCCTCAGTCCACAGCAAGCTTAGGCCCAATCCCAAGCTATTGATCCCTCCCCAAGCACCCATGATGTCTCCCGTGTCAAGTTTCTTGAGTTCAGTGACGCATGGACTGTGATCAGACACGACGCAATCGATTACACCGTCGAGAAGGGCTTGCCAGATCAGGTCTCGGTTATTTCGGTCACGAACCGGGGGACAGCACTTGAACTCTGGATGGCCATTAGGAATGTCGTCAGAGGAGAGACAAAGATAGTGAAAGCAAGTTTCCACAGTCAGTTGGAGCCCCTTAGCCTTCGCTGCCCTGATCAACGGGAGGGCCGAAGCTGCCGATAGGTGGACGATGTGACAGCGTAGAGATGGGTATGATTCTTGAAGGCGCGTGATGAGGGCAATGGCGTTGGTCTCCAGCTCCTGGGGCCTCGAGTTCAAAAAGGTTGCATAGGCTGTGTTACTTCCGTTCTCTGCGGGTGATTCAGAAGCGGTCTCGAGCTCAGCGTGGAATAGGAGTGTCGTGCGTTCGCCCTTGAAAGCAGCACAATGTAAGCAGGTGGTCTGTGTGCACCAAATCGAGACATACTTGAAGCTCCTTCATGTGTCCGTGTAAGTCTGATTCATTCACACAAGGAAATTCCTTCACCGTTATCAGCATCTGAGGATAGCTGAGTACAAAAGTGTGGCACCTCAACACCGCTTTCAATCAAGAAACACTTGAAGCCTTTTACGCCAGCTGCCACGAGGGGCTTTAAGCTTTCCTAGATAACATGAGGCTCTAATGAGATGTATTCAGCCAATAAAATGATGATTATATTCACCTGATTGCCTGGGATTACACCTCCCCAAAAAGCGACATCACTCCAACACTGACCCTTTGCAGTGTCCCTTTTGATCTGCAGATGTTCCACAGTTGTTGTGGGCGGAATGGAGTTCAGGGGCATGTCAACGACCGTAGTCACACCACCCGAGACTGCAGCGCGAGTCCCGGTCCAGAACCCTTCCCACTCTGTTCGACCAGGTTCGTTGAGGTGAACATGAGCACTGTGAGATCATAATTATTAGCTTCCAGGGGACAAGCAATAACAGGATCGCTCACTCCACGAGCCCGGGAAGGACTAGCTTATCGCCAGCATCAATATGACGACAAGAGGATGCTGACCCGTTGGGTTCATACTGATGACGGATCTCAGAGATTTTGCCAGATGTCTCGTCAATCACGATGGTGGCAGCAGTTGGCCGATCTAAGTCAGGGAGAAGTACGCGTCTTCCAGTCACCAACAGCGAATTAGTGGACATCACGGGCACGAGTGATTTATCTGGAATAATGCTGTGGTGTACCATGAATAACAGTCAATGTTAATGGCTATGGAAAAGTACGTGAAGGAGGACTGACTGTGAACAAGTTCAGAGAAAAGTGACAGAACAACTGCTATCTAGGTACGTGATAGGCCGGGGATGCCATGATTGAGTTCACCAATTTCTGGGTCCGTGACGCGCATTTGAGCGGGATATCACAATGTCAAGCCTCCGTCAATTTGAGTCAGCGCGCCGCAGATAAAGCTTAAAGCTCCAGCCTGAATTCATGGGCCGAGCATGATGCATGAGGCCAGCCATTCGCAAGTATATGTTGCCTGGCATCGCATTTGGAGGGATTGTCAAGTTCATAAGAGAAAGGGAGTACTTTGCTTGTTGTATTTGTTGAATATATGCCACGTGGGGAAAACCAACACGATCATGAGCGCTTATTGACATTCCTGCCCCATCGTATCGCGTCCGAGCAAGCACGTTTGCTTGCCGAACCCCGTCCTCTTATGAAGTTTTCAATCTGACACCACCAGCCACGCCTAGCTCACGAAAATGTCACAAGACGGCCATGAAACCGCGGAAGCCATCCAGGATGCGAAGGATGCGAGCCCAAGCGTCACCGTAAGCACCGAGCCCTTGTCGGCAAACTTAGACGTCGCAGAGCCCGAGGCAGTCACTTCGCCCCTCGATTCCTTACTGTCCCCGAAGATACCCTCCTTCCCCGAAAATCAACCTGCAGAATCGATCAGGGACTCGACCAACGAATCCACATTCACCGACGATGACTTACGCTTCTCGACTGTCACCCTCTCTAGGCGCTCAAGCACCAGGTCACTTGTCATCACATCGCCGCCACCTCAGAGCCCTGAGGTCGATCGCGCCGTGTCGCAGGCATCAATACCAAGACGGAGTATACCAAAGCACCCCACACACAAGAAGTCAGCATCAGCCGCGACGGTCAATATCCAGACGCCAGAACTGTCTTCGTCCGTGTTTGATCAGGTCGGTGTCGTTCAGCGATACCAGGACGAGCACGATGTCGATAAGCTACGCGCCAACACAGAAGGTCAGAATCAGATACGCGTAGAATTCGAGCGTCTACACAGGGAGAGGCGGAAGACGACGGATTCTGGACGCGACTTGGCAGTCGACTGGGGTAAGTCGTCTACCTTGCTCTGGACTTGCACACGAATGCTGACCACTGATCATAAGACTTCTGGGGAGAGGTCATATCAGGTATGAGCCTGAATGTTTCTGTATTGTATATTATTTCTCAATGGGTGCAGATTATCAGGCATTTGCGGCTTCAAAGCCTGTACAGTTGGCGAAATCGATTGAGATGGGCATACCCGCCACTCTACGTGGCATGATGTGGCAGTTAATGTAGCCAATAGCGCCCTCTAAGAACTGGCTCCTCGTCACTTACATATGAGCTAGGGCAGGATCGAAAGATGCAAAACTCGAGGCGACTTACTTGGGTTTATTGAAGGAGAGAAGTCCACATGAGAAGGCCATCACGCGAGACTTGGGGCGTACATTCCCTCACCATGAGTTTTTCACCGATGGACAAGGCATCGGCCAAGAGAACCTGTTCAACGTTCTCAAAGCATACTCACTGTCAGTAATGGTGCAACTGGCCGTTTTGTTCCATATTCTTAAATAACCTCAGGTACGACCCTCAAGTTGGCTACTGTCAAGGCCTCCCATTTATCGTCGCCATCCTGCTGCTTAACGTACGTGATGTTGGATCTACTTCCCCTTCCTCTCACCCTCCATGGATTACAGATGCCGGATGAAGAGGCATTCTCCTTACTCGTCAGGTTCATGCAATCCTATAATCTACGAGGACACTTCTTACCTGAGATGCCCACACTCCAATTACGGCTAGTAAGCAGCTTTAGAACATAAAGTTTCCAGTTAGCACTAACATCCAGTAGTATCAGGTATTACATTCAACTTACTTCAAGTGTCTACCCAGACTTTCACCCAGTTTGACCGTCTCATAGAAGATATCCTTCCTGCACTACACCTGCACTTTCTCCGTCAGGGCATTAAGTCCAGCATGTACTGCTCGCAGTGGTTCTTGACGCTATTTAGCTATCGGTGCCTCTTTCTTCCGCCTGTGTTTAGTCCAAGGCTCATGTTCCTGTCGCAAGCTTCCCTCTAGATGTTGTCTTTCGGATATATGACAATTGCCTCGCGAGTGGCATCGACGCTATCTTTGCCTTCGGCATCGTTCTTCTGCAGAAGAATGAGGATGCTCTCCTTGCGCTGAAGTTTGATGACATATTGGCCTTCCTCAAAAACCGGGTCTTTGATCAATACCAGGTGCGCGTGCACTCTACGGTACAATATTGCGAAGGGTGAACTCCCATACCGCTAGCTGGAGTCGGGCGAGGCACACGATGACGCTCACAAGGCTACATACAATGCGGACGCGTTTGTCACGGATGCCATTTCACTGAAGATCACGCCATTCATGCTTCAGGCGTACGCACACGAGTACGAGGATTTGGTTCGGACACGCGATGCGCATGCAACCGAAATGGATGGATTACGGAACCAAAACCGCACGTTGATGGCTCACGTGTAAGTCACTGATTGTATGCAACAACTCCCAATGCCTATTGCTTGCCATCGCAGGAAACAGCTAGACGATGATCTCGCACAACTCAACTCGGAACATGTTGAAGTTCTTGTACGCCGATCAATCTTCTCGGGTACTCATCCTTCTTTAACCTTCATGCAGAACCAACTGGTTATGGCACGGCTCAAAAATGAAGAAATGGAAGAGGAGCTCGTCCGCTATAAGCTATTGTGAGCAACGCAATACTTCCTAAAGAATTCTTTAACCGTGAACTTCTGGATTGAAGGTACGCGGAAGCAATGCATGAAAGTGCAGACGCCATGTCGTCGCATCGCCTCTCATCCCCAATGCCCCAGATTAATAAAAGGACGTCATGATCGCTGATCGCTCTCTTTTTCCTTCAATCCACAACAATCCCGCTAGCGAATGTTCGTCATGCGCATGCATGATTATATATGTGAGACGCTAAAGACTACATGATTGCGTACACGTGCAAGGCTGTATAATACATTGAATACCAATAGTCTGCCGATCTGTTTATTTCTGCAGCCCAGAAACAAGTTGGATCTGCGCCAACAATTAATCAGCTGAGCATGGTGAAGAGTCAAGCTTAACATACTTCCTCTTTGGTAATGGTTCTGAGCTGGCCCGGGGATGTAGCCTTGCCCACTGCAGCGCTGGCAGCAACCTGGGCAGTGCGAAGAACCGAGGAGCTATTGGCGACCCAATAGCGAATTTCGTCTGGGATAACTTCAATGATGGAAACACGGGGATCGTTTGAATCGCCGGTGTGGACACCATCCTTAAGATCACCGAAGTAGGCAGTGAGCCTGCGGCATAGTTAGCGACTTTATGTCAACAAGAGTTTTGTGTCGAAAATTCATACATCGAAGACCAATGCTTCTTGACCAAATCCCTGTCCTGTGAGAGTCTTGCCTTGCCCGAGAACGAGGCCCAGTCGGTGGAAGAGGGATCGCAGAAACTAACGTTCACGTGGGAGTCGTTCTGAATCTCCGGAAACTTGTGGGATGCATTGTTGGCGATGAAGAGCAGCGTGACTTGGTTTTCGCTTGTGGCTGCGAGTATTATAAGCCACATCAACATGACTACATGCAAGAAAAGACATACGAGCACAAGGGATCATGGCACGGGAATGTAGGTTCCCGTCGACGTCACGGGAAGTAAGCATACCAGTTTTAGCTTCCTTCACGACGCCTTGAAGGTCTATTCAAGTGGATTAATTGAGCATACCACTGACATCCGAGTCAGAACCTACCAGTTATCTTCTGTTGAGGGCCTATGTCGGTGTTCTCTGCGATGCGGGAGTAAGTGTCGAGCTCTGGGTTGGCCATGTTGATTATATTGGTTGACGGTGATGACAATGATGAAGAGGAGTGAAGAGGGCGCTAAGTATTGGGTCGAGATGCCAGTGCTCTGCTCGTCCCGACGTTCTTATACAGTTGGTGGCTTGGTTCTCTCTGGTGACGTCGAGTTCAGGAGACTGTGACGTCAACCACTACTCCTAGAGATTCCTTAACAGGGACTCCACCGCCTCGATCATGATGCATTCCATTTACATGAGATCGGCGTTCGGGAACATTCGTCTACAGACATCGTGTATCGTCTTGGGTTTGACGTTCTGAAATGTAAGCATATTATACAACATTCAACGATACATACTGTACGAGTCCTTCAAGTAAAGACATCCAACATCCGCTCAAGTACGTCTATCCGTTGGTAGTTGGTTTCTGTGCTTTGGAGTCTCTCCTAATGCTCATGGGGATCACGCTGCAGATGACTCTGGGGGCACCTCATTTGCTTCCCATGTCCCCGGGACCAGTGCGATAGGAAGAAGCCACGTCGCCGTAAGGACCACACCAAAACCTATCATTCAACAGAAAACAACCTCGTCAGCTCTCACTAATACTATGGTAAGTAGAATGTGCGTCCTCACCTTTGTCAAAGGCCTTAATCTTGGACCAGCTCCAAGCGACAAAGCCACCCAAGTAGCCAAGGTAGGGCGCAAGGCGCCGCAAAATGGACACCGCAGGGTGGAACTGGGGTGGGATGATCGCCATTGGGATGTGGTCAATGAGCCACTGGAGGGCAGAAGTAATGAGCGCCGCTCGTTTCGCCGCCTCTAACTGTTTATTATTGAGAATGTCGAGTACCGGAGGGGGGAGGTAGCTGCAACACATTGTCTAAGTTGCATGGTCTCGGAACTTTGTGATATTGAACGTACATTCTGAAGCCCCACCATGTCGCCTCCAATGACACCCTGGTCGTCGAAGGTATCCACACACGATACTCACTAGGCTTAGGCTGTGGTAAAGATGTATGTGGAGCATTTGTTTTCTCATTTGTAGCATCCGCCGACGGCGCCTTCTGGGGAACAATTTCCGTGCGAGATCTGGAGTGGGCTGGCCTCACCGTACGAGACCTAGATGGCGTTGAGGACCTTTCTGTCCTGGAATTGGAATGCCCTGATGACGCATCTGACCTTGACCTAGCTAAAGGCGATGATGGTATTGATCTAGGCTTGGATCCCGGCCCAATGGTGGATGAACTGGGCGTTTCTTTGCCCTTCCGTGATCGAGCTCGCGCAAGCGCTTCGCCTTTGAGCTTCTTCAGGTACATAGCGTACGCAAAGTTCTCCGGCCTGCGTGACTTTTCGCCGTTCTTATCAATAGAGACAATCTCAGACTGCGCGACTTCGACTTCAGAGCTTGCGTCTGGCTCAAGCGGCGCCGTAAACATGACCGAGGAGTTGTCATCGATGTCTTCAAGCCCGCTTTCGAGAGGCGGAGCAGGTGACCCATCTGTCTTGGTGGGTGGGGCTGCTACCTTTTTCGACGGTTGCCGAAGACGTTCAAGTACTTCCCAGACAGATTGACGGCCTCTCTCCAGCGATCCGTTCATCACACTCGCAGAAGAGAGGAATGCAATGAACCGCGAATCTTCTGCTGATGGTGCAACTGAGGTAGCTGGGGTAAAAGTGCCCTGCTCACTAGCCTCGACGGTAAATGGTAACGAAGGTTCAGAAGATGAGGCTACAGACGGAGCGGTGGGCTGGGGTGTGTCAGGTTCAGCAGGGTTAGTCACTGTAGGTGGTGATCGAGGTGTAAGAGAGAAAGATGAGGCCGCGGCTGGCAGTAAACCGATCATCGCCTGAATCCTACGGGCAAGCGTCTCGGGTTCAAGAGTTTCGGGATCAGACTCGTTTCCTGGTGTGATGGTTCCGTTATCAGGTGGGGTGTTAGGCACGCCTGCACCCGGGGCGGGAAGATCCTGAGGCTCATTAATCGTCACCGATCCGGTAGTAGGCACGACATCGTCGTTCGCAAACCACGAAGGAGGAGGGAAAATGACTTTCTCCTCCCTACCATTGCGAGCTAATCTCAGGAACCGGTTAACAGCGGAAAGCTTTGCCTTGGGTATGGCGGGAGGAGCTTGGGCTATGGCTGTAGATGACGATGCTTCCGTAGTTGCTTCTGCTTTGCTCGAAGATCTCGACAGGCGAGGCAGAAGAGAGGACGAGGATGGCTGTATCTCGGTTGTATCAGTAGACATGGTGGCAGTCGACGTCTTGTTTGTTTGCTCGTCAGTGACATCAGCTCATTGGTAAATTGGGGTGATCAGTGGCTGTGCAAAGAAAGGATTGCTCACTAAACAACGAAATTCTAAACCTTTGCTTCTATCATACCTTTATGACGGGGACTGATAGCGCCACACTGAATAGCCACAGCCTAACACGGAGCCCAGAGACGACCATAAACGGGACTTCTAGAATAGAAATATTATAAAATGAACAAGAAATGATATTCTTGGGCAAGTGTTTTTATGACCCGCGGTGAAGGACGTGGCATGTGAAGTAACATGTGCACCGTATTTCTTTGAACGATACCCCTACTATATATTGATGCATAGCATCCAATCTAGCGAATACGGATCTGTGATAAATTATGATAAATTGGTTAGGCGCAACGCATACCGTGGTCGCTGGCTCCTAGTACTATTCAAGAGGAAGCAGCAGGGCGCTGACAATCCTCACAGCTAGTAAAGGCATCATAGCCGAGAATAGCCATATTCGAGAGCAACGGCGTTGTTTGTTTCTTAAACTATGTCTTATAGTAAGAATGGTTAGGTCCAATGCATCTCGCTGTCGCAGCGATTCTGAAGTTGACTGGTGACACCGTATGTCTAAAAACAATATATCGTGCCATCAGATTGCTCATGAGTCATAAGCTGATCAAACGTACTCATACAAATCCTGAACTTGTGCACCTTCCATGACCACGACGTCACCCTAAGATAGTTGAGTGCTGTGTAATGGGAAAAGGTGATTTACCTACATGTCGCAATGTTAATGTTAAATCTATCTGTGATGACCGTTTCTCTCTCTGTTGGCTGTTCTTCATACGGAAGTGCATGTATGCCATTGAGCCTAGGGAAAGGGAAGCTACAACAGGACCTAAGCCTATCTCGCTGTCACTGTGAAACTTCTCGAGAAATTGGTATCGGTACATATGACACTGGTTTCCCACTCACAGACATCTTCTGACTCTCCATATACGCGGCTGTCAGAATTTCGTTGAAAGGCACTTCGCAACCCAGAGCTTTTTGCGTGCGTTCCTTGATTATAGCAAGAGCCGCTATAACACTCTTGCTGGCTTTGTCGAATGGGACGGTCTGGCCCGTTCCGCTCACGTACTGAAATACATCAGCAAGTAGGCGAGAAACGAAATGGGATCAAATACTTGATAAGGCTCTCCCGCTAAAACGGTAAGAATTAGTTGAGCATTCAAGATCCATAACGTATATGTCGAAGCGTACAGTTTTGAGAGAAGTAGTTTGTAAGCATTGGTCCGCGCACTGTGTGGCATTATTTTAAAGAGAACGAGGCATGAAGCATGAACGACCATACGTCTGTGCTAGTGCAAGTCAGATAATAGTTACAGAAAAAATGATCGATGGTGCAAAGGCTCACGGTTCTCAACGCATAACGTCGTAACTCAAGGCCGCCAGATTTGGCTTCTTCTTGATACAACCTGAATGCTTCATTGGCCCTACTATTTGCTCGAGGATTACCAAGGACGAGATGGATCTTCCCTCTAAAACCGAGTTTACGAAGTTGTATTGGAAGTGGAAGGACCAGGCTATTACCTATTCATCGGAAGGACATATGTGAGTCGGTGTATCGCTTCATCCCTGCCGTCGATTGTACTGTGAATTATAGCCGGGCGTTCGCTACGAATGCCTGTGCAGTATACGTATAAGAGTGTTGTCGAAACAGACGTGAACAATTTGACCTGAATATCGCCCAATTTCCGCGTGCATTATGGGCCTGGAAGGTCTTTGCAACCAGAACTCGTGGGGAGCCATGGATCGGTCCTCAACTTGATGTTCTTTCTGTTCAATTGTTCAGACCTACCTTAGTAAAGGTTTCGTGAACACGTGCTCACATTACAATGGGGACATTTCCAGCACTTCCAGTCTGATCTGCAGGCCAATCTTCCACAACCTTTACAGTGCCAACCCTTGCTGAACGGTAGTCCAGTTGCAATGCCATCAGGTGCTTCCGATATCAAGGATGGCTTGAGATTTGCTAGTGATATATTCGGGTGTGTTGGGGAAATGAGTTGGAGAAACGACTCGCTGTAGTCGAGGATGGTAGGGGACCCGCCGTGTTTCAACGTCCAAAATGCACCACAGCAAGGATTTAGACATATCCACCCCTGTTTATAGACGGATGGGCTGGTTTTCATACAATCGATGCACAGTTCCTCATCCCGAAAGCGAAACCTCCTGAAGGCATTCGTTCTCAGTGATACCTCATCTCCTTGATATTAGATGCACATACTTGCCGGGACTAACGATAGTAGAGCTAGGTTTCTCATTGTGATGCAGGAAGTTGCTGACAGAGTTCGTTGCACCAGCCTCTATTAGGAGATAGTCAGTACAAAGTTCTGTCGTTCAGATCAGATCCTTAGCAGGATGGTCAGAACTCACCATCAGCATAGGGACTGGATGTCCACCATGGGTCACCTTGCTCTTCGCACCACTGAAACGCAAACTTCCAGCGAACGACGCTTTGATTGTCGGTGGAGGGCGCCTCATACTCCGCTGCTCAAGGTTAGTCTTTCAAAGTAAGGTAACTGGGCATTATACACACCCCAGGCATATGGAATCCAGAAGAAACCGAGGACAATGTAAGGGTAAACGGAGCCAGGAGTAGATAAGTCGTATGGAAACTTGTCGTACTTGTCATCTGCTAACAAAACAAGAGGTCTGCTTTCTTCGTAATTTCTCATCAGCGCTCGCACAGATCTGTCGGTAATCTTTTGGTCGCCTGCGAGCTGGTGGCGGGCGCCGACCCGAGACTGAAGGACGCTTTCTGACTTTCCACCCCTGGGCATGGGTGAATGAGTGCGTCACATGCAAGAGTCTGCATCTCACACACCCATGAGATACAATGAATCTTCCTCCTAAATGGAAAATATCTCGCCTGTGGATATAGACTCAGCACAGAGTATAACATGTGACAGCATACGTACTCCGAGCCAAAGGCACTGAGAAGATAACCTTTGACAAGGCCATCCGAACTGTAAACACCGCTCTGATAGCTACGAAAATAGTCCAGTGTTTCACAGATTTCTTGGCGTGACTGTGATTGACTGTAAGGACGGTTGCAAGGTCATAAGTAAAGAATCTTACCGTAGCCCAGATGGGCGGCTCGCGAGACAGAGGCGGCCTTTGAGGCGCTTTAAAGCTAAGTCTGTTCTCTGAGCGTTTACGGATGGCGCTCGCAACAGAAGATAGTCGCTGTCGTTTCGAGCGTGTCGGTTTGCTATGCAAGGTAAAAGAAGCGCTTGTTTCCTCTGTCTTGACCGTCATCTCTTTCATATTCATTTGCTGAAAACGAGGACGGGTGAGCTCGGCTTTCTCTAGCACATGTCCTGCGCGAGTCTCCTGATAGGCATGAGGAACATATGTTTGTACAGAATTTGGGCGAGGGGTTCGATCTGGGTGTTGATGGTCTACATGGGGCGCCGAGGGTAAGCAAACTGTCTGTTGCTCTACAGAAACACGAGACATTGGTGGAACAGTTCGGCAGATAGCTGGAAGCCTCTTTGCTGCCTCAAGCCTTTTGGTTAATATTTCATCTGGCTTGAGTAGAAGAAAAACTCACGTACGTCTGAGGGAATCTCACGCATCGCACCCTCTAAAGAATGGGAAATTGACTGATGAGAACTTTTGGACAAGGTAAGTTCTTTAACCGACGGTCTCATCTTGACTCCAGGAGTGCGTACTGCCTGACCGGACGCAAGTTCTCCTATACTATCATTGACTTGAATACGTGGCATCAGGGAGGCCGCACGCGTCTTGGCTTTCTTCTTGCCTGCAGAAAGACCACTGGTGGGCGCCCTATCCATATGCGGGATATTTGTGCCTAGGCTACGTCCGGACTGTGCCCCCGGTGCCCTTCCATCAATAGAACGTGAGGGTATCGATATCATGCAAGTTCTAGCGCCGGTAAATGCTGAGGTTTCTTGTGACTCGTTGGGTAGTGCGGCAACTGCAATTTTTCCTTGGGGAGGTGAAATGAATGTCTTCCCCGCCGGCTGCGTTGTAGAAGACCGCCCTCGCCGTCTTTGTGGCAATGAGACTGTCATCCGAGATTTATCCTGCTTCCTAGATGAAGCTGGTTCCGGCGAATTACAGTGGGTTACTGTTATTCGCGATGTGGCTGCTGGCTGAGATTTATTTGGCTTGTCTGTTAAATGTCTATCCGGTTGGCCGTCAAGCGCTATTTCAGCAACCCCTCGCACTCTCGATCCGCCTCCTGCCTTGTTTTTCGGTGGCTTAGCAGAAAGCACCAGCTTCCGTGCTGCGACGTGGGTACTAACTATTGTTTCGACATGACTTTTATCACTTGACCTTGAAGTTGATTTATTTGTATTTGGCTTAGACATCGGTGGGGGCTCCAGTATCGCAGATATGTCCACATCAGAAGCTACCTGTCGGCCATTTCCTGAAAACCGTGTCTGAGTGGATGAACATTTGCACATAACAATAACGCTCACTTTCAAGCAAGCTCGAACTTGCGCGCAACTTCTGTGCCCGCCGACGTCTCGTTCTATTGTTGCTTAGATTGCTTCGCGGGCTCTTCTTGCCTTTGGGTTGTTTGTTATCGTCGTGACGGCGCGTGAGTCGGTCGTTTGGAAAGGCCTGTCCTGGATTTATCGTCCCCCAGTGTCGCATAAGCTCCCTAGTGGCCGCTTGCTCCTCGCCATCGCGTAGATGGCAAAAGAACTTGAGAAATGTTTTTATGGTAGAGTCGGATGGTTGCGTGCCAATTACAGAGAACGCATGTTCGGACCACTTCTGAATGATGCGGCGAGCCTGAATGTCAAGTACAGCAGGTCTGATGTAAGACGATCCGAGGTGTCAGGACTTACCTTGTCGTCATCTTTCACGTCTGCTACGAAGGCAGCATACAGGTGAATTGTCTCTGTCCGACGGGAATCTTTGACTTTGAAGAGCTCAGCAAAAGTGTGAAAAAGGTCATAGTCCAATCCCTCGAAATCGAGTGCATCCTTTAAACGCGGGGTGCGCATGATGGTGGTCACGAAAACATACTACGCACCGGCGCGTCCGTGGCACACGTCCCCCCGCAAGCGCCCTCACGGTACCTGACGCGACCTGAACCAACTCTAGATCTGCTCGCCCACTGTATGGCACAAGAATCCATATGCTCATGAATATGCGCCTTGAGAACACAGGACGCTGCTACAGTGTTCAGGTGCATAAAGTTCTTAGCTGCTCACGCCATTCCGGTTACTTCGGCTGGTGTGTGTGCAGACAATACAGGGATAAAGCCGCAGGATGATATCTATTTGGCTAAGGGAGACTCGAGAGGATCTAAATTAAATTATTTCGAGCCAAGAGCGTGCTGCAGAGCTTCGTAAACGTCTGCCTCTATCCGTGCCTCCAACTTGTCCTCCTCGGAGCCGTTGCCTGCAGCGACCTTCAGAGCCTCCTGGAGATTAGCACGAACAGCCTGGTGCGCATATTTAGAATATGCGACCAAGTTGGAAATTGTTTGGGAGCGCACCTCAGCAGAGAAGTTCTCAAGAGGGGCCGCCTCAACCACGTTTATGGTCAGCTTGTTACCCGGGTGAACGTTGGCAAATCCACCAGAGACTAATTCTCAACGTGAGCACCGGAAGGGGAGTTCGCGTGATGTAAACACGCACCAAACCATTTCTTGGAAGCGCTGCCAGACTCAATAACCTCTACAACTCCAGGGCGAAGGGCCTCGATAGAAGGAACGTGGTTGGCGAGGATACCCATGTCACCGGTCGCGGCAGCCACGTTGACCTGAATAACCTCGCTGGAAGTGTAGATTGCCTGGAAAAATGCATTCGACCTACGAATTTTAAGAAGGAGTTAGTGTGGACTGACCTGGTGAGGGAGGACAAGAGAGAGGTTAATCCTGTCAGAGGCAGCCTCAGCGTAGCCGCGGCGAGCGACGGCAAAGGATGCGGGTGCACGTCGAGCAGCAGATGAGATCAGGCGCAGCGCAGACATTTTGGTCAGAGAGGTTCGGGGAGTGTTCCAACAAGTCTATACCGCCGCGCTTAGGCGGTTCGGATTGAGCCGGGCAACTTGTCGTATAAGTTATTGCTTCCGAGGCCTTCCGTCCGCGTCAAGGCCAAGTACCACAAGCCTTCATATTTTCAAAGTGTGAGCAAAGGACGAGTCCCCCAATGTTTGCAAGCCTCCTTCCAAACCCGTTCACGACGAAGCACGCAGATACCCAAGAGTCGGATCAATAGCAAAAGTGACAAAGATACATTCTATATAACATTATATAACAGTGTCCCGGTCTCATCCCATGCTCTAAGACCCTATATGCGATAAATTACCTGTCTCAACAATACGACGTCAACAAGATCAATGCCCATTAACACCACGCCATTTCGGTACTTCAGGCGAATAGTCTTCTGGAAGTAGCTCAGGTGCTCGCAAAATGCCACGCTCCCTGTAATAAACAAATCAAAACCTGAAGGTGTGCTCAGATAAATCCTGGCTCACAGCTGATCAACAGCTATCATCAGGTCGTAGTTGATCTCTTGGGAGACAACTGAATCAGACTTGTAATCCGGGTGAGCCCGGATGAAGTTCCGTATCCACGTCGCTGGCGTTTGTAAAGAGCCTAGAAAGGTTGATGAGTATGTGACATAGCCAAGAATGTTGGTGCCCACCATTGGCTCTTCGCCGGACTAGGTCAACGTATTGGTCAATTCGAACCCGGTCGGCAGCGTCAATATCCAATGTCTCGAGGTATGACTTCACTAGACTGATCAATCCTGGGTACTCGCCCTTGATAATTTGATTCCATAAGTAAACTGCCTTCGAAATAATCTCATATTCCTAACCTTGCCGTTGATTATCTCGTTAACAGTCATTTCTTCGTACTCCTCTTCCGGAAGCTTATCTTCGAGCCATGATGGCTTTGGCAAAGATGCAAAACAGTTACGAAGCTTCTTCTCCTTGATAGGTTTCACACCATTTGTCTCTTCAACTGGAGAAGAACTACCAGAAGAAGAACAGCTACTACCACTGGGCGTTGGTGACGTGTGGCCCGGAGGCAAAACGTTTCTGCGGAAGTAGAAGGAACCCTCGCGAGCTGCGTTTCTCTTCTGCGCCCGTGCCATGTTGTCGTCGACCTGGGACAAGTGAGAAGATAGTTTTTTCAAGGCTATAAGACTCCTACCTTAGAAATAGGAATATAGAAGTTGAGATTAAAACTGAGAATGGCTCGAGAAAGGAGCACTATGAACACCGAAAAGGCCGCATTCTCGAAGTCCGTCATCTGAACCTCCATACTCCGAAACTCAACGCGCCAGCCAATGGGTGAGCCAGGCGGTGGAGGTTTAAACCGGAGAGTTTGCCAATTCGTGGATTGAATGTTCTATAAATGGCTCGTTGATAATAGCTACGCGGTCATCGTGAATGTGCTATACCTCGAAATGGTCATTGCTGGTCTTGTCGTCTTGGTTTATTGTTTCAGAGAAGACGACGAGTGGGTCACGAATAAACAGGTGTGAGATGTGTTTTGCAAGCCGGTCGTCAATGCCTGATCAAAGGTCACTACAGCAGTCCCGTCAGCCAAAGAACTGACGCGCACCATGGTCTGCAAGCCGACTATAGATATGAGCGTCATAGGGTACATCCGTGTCGTTGTATTCGGGCTTGTTTATCCATTCGTTGGACAAGTACAAGTCAACGCTGTCGTAGCGAGACTTGGGGATCCTGAACCTGTTGGCCTCAAGAGGCTTTCACCAAATGTGAAGAAGGTAATGTGAGTTTCAAAGAGAAACCCCACCTTCAATCCGCGTTCTTCTGGGGTGCGATCGTCCACACTGCCCGCAATGACGTTCCACCGACAATCAACGTCAGCAAGGTATCCTCGCCAAGCTGGACTAGCGGCAGTCAAGGCAAGCTACAGCAGTGACAAAAGTATGAGCAGTGCCGAAGTTCATACATCATGCGCGTGTCAAGTCTCACCATGATTGGCCCAATGGGGATCAAAGCATCGTACATGCGTCTCGCTTCTTCGACGTTACAGGACTGAAACGTTAGCTGGAGGCAGCAGCAGCCCATCCCGAAGCCCATGGCATCCAGATAGATATGATCAACCAAAGCAGCACCGTTTTTTGCCTCTAAGAAGGAATATGTTACCCACTGCGCAAAGGTCAGTGCGGGCAGGTATACCTTTATCTTCGGGGTAAATATCTCTCTGCCATGGAATTGTCGGATCTACGAACGGCCGAGGTGTCTTCTCATCAACAAAAATCGGTAGATTAATAGCTACTTTGGAACCACGTCTGGTCCTGATATTCGCAGTCAGAGTGCTGAGAATGGTAGGGGTGAGTTCAAATTTGGAACTACTGGTGTCAGACATACGGAAATCGCGCATGAGGATTGGTGATCTCCTCCGGGAGGAAAAGGCTGTGACTAGACTTTGCATCATCGGGACTGTAGTATGGCTCAGTAAAGACACCAGGAGCTCCAAGTCTTGGAAAGGAGGTAAAGGTAATGGGTATCTCGTTCTCTTTAAGATGTTTTCGGGCAAGCAAGCGTCTGTCCACCGCGCCTGTCAATGGATGATACCAGGATGTAGTTAACAAACACACCTATAGTGCATGTTGGATTCTACTGATAGCAGGTCAGGGATAGATCCTGTGTAAGGTGCCCCGGGAGTAGACTCGAGCATGTATCGACCATACTCTGGGTGGAAGGTCGCGATCGGCGGGCTGAGAAGCTGAGGTCAGGATACTGTGACCCCCTCCACTTAAGGGCCTTACCTGTCAGTGCCATCGTCCGTTAGGTCACTCACGACCTTGCTCAGTTTTGCAAGAATTTCTGTCTGGCGTAGTGAAAGCTTTGCATTCTTTTCTTCCTTATCCAGTACGACGACCATATATTCGAGCTTCGGGGCCACTCAGTTATCTTATCGGAGATACAAAAGACCCTGCCAAATACCTCATCTCCCCACAAAAGTTCGTCACCGTGCCGATTCCGTACCTCGTCCCAGATATGGAGAAACTGGTTGATGCCATGCTGGCGAACATGATCTGCGTATTGACGTGCTTCCTCCCATTGGAGAGGTGTTCCGAGATAGAGCAGTCCCATGGGTGGGGTAGGGGGTTATGAAGCTGAGCAACGGGTAAAATAGGTCGGGCAGGAAGAAAGATTGAGCGGGACAGATAACGGAGGGAGAAACCTAACCTTGGTTTTGAGAGCTTGCACTCATCATGGAGGAGATCACGACGGCCCGAACCCAGATTTGTAAGACACCGAAGATGATCGGTCTGGGCGAGATTTATCAGCAGACCTCGTCCGGTATATAATACAGGACCGGGAAGGTCCCACCGATGATCCGTAGCACCGGTGAATGGTAACAAAACTTCCATCATTATATGCAGTAACTAAGAGCATCCGATGTAGCGCTACTTAGCAAGAAATATGACTATCAATATGTTAGTCATGCTGGGATTGTTACCGCATGCAATTGGGTGGCACTCGGGCACTCCGATTTCGAGGTGCGCACGGTCAAAAACTTCAAATCCGAATCACCTGCCTTGTGTACTTACTGGAATTATACAGTAGTAGAGTATACCGACGTTTCTCCCATGCTAAGCGAAAATATGCATGACCATTTGCCGCTTGCCATTGCGCCATCGACAGATCGGGAAAGGAACTGGGAAAAGCCAACTCCGAGACACGGCAGAACATAAAAGTAGAAGGGATAGTGCGTAGGCCAACGTGGAACTTAGCCATTGCCGCCATTCGTCGTCCATTTCAGGACAATCTTGAGAGCGAGAAGGACGTGTCGCAGCGCACGCGTCCAGGCTTCTTCTTGGTTGAATTGCAATTTGACAGAGGCTTCACCAATTTTATCCTTTGATATCCTGTTTTCCCTTGAGAACCCGTGGTTGTCAGGATAACTAGCGCACTCACTGGTGCGGGAACTCCAGCGAAGGCTCCTGAGACTTCACATAGTCAACAAGTTGCTTCAGGCAGTCTAGGAAAGCGACCATGGCCAGATCAAAGCGTCGATTGTGCAGCAAGCGTCCAAGATGAAGTTCCGAAGAGGCATAAAGCTCGTAAATGGCCTTGTCTCCAATCACCTTTTCGATCCGAGAAAAAGAGCCCATGGGGACTAGTCGATATCTAAAAATGATTCTCAGAAAAACAAACAGGACTGTGTAGCCAGGGGCTAGCTTACGTCTCGAACGAGTAGTCCAGTTTTCGAGCGATTGTGTACAGAAGGAGAAGCGTCTGGCCCCACGCCGCATTCACTTCTGACCATTCCACCTGCTGTTGCTTTAGCTTTGCGAAAGCTAGCCCAAACTCGTCCTTACCGGAACGCCAGGGACTCGCCCAAGCCGAAGCCCATTGATTGTCCCGAAGACGCCATCATGGCCAATGCAGAACGCGTCATTATAAACGTTCGCTCGCTCTAATTTTTCCAGAGTCGCATAGTCGGCGGCATATGCCGCTCTCAGAGAAGCGAGCTGCGAAGCCTGGTCGGCGGAAGCAAGCAACTGCTCATTGTAGCCACGCCAGAAACTTGCAGCGGGTGAGACGGAGTTCCGATCGATCACATGGCACTCACTCGGTTTCCTCCTCCGCAAGTAGCTTCTCTTCGTGCTCAAGAATTCTGAGCTCCTCATCTAGCTGTTCCCTTTCGAGTTCTGCCTGGCGTAAGTGATCGATTGCTACGCGTTCCTCAGCCACTAGTTTCTCTATCTTTTTCTCCACTTCATCCTTGGGCATTTCTGAGGACTCCCGCTCTCTTTCCTTCTTGACTTCTTTTTCGAACGCAATGTAACCATCTCGTTCTTTCTTCGTTTCATCAAGTTGGCGTTGCAATGAGGCTAGCAAGATGTGGGCGCATTCCGCGCAGAGGGGGTGATCAATGTCCGTTCGAGTCGATAGAAGACTAAACAATCGAAGAGAAGAGCGAAGATGGTGCGAGATCGGGGTTGGAGACGGGTGATCGGGTCCCAAGAGAGATGATTGCTGGTCCTGAGCGATGACTTTGCCGTTGCCCCGAGGGCTGAAGTTCTGGTGTGCCATTGGAGCAGCGGAACTGGGGGCAGGAAGATCGTTGAGAACGCTTTCCTGGAGCAGCACAAATGACTCATTAGGAGGCAAATGAACACGCTGAGATTGTCTGTCGCGGGGCCGACTAGAATGAGACGTAGTAGGCTTCTCATGAGACGAGTGTTTCGAATGTTGCCACACATTCTTCACTGCGGAAGATGACGGAAGGTGGGCAAGTTGCTCGGCCTCCGACATGTAGCGGGCGGGCGAGGGAGGTGCACTCGGTAAAGAAGCACCGATCATGTCGTATGCTGAAGGCGTCAGATCCACAAGTGACGCGTCGAGCTACCAGTGAAGCAGCATCGGTTGAGCTATTTAGTTAGTGGCCATCAGAAGACGACGTACGTGCAAAGCTTCCTTGCATTGTTGACACACAAACGCCATACTTCCGGTGAGTTGAATATGAGGATACTGAGTTGACAGTGAGGAAAAGGGGTTTAGTCGTGGACGGCCAATGTCCAAGGCTATTGCGTGACGCAATTTGCGTCCACGCGGAGGTGATGGGCGCTTAATTATTGGACTCAACAAACATCACCAAATCTGGGCGGTTACCCAGGTTGGGTGATCCAGGTCTCCTCCCCCTTGACCAAGGCCAGCTCTGTTTCGGCATGCCTATGCATCTCCGATTCTTTACGGATGGTTGCAACCACAGTCTGAGTCTGATCCATACTTGTAACGCCGAAGGATCCGCTAGTCAACTCTAAATCCCCACAACCCATAGCGATGATGTCTTGCGGATCTGTTCTCCCAATCTCGATCGTATGCTCTATAGCTCTACAGGCAAAATTGACGCTTAGAGGGTTGAAGCAACGCTCTTCGATGGCTCATCTGCTCATTTAATTCATGGACTCGCCCCTCTCCTTCATCCAGAGGCGCAACAGGTGCGTAGCTATGGGGTTCACATACGTTATAGCTCGTGGTTGCCTGCATCGTGCGTTGATGCAGGGATATCCAACGCGCCGAACAAGCATGGCGCAGATACCTGAGCATGTCTCTCTGTCTCCCAATATTTAAGAACCTTTACCTTTTGAGAAGTCTTCCCAGAACAGCGCGCGCGTCGAACAACCCAACTCCAGGTTCGTATCGTACAACTGTTTCCATCACCTCGTGCCGATCTCATCCGCACAGATGGCGACTCGCATCTTTGCCTTAGTCATAGGCATCGACGAATACAAGTCTGGCGCTATTTGGAACCTAGATTCAAGCGCGGATGATGCCCGTTGCGTTAGCCAATGGCTCATGCAGAGCCTCGCGGTCCCGAAGGAACACATCCAGCTACTCGTCAACCAAGAGGCCACCAAGGCCGCTTTCGAGAACAAGTTCATGGAACATCTTATCAATAACCCCCACATCGAGCGTAACGACGCCATTTTGATCTACTTTGCCGGTCACGGTAGTATTATCCGTGCTCGCGAAGGCTGGTTCGAAAATGGCTCCGGGGATGCTCAGGCTCTGTGCACTTACGACTATGATAGCAAATCAGCGCTAGGACGTTGTGCTGGTATATCCGACAGATCACTTCTCGCCATGATCTCAGAGCTATCCGAAGTAAAGGGAAATAATACCACTTTGATTCTGGATTGCTGCTTCTCGTCCTCTTCCCTTTCGCCGAGTGCTCGAGATCGTCGGTTCGTCCGCTGCACGCCGACGCTGAAGGCCACGACCGATGACCTCTTTGGAGGTTTATGGAGGGGCGCCGTGGAGAAGAAATACCCTGCAGGCAGCGGTTTTCTTCAAGACGACTGCCGAAGTCACGTCACTATTTTACCTTGTCAACCAGGAGAGAAAGCCTCGGAAGAGAAAGATGGTGGCACGTTCACCAGAGAATTTATAGCCATGAGCAAAAGGACCACCCTTCATGATCTCCCTTGCTCCGAACTCATCCAACGCCTCTCGTCATCTCTGGGCAGAACTCATCATCAACATCCGGTTTGTGTGGGACATCATAGAGATCGTGTGTTGTTCTCCGGAGCTCCCTTTTCTCTTGATTCTCGTTTCGTGCCAATTGATGTCGACACATATGACTGTCGCGTCGAGATGGGCGCCATGCACGGAGTCGTTCTTGGTACTGAATTTAGCATTCACGGTCACAACCGACGGTGCTCGCTCAATCCGTCCTTGGATAACTGTCGTGTAATTGAAGTTTTTCCAACGTGGTCAATTGCGCGCCGCACTTCGCGAGACCGGACGCTCCAACTTGGCAGTTCTTGGGCACAAGTTCGACGATGGAATAATCGTACCCCTTTTCGCGTTCATGTCAAGAACACATTCTCCTCTTTCTTCAGAAAACTGATCTCATGCTTCAAGCCATCAACCGATATTGACGGCCTTTCTCTACATGACGAAATGAACATCGAACAGGTTCATAAGCCGGCTCTTGCTGATATATCTATCGGCGTCCATACTCATGATGTTCGCGTTGAGGCCCATGATCGTCTTATGCCTCCTCAACCTCACGCTTTTCGAATCGACAAAAGCACTAGCAGGTCAAGCATACTCGACGAGGCCGCACGCTTCTACATGCATCTTCACAGAACAAATCCGGAGAACCCATTCGAAAACCATCTTTCAATGGATTTATTCAAAGTTGAACCAAGATCGGGTCGCAAGATTGGTGCAAGCCTCGTCAATGATGGTGCAGCAAGCGTACTTCGAGGTCGAGGCGCTTATTACGGCGTAACCATTCGTAATAATTCCAACTCAGAACTTTGGCCTTACCTCGCTTTCATGGACGTCAATGGCTTCGACATCCATTTCTTATACCATCCGTCCCCAACTACTGAGGTCGCTCCTCTCCCCCCTCACAGTAGTATAGATATCGGATGCAACCAGTCTTTGGGCCCGCCATTCATATTTCCCCCACTTCTGGACGGCGGGCGTGACTCTGGATTCTTGAAACTCTTCGTTTCCACGACGTACACGTCAATGGGGCAACTAGAGCAGAAAGGCGCGTCACTCAACCTGCAACCCAGCTCTGGCTCGGAGCTGTCTCCAGCTACCACTCGAAGCTTTACATTTACGCGACCTCAGTGGGACACTTCGCTCGTTCGTCTGGATTTTGATAATCCTGAATAGGGCGGGCTTTCACGAGGCTGAGCTAGAATCAGTCAACTTTCTGTCTCGATAAAATATGACGAGGACGACTGGGAAATCCTTGTCTTATATGCGCATATACTATGCCTTTTACAATACCTATGCTATGATCTTATGTTTTCGCTTTCATGCTCCAAGAGCAAGCAGGTTTGAAACTTGCTTTCAAAGGCGCAAGCGCTCATGCACATGCTTCGTAACTCCGTGTTTTAAATTTGTCGCGATGTCATTAATATTAGTAATATTGAGTATCATGTCACGTGCAACGCGTTTAATTCCGCGGCGCGTGGCGGTATTAAGCGCTGGCGTAACTGCATAAGTGTTCTAGCACCACACTGTACTTCAGGCTTTCCATGCCTACATTTGACCGTGATTGCCTTTGACTGAAGCGTACCTAACTGTCGGAATCCCCATACCTAGTTGCAACACTAATCAATCGAAGACAACCGTCCTCCGCCTTGTCGTGGATCTTCATGGTCGAGTCGAGTTTGCCCAAGCCATCCCCTGACTCCGCCAGTCTAGTCCGACGCTTAGCCGGCGCCTCTGTCACTAAAGCGGGGTGGGTACCTTTGCCTCCGTGCGCACCTCAAACTTACCACAACCAGACTTGACAACGACCAGTCTGAAATCAACCGCATTATAGCAGAAGCTTCGAAGGGATCCAAGTTCTATGAGGTATACGCAGCAACACGGTGGCAATGAAACGTATGCACCTAATGTTCCCCTAGAATGAGAAGCGGAAGGACAAAGAGCTATCAGAACGTATTGAGCGGATACTCAAGCAACGCGATGAAGTGCTGCAGGGAGCTAACACCCGTAGGTCTTATCTTCAAGCCCGCCCACCCTACAAGCTTTCTGAAACACCTTATACATACAGGAGCTATCGAGAAGGAACTCGATCATACAGTGAGGCAACGCGTATCTCTCCTCATTGTATAACCATTGAATCACAAACGACAGATCGAAGTGCTTGAGTCGCAACGCGACCTCAGTCAGTACATCGTACATGTCGACATGGATGCCTTTTTCGCCAATGTTGAGCTTCTCGACGATCCATCTCTAGCGGGTAAACCTTTTGGTGTGAGTCGATCTATTATAGAGTTGTTACAGTCCAACTCAACACGCCTGATACAGGTTGGTGGTGGTGTAATGAGTACCGCTTCCTACGAAGCTCGGAAGTTTGGAGTGCGGTCCGGCATGCCAAGTTAGTAACTGATACTGCCTCGAAAGCAACCATGAACTGATCTCGTTTCAGCGTTCATCGCCAAGAAACTATGTCCAGACTTAATTGTCGTTTACAGCCACTATGCCCGCTATAACGAGATGTCAAACAAGGTAATGAGCATTTTCAGGAGATACGATCCTACTATGTATGCTGCAGGCTGCGATGAGGGATATCTCAAGTACGTCGATATATGACTGTCGGACAGTCCTCGCATCATGTCATCTTTTTATTCACAACAGCATCACAAAATATTGCCGCGAACACAATCTCTCGCCAGATGCCTGCGTTCAGGAGATTCGTGAAACTGTTCAGAAAGAAACTCAATTGACAGTAAGCGCCGGCATAGCACCTAACAAGGTGAGCGCTTTCTTTGTCGCGTCCAGAAACGTATTAGATGAGTTGTGCCACTAGATGCTAGCAAAGGTGAGCCCACATTTATCCTTCGGCCGGGGACCACCTGATCTCTTGGTAGATATGCTCAGATAAGGTAATGAATCTTTTTTGTGCATGTTTGCAGGAGCTCAACTCAGAGCTCGGGCACGTAGAAGAAACCGAACGGGCAATTCCACCTTGAGTTTGAGCCTGGCGTCATCAAGGACTTCATGAAAGACCTTTCCATTCGCAAGGTGCCTGGCGTAGGTCGAGTCAACGAACGATTGCTTGAAGCTATTGGTATACATGTGAGATTCATGCTCTAGACTTTCTAGCAGTCAAATCTCATGCGTTGCCTTATTCAGACTTGCGGAGACATAATCCAGCACCGAGCAGCATTGTACCTCATGGACAAACAATTCGGACTGAATTTCCTCCTAAATACTCATCTGGGCATAGCTTCCAACGTTGTGCAACCAATTACTAGGGATCTCAGGAAAAGTATTGGTGCCGAGAGGTACTGTGCCTATCGCCCGTTCGAATAACAATCCGCTGAGATCCACATTTGTAGGACGTTCAGTCCCATCTCAGATCGTTACAGGATATTTGCTAAATTAGAAGATGTATGTGCCGAATTAGAAAAGGACATGGATTCGGGCGGCTGGACTGGTAAGACGGTTACGCTGAAATTTAAACTTGACACTTTTCAAGGTGTGTACACCAACGTGCTTTCCAAACAATCAAACACGCGTCAGAACTGAATGCATCGAAGTCTTTACACGGGCCAAGTCTTTTGATCGGTGGGTAAGCAGCAAGAAAGAAGACCTCTTTGCTGTGCGTGTCTCCCATCCAGTCCTTTGGCAGTGGGGCTTGTACGACCTGACGATTGCGCAGATTGGCAAGGAATTATTGATCCCCGAACTCCCAGTAACAATACGACTCATAGGATTGAGAGTGACCAAACTGAAGGATCTTCGGGAAAAACCATCTTCGGGAAATGGGATCAAAAGAGTGAGTCTCGGCGCCCGCCCGTGTACTGATTGAGATACTACAAATGACCCGTTTGGTATAGTTTTTTGAGAGCGCGCCCTCGTCACCACGCAAGAGACAGCGGTTAGACTCAGACTCCGTACGTAACGACCCGCATGCCAGGGTGCTGCATCAACCCATGGAGGATGCGATGCCGGGCTTTCACGAAGAAGAGGACATGCCCCTTTCTCAGGCGGAAATTGAAGATGGCGAGGATCTCGATAGTGAAAATGTTGAGTCTCCTGCGCAGTCTATCGAATCATCGCGCCGAGCTCCTGTGTCTGCGCCCTCTCGAATGGCCACCTACAAAGCTCCTGCAACGGGTAGTTCAGAGAAAGAGAGAGATGAATTTTCGTCATCAACGTCGAGAAAGCCAAAATCAGCATGCCGGGACGAGGTTGAACCTACTGAAGGACTCACTTGCCCAATATGCCAGAAGATGCTTGCGACGGACAACCAAGGGCTGAATGCTCATATTGATTTCTGTCTTAGCAAGTCCGCAATTGCAGAGGCTCAGGCCGATCCACAGCCCGAGTCCCCTCTACGGCGTCCTCGTAGTCGAACACCGGTTGATACGTGGTGGACACAGCGACGACGACGAAAAACATGACATTACATTCGAGCCAGATAGTTGATCTTATGGGAGAACGGGGGACAATTATATATTGACTTTGATGTCTACTGACTATATTCCACGTCCTATCATAAGCACGTCCTTTTGCGGTTCGTTGCGACTTTAATCTTGCTTTAGTCTCCCGGCTTAGGCAGACCATATATCAGAAGGTGCTCGATATCAGGCTTTTGCCTGAGGTTGGCTTGAGTGGACGTCGGATTGGTCTGTAAGTTGAAGCCGCGGATGCAATAGGCGCGCGTGGATGACTCTCACGTGATCCAAAATCAATCCCGCGCGAACCGCCGTTCCGAACGTCCCTCGATGACATACGGTGCCGCAGTCTCCCAACTGCGCTCAGGATCGCTCAGGTCCTCCTCCGTTGAGCGCTGGGCATCAATATCCGCTAGAAAACCTATATGGGCACACCCTGATACCCTTCCATGCTCCCGTATCAGCCAGAACTCTCGTCCATGTCGCTATGCGAGCACAAATTCTTCATCGACTTCCACCGTGCAAACTAGTAAGCGGAAGGCAGATGGGCCACTACAATCCAAGGCTCTCACTCTGTTGAACAAAACAATATCTTTGCTTCCTCATGCAATGCCATCTCAGGCGGCTCAGGGACGTAGCATTGTCGATTCCTCTCAGTTCTGGACTGGTGTCTTGGGCAACACTAGCTCAGCTATCTCCTCCCGCGAGCAATTTCCGGCCAACGTCATAGGTAGATATATCTTTGTATCACTTTTATGCTGCCCTAAATTGTTAAAACCTCCAGTGATTGGTGTCGACGGGTGGTCGCAAGCACCAACGTTACTATCGGCGTTAGTGGAGGAGCCATATTCATCAGATAAAACCTATAGCGACGCACTCCATAATCGCTGGGCGGAGGGCCCTCGTAAAGTCACTGTTAGGTCAGCCCTCTATGCTCTCATGTCAGCAGCTTGCTAACCTAATTGATGGCTAGATATGGCTCACCAGTCCAGAGCAACAGCAGTGCTTTCGAAACGGAGGTCATCATTCCTTCAACATGGCTGCAGCGGCTAGACGTCCCACTGCAGGTCACCGAGCTTCACCCAACGCTTCTCCGCAACGGTGAACCAAGCCCCGAGTCTGCAGAGAAGTTGATTTCCGCGGACGCCGTCATTCTCTCGTGGAACCCCCTGACGACTCCGGTTTCTGCGTTGAAGACGAAAGCGGGAGACCTTCTTCGGCGACCGAATGTTATCCTCACCATCACTTCCTCCGTACCTGACTCCCAGATGGAGCACATACAGGAGCTCCTCAACAGAGACGACATCCGCCCGGGGAAGATTGTTACTGTCGACCCATCACGTGGTCTCAGCGCCATCATGGAGCTCAAGGCTGATCCTAAATCTTCCTCTAGCGTCCTGAAGTACCAGATAGACTTCTCGGGATCGCAGGTGTCTGCCCTATCTATGAAACTGGATGCGATTCTTTCCGGCACTGTAGCCGAGGGTTGGAGCGTTGCGAGTCGTAGGGCTTTTTCGCAGATGCACGCTGTGCACGACCTCATCTCAAGAATGTTGGACCAGGAGAAGAGGGCATTGGGGAAGGTTCTCTGCAGTATTCACGATATACGGCAACAAATTGAGGAGCTGCGCGTCAAAGCTGAAGTTGACGTTTTAGGTCCATCTGGAGAGAAAAATATCGTGAACGTAGCCTTGGAATCGGCACGCAAAGAGCTAAAAGCCAAACTGGATTCGCTGACGTTTTGGAGAATGGTGTGGCGAATTGACGAGATAGCTTCAACTGTTGGTGCTACTTTGGATGCACATTGGTGCAAGCATCTCGAGAGCCAGGTAATAGCATCCGCCCACATAACATTATTAAGACACAAACTAACGCATTCTCAAAAGCTTTTACTTCAGACAGGCAAATTATCGTCGCTACAGGACAAATACACATCTCAAACCATGTCGTTCCTTGCCTCCCTTCATGAGCCATCCCCAGCCGCGAGTCTCCACTCGGCTGTTTTGGTAAATCGGCTCCAGCAACTATCCTCTTCTCCTTCGTATGCTCTCAATACGGACACGTTGACTGGGCCGATATACAAACGGCGTGCGCAGATCCTCGGCTATCCCACCCCACGCCTACACATCAAGGCCCAGCAAGCAGTTGCCGGGACATTTACCGGCCTCTTCGGTGGCGCCGGGCTTTCTTGGTGGCTCGCATTCAGCGAAAACATCGTTGGCATCGCGGGTGCCGAAGCGGCCACCGCGGCTGGGGCAGGCGGCCTCGTTGCCGCCCTGAGCTTGAGGTGGGCAGTGGGCAAGTGGCAAAAGGCGAAGAAGCGATGGCTGCAGGACTTTGATCGCGTCTGCGATGGAACACAGAGAGACCTTCAGGTACGACCTTCCTTTTCGCTTTTCGGAAATGAAATCGGGGGCTGAGTGCGCATATTCTCATACTTGATGTCTCCATTTGCATGCAGGCGACATTGAAGCGTGCGATTGACGACAACGTAACGATCATCGCATCTCAGGCCTGCGACCAGCTGCAGGAGCTCGCAGTCCAGCGAAAAGAAGAGATTGGTCGCTTGCAGGACGAACTTGCGGCTTTGAAAGCCGAATTAGACAAGGCTGGGTAGCAGACTCCCAAAGCTGATGTTATAACAGTAAATTATTTACTTAGAACTGTTTTACAATCCAGATACTATCCCGTGTCTCCAAGCAAGCAAGCAGCACAATCAGGGCTTCGCGTGTGGTACTTGCGAATGACCGCCACCTTGCCCAAGGTCATCGTCTTCGACGTCACTGTCATCTGCTATGCCGAAAATCTCTTCTCGTTCGTCCCATACGTCACCTAGTCGTGGTGCTTCCGCAGCACGTGCTTTAGACGCAGCACTGGACGTTTTGGCTGCAGGGGCAGAGGGTCTTGACTGATGGAGGGGGAGTAGCTGCGTGCCAGAAGCGCCCTCTTCATCTGATGCCTCCTCTTCCGAGAGCTCATCAGTGTTGACAGGGCGGTATAGGCGTGCGATCTGGGGACGGGCGTTGGGCGGGATGTTGTGCTAGCCTTAATGAGATACGCACCTCTCTACGATGACGGTAGTATTTCTCAATGTAAAACGCTACATAGAGGCCTAAGGCTGCCCCGAGAAGATTGGCCTGTATGAATACTTAGCACAGCGCATATTGGAAATTTCGACAATTCATGCATACCACAACGTCGCCAAATTCGAATTCTTTGTACTGAAAACCAGTCAAGAGCGAGGAAAGAAAAGGAGCACGATCGGCTTACTGGAAGGGTCGCTTGCACGACTTCGCTAATCAAGCCACCAAAGAAGAAGCATATTATGCCAGTGAAGATGAGCCCTGCGTGCCTCCAAAACCATATTCGACGTGCGTCCCTGAGCCGACACAATAGCTGGGCTCAACTCAATCGGTCATGAGACCAGCAAGGTGGGACTTACTCTTCGACATCGAGGATGAAATAAAAGACGCCCGTGGCGATGCAGAAGCAAAGGAAGTGCAGCACCTTGTCATTGAGGGGCAGGGAATGCCTCAAGTTGGTGAAGCCCAGGACGGCAAGTATGGTCATGATGATGCAGGTAAAGAGGACAAACCACTAGATAAATGGCGGTGAGTGATCGTTTGAGTCCATGTCAAGAGAAACACGGACTGGCCGAAAGCGCAGCGGTAAATTGTACTTTGGGAGGTGCAATGGGTGGGACTTCATGAGAGCCTTGGCCAGCTTGCGGGGGACCCTGCGCCAGCTGCGAGATTGGGGCTGAGAGTTGGAAAGGTGTATGGGCTGAGGCATGGTCGTGAGCCCATACGCGCAGGATGAGTCCCTATGAAAAATGACTCCGTCGCCACTCTTTGATACTCTTTCGTACTTATATCCCAACGAGTGGCAATATTCAAATTTCCCTTAAAGTAAGCCAATAGAGTACAAAGAGCAGCAATGTTATTTCGAATCGAAACCGTAGCGACAAAATGGTAGTGAATGGATCTATTTACACTCTTTGACGATTGTTCCTACCTGTTGCCAAAGAGTACGAACGAGAGCCAACGAGAGCCAATGAGCAATGAAAATGAAAGCATAGCACCGAAAATCTCACCGAAACAAAATAGTACGAAAGGCCAGCAAATGATAGCAATCGGAGAGAACGAGTGAAAAAGAGCAAGGAAAGTCGAATGAAGCAGCGTCGAATGGAAAGGGATGGGATCACGTTGTGTTGCGCTTGCGTTTTCCGAGAGCGGCTTTCGTCCTTCGCGTCCTTGAACTGCTGCTCGTAAATCTGCCATACAGATGAGCATTGCACGCAAGAGGGGCACCAAGACGAACCTGTTATGGATCCTCAGAGAGACTGCGAAAGTCACAACCAAGTACATGTCTTGTCGAGCGGCCAGGCTAAAATATATGCCTATAAACACCATTAGACATGCGAAGGGGAAAAGGAACCTGGAACTCACATAGTACATATCTCTGTCGGCATACTAATCCATCCAGTGCTTATCTTCCCGGTATCTTTAGGCCCTTCTTCTTCCGAGGCATCTCCTGAGACCGTGTCACAGACGTGCTGGCTGACGTGTTCGTGCGATGGGTTTTCGGGAGCCTGTAATCAGAGTAAAATGTGCATTCCAACAGAAAAATCTAAGACTTACCCCCAAAATGGAGCAAACGTTAACAGGGGCAAGCGGAGTGCACTGGCCACGTTGAGATTAGAGGTATTGCGACAGAACACACCACTTACCTCAATCCCGAGTCGCTTTGCTACTCTTTCTCCCTCCATCCTGTTTTCCCCCGCCTCTATCGTCTGTTTGCTTCTCCAGATGAGACACGCTAGTAGGCTTGTCTACATCCGTGATGTAATGACTACTATTTCTATTTGCATACTTTATTAGCACAAGTAGTCGCAGGCGCACGGGAAATAAGTAGTACTCACATACCAGGGAAGAACCATGCTGTCCGTGACCGACGCAGAGGGAGAAAACGTGCTGAAACAGAGACAAGACGGCACCAGCGTTGGTGCTAGCCGGGCAAGGAGGATGTCGTCGAGGGGAGTGGGAGACGTTGGGGAGAAAGGTGCATTCCAACAAATCTGCTTTCCCCAACGCGCCTTATCACGAAGTCAGGAGCACGACTGGATTAGGCAAGTTCTTTCAGACCCCGCAGTGGCGCAGCCCCCATAGGATCTCAAGGCAGCAGGCTGTTGTCTTCGGCTTTCACTGTTACTGCTGCAACCGGCTTGTTTTATTCGGAATTGACACAGAGATAATTAGAGCCACCTCAATCTCAGATAACCTAGTTAAAGCAAAGCTGGCATTGTATATAGCTCCCAGTGGATATAAGAAAAGACACCACCCTTTTACCAATCAGGATTAATGGTGCTACTGTGCCACGTCGCGACTCTTAATAGAATGGATTTGTGTTTGCACTGACACGATTTGGTTCGAGGGGATTCGAAACGGAGCCAGAATCAATATCATAAGCTAAGATTCAGATTGGGATCGAACACCAGGTTGACGATATTTGGTATGGAATTCAAATTCCATTCTCGCATTTCGACATCTTCTGTACTATTTCAGGCTATCATCTGGGCCCAATGGAGTAGAATGAGTGCCAAAGAGAAGGAACCTACTACAATGAGTAGCGACGGAGTCATTTTTCATAGGGGATGAGTAGTGAGTTCCTTCGATGACACGCAGCCTAATTACGATGAGCTCATCCCGACTTACAATCGTGGGAACTCATGGTGTCTATCCAAGATTAGATCAAAGGTCTCTCCGCAATTCCTCCGCGGCTTCCGGACTCCGGATAGGCTGAATAGCTCCTGTCTTTCTTACTGTATGGCTCGAGTCGCCGCCCTCCGTCTGCAGTCCATCGCGCGCACAATGTCGACGCGATCTTCCCCGTCTCTCTCCGTCTTTTCAGCATGTGAGGTCTCCGACGCCCTCATCAAGCTCGGCGTGCCCAACGGCGGACTCATCCCCGACATACACATACTATCCCCCTCCACCTCTTCCAACCTTAGGCTATGCGCGCCCGCGTACACAGTCCAGATGGTCCTCGCTTCCAACAAGAGTGCGCCAAAGCTCTCCCAGCACTTTGTCGACACCGCGACCGAGGGCTCCGTCATCGTCGTCAGTGCACCACCCCGTACAGTCCGCTCTCTTGCCCTCTCTATCTCCACCCACTCACTTGACATGCAGAGGCCAAGAATGCAGTCTGGGGAGGCCTCATGACTGCAGGTGCCCAGGCGCGGGGCGCTGTGGGCGTTATCATCTCTGGCCGATGTCGTGACCTTGCTGAGCACCGTGATGCCGGCTTCCCCGTCTTCGCAAGAGGCCATTCGACCGTTGGACAATCACCGTTCGTCCGGCCAGCCGCAATCAACGTTCCTCTCCACATACCTACACAGGGTGTGGACGCTGACGGGCCAGACACCTTTCCGCCCGCAACTGTTGAACCTGGGGACTGGATTGTTGCCGACGAAGACGGTGTCGTCTGCGTTCCCAAGAGTAAAGTGGATGAAGTCGTCAGAATTGCTCAGCAGGGCAAAGAAGTCGATGCAAAGTGCATGGAGGACATAAAGGCAGGTAAAGGAGTGCAAGCCAGCTTTAAGTTACATCGCGGAAAGTAGAAGCGCGTTCATACTATCGTATACATCAAGACTACACTAATGACAGAATTAGCAAATGGTGGAATTCCTATCGTGTACAACAAGTAGCGAACCGTCACCCAACAGAAACTAGAGAATACGTCCACTATAAAGGAATAATAGTCAATTCTAAGAGATAATCCAACATAGCAAAGCATGAGCAGCCGTGTCTGCTCACGGTATAATACGTCTAACTGCGGACATTAGCCTTGAGGGTTAACGTTGTCTTGACGGCTTGAATGGTGAATCGGATGCCGTTGTGGAAAGCCCAGAGAAGCGAAACTAGACTTCTGTCAGCAAAAGCAAGAAAGAGATATTCATGTTATTTACCGAGAAGAATAGGAATCCAAAACAAAACAAGCATGCGATCATCTGTGAATGGGAGTGAGAAACCCCATCCGTATGCACAGAAAACAGCACGTACGTTTTTGTTGCATTTTCTGCCCGTGTTTGCTCGCTGGACGGTAGCCAAAGGAAGCGACTTCCTGAGCCGCAACTTCCACTTCGTCATATGCTGCGCGGCGGCTCGCCCTATCTGCAACACTCGGGCCAGCGTGGGCAAGAGCCTGAGCATCACCGTCCGGCTGCTCAGCACCAGCAATCTGTTTCTGTTCAGTCTGTTCCGATTCTCGGGGTGTATACACGGGAGGGGCCTCATCGACAGGCTGCTGCCGCTGCAGCGTCGCTGTCGCAATGGCCAAAGCCATCCACTTCTCCCAAGTAGCCCGCAGCTCTTGTGATATAAGCTGAGCACCCTGCCGCGACCCAGTCTGATCATCTTTGGACTCAGCCCCTTGCTCATCGCGTTTGTCGCCGAAAAGTGAGGTCCATCCTTGGTTGGGGATGAAAACAGGGAACACCATGGGAAGCTGAGGTAGATTCCACGGGACAGCAGGCATCTCAGGAAGATGAGGGATGGGTAGCTGAGACATATTCGGCATAAGACCTTGCGGCGATTGTAACTGTGCGAGGGTCCGCTGGATCATGTCAACAAAAGAAGCGGCTTGCTTCTCGTTCGGAGTGGTATCGTCGGGCTTCTTCAGCGAGTCCGACGGCAGCGGCGGGTCGTTCTCGGCCTGGGGTTGCACTGAAGCCTCTTGCGCCTTCGGTTCACGACGTCGCGTGCGCGGCAAGCGCCTTCGGACGCCGATTTCCTCGCCAACATCGGACTCAACATCGCCCCAGCGAGACTCACCATCGTCCTCATCAGAGTCTGGAGGGGATGGAAGATTGTCGCTGAAACCGTGCCCACGCTTCCAGAAACCTTCGGGTGAGATGTCCTGCGCTGTTTGACCCAATGCGTTGACGATCTCCTCATCGGCCCCAGCATCAAGTAGTATATCCACACCAGTTTGCGAACCAGCAAATGCGGCAAAATGCAGTGCAGTAAATCCATTACGATCCCGTGCGTCAATATCGATTCCGCGAGCCAGAAGGAACTCGAGTAAAGCAGAAAAGCCAAGAGCGGCAGCCAAATGCAGCAGGGATTGCCCGTTCGGCGTCATATGTGAGATGGCCTCGTCCATGGGTATACCAGACTGCTTGTCGAGATTCACATCCATAACAGACAGAAACTTCAGCATAGCAGTCTCAAAACATTCGCCTTCACCAGAGCGAGCAAGCAGCAGAGGTCGGATATCGCGAGGGGCCGAAGGTGACAAAGCAATTTGCATCATGTCCAAACCGGATTCGGGCCGGCTCTGTGAATCATCGCCGCCAGTCGTCCCCACGATACGCAATGCAACGTTCTTGGCTTCCTCAATCTTGCCTGTCATCTTGAGACCAACAACTTGCAAAGCCAGCTCCATCCTTGCACGATGTTAGCACGGAATTCAAGGATTCACCGAGGGAAAACTCACAATGCTCGGTCCGACTCGTCTGTGTAAGTGAACAGAGCGGGTAAAACGGGCTTTGGCAAATTCTCGAATGACACAGCGACGACACCGGGTGTAGCACGAGGAGGCAAGATGCAGACCAGAGTATTGTCGCTCCAACGTTGAGTGGAACTCGCAGTGACATCGCCGAAGACACAGTTCAACTGGACGATCGAGTGGAAGTTCTCGCCTAGAATTGTGACCTCTATTCCGCCTAGCGTAGGACCACACGATGGGATAAGACGATGGATCTTGGGGAGCGGGAGAGTGGGAGCGGTATTAGGGTCGTAAAAAAGGAAGGGCATAGCTTGGGACGGTGCCACGGGCGCTTGCATCCCATGCGACATGGTCATGTTGTCGACGGTAGCGGACGGTAGACCCTGTGGCAGTTCAAGCCCAACATGGTCAACCATGCTTGCGTCCTCCCCTTGGGTGACTTCTAGCATGCGATTGTCGGCGGTGTCCGGCATGACAGCGGCTGGGGACTGCACATATTGCGAAGGTACATGGTCCAAACCGGTATCCGAGATCAACGGCTTGACATCCGACTGGGGCAAAGAAAGTGGTGTGAATGATGGTGGGGCAATGAAGGGTGTCGGTGACCTCGTATTGGGGGCGGTCGAGGTGACTGAAGGGGATGTTACAGGAGAGTTTATACTCGCTATACTGGGTTCGGGGGACATCTTCGTTGATTGATTACGAGCAGTAGTGTCATAGGGCTTGGTCCGCCTCTTGATGTTCGCTTCCTTGGGTTTCCGCTTGGATGGCGCAGAAGCATCTGCCAACTCTGCCGCTGACCCGCGACGAGACCAACCAGCTTCGGACTCGTTGAAATCTTGGGCGGGTTTTATGTTGGACTTATGGTCATCTGTGATCATGATCGGTGGCGTGGTGCCAGAACCAACCACCCGCCCCGTATGGTCCATCATGGTGATGTGGACATGGAACCCAACCTTTTCACGATGATGTCTGCAATAGCAGGTGATGCGAACAGGGAGGACCACAGAGCCCGATGCGAAGTCAAGTACCTCCGGACAATTGAACTGAATGATGCTTGTTGTATCCTCTCGGCTGCCTTTGACGCGTTCATTTCCATCACCAGGGCTATCAGAGTCAGAGCGGACTGGACGAACACGAGCGGCCAGCTTTTTGGCAACTCGCTTAGCCTATCGAGACCAGCGTGAGAGTCAACGACAAAAGCTTGGGGAGAAATAGCCCACCTCTCTGTTGCGGCAGCTTCCGCAGCTGAGTACCTGGCTATTTGGGGGGGATGCACAAGTTACGGACGCAGTAAGATGAAGCATGTCCAGGGGGGTGGGATCTGCTGAAGTCTCAGCTTATGAGGCGGCATAGGCGATGAAACCTGCATACCGATCTTGCCTTCCCTTCTGGTCCGTTTCTTGGTTGAAGTGCCAGGAGGGAGCTTCAGCCACTTCCATGATCCAACCCGGTCGTACTGGTAAGGCTCCAAAGCCGAAGAACTGGAGTACGCGAGGTCGACGGTTACGCGTACTTGAGTCTCTACACGAGACTTTGTGCCTGAGTCTGGGATGCTTGGAGTGATAATTGGGAGGCTGTTGGAAGATGTCAAACCGTGCCACCTACGGGACAATGAACAGGGACGAACTTATTGCAGGACTCTCGTGGGGGGTATACAACTTTATGGGGCACAGTTGATGGGTCTTGTTTCCGAGGCTGAAGGGCTGGGGGAGGAACAACAGGGGTACAACGCATCTGCATCTGACTCGGGAGCGAGAAACCGGTTTCCGGAGAGTGGGCGGCCGGTGTATGAGGGTGTGGGCCACTGTTTCCTCCATTGCGGGCGAGTTGCACATCTGGGAGTTCAGTACATAGTCCAGACTTGGAGGGAGAGCTCTCCGAGGTATCGACACTGTAGAACGGCGAAGACGTCACGAAGTGAGTATATGCCAGTGAGAAAAGCAGAAAAAATGAGATGGACAACGCACTCGTCGTAAGCGTGCTCATCTATCACGTCGTTGAGTTGAAGCATCTGGTGGTCGGAGCGTTTGGAGAAAGCAAAAGAAGATAGATCGGTGTCCCAGAGGCCTAGGTCTGTAACGTTGGACGGAGGGGAGACGGACTTGAACCAGGATGATAAGTCGCTGTCGTTGTGGATGGCGACGGGATGAAGGCCGTCCGAGGATTCTGGTGTTGCTGGAGAGGACGGACGGGAGTCCATCGTGGCCGCTGTCGAGGAAGACATGCGGACCGTGGTCGATAAGTATGGGCAAGAATGGCAATAACGGATAAAAGAGCGATAAGTAGGTTAAACAGCAGGGCAAATGACAGACGGAGCAATATATTGGTATGCGCCCTTTCGTCAATGGCGCAGCGTCCTTCGCGTGTCTCTCAGCTTATCTAACTCTTTCTCACAGCCTTCACTGACATGCTCAGCCGCGCCGTCATGGTCCATAACGTCCTTGTTCTCAGACATGAAACGGACAGCAGAGAAACAGATCATCAAGGACGGAGACGACGACGACGTCCAGGTATTCATCGACTCACGAATTCAAAACTCCAATCTCTTACATATGCTCTACAGGACTCCGCAGAAGTCGGACAGGGCTTTCAGAAAGCCCAGGACTCTGTGCTCGCAGGCAGACAGTCAGTCTATGCTCATCTCCCTGCTCCGCAATAAAACTCACTCGTTACAGAATACGTGCTCTCCCCAAACGCGCACTAGCAGGTAATAAAAGCGCTCCCTCGATACCAATACCTCCACCCGCAACCACAGTAAGCACGCCTCCAACTGCACGGTTTCACAAACCTGATACCCTGCCCTCGTGTCAGGACTCGAACGCAGCCCCCAAGTTTGGTGGCTTCTCTGGTTTTGGTGCTGCCACGTCCACGTCAAACCCTTTTACCTTTACGGCGCCGGTAGCTGCCCCAACCCCAACCCCAACACCATCTCTCGCTGCCAATCCCGCTGGAAATGTTGCCAAATCTTTCTCAACCAACTCTTTAGGCACAAACGTGTTTGGGGGCTCAGCATTTGGTGCTTCGCCTTTCGGGGCTGCGCCTTCCACTAACCCCGGGACCACCTCCGCTACAAACAATGGCTCGGTAACACCCTCTCTCTTCGGCTCTTCATCTCCGGCTACAAAGGTCTCCGAACCCAAGACAGCTTCGCTATTCAACGCGTCGACTGCGGTAGAGTCCAGACCAAGCTTCTCAACATCGTCAGCTGCACCCTCCAATGACAACGACGCGTCTCTTTCTTACTACAAGTCGCTGCGCGGCCTGAACGTATCTTTCCTGGCCGCAATAACCAAGGCTGTGGACCAAGACCCATTCGTCGACATTAGCGACTTGCTTGAAACCTACAAGAAGCTTCGGACAACGGTACAGAGCGACTTTGACAAGAAGTCGAAGTCACATCCCGTAGGCAAGGCTGACAAAACGACACCGCAAGAATCCCAGCCAGCGAAGACAGCACCACCAAAGTTTACAATGCCGATTCCTTCAGCATCCGGTTTCGCTGGGTTTGGCAAACCAACCGAAGTCTCGACGCCCTCCAAGGAACCCACGGGCTTCACCTTCAAACCCACGGAGTCTGACAAGGACAAGCCGGCTACGCAGTCGCCTTTCAGCTTTGCCAAGGTGATTATTAGTCTTTTGTTTTGCCAAGAAATGTGGTTGAAGTTGCATGACTAGCCTGAGACTTCTGGAAGCTCAGCAACAGGGGGGTTCTCCTTCGGCTCCTCTTCAAATCCCTCCAAGGTGCCCTATAGTTTCGGTTCTTCATCCGGCGACGACAAAGACAAAGCCACGTTATCAAACTCGGGGCCAAAGTTCGGTCAGGGAGGCTCTGCATTCAAGTTTGGTTCCGATTCATCCACCTCTGCATTTGGCGCATCCTCGTCCAGCACGGCGTCACCGCTGTTCGGCTCCATGCCGACGGCCACCAGTATGGATGAAGGCAAGGATGCATCTCCAGATACTCCCAAGGCCTCCGCCCCGACGAGCGTGTTCGGTGGGTCTAGCAGCGCTTTCGGGTCTCCGCCAAAGGCCACCTCGCCGTTTGCTGGATTCGGAGGCGGCTCCGCTTCGAAACCGACCGGCTTTTCCTTCGGAGGGAGCGGAAGCGGAGGCAGCCTGGGCAACCCAGTTGGCTTTGGCTTCGGATCCGGGAATCAGGGTGGCTCGCAGACAGGGAACCTCCTTGGTCCGTCGGGAGGTTCAACTTCCTCGATCACCTCTGAGAAGTCTACGGAGTCATCGACCCCACAGCCGGATGCTCCGGAAGACGATTCGGCCAAGTTGATCTCAACCAGTAACCACGATGAAGAAGGGGAGGGCGAGGAGAACGAGGAGACGACGCATGCCGGCAAGTGCAAGGTGTACAAGCTGGTGAAGGCTTCTGAAGCCCCGGCAGAGTGGAAGGACATGGGTGTTGGTTAGTCCCGCAGTTTGTGGTAGGCTGTGCGCCAATTGATTCGTTCAACTAGGCATTTTCCGTCTCAAGAAGCACAAGGAGACATCAGCCCGTCGTGCTCTGTTGAGAAATAGCTCGACAGGGAAGATCATCATTGTAAGAGATTATCCACTCCTAGTAAGAACCCCTTGACTAAATACTTGCAGAACTTCAACCTCTATTCCGGACTCAAACCAACCCACGCGGCAAAGGTGGTTTCTTTCGTCGGGTACGATGGGAGCGAACCAACCTCATACCGTTTGCGCTTCAAGACCGACGATCAAGCCAAGAGTTTAAGGAACGCCTTCGATCGCGACCTCGCCTCTGCAGAATAGACTTATCGTCCTACTCCCTACCGCATCTGAGACTAATCTACATTGCCTCTCATCATTCCCCTAGCATAACTGCCCCCGCATCACGTATACGTACAAACCGCTTTAACTCAATCTACTTGGCTCCAAAATGACTCTGAGCATTATGCCATATTGAGTTGAGCACAAACGCCTCGCTCAGCAGCATTTCAATCTCGTGGTCGTCCCAGTCCTGAGTGGGTGGTGACTGGAGAAACATGATGATACCCTGCGAAGTAATAAATTCAATATCCTTTTAAAGCAAATCAGAAGAAATACCTGGAAATCCATCTTGCGGAGTTTTTCGCTCCATTTGACGAGGAAGGCAGAGCAAACATAGAGGTGGAACTGAGAGAACGCGTCTGTACCCTCAGCCTCGGGGAATATGAGCTTAATTGCATGATAACGAGAAGCAGCTAAACCAACCAAATAGGTGTCCCACATGCGAATGGTATTCTGCACGCTTATTTCCCGCATAAGCAGGCAGTTCATCCACCGAAATGCAAACTGCATAAACTCGACACTCTCGGATTCGAGATGTGCGTACAGTGGAGCTGGAGAGGACATCACCACATCAGTGGCAAGGAGAGGTCTTGAAAGGAGTTCAACTATACCATCAATACGCGCAACCAGTTCAGCCATCCTTTTGACGCTTCGTTGAATACCAGGCTGTGTCGCAATGTAGTTGTCTTGTATGCCATCAAGGAGACGAGAAAGACACCAAAAGGAGTCGGCTTCAACGGCATCTCTGACGTTCTCAGGTAACAGAGCAGCATCAAACTGCTCTGGATCAGAATCTGAAAGCAAGCTCAGATGGTTGTATGGCTTTGTACTTTCGAACGCTAACCTATGTATGCCGAGAGGAACACCTGGAAAAATGGAGTGACAAGGTCATTGATGCCCTGTACATACCCACTGGCCGGATGTCGAATGGCCCAAACGTAAAGGATGCGCTCGAGGCTCTGCCGGGCCCATAAGTGTCTGATAGATGGTTCCACCACGTCTCACGTACGCGTTGGGTATGCTCCTGCATCCACAAACGGGTTCCCGGTCGTGTGCGTGGAACGTCAATTTCAATTTGATGCCAAATCTGCTGGTCAAGGCCTTGTCGCTCCTTCTTGAACGCAAGTTCAACCAGAGACCGATATTCCTCCCGTTTTCTGGTCAACGTCGCACTGCGTGCGGGGGCAGCCAATGGTAGATAACCCTGTCCTTCATGAGTCGCAGTTTGACACGTTTACTTCTACTTACCAGAAGAAGAGGCCATACCACAGGGCGCAGAGTTGATGGAGTACCCGCCCAGGCAAGTTTCCGAAGCTCAGCTAGATCGGCAGACAAGTGTTTATGGGCGCGCCATTTAACGCTGAGGCCAGCTCATCGCTCACCAATATTGATATCGTCCTTTCGGAGGCATTCGATGAACCTGAGGCGCCGATTCGTGCGGATAGATCTCTCACGCATGAGTTTCGCTGAATCGCTCGGCGAAGCCGATCGCACTGCTTTAGGTGGATTGTTCGCTTCTGGCTCAGTCGACTTATGTATGCTTACGAACGGATCTGAGAGGCTGCTGAGCGTTGAGAGTGTCTGCGTGTAGAGGAACTCACCATTGACAATCTTATCCACGTCTGGTTTGAGTGTGGAGGGTGGGGCTGGCTTATTACTGTGTGTCTGCTCCGATTCGTCAGGATCGAAGTCGCCCACAACCATGTCACAGTCGGATTCAGCTTCAACCGAGCCATCGCGGAGCACAGCTACTCGAGGTTGTGTATTGGTGTTGGGTATGCTGGGTTTACGGACGATGGTCCAACCGCCCTTATTTGGCGGTGTGCTGTTACTTTCGGTCTGTGGAGGGGAATACGAGCTAGGGCTCGGGGCATTAAGGTGCGTATATGAGAATGCAACGTTTGATGAAGGAGGGTTGTTTGGTGATCTTGGGACGGGTTGGGGAGCTGACACGGCCGAGGATGTCGTGGCTAACTGCCGCCTGGAGTTGGCTGCCCATCCATGCGAGATGGTGGACGTGCGGGGTTCCTCAGAATCGGATCCGCTGTCCCATGCGTCATCTTCTGCCCAGTCTTTTGAGCTGTGAGTGGCGAAGGAGGAGCTAGGATTAAGGGCGGTATGCGGACGCGTTGGAGGTGGCCTTGCCGCCATAGTGCATGTGCACCACTCGATACTTGGTGCTTTCGGTACGGCTAGCACGCGCCCGTGGGAACAACAAGCCATTCCAGACTTCGTCATTAATATTAGAGCAAAGCTCGAGCTGTGTCTTGATTGTATGTAATTGATTCTCGGAGTATACTACACATATACACTAGTGGACACGGACCTGAAGGCCAGCTGAAGCTTGAAGCTTGGAGCCACTTCTCTAGTGCAGCCACTAAACATGACATCTCTCGTTCATCTGGAAGAGCTATGTTAAATAGAGACATTGCGAGTTAACAGGAGTGTCTGTCGGTGATCTCAAGCTGTCTCAAGAAATCTAAGACGTACAACGTCATTTTTATATTCAGAGGTACTTGGAGGCTTCACTCGAATGACAGACACTTTTTTGATATCCTATCAGGAATTTTGCTGTGCAGAAGGGTATGATAGATCATGCATTCAAACATTTTACAACATACAGCCGAATCGTTAAAGTGCAAACAATTGGATTAATCGTCAGTCTTCTTTTGCAGGATGTCTTCCTCCATCCAGCCGTAATATCTTTTCAGTTTCTTGCTCCACTCTTTGAGTAAGATAGGGCCGATGGTAGTGTCGGGGTGTGCTGTCAACAAAAATGTCGGGAATTGTCATGATACTCTAGCGGCTGCACTTACGTTTATGGAAGGAAATCGACTAGAGGGTATTTCCGTTTAGTTTGTAGAATAATCGAGGAACAAGTTGCACTTACTCGATCTTTTCCGCCCGGTGGGTCGAAACGAACACTTGAGCCTGCGGTACTGGGGTCGTACTCAAAGCCCATCTCAAGCATAACCTAACCAAAAACATGAACCTGGGGCATCCGAAGTCAAAGATTGGGCTGACCCTAACGAAATTTTCCCATTTCATCGGTTTGATACCCTTCGTCGTATCCTCCGATGTGTTCAGTAGTTGGTGCATCAAGCCGGTCGCCTTCTTGCTCAAATTACCAAAAAATCCTCCCTTCCTGCCCCCCTCCGGCTCTTCGTCTATTTTCTCTTTCCCGTCCCTATTCAGGAATCCTTTTGTGGAGAAAAGGGAAGCATGACCAGGCCGTGATTTGATCTTTTCCTTCGCCACCTCCTTGCCCGCGAGGTAAGAGTGTCCGGATTGCACCGTAGGGGTTCGCTCGAGGGTGAGAGACGCCATGGACGCGCTTGTCGACGAGACAGATGGAGGTGTCTTCTTCGCTGGGCTCTTCGCAGGGCTTGTTACAGGAGGGCTTGTCGCCTTGGTAGGCGCTGGCTTCTGTGTTGGGGCAGGAGGCTTTGACGCGGGCACAGGTGTAGGTGCGTCCTCCGCCACGGTATCTAGGCCGGCATTCTCGCTCTTCTTCTTCTTAGACTTTTTCTTTTTCTTCTTCTTGGTGGTTGATGCCGCATCTTCGTCCTCTACCTCTTCAACGGTAGCCTTCTGGCTCTGAGGTTGCTGGGGAACAGATAGCGTAGGACCTACGGAATGTCAAGATATTATCGGCCTCCTGTAAAACAATGTGTACCTGTGTCTGATGGAGCCGGCCTTAGCTGAGGAACCCGTTTCTTGCGAGGACCTGGAATCGGCGGGAGAGGGGGTAGCTCATCCTCAGGGATCTTTGAAAGATCAAAATCTAACTGGTAGGGCTTAGGAGCCGGTTTTTGGGATGGCTTCGGAGCAGCGGGAGCTGCCGCAGGCTTCTTCCTAAACAACCCAGTTCGAGGTTCTGTACGGGTGGTGGAGGTCATTGTCGAGTCCGATGAAAACATGCGCCCTGTCAAAGGCTTAGCACCCCGTTATCAGAAACGATCCTTTATCTTCACCTCGTAAGGATCCCAATAGCTTCAGGAATGGATTGGTTTTCCTTTCCTCAGCCAGCGCCTCGAACTCGGGCACCTCTGTCTTGGGATCGAAGAACTCTGGGATTGCCATCGCAGCGTCCATGGCCTCCCGCTCCATCCCTTTCATCAATTCTTGCTGTTCGGAGTCGTATCCCGATTCATCATCGTCATCATCGAACCAGTCTTCCTCTTCCTCGTTCCCATCTGATTCTGATTCACTTTCGTCGTCCCAGTCGCTTTCGTCTGACGAGTCTGAAACAGATTGCAAAGAGGGCATGGAATCGTCGCTCTCTTCGGCGCGGCCGTCTGTAATGGCAAGCATCTTCTTCTGGGTCTTCTTGTAAGTGAGAGCACCACGTTTTGGCTTGCGCGCCTTGACAAGAGCGCCTGGAGTAACTTCGGGGTCACTCTCGTCCCCGGCGTTCCTAATTGCCCTTGGAACAAACACGACTGTCCATTGGGGCGTTCTTTTGAGAGCTTCTTCCAGGTGCCACACTGTGTCAAGGTTTTCACCGCATACAGCTTTGTAGTTCTGCAAACAGGAATACATGAGTACACACAAAGTCTCTGCCCGATCTGCTCACCTCGTTAATCGTTTTCCATAAGTTTTCCAAACCTGCCGCATTCTGTGTCTTTTCCAGCGGAAAGGCAAGATTCTGAAAGTTCTCAGCAAGCGCCAATGCCCGAGTCGAATAGATCTGAGCATCGTGCCACGCTTCATGTGCTTCAGCCATTTGATGGGGGTACTCCTTAATCTTCTGTCCCTCGGGGCCAAGGAGAGGACTTTCCAATAGTTCTTGCAGCTCAAGAGTAACCTAGAGGATGAAGTCAGCCCAGTCGTTCCCGCTGTTTGCATACAACTGACCGAAAGCTCGCCAACGGCGTCCCAAAGTAACTGCGGGAACCTCTTGGCTTCCCATGGGGATTCGTCGATTGCGTCATGTAGAATGGCATACAGGATGCGCTTGGGATAAGGCGCCCGAGGGAAACATAACTCAACAATGATAGAATCCAGAAACGATTTGCAGGCATCCTTCATACTCCCCCAATCGAAGGACACCTCGGGCTCTCCTTCCTTAACACCTTGCACAGTGTTAAAGTAGCGTTGATAGTGAGCTAGTCTTGTGAGGCAAGGCAGAGTGAATAATAGAGTCCATCACGTACGAGCATTTTTTGCCAATGTGGAGAAGTTTCTTTGCTCCACTCCAACAAGCTCGTTCACAAAGTCGAGCAGAGCGAGATATCGAGTGCGGAGAGTCTCATCCTTCTTGAGTTGTCCCTGTGCATTCTTCGCGGACAGTCCCGATTTTTCAATGCTGCGGAGTAGGTCCAAGGTAATCTTCCAAGCAGAAGCAACCATGTACGAATTATGGATCCTAGTAACAAACCTTGGATTGTAATATTGACAAGGGTTTATGCAAACTGCACTTGCCTGGTAGCAACGGTCACAGCAACCTGCGAAGCATCGACCTCATTCCACTGACCGTTGCGTGATGTGCGAGCTGTTACTTCCTTGTCAATCTTTGACTTGAACAACTCAGGATCCTGCAAATCGCTGATGTCGTCCAAGTACGCTATGCCCCGCATATTTTGCGGCTCAGAAATGTCTCTCGTGCACGGAGATCAGGGAAGAATGCCTACCGTTGAGCTGAGAATCAGCAATCTTGATACACTTCTCCATGTTTAGCGGAGACATCACTGCAGAGCGCGACTGGTTGATCAAGTCCTCTGCGCAAGATAGGGATTCCGCTTTCTGTGGTACATCAATGCATGACATGACGAACCTGCAATGAGATCGAGCTTCTCTCTGCCGCTAATCTTGCCAGAGACCACCATCTCTCCAGTGCCCTGGGAGCCATACTTGCCGTTCCTGAGGATCAGAGCGCGTTCTGTTGAGGGTTTCTTGCCTTCATCGGTACGCTTGCCGCCATGCTTGGTAACCTGTACGTGTCTGGCGCCAACACGTACGAGCTCACGCGAGGTAGAGGGTACAGGTGTTTGCTTGTCGGATTTCTTCTTTGACATCGCAACGGGGTTGTCAAAGACGAAGACGACGGCAAGGACAAAGAGTCGTTTTAAGATAGTGTTACCGTAAATTGAAATGCATCCGACGTCCGACATCTTAATTGGCCATGGAAATCAGCGACTATCGTCGCGTTACGCACTGTTACGTGCATGCAGTGTGTATTCCTGTGATATAAACGTCACAGTCTACTCCTTGTCCACCCCGAATCGAAGTGATAGCAAAGTTGAATTTTACTGGTGTTTATAGAAGAGAAGGTGGGCATCATGGGTGCACAACCTGAAGGCCTGATGCATCGTGCTGGAGTCGTATCCCATGATGTGTGCAGGCTGTACTCTAATACTCACCGTGTAGGTACGTCCTAGCAAGACGACAATCCTCCTGCCCAAAGGAGGGCTACGATACCGATGGACACAGCAAGCCTCTCTGATCCTCACTCACCAACATGAAAAATCAATGATGGCTCCGATGTTGGTAGCTGACACAGCAGCGGGAATAAGTTTTGGACACGGAGGCCGCCTAGCCTGTCAGGAACGTGTTGTGAACTCACCCATGCAGAGCACGGCCAATTAACAACATGCTGCTAATTTCATGTACTCAGCGCTGCCTTCCCGTGCAGCTCGTAACCAGATCTGTGTAGATTGCAGCAGCGGGAACGAGATGGCTGCGCGGCTCCGATTGTTCGTTCACAGGAGACTGGTCGCTACCCTCGTACGGTTGCAAGCAGAGCGCTGCTTGGCAGTATGAGTGCTTCATCTGTACAGGCTCGACTGTTCTGCACTTGTGTTAGACCTGGGCCTGGTGTTTGAAAGCAACATGGACCAACCTGAAGTAGTCGGCATGCTTTGTTGAGGATACGGGCCGAGCGGAACGGTAGTTGAGAGGAGACGAGCGTGAGGAGCCGAGTGAGCCGAGCGCATGGCATCGCCGAAAATAGGTGGGCGTTCATCCTCATCGCCCTAGAGACGGTGTCTTTCCAGAAGCCATGAAGACCGACAATGGGTGAGTCGCCATGTCCTAATCCTCCTCTGGCATTCTCTCATAAAGCACCTCCACTTTTCTATTCTCTCTTTCATTGTCCTCCGTCGCCAGCTGTGCTGTGCTCCTATTTTCCCTTCTAGCTTTTCTTTGGTCTCCCTCTGTTGTGATTTGAGCCGACTCGGAGCTGCGCTCGTGTCCTATCCCGCTTCCCCAAATAAACATAGCCAACACTCCACTTTCAAGCACCTTTCTTTAGCTCGTGCAGATCACCATGGGCAATCTCGTCTGGCACGATCTCAGCCGTCTCATTGCCATTACCGCTAGTCTTTGTATGTTTATTCGTTGCTCTCTCTGTTTGCGCTTCCACTCAAGCACACTCGTTTCTTCTCTCTTCACGTTACAGACACAGTTTGGTCGGGCTATTGGGGCTTGTTCTACCGCAAGTTCTTTTGGGATTTCGTCGGAGGCATTCTGCGAAACCCTGGTGGCTTGCAGTGCGTTGCTCCTGCCAGCATGTCTTCGACTGACCCTCACTTCATGCTTTAGGCCATCTCCCAAGGTTATTGGTTTTATCAATGTTATTGTCAAGGCACCGGTTATACAGATTTTGGCCATGATTGTCGGTCTTGGATTGCTCGCATTGGAGTGGCCTCTGCCACTGTTCAAAGGGACTGCCATACATCGCAGCATGCCTTTGCGCATCATAATTCTCCTTGTACAGGCCTCTTTGACCGTGCTTTATTATCAGGTGCGTTTGCCGCCCCCTTTTGTTTCCTCCTGAGCAGCTTAATGACAACGGGATCTACTCCCAGGGAACAAATGCAGCGTTATATTCACTTATAGCGGCCGGCGCTTACACGAGAGCCATCATGCTCAACGAAACTTACGAGGAAGCTAAATCCAACAGAGGACAGACGGGCGCGGCCTAGCCTTTGTGCCGTGCCTCATTGTTCAGGCATCGAAGAGTGGACGGCGGAAGCAGGGCTTTGCGCATAAGGGCGGAGACAACGGCCTCGCGTATTGCAAGTGTCGTGGGTTTCTTGGGCAGGTTCCCTTATTGTTTTGGTTATGCGGGCTTGGTCCCGAAATTTGCCTTTTGTTCTCGGTACGGTCGTCATATATACTGAGCCTGTTCCGACGGTTGTGTGTACGATTATGGATGCGCCTATGGTAGCTTCAGCTTTGGTGAGGTACTACATGAGCATCGTGAAGTGCTTGTCGCGGTTGGCATGGATGCGTGAGCAGGTAGTATGCCCACAAAGAGGACTTGGAGTCACTCGCTGCTACAGGTCGATTTTCTCAAGTCATCTCAGTGGCTCCGCTATCTTAATTAGATCTTATCAGCCAAGGTTCGGTGTCAGATCGCTTATAATCTTCCGGGACACTACCTCTCCAAGACCTGCCAGTCGCCTTTGACCGGAATTGCTAAACCCCATATGACTTTGACGAGTGCAGACGTCCTCTCTAGTCTCGAAAACAAGTACGAAGATGCACGGGAAACGGGAGATCTCATTTTCTTTCCATCCGAGCAGATCGTAAAGCATGAAGAAGACGGAATCCAGGTATGTTCCTCCATTCACTCGATAGAATGCTCTGTGGGCCTTGATAACCTGACACATCACGCAAACATAGTACGAGATTAGGGTGTGCACCGCTCTTAAGAACAAAGCGTCAGTGACGACTGCAAACAATGAAGTGACCGAAAGCAAGAAGCCAAATCCCTTCGCGCCACCTTACAACGAGAAGCTATATATCGGAGACATGTACGATGCTGAGGAGGATCTCTACTATGCAGTTCTAGTGAGTGGTCTGATTTAAAGTCACAGACTAGGTTCTCATGTAGATCATGTGGAGTCCTAGCTCAACAAGTTCTCAGTTGTGCCGCATCACTTCCTTCTTGTGACAAAAGGCCAGTCTTCATTCACATTCACGTCTTTTGTGGACTGACCAAGGTTCATGATAGTACAGAGTTTAGACCACAGACGTCGCCCCTCCTACCTTCCGAGCTGTATATGACATACAGTTTGTTACTGGCCGCACGCAAACAGGGCAAAAATTATCTCGCGTTTTACAATTGTCTGTCCCTCATTCCTACCCTGCCTTCATTATTGACACCCTTTGGAAGGTGGTCCACAGAGTGGCGCTAGCCAGCCGCACAAGCATGTGCAATTCATCGATGCTGAGGATGGCATCCCTCCCATTGAGCGCCTCGCAAGGACCACGCAGCTCGAGGTTGCAGGTAAGTTTGTGCCTTCTATGGCGTTCTGAGTTACTGATACCGAACGATCTTCCAAGATCGTCCGTTCAGTCTGAGACGCCTCTCATACGCGAATCATGTCCGCCGCCTTCCGGACCTCTCCTTAGCATCGCCCACCGAGGTCGCAGACAAAATCTCTATGGCGTATGTCTCGCTTCTAGATCTCGTCATATCCACAATCCGATATGATCCAACTTACCCGTCTGGACCTCCGTCATATAACATGGTCCTCACACTCGAGCATATGCACCTTATCCCTCGGCGATGGGAGGAGTACACTATGCCTGAATCCGGAAAGAAGCAAAACGTGAATGCACTCGGGTTCGCAGGTATGCTACTGGTGAAAAGCGATGAAGAACTCGAAGCTGTTAAGAAGGAGACCGTCAGTAAAATCTTACACGGGGTGGGTGTGGAGAGTGTACATGACATTGAGGTAGCAGGTACAAGCCTGGAGGCTGCAGAGGATGAGTAGTTACGAAAAGCTTTTTGGTGCCCTTTCAATGCAGATACTAGGTTCCCCACGGTGCTACATATGAGGTCCTTTGCGTTGAAATAAATTGTCCAAGGTCTCGACCTGGTGAAGTGTTTAGAGTACCAAAACACAATCACTGATCTTACCAGTGTAATAAAATTGTCTTCACGTATGATGTGCGCTACCAAGGCCTCGAGTTCGTTGGAAGGGAGTGCATATAAGGAGGAAGGGTCTGGCAAGATTTCTAGAGACCGAGTACCCGCATAAGAGCCCGAGGAGCCAGCAGGTTTCGTGGAAGCAAGTGAGGCAGTCGAGCTGCTTTTGCTGGAGTACGGTGGAAAGGAAGAATTAGGGAGTGAGGAGTCAATTGGCTGGCTGGACTCCAGCTGATTCGTTTGAAAAGGCGGCGCTGAGCCATGACAGGTAGGCGTGTGTCCAGAGTAATGAAAGGTCCGAGCTGGTGGTGGCCTCGCAGTCATCTCGGAAGAAGTCGCGTAGGAGGATACATTCGAGCTACAATCGACTGCTCGCTGAGGGCTTGAAGATGGAAAGTTTAACAACTGGACGTCGGACGATTGTGTAGAGTGGATGCCCGGATCCATAGGAACATGCTTTCGAGCCTGTTGGGCTATTTCAGCGGATGCACTCGCGTGTGTGGCTTGCTGAGAGGAAGAAGTTAAACTAGTGTCAAATCGGGGAAGTTGCCTAGGAGGAGGCATATCTTGGTTCTGTTTTTGATTCTGCGGTAAGAGGCTGGCCTTGCATGGACAAACGTCACGGATGGCCCCAACCAGTTCTGACGCTTCGGCGGGGGTTTGAAAGACAACCTGGAATCGTCGATACGACTACCCTGACAGATGTGAAATCGGAGTAAGCGACGTTGAACGAGGCTCACGGATTTAGTGCCAGGCTGTATGCGCGTGGGATGAAGGTATCGCATCCCAATGACATTGTCGCGATAGATTGCTTTTAGAGGAAGACTTTGAACATCAGAGTAGTTTTGAGGTGGTAAAGAAGAGAACTCGAGGAGATCCACGTCTTCCTGACGTCGCAGCAGCTGAGGAAAAGGTTGTGCCGGAGTATGAGACTAAGAGCTCACAAAGATCATGTCTGGCTGTCGGGCATTGTTGTCGAGAAACCATGCGACTCTGAGGTGGACGGAGGCAAAGCGACCGTCGAGATGTTTCTTTGTGTCAAGATGTAATTTGATGGCAGGGCCAGTATAGTGCTGCCAAGACTGAGAGATATCAGAAACACCATTGCTAGACTGAGCCGGAGAGTGTGCTGGGTGAGCCCGAGAGTACTTGACAAGCGTGTAGGACAGCGAGTTGATGGAGAGAGGAGGCATGGCACTGATGGCAGGTGTAAGCAAGCAACAAGCTCAAGCTTGACTCAGACAATATGACTGTTGGGATCCATCTGCCAAATCCAGCTGTTGTTTGGGCATTGTTTACCGCTGCCAATTTAGGCACAGGGGCTGGTGGATAAACCGGAGCGCGGCTCCATGCATGTCATCGTCCTGCGTCTCCAAACGGCCCAACACGACATGAATACCCAATTGCATAGGTTGCTCAGACCATCCTGGTCACCAGCACTCCCAAACTCTGCCCTTCCCTCCCGCAGCTTGTTCTTCCTCTGCAAATCTCATTCCTATTGTCCCTAACAGTGTATCACCTATCCAAACCTTGCAGAACATCGGTCGAGGTCAGTTGTCTCCTACGTCATAGGTCGACACTGAACGCTAACCATTTGGTCAATGTTTTTGTTCTGAAACTTAGTGAGTATGAGTCCTACGCCGACTTATACGACCCCAACGCGTTCACTACGCATAAGGGACAATACTAGTACTTGGACGAGTACTTCCTCGCCACCACCAGGGTACGCACTTGATGTCCATGAGCACTATTCCTCTGCTCACGTCCTTTAACACTTTTAGGCATAAACCAACCACTCCCCTCGTTTCTGGGACAGTCTGTGGTGGTCTTGTGGCCATCGCTTGGCTATTCACGCTTGTCTGGTATATTTATCGTCGTCGCAATCGCGTCAGAAAAGACCGGCTAGTTGAGGCTGGCGTTGAGGAGCCTCCCCCGCGCAGGCAGGGTGACAAGTACATCATACCACCAGACCCAGCTATCCTCGAGGGCCAGAAGGAGCCTGGCGCCCGCGTCACCGAAGACGATATCGCAGCCAGTAGCTCAAAACAAGCAGAAGCTGGGCCTTCATCTGCGGCCGAGCCAACCTCCATCATTCATCAGACTGTATCAGATCTTTCGGCAGGTGAAAATATCACCAAGCGAGACTACGCAGCCTCCAGGAAGGCAGTGGCCGCTCACACCAACGACCCACCGGCTGGACCTTCAGAAGCATAAAGAGCTTTCCTGTCTGCATCACGACCTCATACCATCCAAATTAACGTTGGACGTTCACTGGGCATTACTTATACACGCCACAATGCTATAGAACTTTTATGAATAAATCCCGGATACCTATCAGCTTCAATGTAATAACCCACAATGCATTTACTGTATACATGCCTAGCTAGCGATATACATCATGTCTTTGTACCACGACATGCACATAAATACCATCAAGCAAGATGTACGGCTAATCGCAGTAGGCGCCTTCGCTCGCCGGCTAATAACGTTCACTTATCAGTTCTGAACCCTGTCCTCGCTTCAGTAAGACTCACCGCAACATCCCGGGCATACCGGTATAGGACTCCTCTCCTCTCCTTGAGCTTGTTCTTTCCAGACGTGTCCCACTCCTGCTTACGGCGGACCTTCTCCTCCTCGCTCACATTCCAGTCGATGGCACGGCCAGCAGAATCAATGACAATAGGATCGCCGTCTTTCACGAGCGCGATAGGACCGCCGACGATTGCCTCGGGAACGACATGTCCTAGATAAACAAATGTCAAAGCACCAGACGAATGTGCTATCTTGCCCACTCACCGATGATGAAACCTCGAGAGGCGCCAGAGAAACGACCATCGGTGATAAGAGCTGTAGAGTTCCCAAGTCCTGCACCCATTAGAGCGGCAGTAGGACCCAGCATCTGCCCCGTACGAACTTTAATTTGATGCACGTCAGGCTTATTCTAAGAGTCTCACCTCCGGCATCCCGGGTGCTCCTTTGGGACCTTGGTATCTAAAGATGAGAATGGTGCCTGGCTTAATCTCACCCCTCTCCAAAGCAGGGTAAAAGCCTTCCAGGCTGGTGGGCGTTAGCTGTTATTCCTTCATAAGTGATATCGATGACTCCTTACCTGTCGAAACATTTGGCAACACCCTTCCGGTTAACACTGGTCAGTATCGCCCTCAGGTTCGAGATCAGAAGTGTATAGAACCTACCTCAAAGCGCAGGCCTTCTTTTCCTGTCAGCTTTGCCACGGCCGTTCCAGGAGCCAACGTTCCTTTGAGAATGGTCAAATGACCAGATGACTTGATGGGGTTCTCGATCGGCCTAAAGATGTCCTGGTTGTCGAAGTTGAGCTCGGGCACGTCCGCATAGTTCTCTGCCAGCGTTTTCCCAGTGACCGTCATTTGGCTGCCGTCGATCAAATCCGTATGCGCGAGCAGGTACTTAACCACCGCCGGAATGCCACCGATCTTGTGCACGTCCTCCATGTAATACTTTCCAGAGGGCCTATGGGCATACATGTCGTCAGCACGGATATGAACATTTGGGGATATTCAGCACTTACTTCAAGTCTGCGAGATATGGAGTGCGATCGGAAATCGTCTGGAAGTCGTCAATTGTAAGGTCGATATCGGCCGCACGAGCCGCGGCCAGAAAGTGTAAGACCTATAAACATGTCAGTGTCAACACGTATACCCTGATTCTTTGCCACGCACCGCATTGGTCGATCCACCGAGGATATTAACGATGGCGATGGCATTCAAGAAAGATTGGCGGGTAAGAATGTCGCGAGGCTTAAGGTCAAGCTCCAGCAAACGCTTCATGTAACTAGCAGCACGCGCGCACTCCTGCATCTTGGCCGGATACATGGCCGGCGTGCTGGATGAGAAAGGCAATGACATGCCTAGGACCTCGAGTGCGGAACTCATAGTATTCGCACTATACACACCTCAGCTTCGCGCGATCTATAAGATGTTTATAAATGTCACGTACGTGTACATTCCACCACAAGCACCAGGGCCGGGACACGAGTGGCGGACGACGTCGAACCTTTCCTCATCGTTGATGAGGCCTACAGCATAAGCGCCTTAAAATATCGAATCAGTAATTCTTGCAGTGGTGACAAATATATGCTCTACCATAAGATTCAAAAGCGTCTGAGATGTTGACTGTCCCGCCCGTCTTGTAGCCCATTGAAGGGCAGTCTACATGCCGCGTGCCTACTTGGATGGTTCCTCCATATACAATGATGGTAGGCCTATTGTGGCGAGCTGCTGCCATAAGGACACCTGGCATGTTCTTGTCACATCCGGGGATGGAGATGTTCCCGTCGTAGTGCTGGGCCTACGACACATATCTCCCTTTAACGCAGGTTAATGTTTGAGATAACACGCAGGCATACGAGCGTAACCTGCAATGGGTGATAGGAAGTCAGCTTAAATGTCGTCTGCTACGCAGTCGGGAGACCTACAGCTTCTACAGAGTCTGCAATCAAGTCACGGGAGGGAAGGCTGCAAAGGACCAACTTAAGAGGCCTGATCGAGAAATAGCCAGGGCACATACGAGTAACGCATTCCTATGTAATACGATATATTAGGGCATCAGCCAGTACCCAAACTGAAGAAGATGTACCATCTGTGCCCATAGTGATAGCGTCACTGTTAAGCAAAAAAGTTCAGTTGTCTGCAGGTCCTACGCATTGACTGAACAGTGCAATACCTAACCCCAATGGTGTTAAATATGAGACCCACCAAGCCTTCATCTTTGCACCCTTCTTTGACTTGCTTCGCAAGATCAAGCTGTGGACTGTGTCACTTGGTTGTGGATCTATCAGCTGCTAACCGCTCACAAGATGAAAGTTACATGGGTTCCCTTTGAGTACTGTGAGCCATGTGTAATGGGGACGACTAGGTAAACACGAATTACCTTCCCACCATATCGGAGAAATACCAATCTAGAAACGCGGATATAACTTTCTACGTCATTGGATCGCAATTTTGAAGTACTGTACCTGAGGCTTATCCATATCCTCTTCAGTCAAGCCAGTGGCATAGACTGATTCAAGAGAATTTTAGCCTGAAAATCACACAATGTCAATCTCACATACGCATAGCTTGTGCGCCTCCACGAGCCTGCCAGATAGCTCAGGCCTCAGCTGATGAGCGGCCATTGTGTACAGCACAATTCCATACCTTGTCTTGCGTCAAGGCACTGGAGATCTTGTTCAGCTTGCCCCCTTTGGGCACATAGGTCGTGCGAGACACTGAATGACTAGACGCGTAGAGCACACAATGAGTTTGACAGTCAACAATAACGTTCGTTACAGGTTTGAAGAAGGGCTCACATTTCGACTCCAGACATGGTGAGAACAGTGAGCGATAACTACTTGATCAGACTGGGGAGCCACAAGGCCTTTTTATTGACGGTAGTACTGTAAGTTCGGACCGGGTGTGAAGTCAAATCACCATGTCTCATGACGCGTAGGAATATTGTCTCATGACCCGTGAGCACCATCTGGGGGAGAATTCGGCGAGGAAACGAGGAATTCGTCCACCTACACACACGACCGGCTTCCCGTCAAGCTGTAATAGGCACCTCATCTCTGGAACGGGACAACAGTTTGAGGGGGGCTGCGGTCGGCACATGTGAAGTAAGGGCGGCCAAAGGTCGAGCCGTCGGTGGGTTCGCATCCGTCTGAGCTTGGAACGGTGTCATCTTTATGCCTGATCATGGGTCCGAATGAGCCAGGTGTATGTATAAAGATTACGGGTTGGTGACGTGTGCCGATATTAACGAATTCGCGAAGGTTGTCGCTGATCTCTGTTTTTGCGTGGCTTTCGTCTTTACAAAAACATCCGAAATTGCACCAGTGATAGTGCGTTATCAAGTTCTCACGCATGGACGACACCCGCTCAACAAATCCATACCTTTCAATTCGTCAGTGACTCTGACAAAGATGGTAAGGTGATGCTTCCTTTGTGTTTGTATATCCATTTCAAACTAGCTAGGATGATCTTACTCGCTACATCCTAGAGTTGTTCTGGAGTGTCCAAGGTGTAATCTCTGATTAATACTAGATTTCCTGAGACCTTCGGTCGGACTCAACGCCCGATGTGAGGGACACACCGCGTCTAGACTCGAATCTAGGCTGATACGTTCGCCTCCATAGGCGGTTTACAAGTTATGTTAGAAAAATACCTAGTGGTACCAGCCTCTCATTCTTCACTATCTCAAGCAGATGATTGCGATGAGCATGCTCAAGGCGTTCACAACACTGGGATGATGACGGTGTTACACGTCCTCGGGACAAGTTTACATTTTCTTACATCCACCCAAACAATACTTCTACATGCAACGACGCGTTCAGGCTATGTGGACTCAAGAGCGCCACGTCTATGAATGAGGCGTTGAACAAGTACCAACCCTTGAAATTCACTCACAGGTTTAGACTCTACGCACCACTCTATTTGCAGGTGCACTTGTCCTTGGAACAGTTGCAGCTGTGTTAATAAATGACAGATGAGCACAACAGACTAGCTGTACGCGATAACAGCAACTTACGAGGTGTTGCAGTTGCACTTGGAGTCAGACATATTGTCGAGAGCTTGATATAAAGCTAGGCGACACGTCAGCATGAGGATTAAGATCTGATCTGAGGTGGCCTGTGCTTACAGCAGGAGATGATTATCGATGTAGTGGTGGTGCGGGAGGTTGCTGAGCACTATGATCCAACAAGCCATGGGTTTTTATAGCTGGGGCGGGACACATGTGCCAGCACACTCATCTCACCCATCCGTGTGCGGTGTACGGCCCATGGCCCGCGATAGGCAGTGTCCTCGCCTCTCATCAAGATGAAAGATGGAAGGGGGTGTACCCGCTTGAGTTTCGAAGAACTTCGACAACAAGGGCGCGCATCCATACAAGCTGTCAATCATCAAGATGAATCATGCGGTAGAGAATCGTCTAGTACATCGCGATAAAGGGGTCGTACTGTATATCCGCTATAGTGCCTAGAAATCCATGCCCTGCTGTCTGAAAGCGTCAAGGTTGGCATGGGTCTCGGGTTTGGCCATCTCGGCAAGGTCACTCCGGTTCTGATGTTCCGTCAGCATCTATGGAGAGATATAAGCTTGGGGAGATTGCTCACCATAGCGAGGAAGGCGCGTCTAAGAGTAAACCACAGCTGTTCGCTGGTGCGGCCACCACCATTGGTTTCTTGCATACTCAACGCGCTAAGGAAGTGCTCGGCGGCTTCTTTGTGCGCTCCGATATTCATACCTGTGCATGAACTTGGGTAAGCTATCTGCCATAGATGGCAAGACTTGGGCGAATCTTACAGGCGACGCCGACATTGTAGATAGCCCGGGTATACGTTGGCCGGAGGTTTAGTGCCTCGCGGTAAGCACCGAGGGCCTCCTCGGGTTTGTTCCCGTTGGATAATGAGGATCCTAATCTGTTCCAGAGAAGCCAGTCCTGATGCGATGGCAATCGTCAGAGAAAATGCAGATCAAGGGCGATAAATAACTCACTTCGGGGCGCTGACTGAGAGCAGCCTCGAAGCAATCCTTGGCACGGGTGTACTCTCCTGTGTTGTAGAAGAGTATACCGAGAGCAATCTGCACATCAGGATCCACGATGCCCTGACTGTATTGTTGCCTGGCTAATGATAAGTATGCATCGGTGATCTTCTCATGAGAGTCCCAGGTTGAATGGGACGCCACTGCTTGCTGAGTGGTCTCGGGTATCGGATGCGACGGGAATCGAGCACGCAGCCAGCGTAGTAGCATAACATACGATGCCCTCTCATATGATTCATTGGTGTAAGAGATGGCGAGTGACTGACAAACAGTCAGGTTGCATGCATCGAGGAAAGGCTGTAGCACGTACTATCATCCCTGCACCAGAAGCATTGGCGGTTTCTGCTCGTTTAACGCCCTCCGCTAAGGCACGCATCCCCAGCTCCTCTCGTTCGTCCATGTTCCTTGTTTCGCCCAGCAGTATCCACGCTTCGTAACCTCCTTCGCCAAGCTCTCCTTTCTGGATCGCAGCTTCGAGAAGTAAGGCAGCTTCGGATAGCGAGCCACCCCTATCGAGTAATGCTTTGGCCTCGCTTAAGGGGGAGGTCACCAGTGTTGATCCATCCAAGAATTTGTTGCTCGATTCTAGTGAAGCTAGTTTATATAGCTCGCAAGCATGGACAACATCAACTTACCAAAGGCATAATCAGACAGGATAGGAATCCCTTCTTCGTCAAATTTGACGGGCTCCTCAACAAAACCGTTCTCTCCCGAGTGACTATTCGCCCAGGCGTCCTGCATTGCGGCTCCGTAGTCGTAATCATTTTCCTCGCGGTCTGCCGCCATGAGTTGATTAAACTCAGCTTCCCATTTCGCCATGTCTTCTTGTGCCGGAGGCTTCTCAGAAGTTTGAAGTTGCTCCCATGCTCTGCGAAGGAAGTCAGACACAATTGCAGTGGATGTACCAAGATCCGTACGAAGCAAAATCAGATTTAGTGCCGCTTTCGCTGCTCTGATCGAGCTGGATTTCCTTGAGTGCCTCCTCCAGCGTCGTCGTGTCATCAAGCTCAACTATCCGAGAAGTTTCGTTGCCGATAGGGCGGAGCATGGCAGCAGCTTGGTCAAAAGCAGCATCGAAGTCAATTTCTTTGCCTTTGCCTTTTCCAACAGTGGCAGATTGGAACCCTGGATCGTAGTTCTGGAAGGCCGATGGTCCAATAGACATCCCATAACTCCCCATTGACGTTGAATTCATGAATGTTGAGCGTGGCACGGCGTATGAAGGGCCTTGGTCTGATCCTCATTAGCTAACAGCGCTCTTCGCCAGATAACCAAACGCACTATTGAGAGGAGCAGAACTGATCTGTGTTGAGGAGTTGGACGGCATGTACATCTGACCTGATGCACCAAACTCAGTTGCCCAGCGCGCAGGTCCGCCGCTATGATAGATTTGCTGTGGCTGTTCTTTGGACCAAACGGCGTCCAAGTCAGAGGATCGGTTTATCCCATTGAGACGGCTCGCTTCAGCAGGATAGAGCTGAGGAGGATGCATGAATGAGGGCTCTCCATGGCCCTGCTGATTGCCGAAGAACTGGCGGGCCATTGCCGCATCTCTCTCAGAGGTTTGTGCCGGTGCAGACCCCGGGAGGTGATGCAGCTGTTTCCTTAGTCAGAGAGTGGATAATATGTTATTGTCTGAGCATACCGAAGAAGACGAGGGCCCAGCTACCCTGTCCTAAGATTCATGTCAGCTCACCAGCATTGACTGGCCGGAGCGGACGGAGAGCGAACCTGCTGAAGGGTGCGATCACCCTCAGTGTGTTTCAGAACCTGCGAGAGAGGATTTGAAGGAACAGCACATTCCGAGCCAGAAATGAGACCTTGGAAGGACATTGTCACAGTTTCAAAAAAGCAGCGTCCCGTTGGCGAGGGGTTACTGATACACCTTTGACGGACGAGTGGAATTACGCTAAATTCACAGACGGACGGTGAGCCGGTGCTTACATAAGTGAATAGCCGGTTATAACCGGTACTGGCGGAATCTTTCGTCTAGCCAAGTTCAAACCATACGAAACAGAAAGACATAGCGGTAAACGTTGATCAAAATATTGCCTCCCTGACATATTCGATTATACACAGGTTATTAATTGTTTTCTAGTCAGAACATCCAAGGCGATATTCCTGCACCTGCCTGACGTGCCAATGCTTCAAAGTCAGTGGCGACCGTGTTCCTCGAGTCAAGTCTGTGTCCTGATCCACCGATGTTTTCGCCACATTCGGGGCATTGCGAACGCTCCACCGCCCCGCCGCACTGTAGCCGGGTTAGTACATTAGCTTCGCAGAACAAATAATAACCGGTCCTCACTTCAGTTATCACGAAGGTATGCCCGTTAGGGCAATTATAGAAATGTCCAGTGTGGCCTATATAGCTCGGTTTCAATGATATTGAATCCGAGAAGATATCAGCCCAGCCTACCAAAGTCTAGTGCCTTGACGATTTCCATCTGCTCGTCTAGAGACAGGCTCATAAAATGTGTCCATCCGTAATGACTTCAAAATATTCTCCCATTTGTCGGTGATTGTATGAGCTGTCTTCGAAAAGTTGTCTTCCAGCCATTTCCGTTCTTTCTCTAGATCGGTATTCACTGTAGTCATGCAGGGGTTGAGATAGTTGCGGACGGCTTGCTTAACCTCTTGCCCCGCCTGGTCTCGGCCACTTTCGACGCGAGCTATCATCTCTTCCCTATCGTCCTTCAAAGTCCCATTACTCCTACACATGAAAAGATTGAAGCAGAATTTCTCGAGGTCCACTCTGAGATGCATTAGAACCGTGGTAGTAGCTTGGCGAGGTGAACCGGAACTGATCGCAATGTTGAAAGCAAGATTCACGTCACGGGAACAAGTGGAGAATATGAAGTCAAGGTAGCTCGCCCAGACTGCGCGACTTGACTTAGGATATTCGTTTCCAAGCCTTGTCACCTCTTCGAGCCATGCTGTCCCGAGGCGAGAAAGCGCGAGCTGTATGTGAAGACTAGTCCAGATTGACTCAACGAGGAATCGCTTGTCAGCCAGGGGACGAGGTTGCCCGACCTTCCTCATGGCTTCTTGCCTAGCATGCTCCATAGGGCGCATGGGGGCTTGACTAGGATGGTCGACATAGCATTGAGTTTCTTGTTCATAGAGACAGGAAACAGATGCTTCCCATGCTCTGTTGTGTGCTGAGCGCATCCCGCCTGCGTCTGCAGCGATGCGATAGGCAGTGAAGAGTTTGTGAGTAGCCTTGCGCCATATATCGACAACAGGTGGTTCAACCTTGTGGAGTTTGGTGTTTGCCACATTGTTGTCTCGCTCCGATACAATGGTGCTATCCTGATTTGCTCGCAATGCCTTCTGTTGAGCCCCTCTGATGCTAGCGAGCTTGGGGTTCTTGACCTGAGGACTCTTTATGGAAGCAGCAGCTTTACGTAGAAAATCTTCTGCCTCGTTTACTGCGAAAGATTCCCATACTGACTGAGCCTCTGTAAGCCGCCGCGACATCTTGGAAGGAATGTTCCTTTCTAAGATATCCAAATCAGCTCTTTTGAAGATTTGACCGTAACAAGGCGACTTGATGGCGGTGCGACAAGTAGGACATGTCGGAGGACTCTTGAAACCATGAGGTGGACAGGCTAGAGTTTCCCAGCATCCTTGTGCATCCTGGTTGTAGTACTCTGTCATGCTGCAGATGCCATCGAGTGTTTCGACTGTGAAGACATGTCCACAGTGGGGCAGAGTTATGAGCAGTTCGTCCACGGTCTCCTCATCCACGTTTATTTCTTGTAGGGTCCATTGCATCACAAGATCGGCCACTTTGGATCTTTGATCCTCGGCTGCGCAAGCTGGACAGACTTGGATACGGCAGTCCTCACCACACACTAGGCATACAGTAAATCAAATACGGCTTTGAGTGTAAGTGTGCCACTAACCTGAGGGGCATCTATGGCCACAGCCTAGTTTTCTGTAGCACCTAAGGTCGCAAGGCAAGCGAGCACAGACCTGAGAATAATGGATAAATCTGTTGTAAAAGGACGAAAGCAATAGTAGACTTACTGATCCACATGGAACAGGACAAGTGTGATGACAACAGCGCCTATCCAAAAGTTTGTCAGTGTCAGGATAACCAAGTACAAATTCTCTGACCATTCGCAAGGCTTCTGACAAGGACAAGGGTCTGAACACTGTAGTTTGCATCGGGCATGAGAGCAGAACTGTCGACATGGCCGCAAACAACTAGTCGAATGCTGATGGTCCTCAGAGCACGGTTCTTGACATTGATGTCCACAGTAGAGCAGCTTGTCACAGCCATGCTTCCGATGATGAGCTCGCTCTATGTATTCCAGTCTGTCTGCGTTAGGCAAGCTCATCTCTTGACATTCGTGACAGGGTGCATTGCATGTCTTTCTGCAGCATGGCATCACACGCTCACAAATTTCCCGGCACTTGTGGAGCGTCGGATCCGCTGAACATGACAGGGTTGCAGAGTGTTCGCAGTGAGGTAGATTCTTGACAACTGGATGCAAACAAGCAACATCTTTCAGACTATCCATTCTATGACTAGATCCAGTCGCTAGAGTATGTCAGTCTCAAGTCTACAGGGAAGCACATACCATGAAAGCGGCGGGCTAGTGTGACCGCAAGGCAGCTTCACATCATAGATGAGGAATAGGCAATTGCCGCAAGGTTCCGCGCATTCTTTTTTACACGGGTGTTCTCGAGAGCAAAGCCTTCTGCAGACTTGTAGGCAATGTACCACCATATGCTTCGGATCGTCACTATGGCACTATGAAACACAGTGTGAGGTTAAGAACTGCAGGAACTCATTTATGGTACCAATGCCGATCTAACCTTGTAAGGACCCATATGTCCACACTGGAGGCGGAATTCGCAAGGTCGCATACAACCACCTATGGTTCCAGATCAATAAACAGCCATGATTCTCAATGAAGGTGTGTTTACTGTCAGGAGCAATTCTTGGGAGAACACCAGGCTCGGACACGAGTTCTACAATATCAGGGTGGCGGTGGCATGCAAAATAATTAAGCAAAAAAAAATGTATCATGGGTAGTGCTGGGCCAAGAGCATCACCCACCTCCAATTCCTCAATTACAGATTTCCACATGGTGCTTCTTGAGGCAAGGTTAGCTGCGTTTCCGAAAATGTAGAGCCCATGGCGGGCTCAGGAGAGAGCAACTAAGAAATATCAGCTGGGAGAGACAATGTACTGTGTATAAAAGTGCAATTACCATTGGTACGGTTTTCTGACTGGTTGTTGGTGTCAGCTTCTGAATACTGTTTAGGACTAGTAGATGAACATACTTTGAGGAAACCAATGTTAGTCCTGTTGGCAGCAGCAATTCCCAGGTTGGCCATTTCTTCGTCCAAGGCACCGGAATTCCGAACCAAAGATAAGATGACAATCTATTATCCAGACGTCAGCAGCAGTAGCAAACACAACAAGCTCAAACTTACAGTACCCTCCTCGCCTTGATAGTTGTCAACCGTTCGAAGTCGAACCTAAGAGCATTTATGAAAAACATCATTGAGGTGGTCATCCACAAAACTCGTGAGATCCTTACCCTTTTGGTCACTTGAACCTGTTCCACGCTGCTTGTGGTCTCTGAGTCAACTGCAACATCATCCTCTTCCTCAGCGAGAGCTTGTTTGTCCCTTTCATCAAGTTCAACTATAACAGCCATTTCATTTGTGAGTGCATCCCTCAACCGCGCGAGCTGTCCCAGGTATGCGCAAAGAACAACAATGTCTCCATCTTGCGAGTAGCAGCCTTGCCTGTGTCTGATTTAGTTCAGCCAATATAGGTCGTAAAGAGGTTGATTACCTCAAAAAGTACAAAACAAGGTCTTTTATCATGTTGACCTACCATACACAAAGATGTTCAAAAAGTGATTATCCAAAGGTACAAGACCACTTACCTCAAACATATCATACTTGCTCGCTAACATGTCTTCGGCACCTCCGTTTTCCTGATGTTCATGAGTAAAGAAGAACACGTCCTTCGTGATCCCTTGGACTGGTGGGTACTGCAGGACTATTTCGTGATCTTCAAGACCAGGGTACAACGTGTTCCTATAAGTTACTTGTTTATTAGGCATGACAGGGTAATGCAGATGTGCTAACTGTATCAGAGAGGATATCGATGGGCGCATTCTGCGCTGCACATCAATGCGAGACATGGGGAATCCAGCGCTCGATAGCCTTTCCATCAAGGACATATCAAATTTGAATAGTTCACACCCACGCTTGCTATCCATTGATAAAGCTAGTAAAAATATTTTAGTGGTTGACTTGGGTGCATCTTTAGATGCCTGTGAGGAAATCTCGCACAGAAATTGTTCAGGTTGGGTCAAAGTTGTAGGGGATCACCAATGAGAATTAGATGCTCCACAGAAGGAACAAGGCTGCTCAAGATATGCGCTTCAAGCACTTGACCTGCTTCTTCAACCAGGAGCACCCACGGGCTTAGCCCCTAATTTTGCGCAACATGTGAGCATCAGAATAATGGAAATATGTTTGCGTCCGCACTTTCAGGAGAGAAGTCAACTTTGCAGCACCTAAATCCTCACATCAGCCCTAGGTAGCTGTGTATAATGCTTTAAACCTCACCCATTGTTGTACACCCAATGATGTCAACATTTTTCATAAGCAGCCACTTAACCTATGCCATTTAGTCCCTAAGTGCCAGGAAATTGGCTCAAGAGAGCTGAGCGCACCTCTTCTTTGCCTTCGTTATACCGACGCAGTGTTTCGGCATGCCGTTCTCTCAGCCTTTGAAACTCGGCAAGACGGGCTTCATACACAGTGACCCTGACTTGCTGTAGCCAGTAATCGTGAAGTGAAGCTCTCTCGAGGCGGCCCATACTCCAAACCCCACCGTCATCAAAAAGGTGCTCCAAACAACGATTGGAAGTTGGGACTTGTGGAGGTCGATCATAATTGAATGTTGAAAAAAAGGCCTGAATGTCACCTATATGTGGTGTGTTCGAAGTGGCCAAAGGAGATATGGAACGTGGAGTATGGGGCTGAGGGGATGCTTGAGTTATTTGATTCTGCATTGCAGATTGGGACAGTTCGGTCATCTGGGCAGAATTTTGGAATTCAGTCAACCACCTTTCCTCCACTAATCCTGATGCGACTACTATGTCTTCTGGTCCCTCCTCATCCGAGCCAGCGGTCTCATCTTCGTGGCTGCCTTCCACATTGAGCATGCTAAAAGTGTTGTGGGTGCTGTGCGGCTGAACAGACAAACCAGTTGCATCTGAAAATGGCTCAGGCTGTTCTAGAAAGTCCAAATCCACAGCTTTCAGCCAGAGTGCATACAAGCTAATATCCTTGAGTTTGGACCGGCTGCTTGCACCTTGACTATACCAGCCTTCCTCGTGATCCACAAAAGCTGAGATGATGCTATTGATCCAAGGAGGGGGGTTAGAAAGGAATTCGTGATGCTCAGGATAGAAGCATTGTATATGTTTGGAGATCTCCTCAGATTCCGACTCAATTTCAGAATTGACCATCTGGTTGATGAGCTGACAGATTTCCTCCTCGGCAACCTTGTGATCCCTGTGCCGCCCCGAGAAGGATGAATCAAGTCTTGAGTGACCTGCAATCATCTCGAGCATCTCAATAGAGAACTCTGAGATACGCTCATCGGCAGAGCGAGACCCCAATCAAACAATGTTCTTTGTGATCCCAGCGTCAAGTACCGAGCTGAGCATATGATCCAATGCATGGTTTGTAAAAGCAATCATCAGTATGGGCCGTATGCCATTATTGAGTAAGACTCGAAGCAACTGAAGCCCGGTGTAGCTCTAGAATCCATTGTTAGGAGGATGGTATGAGAGGTATGAAACTATGCACCTTTCCGGTCCCTGGAGGCCTTCACATGGCGTTAAGTTCAATGTCACTTAATTACTGGATGGCGGGCTTACCCTTGGATCAGAGCGACTTCGCTCATCAATGCGTCAACTACTGCATCAGCTTGACTGGGATCTAAGCAGCTTTGTTGACGTAGCAAAGCTCGAGCATTGTCAGCTGTATGAGTGTCACTTGGTGCTAGCAAGAGCTGGTTCCTGTCAAATCCAGAGACTAAAGAGCTCAAGTCGTATGAAAAGCCTGGAAGCAGGGCATACTTTGGAGGGCTGATAGAGTGGGTACTGAAAAAATCCGGGTGATGGTGTACAAGGTCGGAAGCAAAGGGAATCGTCTCGGGCTGGACTTTGAGGGCCTCAAGAATTGGCCGAAATGCCTCGAACATCATGGGAGATTCAACGAGCAGCTTAATTCCGCTGTCAGTGGAACGGCTATGCAGATCTTGCAGTATCCGTAATTCAACTGAAGCATCAAAGAAAACGATGCGCACGCAGACCCGTTCAGCATTGCGCCTGACATGTTCTGCCACATCCTTGACCGAGCTGGCGATGACACCTAGGTGAATGGCCACGTTGCCACCTGACTGCCAGACGACTTCAATGAGGCCGCCTTGGGATAAATGCTTCCCACTCATCCCCTCCCAGAATGCAGCCCTTGCACTTGCCTGCTGAGATCGTGCTCGTCCAGGGGGCGCGTCGAACATTATGCTTGTGGATATCCCTCTTCAGTCGGGCACAAGCGATGAGAAGTCGGCATTGGCATACAGATTGAACATCACGCCGTCCCGTCCACCTGCATGTCCTCGGCACTTTCCTCCGCCTTTACTCAAGAACTGTGAAAGCTGAGTTTTGCGGAAATTTGTGTTCTTGATGTCATCCAAGACCAGCTGAACGGCAAGCCGAAGAGGTGCACTGGATAAACCAAAATCAATAGGGCAATAAACAGTTGTGAAGATAAACATACATCAGCTCTTCTCTGAGGAGATGAAACTGTATGTCAAGGAGGCGCTCCATAGATTCAGGTGGGGCCAGGTGGGGAGCACCATATAGGTTTGCAGGTAAGAACGGATCCAACCAACAAGTTAGTTCCTCATGAGTAGGAGCAATCCGGATGTCGTAGATATCAACGTGGTCATTGTCGTGGCAAGGACCTTCGTGGCGAAGCTCCCCAGGGCCTTCATATGCTGTTTTGAGGGCAGCTAGTTTTCCTTCACTGATCCGTGGGGCTGTCCTCGGCTGATCCTTTTCCTTGCCATTACCGTTTGCTTTCTCTTGCTCTCTTTCAACCATAGAAATGATACGTGCAAATCTATCTTGGATGTCTCCCAAGATAAGATCTCGAACAGGGATTTGCGTGCTCATAAAAGGGCCGTCAAAGGCTGATGGACTTGCGCAGATACTGGCTTGCCACTTGAAGTACCATTCATTAACCTGACGGGAAAGGGGGCCTAGGTTGGGGTACATTATGACGGTGTTCTTGAACCGGATGAGAACCCTGCGTAATTCCTGAATGAGCACTTGTGTATAATATCCTAGGAGAAAAGCCATACTCTTGAAGTATCGTAGACAGAGAAGTAAAAAAACTGATGCCCATGCTCTCCCCTTGCTGAATGGAGAGGGTCTGACTGTCATGCTCTGGTCCCGTTCCGGTCTCTACGGCAACATTCCGATCCACGCAGCCACCTTGCTACTCTTCCTCGCTACATGTTTGACAGGTGTTGTTCCTTATTACCTCCTTTTCTACATGGCCAGCCCTCGTATTGGGAGGAACCCAACCACATGAGTTGCAAACTGGTTGGGTCTCAGCTGTCAGCCGAATAAGGAAGTCAGTTAGACTCAACGCAACGCGTTCATACGCGCTCACCACTTGCGCGTAACTCATACGCATACTTGCATATAGCTCTTCCAATACATTGAGCGCTGTTGAACCCAACCATCGTCTCTTGATGTCGCAAATTTCTGCTAAGGACAACCGCTGCCGAGCGCTGAAGGTTTGTTGATTCACATCCTCTCTTTCTTTCCCACCACCACTATTCCCTCAGCCCGACCATGCCCCCCTCTTGTTCTCGACAGACCCTCAATCTCGACCGTAAGTCACATATGAACTCTATTACCGTACAGTTTTTACCTCCAGCCCACAGATTGGACGGTCAGAACTGGGCCGTTCGCGTTCATGTACAGGTGTCGAGCCTGTGCAGACGTCGAATGGCACAATCTCACCAAGGCATACCATCACGAGAGGACCACCAAGCACCAGTGCCGAGTCGCTGCTCGTGCCGCCCTCCACGCCCCACTGCCTCAACCCCCTGCTCTGACATCCGCCCTCTCCACGCTCGTTTCTTCGGTGGACTCCCCCCTCACCATCGCCCCTGGCTGTTGAAGTCTGCTTGAGTCGGTAGACTTTGTGAACACCGATGATGCAGCCATGGCCAATTTCCCGCCCAATCCGCTCTCACCCCACACAGACGAGCACCCTCTTCAGCTCCAGCTGGACTGGGAAGCTCTTGACCACAACTCGCTTATGACCGCGCCCGTCAGCCAGCTCCACATGGACGCCATGGCCGCCAATCTAGATGCCTTCATGGACGGAGCGTCCATTTCATCCGACGACGAACCCGCCGAGTTTTCATTATCATCTGCTATAGGTTGTCTGACTATCATTTCAGCTACTACATAAGGTTGTCGCCAACGACACAAGGCGCTATGGTTGGAACAGGGGCAACTCCACCCTCCCTGAACTCCCAGCCACCTACCTGCCCCACCCTGCTGGCCAGGCTCCTCTGCTGGTCTCTTCTATCGCAATCCCGGCTGCTCCCATCACTAGCCTTCTTGCCGAGTAGTCGCTCACGTAGCAGTCGTATTAGATATTTGATATGTTATGAATAATCATATGTTTTATGTGATTTACCCAAATTCAGTGCGATTCCGGCTGCAGTATTTGTGACGCATGGATGACTTCATGGGGATACGGTATCATTACTAGACCCAACTATGTCGAAGATGTACCTAATGACACGCAACGCAAGGTTCGTTGCATGAAATTTATGTTCACCCTTTCCTAATCAAACCGAAGTATATACTGCGTGCATGATGTATTCTTGCCAACCTAACTGTGATTGAGTCCAAGGGGTAGCTGTGTACTAGTCTCGTTGCTACCTGTCTACCTTTGACACTTCTTGACATTCCTATCATTCCGCAGTTGCTACGATATTGTATCCAATGTTTTATCTCATGTTTACTTACTAACAATCCGTTCCTTCCGCACGTTCCTTACTCATCGTACATTACCTCCAACTCCGGAGCAGTAGTATAAATACTTGTATAGTTCAGCCTGTATTCCTCAGTATGAATATCGACTTACTTCTGCCCTCTACTCCTCTTCGCCTCTAAGTCCTTCCCGCAAATTCCTACTCCAAGTGTCTTCCGCAATACTTGTGTCTTATTCTATCTTCAAGTCTTCCCTCACTTCGTACTTCGGTACTCTCCCGTCAACCTCCGGTGCCTACGGCACTTTTGCTCCCTACATGCCGGTCCTCCGGTATTGTTCCCATCCCCTCCGTGTCGCTACCGTCAACTGCTTACCCTACGCTCGCCCTCCGAGTCCCTACGCTAGCGTTCCGGGACACGGTATCCCTAGTGGAGCTTAGCTCGAACATCCCGCATACTTCCGGGCAGGCACGGAGTTAACACTGAGAATGATTCCGCAGCCATGATTGCCTCCATGCACGAGTTGATTACAAAAGAGAGGTTTTCGATATTGTCAAGTATAGTGTGAAACAAAATGCTGGGATAGATTCTTGTCAACAAAAGTGGGCTTCGAAGCCCAGCCCCACTCACTTAGACTGCGTCCAGAGAGTGCTCTTGACAACATATTCCGAGGACATGAACTAATCCAGATTTGAATCTCGGTGAATTTGGAGTGATGGTTTCAGCGTACTTTGAGTATGGGGATTAAGCCCCTTTGGAAGGATAGACATTCTTTGTTCGTCCCAGCTTTAGTGGAGACTTTGGACCAGCTGAGAATTTGGATGATACGCATAATGCCTGAGCTCTACTTGGGGGATGAGTAAATCATAGGTGCTATTCATGGTAACACTTACCGATGTGATGGATGAAAGGAACAGCTGCTTATATGAGTAATGTGCACAGACTTGTATGACAAGAGAAATACCTGGCCATCCTCTGTAGTCTAACGAGATGCAGACATCAGCCAAGGTTTTGCAAGTATATATGTTATATCTTACCCATGATTGGTTTGAGGGATCAGCACTGCTGAGTGCTTTCATAAATGCATACACCTCATATGTCGTTCTGAAGCGGAAACTGTCAGCGAGAAACCGTTTAATTTGGTAATGTGCCTCCGTAGGTGACAACATCACGGTCGTAGGTGGTGTAATCCCTGCGGGGCCATGAGGGGGTTTGGGTAGCTTTGACGAAGTCGCGACCGGTGTAGAAGCAGCTACTCCCTGTGGTTTCGTTTCGAGAGATGGGTCCATAGAATGCCTATAATGACAATCGAACTCGCGCTTGCAATGACCTGAACTCCAGAAGAATCTGCAAACTCCTTTAGGAGGCGAAGATTTAGGAGCAGCGTCACGAGGAGTTGAAGATGCCTCTTGAGTTGCAGATAAGGTTGCATTTTGGTGAGCAGTATTGTGAGTGAAGACACATGCGTCCCCATTGCGGCAACCCCAAGGAGAGTTGAAAAAATGACAAGGAGGACGAGACATTGAGGTTCTGCGGCATCGATCAAGCTTAAGGGTGCAACTATTTATGAGATTTGAAGCAACGGCGAACTTTGAAAAGCTGTAGTGCGACGATCTATCAGGTGCACCAGATAGGCACTCGGGATACCCCTGTATGTAACACGAAGCTCCAGAGCTCCAGGCCTCCAGGCATTGTGATCAATTATGTCAGCTAAGCAGCCTGTTCCACAGCGGATCTGCTGGGACTTGGGCACGCCACCAACAACGTTGGAAAATCACCTACGCAAGCACTTTGGTACATACTAACCTCCTTGAAGATGCTTCCATTTCTCCGAAAGCTCTGCCTCGCTCTAGTTTCATCACTCTGAACAGGAGACTGAAACGATAGGGTGCTCTATTCAGATTAACTTGGGGAAGAGCGTTTAGTATCGCGGGGAACCGAAAGAGTGGGGATCCTAGGGTTATACAGCATTATAGCATAACACGAAGCAAGGTCAGCTATAACCCAACTTAAAAAAGTTGGCTTTATGGGCGCATGTGAAAGCACAATTATTTCAGCAGCGTTAAATGGGACACGCACATATTTCGTTTGTCGGGCCATTGGTCGTAGGCAGGAACAATAACGCGACAAAATCTCTGTTTTCACTTAATGTTCGCTTCCAGATGCTTTCCGAGCGCCATCCTGGCTTCTACCCGTAAGCCAAAGACGCTGGCACCACGACATGCCGGGTTAACAACACATTTGATGAAAATGCATCCTAACTTCCACGTTTACCGGACATGTGTGAGGGCGATGTTGGTTGGGAAGCTATCACGGGCCAGGTTGAGCAGTCGGTGTCGCCGCAGATCGCGAGTTTTACCAACGAACGCACGCAACAAGGACCTAGGGTGTCGTACTACACCAGCAAAGCTCATCGATCGTCCGGAGGTTTGATATGGGCTGTTCAGTCCCTTGACATTCGTATGCTAGTGCCTGAAAAGCGTGATTCGGAAGGGTTTGTCATAACAGCCAAAGTCCAAAGTAAGAAGACCATTTTCGAATGGCATGAAGCGGTCCAGTGTTGTTTATTTTGAGGACAAGGCTGGATCAACCTGAGGCAAAGAGGCAGAGTAACTCCGTAGGTATATCTCTTCTGTGCTGGACAAGAGCTCCAAGGGTACCGATTGCTAGATACTACATGCCAAACAGTCAGCATAAGTTTATGGCAAGAGCGCAGTAGGAATGTTTACATGTAGTCGATAGAGCACCTTCGAGTCAAATAAGAAGTAGGACCTACAACGTCGAAGGCAAGTACTTGTCTACGTGCGCACGATTCAGGCAGACAAAGCTGCAGCCGCGAACTGAGCACTAAGACCTAGGACCCGAGACGCAAGTGTGTTCATTATGCATGGCTTACGGAGACGGGTGCATGGTCATATGGTAGTGGTTGTAAATAAAGGCTTATGATTCTGTGGGCTGGTGATGGCGGAGCTAGAAACGGACCACAGAGTTTCGCCGCATCCCCGACACCCGACACCCGACACCACACGACTCAGCAATATTCGAGCAATATCATCATAATTTCGTGAAGTGAAAACCAGAAGTCGATATCAGCGTAGTAAGCAAATGTTCAAACTAGAATGTATGGCGCATATCCACAAATCTGTAGTTGGCAACAGATCAGTATAATAGTATGGAAGAGGAATAATTATTCAAAGTAACATGTACGAGAGCGGCCAGATCTAGCCTGTCTCAGCAAACTATTATTCCACCGTAGTACCATACTAGTTATACTACTTACTCTCAACAAGACAACAAGAATTACCAGTGGTGACATGGCTTCCAATTCATGCCATGAAAGCTGCCAGGGCTTGGGCTATTGCTTGTAATGGGTGTCTAGAGTTGAGTAACTTTCAAGTGTCGAGCTGAGTGTCGATGTCGGATGTTGGGTGTCAGTTGGGCATCGGTTGGGTGTCGGGTGTCGGTTGGGTGTCGGGTGTCGGTTGGGTGTCGGGTGTCGGTTGGGTGTCGGGTGTCGGGTGTTGGTCAGGACTGCAGTGTACATCGAGATTACTTCAAATCTGTTATTATGGGCACAAGTCAGTAGTATGATGCGACGGGAAAGTTAAATCAAAGGCGAGCTCGGAGCAGGAAGAGCAGTGAATAAGCAGGGAACCAAGATATAAGGCTCGGTGTGTTCTTAAGTCAGGCTGAGGCCCGACTCAGAGTCAGGTCCGAGTCGGGTCCGAGTCAGGTCCATGAACTCCATGGTACAGCCGATCCGGAAAAGCTTGTCTGGGTGTAAAGTAGGCCAAATAATGTAAATTAATTCCGAAAATTCGCGTGAATGCGCCGAACGCGTCGTCGTAAAATGTCGTCCGCCGTCTGACGGCCATAACACCTCACTGTCCTCTCGAATCGAACCTATATCACTATGGTCTACCGAACAATTAGTGAAGATATCAAGATCCGTGCATTGGACCTCGTAGAGCAAGGCCACGAACACGAGGAGGTCGCTCGCATCCTCAACGTGTCTGAGAAGAGTATATCCCGATGGTTCAACAGCATCGACGAAAAGGGATCACTTGCACCGGCTCGTGAGCTCTGCGGACGTCCAGTTGCACTCAATGAAGACGTCAAAGAGAACCTCAGACAGCTCCTGCTCGAGAGCCCGAACCTATACCTTGATGAAATCGTTGAGTGGCTCGCACTATTTCACCACACTCAGATCTCGACCTCTGCACTAAGCCACACCCTGATTTCTCTCGGTCTCACTCGCAAGGTGATGGGTCGAGTTGCTGCTCAACGGGATGAGGCTGCCCGAGATGCATGGAGACGTGATGTAGCTGCCAACTTCACGGCCGAGCAGCTGGTCTTCACTGACGAGAGCAGCAAGGATGGCCGCACACTTTACCGACGCTACGGGCGTGCCCAACGCGGAGTACGACCAACAGAGATAGCACCTTTGGCACGGGGTGTGCGATACAGTATACTACCAGCACTGTCGCTTCGAGGCTATGAGGTGGTGCGCATTGTGGAGGGTTCGGTTGATGGTGAGATCTTCTTCGACTTCATCGTGAATGACCTGGTGAGTCTTCTCATCTTTGTGCGTCCAAGTCTCTCCTACTAATGCTTATGACATAGCTCCCTACTATGAATAGATACCCAGCCCCACGAAGTGTTCTTGTCATGGACAACTGCGCAATTCACAAGTCCGAGGCTGTCCGAGAGGTGGTTGATGCGGCAGGTATGTCCCTAGATTCTGTACCCCCACAAGCCCGTACCCAATGTCGTGCTGTTTTGCAGGCTGTGTGCTGCTCTTTCTTCCCCCATACTCGCCCGACTTCAATCCGATTGAAGAGAGCTTCAGTTGCGGTAAGGCAGTACTCCCCGATTCGTACATTTGACTCATCTATGGACTAGTCAAGCACTACCTTCGCCGGTACTGGCACCTGTTTCGAGACAACGAGTTCCCGGAGCTTGACTTGCGTGAGGCTTGTTTGACTGCAGTAACGGGGGAGAAGGCTTGTGGGTGGTATAGGGACTGTGGGTATCATTAGTTCCGTCTCTGTTACATTGATAAAACGCCCTTTGATATTGCTACCTAAGACCCTAAGCTAGAACATGATGTTTATCTACGAAATATCCAGCAAATTATGATTGTTCTACTACTAGTTGAATAGCAGCTACGTAAATGCAAGGTGTGGTTCAATTGAACCACTGGTCAGGCCCAGTCCCAGTCCCTACCTCGTAATTACCTGAGTTCGCCTCGTAACTGAAGCCCGAATTACCATTGCCATCCTGGTGATAGGGGTTACCTGCGTAGTGCATCTGCGGTGCACCATGTGCTCCGTAGCCGCCGAGATGGTAAGCCTGTGGCATCATACCGTGGCCCATGTTCCATCCTGCACCGTACGGCATAGCAAAGGGCACCGGCGCACCAAAGCCAGGTCCTCCGTAGCTGGCCCCTGGGAATTGTGCTCCTCCGAAGGTTTCGGTGGGGGCTGCATGCTTTGCCGGAGTCCCAGTCAACTTCCGACCATCCTCCTTCTTGAAGAATGGAGCACCGAAAGGGATCCGGTGAGCATTGGTCTCCTTCCGGCTCTGAACAATTAATAATCTGATGAGCGCATTATTAGATGAAGCAAAAATAAAGAGCTTACAATTGCATGAGCCCACACCCGGACACGCGCGGATGTCAACTCGTAGTGGAGGTTCAGTGGCGCGTACAAGAAGCAATGAACGTCAGGGTGCGCCGGGCATTGGCCAATTGGATACTGTTCCTGCAGCTCTTGCACGATTGGCTGCAGGGTCTTGTCGAGCGAGAGCTACGACTGAATTGAGCACGGCACGATTTCAGCAGCGTGATTCTCAGGGGTCTCACCTTTTTATCAAATAGCTTTGCCGGTACCCTTGCAGCCTTCATTTCCGTTTTTTCGTTCTCACTCTCACTGCCAAACTCATCCGGCTCGACATCAGAGCTTCCCGCCCATGGCTAAAACAGTATATTACTGTGCCCCACCACTAGTTCGACGGTCCACCACTAGTTCGTCACCCCCCCTTTTTGACCATTCCTCCCTTTCCACCTCCCATTTTTATTAGCAATACGTCATTATCATACTGCTGTCATATCATTTTCTCGAAAACCCGGTGAAAATCGATGCATTTCTGTGTTGTCGAATAGGGGTCGTGACGGCGAGTTTTGTCACTCCTTCGACACCTCGCAAAACATCCGTAGCTGAGTTTAAACCTAGTTGCATAAGTCCGATGTTGCTATTGATATCCTACGCGTGAATGGTGACCGCAAAGCGGTCGTGGCTCAGTGGTTTTGGCGGCATCACATCTCATTTTGCTCACGATTCAGGAGTTCGATCCCTCCTGTTGCCATTTTTGAGGCCTCAGCGTGTCACTCTCACCTTAATGCCGCGCTGCCGAGATGTGACCAACTCCGTGATCAAGTGTGACAAATGTGACCGTCGAAGTAGTGGTGGGCCGTCGAACTAGTGGTGGGGCACAGTAGTATAGCCAACGCGAATGATGAGGTACTTACTGCTCTTGTGGCCTTTAGGAGCTTCGCATTTTTCTTTGGGGGATTCATCGTCACAACCACCACGGTAGAAGGAGTGGCATTCGCTTTGATTTGCCCCACCATGGTCGTCAGACCATCCGGACTGGTGAGCGGAAGCCCACTACCCCTCTCTTTCAGCCATTTCCAGGCCATTGACGCTACGATCAGGTTGTCGGGCTTCGTTTGGACCAAACGGGCTAGCATTTCGAGAAAGCCCTCCCACGACGCAGCCGCCTCCTGAGTGATAACTTTAGGACCATACCTAAGGGGGTCCTGCTCCTTAAACTTCACCCGACCACCCCTCCCCTTCTCCTCCTTCGGATACAAGATGACCTCCACCGTTAGCGAAACAGTGAACGTGTCTGGGGCCTTCACTGCCGAGCTGAGAGCGGCTGTGCTTGGGTTCGGGGGCCGTCCGCGACCCTTTCGTGTGGACGAGACAGGTTTTGAAGCTGGGAGCGCTTGGTGCGTGGATTTTTGAGGTACAACTTCAGTTTTCGTCTTTTTCTTGATCGGGCTGTCGTTCTTGGCATCTGGCAGGGCTCCGGAGGTGGGCTGGGGCAAGTGGGGTGCTGTACCGGCGTCCTGGTTGTCCATTCTCAAGTTCCCATGCATCCGTTTCCTGGTTGAGAGTGAGGGGATGCGGAGCACAAGCCGCTCTGAGGAGACGAGCAGAGGTAAGGAATTAGTTAACATCACGGTGTTGGCCTGATCTCACACCTTTGGCAGTTTTGTCGGCTCCACCTTCATTGGTGACCGACCTCTCGGTAGTGTTGGTGGGTATCACAGCAGTCGCAGCTCCATTGGTGGGAGCACGGGTGGGGTCGTACAAGAGAAACTCACTGAGACTGTCAGGTGAGCCCTCACGATTGCTGTGGCCATCTCCATCGGTGTCATCACTGAGCTGGATATCAGCAGGGTCGTATCCAGCAGCGAAAACAGCATTCCAGTAGTCGTCGGCATTTGCACAGTGCTGGCGAAAATTTGCGTGCCATTTTCTGAACCTTTCGTTTGACATGGCCTGGAGTTCCTCCTCAGTGTAGCCGGGGAGGGGCTCGGGATAGTCGGGGATGTGTTTCGAGTGCATGGGCATGGTTTTGTCGATGTTTTGAACGGGAGCGGATGAATAGCAGCGAGGACAACGCACGCGACGATGCTCTCGAGGGACTTTGATTAATTTTTTGGATATTTCGGAATTAATTTACAATGTTTGTGCTACTTTGCTTCCGGACAAGCTTTCCCGGAGCGGCTGTACTGTATCCTGAAAGTCGCCCAACCCTTAGAAGCCTTCCCTTGGTATTGTTTCAATTGGCATCACATATATGCTGGATATCTACAATGCTGATGAGATATCAAAGCACATGTTTTATCGTGACATCACTGCAATTTGGAGTTAATGTTTTGTAAGGCAATTATGACATTGGCAATACTAAGATGTCCCTAACAAGACAAGGAGAAAAGTGGATTGTAGTCAATGACTAGCAATTTCGATGCTGATAAGAGGCATAGTCCATATGCACAGAATCAATATTTCAATCACGGCCCCAGCATCATGGAGTGTCGTAAGGAGGGGGAACACTGGGGGAACTCAAACTTCTCAAAGTGTCAGGTAACGAGTCGTGTGGTGTCGGGTGTCGGGTGTCGGGGATGCGGCGAAATCCTATAGCCCGCTAGAAACAGGAAGCACTGGCGCGACTTCCGGAATCCCATCTGGACCAACACCCAGAGCAACTCCGTCTGTTTCCTCAGGCTCCAACATGTTGCGCGTAGCAAGCCTCAACTTTCGGACAAGCCTGCTTCGTACCTATGCCACCGCCGCCTCTCCTCATGCGCTGGTTTTCCTTGAACACCGTGGAGGCAGTCTCGATTCCGGGTCACTTTCGGCCGTAACAGCTGCCTCTCAGTTAGGTGGTCAGGTCACAGGACTCATTGTGGGCAATGAGAGTGAAGTTCCAGCAGCAATTGAGGCTGCTAAGAAGTAAGCCAGGTTTACTGCAGTCACTTCGACCACTCACGATGTCTTCAGAGTGAAAGGTCTGAATGCCATTGTTCACTGCACGTCACCCCAATACACGGCCAGTTTGCCGGAAACTGTCTCTCCTCTTTTTGAGAAGATCCTCTCAGGAAGCACGCAGTACTCCCATGTTGTATCAGCACACTCGTCTTCCGCTAGATCTATCCTCCCCCGCGTCGCTGCTAGACTTGATGTTCCGGCCGTCTCTGACATCACGTCTCTTGAGCATGATGCCTCCGCGAGCACTACGACTTTTACCCGTCCCATCTACGCCGGCAACGCTATCGCGACAGTTCGCTCCCCCTCATCCGTTCCCATCAAGTTCTTTACGATCCGCTCAACCGCGTTCTCGGCCGCGCTGTGCGAGGAGGGAACCAGCGTCGAAGCCACGAGCATTGACCCCACTGAAGTTGCAGATCCTCCTTCAGAGCATGTCAAGACCTCGCTGACCAAGTCAGACCGCCCCGAGCTTGGAGTTGCTACCCGGGTTGTGTCTGGAGGACGGGCGTTGAAGAATGCTGAGACGTTCGAATCCACCCTCTACCCCTTAGCAGATCTCCTTGGTGCAGCGGTTGGTGCCTCAAGGGCTGCCGTCGATGCTGGGTATGCGGACAACTCGCTGCAAGTTGGTCAGACTGGCAAGATAGTCGCTCCTGAGCTGTATATGGCGCTTGGCATCTCTGGGGCTATCCAGCATTTGGCTGGCATGAAGGATTCCAAATTGATCGTTGCTGTGAACAAGGTGGGTTGAGCGACGCTCGCTTCTCAATATTTGCGTTAATTCCTCGTATCAGGACCCCGACGCTCCCATTTTTCAGGTTGCAGATGTTGGGTTGGTAGGAGACTTGTACCAAGTTGTGCCGGAGATGATCGAAAAACTTAAACAATAGAACGGATCCATGTATCAACCCGCCAATAGGTCTAACATGTTACACAGACATGGAAGTGATGTGCTAATATCCGTATTTCTCCAGCCCGTGGAGGTCCTATAATGTCTGAGCGGAGCTACAAACAGGTCTCTGGTAGTATATCGGATAGTACACCCGCCTGTCACTGTCAAGTGCGCGGGAGAGCGGGGTTCGACTCCCCGCCAGAGAGACATTTTTTCCCCTTTTACTGTGAACGTACGGAAGCTCACTTGCAATTCAAACTGTGCTGATTTTTCATATGCTTTCGAGGTGGATCCATGGAGGCGAACTAGCTATACCCTTAATCATATCTGACCTCGACTTTGCTCTCGCCGCCAACTTCAACCCTTTCGAACAAAGGTCTAAGCTATGGTGTTAAGCGGCATTACAGATGGGCTGATGAGAACCTTCATTTTCAAAAACTGATGGTTTTGACTACAGCATAGGCATCGCCAAATTCTTGCCAAACGAAATCAATCACCTCCGGGGTGTCAATCCATTTGGATTATGTTAAGTAGCAGCAATAAACTCTGCCGTGACCCGCTCATCTTCATGTCTTCGCTTGTCCATGCCTCTTGACAGTCTCGACTCTCCCAAGCGCATCGGCTTTCAGGCAAGCCCCTGTGGTAACATCTCGAGTTATACCAGGCATGCAACTCAGAAAACTCTCCTTCACGTATAGTAGTCTATCTCCATTATGAACCAAACGTTCGTTCACCAGTGCTCGCCCAATTGCTTCACCACCGTGGCATCATCATCCTGATGCAAGAACAATGCCATACCCCAACTTCACTATGTATATCTTCCGCATTTCTCGTCGTAATCATAATTGCAGTTAACGGGGGTTATTCATATATCACCATGAGACCTAAAAACAAGGTTGAGGCTGAGATGGAGGAACCCGAACCCACGCTCGTACGGCTCCGATACTCAATTATACACGGGAGTCGCCGCAGAACCAATTGTACCTACTTGCTGGACGTCATCAATAGGACGTACCTCGTGAAAGCAGGCGCCCGATTTACTTCCCGGGGCTGGAAGACGCAGCCAGTACCTAAAGAAAGGACAGAGTGTGAGGGAACACATCATGATATGCGTACAGAATTCGAACTTTCGTCCGTCGGGAGAGAACGGAAAGCTGGGAGTTTATGTGAAAGAATGTCAAAGCAATAGATGGCACTGGCCTATAGCGCTGTCCTTTCTCAAAAAGCTCCATGAATTCAATAAATTGGTGTGAGAGCAGCACTTTGTACATGGTGGCCGTCTGATGCGAGCATAGAGACCAAGGCACGTGGCAGTAATTGCGGGATATGGCACCGCGAGCAGGAGGGGGCGGCTTTCTCAGTCGCCAAGTTAATAGCCTCTCAACGGCCCCCACTTTGCAATGTCCCTCTCTCCTACCTTATCAATACCCAGTGGCTCAGAGGTTCCTGCGAAACGCCGTAGAACAAACAGCATTAGTGCGACAACAAACGGCGCGAATCAGGTCGACATGGCACAGTCGCCAAGCGACATGTCTAGCACTCCTGTTCAGCAGCAACATCAGCAATCGTCAGCTAACATACCTAAGCGAGGTGCGCGTGCTTGTACAGCATGTCGAAAGGGCAAGAACAGATGCGAAGGAGAGGTGAGCGACTCGAGGACCTTATGAGTCACGGATCTGAATGACTGACTGGCCCGCCCATCCGCCCCGGCCCGGAACGACATCTTAGCCTCCATGTCGGCGATGTCAACTAAGCGGCACAACTTGCGTCTTCGAGAAACCAGAAAAGAAGAACGTACAAGCAATGGCCGGCGCCAGTGTAGAGTGAGGACTGTTCACATTCGCGTTCGATACCCGCTGACCCACATGTTGGCTTCACGTTATCAGGCGGCTCTCCAGGCTTGAAGGCCAGTACCTGGTAAGGGTCATGCAGTTTTGTCGTAGCAATATCTTCTGAATGAGTCATGTAGGTTATGCAAAGCCAGATGATTGGGATGCAGTCCTCCTTGGACCGCATTTTGTCCGCCGTACAGAACCAGCCTGGGCAACAAAAGTTCAACGCCCAGTCGTCCAGCCGGGACGGTTCTGGGTACCAATCTCGCCATGGCTATGAAAGCCATTCTGCAACCGAGTCAGAAAAGCAAGCTCATCACAAAAGCTTCCCTCCTCTGCCTGGATTTGCTCCCCCGGTAAACATGATTTATAGTGAGCTGTAACGTCGATTGATGACTTCATCCTTGAAGCCCCACAAGTATGCAACATATGGCATCGTTCCAAGCACTGCTCCATCTTCGGACGACGAGTCCGAAGACACGCTGCCCCGTGCATCTTTGAACGCGCCCATCGAAGCTCTCCAAGGATTGGCGAACGCCGCCGCAGAGGCTGCAGCTGTTCCCTCGACATCACCTCCACGGTTCGTATTACGTTTCCTGCTCGTGAGTGAGGGCGATCTCGTCTTTATCTATTCTTCCTTTCAGCGTCAAGAAGCGCAAGAGGGCGGAGCCCATCCCTCGTAATGCCTTCCCTCATGTCGTTGAAAAGGTATGTGAAGACAAACCCATGACTGGTAGTGATTTACTGGTTACTAGGGTCTCGTCGCCGAAGCTGAAGCCAGAGAGCTATATCACATGTAGGCTGATCTCATTATAATTGCTTACCTTGGGTTGACACGTCAGGTCAGTTTCTTCGCTGGTTGTCATCTCTTCATTCCTCTATTCGACCCCAACTACGACACTTTTGAGAGTCTCATGGAAAGAACACCCTGGACCTTTGACGCTATCCTCGCTATAGCTAGCAAAATTAGGAGCGGCAATGGCCCTCTTAGCTCTACATTCTACAAATGCCTCGAAGAGGCACAAGGCATCGCAAGGTCGTCGTTATTCGGGCCTGTCGTACGGAAGGAAGCGGTCATGGGTGGGTTGCGTCAACAGGGTGACTTGCTGGATTTGTTCTGACACTAACTGGGGCAGGTATGCTTCTCCTTGCTGCTTGGAGCACGAACGGATGGCTGCCTAGTGGCCATGCGATGCGTATGGCACTTGACTTGGGACTTCATCGGGCACTTGAAAAACTTGCGGAAGACCAGGGCAAGACGCGAACAGAAGAGGAAGAACGTGATCTAGGTATACCGTTATATCTAAGTGTTTGTCCATTGCTAATTAGCTGTCAGTGGTCTCTGCTCGTATCTGGTTAACCTTGTATTGGTTTGACCATCAGTGCGCATCCCTCCCAGAATATAAGAAAAGAGCTGATTGCATTGTGTAGAATGAGCCTGGGCACTGGGCGGCCAATCGTGCTGCGTGATGAAGCCTCTATAAGGCATTGCCGTATATTACTATCCCATCCCATGGCGTCGCCTACGGATGTGCGTCTCATTGCCCAAATTGAGCTTATCGCGCAGAAGAGTATGTTCACTCTCATTTTACGGAAAAGAGAATGCTAACACGCTCTTAGCCCAAATTTACGAGACTTTAGCGCCTCTGAATGGACAAGTTAACCACAATACGTTGGCCTTCATTCGTCGTGCCAATGTTGCGCTCGACAAATGGTGGGCTGACTGTGATGACCTTCATCGTATGTCTAGGGCCTTGGTGCTACGTAAATCATGGACTTAATCATTACCAGGTCAAACTATGGACGAGGAAGCGTTGATGCGCAAGATCCTTGCTGGCGAGCTTCATTACGCCAAATTATGGCTTGTATGCGTTGCTTTGCGCGGCGCGTCATGGGATAAGATGTCCTTTGAGCAACGTGAGCTCGCGTTTCAAGCGAAAGACGCTGCATTCAACTGCCTGTCTGTGTTCTTGAATTCCCCCGCCTATCGGTTTGTGACCCCGATCTTTTCAACGCTCGAAGTCGAGCTAACTACAAACGTGTCTTAAGTGCCGCCTTACGATACGCTGTACACGACAGCCTGGTCACTGCAGCCTTCTCCGGCTTGTTCCTCCTCAAAATGGCCAACCTATTCCCCACGGAACTAGACCTAAATGCCATTACTGGTCAGGTCGAACAGCTTGCTCAGCTTCTCTCTGATGTCGCCGCTGAAAGGTGAGCCGCCGCCCCCATGCAATTGATATCCGTTGCGATCATCACGAACCTTAGGTATGCCCTCACGCTGAGGATCATGCTTGCGAACCTCCGACGTAAAATTGGCTTCGTCAACGGAGGGAGCGGAAATGTGCAAACGATGCCTCCCCCGACCATAGCAGAAGGCATGATCGTCTCTCCGCCATACGATGTACCGCAGAACGCCGTTCAGCCACCACCTTTCACGATGGAAGAGCTCGGTTTCGCTTGGCCAAGCGACCGTGCCATCTTCAGCCCGTCCGCAATCCCTCTTTGGCTCCAGGAGCAGGTTTGTGATGCAATGCACTATTTCAGGCGTGGTGCTAACAAGAACCGTAGAATCTGACGGACTTGGGCCTTCCGGTCAATGGTTCGGATGGCATCTTCTTACAGATGACTGGGTCAAACGGCTGGTCGGGCGACTTTGCCCCGATGCCCGAAGCATGGTAGGCTGTTTCTATGACCTATTCCAGTGTTCCCATTCCGGTCTCATTATTTGTACGAATATTTCCGTGTCACTAGTCCACATCTCGCATAGTACTTTGTAGTACTTGCTTTCTGTAAAGCTTGGAGTCTGCCTGTTTCCCTTGGAAGTGCTTTATACATAATTCGCGCTGGGTGCGCATATAATCCACAACATCCTCTACTCCTCATCATCACTTTCCTGGTCTTGCAAGAACTGCAGAGCGCTTTTAGTATTCCAGTAGCTAACGTGAAGAACCACATACTTTGACTAGTGTCTCGGTAGCCTTCAAGAAGTGCTGTTTGCCCTGGGGTTTGGCTCCTTTCTGATGCCAGTATATAATGGCCTGATCAGATACACAATCTTTGTTATACAAAACCTAGAAGAGGTCATCTTTGAATTAACTGATTTGACAAACTGGCCAGAACGCACCTTTAGCATTTGAGGGAAAACCTTCATGATCCTGGTGTCCTCGTAACAGAAAACCTGGACAGTGTTGATCAAAGCAACTTCAGTCTTTGGCCCGCTGCAAAATGCCTCAAGAACCGGAGCGGAATTCTATGGGAAACGGTAAAGTAGCTTCTGTGAAACGGACCACAGAGACGTACGCTGACTTCTCGCAGCGCCAAACCCTCAATCTGGTCTGGTCGAGTGTTCCAGTCAACGGATTGCATGAGACCAACCCAGATGCACTGAATCAGTTCTGCGTCGCCAAGAGGCTGTTCTTCTTGTCGCGCCTGTATAGCCGAAATCATCTATGAAACCCGACTAAGCATGCAAACAGACTTTGAAAGAAAGAGAAAAGACTAACGGATTCTGAGCTTTCACCTCGCGAGACGAGCTCTTGGAGCTCGCTGATAACGCCTTCACGAAGGGCAGCATTCTGTCTCTTGGTGTACCAATCCGCGACCTGAGGCAGGCCTTCTTTCCGGAAATGCTCCTCTAGAATCTTACTGCCACGACGAGAGACCGGGAAGAATGCGAGCAGATCCTTTATTCCGCCTTTCTTGAGGGCACCGGCTAGATGTTCCATGGACTGATCGGTCAGGTATGACCGAAAAATGATAGTGATGACATTGATGGCGACATCTATTGGATTATGTGTTATTGATATAAACTTGGTATGTCATCAAACAGCAACATACCATCCTTGACTAGATGGTCTTTGGCCAATCCAGAGATACACGATGCACTTGCCAGGCCCTGAGACATCAAAAGGCCAATAGTGATCGAAAGCTTGTCCTTCTGAGAAGGCTCCCATCGATGGATGTACTGGAGGAGACCTGGTAGAGTGGTAGTTTCCAGTGGCTTCTGAAGGTATTTATATCTATTGTTCGAGTTCAACGCCATTAAAACCAGCTGCCGGAAGCTTGGTCGCACCTTCTGATAAGCTTGTTCAAAACGTCGACATACTTCCTCAGGTCATCTACCTCGGCCGGGTCTTTGGCATTGAAGATAGTGAAAGGCGAACGTGGTACACCGTCGTCGGCATATGTACCGCCTGGCTGAATGAGGCCACCGACGAGGATGATTTCGAAGAGAGCGTCGGCATACTTGGAAAAATCAAGAGTAGAACCAGCCTGTATGAGTTTGTTGGTGATCTGGTCAAGGTCGTCCTGTGATACGGTCTCAAGATGTTTGTATAGATGGTCGCGGAAAACTGCAAGGAGTGAAGAGTTTTGGGTGATGGTAGGACACGGTTGGATGGATGCGTACCTGATGGTTCGTACTTTGCGTGGGCCTTGACAGCGCCCTTGCGTGCTCTGATCTTTACCCCCGAGAGAGAAGGCTTTGAAGCTGTTTGTTGCTGAGACATCCACAGTCTTCGAGTGTATCGAGAGGTGGACCGCAGAGAAGAAATAAAGAGGTCTCCACACAGTCAAAGATCTAGATTCCAAAACTAATCCAAACAAGCTCCTCTCGGAGATACCCGATCCCAACATACCACACGCCTTGCAATTGCCGGGATCGTTGCCGCGGCGGAGCTCAAGCGCTCAAGGTGATATATCGAATTATCACTTGGTCCCAAGCTTGGTCCCCGTTGGAGTATGGGTTGCATGTCCGTACAGATTGAATATTGATATTGAGGGGTCACGAAGCTGTGATGACATATACGTCTAGCGTGCGTGCTTACAATACTTGTATTACCTCCTAAACTCCAGTCTCTGATCCTCTCCCCTTTTCGTTCCTGTTGACATCACCACCAAACTCATGGGCGGCGTGAGGCAGCTGGCCAATAGCTGTGATGCAACCTCACGTGAGCTGAGATATTGGTGGCTGAGTTACTGGTGCTTCCTGGCGGAGCACATTAGCTTAGACTTCTACTTTCTCCACTCCTTCGCAACTGCTCCCAATAGCTTTTTAGACGCCCTATAACCCTCGCGCACTGTTATCATCTGCCTCGCCCGTACCAATTAAAACCTATTTGACGAGTGTAGGTATGTCTATCTTCATTGGTGGCTCCTGTGTGGTGGGGTCATTTGATGCAGCATTGTCTAAAGACGCATAATACAAGGACACGACGCCTTAGTGATCGACGACGTATGCCTTTCCTCGACTTTACTGAACAGTACAGTATCTGATATGGCTACCCATTAGGGTATATCCTCAGCGAAGCTCAAATGCATCCTTCAGAATCCCGGCTTGACAACCCAAATGCTCACTCGAAATCCATTACCACAGCTGACGGCACGGAGACTTATGGGGTGAGTAGTAATGTACTTGACCCGAGTCTCACATTGCTAAACCATTTAGATCCTGAATCAACATTCAAACAATAACACCCGATACCAGGTGGGCATCTCGGAGGATAAGGGCACTCGTCGGTACATGGAGGATGCCCACTCCTTCATTGTCGACTTTGCAGGCGTGCGGGGCCAAGGTTTCTTTGCCGTTTTCGACGGTCATGCGGGTAAACACGCTGCCGAATGGTGTGGAGCCCACTTCCATGAAGTATGTAATAGCAACAATACAACGCCGACCTTGCTGTCCACTAACCCTTTCGTCTATAGCACCTTCTAGATACCCTCAACGCACACCCGGATGCCGCTATTCCCGACGTCTTGAACGAAACTTTCCATAGCGTCGATAAAAGTATCTCACAGATGTGCCAGGAGTCGGATGGCAAGATCCATTCAGGTTGCACTGCGGTCACCGCCTTCCTTCGAATTGAAGATACCAATGGCAAGCAACCCTTCCTCACAGACCCAGGCACACCAAAGGAGTCTGGACCCTTCCTTCAAGACGATGACGCGACTCATGATCAAGGTAATGGGTCCGATTCCGGCAGCGGTGACTCTGGAGAGGATGGCAGAATGAAGAAAAATGCAACCAACGCTAGCAGAATCTCGCGTGCTCTCAGGTCTTTGGGCGGAGGTTCTTCATCGCTTACTTCATCGATGGACGATAATCCAAAAGGTGCATCCAAATCTAATGTTGACTCTGGCGTGGTGTTGCCCCCGCCTTCGCTGCGACGCGTCCTATACAGTGCAAATTGTGGGGATGCACGAGCCGTTTTGTGTCGCGCTGGCAAAGCTGTCCGTCTGACGTACGATCACAAGGGATCTGACAAGCAAGAGGCCAAGAGGATAGTTGACGCTGGCGGTTTTGTCATGAGCGGTCGCGTCAATGGAGTTTTGGCTGTCACCCGGAGCCTAGGTGATTCATCGATGAAAGAGTTTGTTGTCGGTTCTCCGTATACAACCGAGACGGAGCTCTGTGACGATGATGAGTTTCTGATTCTTGCTTGCGATGGGGTACGTCTTGCAATGTGGTGTGCTCTTGCTGCTCCTGATGTTGACGTTGCATACAGCTCTGGGATATCACTGGTGATCAAGGCGCTATCGAGCTTGTGCGGCACGTCAAAGATGCGCAACAAGCCAGTCAGGCTTTGGTCAACTATGCCCTTTCTCGTCAAACCAACGATAATGTGACCGTTCTCGTCGTGCGGTTCAAGTAGATTTGATGCTTCCTTCTTCAACCCGTTTATTTTTCAGTGCTTTGGCTATCGTAAAGTCTGTGGTCGGTCTTTCTCAACATCTGTAGTGGAAATGCTAATCATCCACACTTAGCTCTGGCTTGTTCATCAGTATTTTCTCCATTAAGATTGTGTGATGAACCATTCGACATCACATATCCTACAATACATGGCACATGAACTGTACCTTCATATCTCCCTCTCCCCCAACTAATTTGTCCTCATTAACTGTCATTCACGCATTAAAATGTAAGAACAATTAGTCAACCCCAAGAGTGTATAAAAGACGTAATTGAAAATACTAGGAAAACACTAGAATATATTATACATGGTATTGACACAATATTATAAGCTGGGAACTTTATGTGCCTGCTGTAACATGTTCAGTGCAGGCCTGAGCAATATTCGTATGACGTCAGTAGCGTAGTCGGCTAATGTTACAAGTACTGTTCATGCTCTCCGTGAGAAAAGTGCGCATGAGGAAGTGAATACCCGTGACATGACGTAGCGCGACATGTGTCCGCACGCTTCCATGTTCGCTTCACGTAGATCGGCAACCAACTATCTGCCAGTACTAGTGCATTGCAGAAAGTACTTACCCCTAAGCTAAGTAGGTGTCATGAAACATGGGACGAGCGCATGCTTCAACTCCTATACAACTTGAACAACACGACCTCTCCCTCTTGTCGCTACCTAGATCTGTTGCAGTCTCTCCACCAGGTCTCGATTCCAAAACCTCCTCATTTCTATCAGCCATTCTTCCAACTGGAAGTTCAAGCAGACGTGGACCAATAATCATATTCGGCTAGTCAGCAATTGTATCTCAGACGTCGACCTCATCCGAACTTCACGTCATTTTCCTTTCGATAGAATCCTCCAGTGGCAAGCTATGGCAGATTGGGACAAGAATCAGTGGGGCCAGCAGCAGGCGCCTCCGTACGATGGCGGGCTTACACCCGGCTACTCTCAGCCCTACGCCGCCCCCCTTCCACAGCAAGGACATGGACCATCGGCTGCCGCGGACTCCAAATCACCCTACGCAGACGGCAGGTTTGAACCCAAGAGCAAGGCGAACGACGTGGTTTTTCTGGTATTGTTCATTGCACAGGTGTGTTCGATGTTCAAGTTGACTGGTAGCTGCTACTGAAAGCCCAATGTTCCTCATGATCCAAGTTTCTGGGTTTCGCCGCCCTGTCTGGTATCACGATCAATACATGGATCAAGGAAGGCGGGTTGGGCGGGGGCGTTGGTAACGGTTCCCAGACGGGCAGCCCTGTTACGCTGAACAAGTGAAGGCATCTCCCCTCCTTAACAGATTTAATGTACTAAACCATTGCTCAGACACACCATATATCTCCTGCTCTTCGTCACAGCGGCGGGGTTGTTCCTTTCAGTTGTATATCTCATGCTGACGCGTGCCTTCACCAAGATAATCATGCACGCGACGCTCATCCTGTCTGTCGTACTGAATATGTATGTGTCTCATCGACTACGTTCCATTCATTCAAAGCTAACATACACCGTAGCGCAATATGCGTATACATGTGGATTACGAAGTACTATTGTTAGCCTCAATGTCCTGCTCATGTTTAGTGACCTTGCTGAAGCCTGGTCATCGGTTCTAGCGGGCGCCATCATCTTCACCCTCATCGCGGTCTTCTCCGTGATAGCCTACTTTGCCTTCAGGAGTCGGATTCCTTTTGCTTCGTTGCTTCTGCAGGTCGTCTTGGACGTTTCCAAGCATCACAAGAGTGTCTATGTCGTTGCCTTCATTGCTCTTTTTGTGCAAGCTGCTTTGAGCGTTTGGTTCACGTTCACAGCGATTGCGACGTGGGTGTTACACCAACTCCATCATGTCCAATGTCTCAATTGATAATGCAGGTACACGAAGTTCACACCCGGAAATCCCTGTTGGTCACTCTAACATTTTACCTTTTGGTGTCACTTACTTTCAGTTTTCTAGCATGCAATAATGGCTCTTCTTGCTCCTCTGGCAAAGTAGCTGGGCTGATCTTCTTCGAAGTTTTCTCCTTCCTTTGGACTTCTCAAGTTGTCGGGAATGTCTCCCTTGCTACTCTCGCTGGTGGCCCGTACGGAAGTGAGTCATCGTGACTCTAAATATGCATACGTCTGATATCGTTGAAAGGCTGGTACTACTTTGGTCCAAGGGATATGGGGGCTATGGTATGATTATTAATTGTTCAATTCATGGCGCAGCCTAACGCTCTTTCAGCCAAAACATCCTACATTGTCAGCTTTTGGCCGCGCATCCACATTTTCCCTCGGTTCAATTGCTTTTGGCTCTCTTATTGTCACTCTGCTCGAGCTGCTGCGTCTTGTTTTAAACGCCGCAAGAAACAATGCCATGGGGGATGGGAACCGTAAGATACCAGAGCTCGATGGTTGTGCAATTGAACAGCTCATGATGATTGATTGACAGCCGTCACTGCGTGTCTAGCCTGTTGTGCAGAGTGTTTCGTTGGATGTATCGAGAGTATGGTTGAGTACTTCAATCGGTATGCGTACATTGAAATTGGTGAGTCTCCCCTTTCTTTGGCGGAAGACGTCAAGGTGGCTGAACTATACCATGCAATCAGCACTGTATGGCAAGCCCTATGTTCAAGCGGCAAAGGATACATGGCGAATGTTCAAGGACAGAGGTCAGTACTTTGAATGAACCTCTTCCTTATATCGTACTAGCGACGACTTTAGGCATTGATGCGTTGATCAACGATTCGCTGGTGAACAATAGTAGGTGAAGATGTACATCTTTTGAGGTGAATCTCATTTGAGGCTTTTAGCACTCATGTTCGGCGCGTACTGCGTTGGCATCTTGTGTGCACTGTTCAGCTATCTCTACATACGCTGTATGTTGAATTTTGCGCTTTATCCTTTGTGACTCTGCTCATGTGGTATCCTCTTCCAGTTACGCACCCCGCCTACAACTCTAGTGGACAATATACCGCCCCTGTGATGTTGTTCGCATTCTTGATTGGTCTTCAGTGCTGTGGGTGTGATTTCCTACATATTGTTTCTCCCCTCTGAGGCATGTTTGTACCCAAGCTCTTACCCTAGGATCGGCGATCGAGGCTGGCGTGTCCACTATGTGAGTTCATCATTTTGTGGTCCAATACTCATATTCCTTACTCGTCTTGTCAAGTTTCGTTGGCCTTGGAGAAGACCCGCACATCTTGGCTGTGCGATCTCCCGAGCTGTTTGGAGTGAGTGCTAGGTTACTTCTCTCCATAGCAATGCCGAGCTGACGTTGTTATCTGCTAGATGATTGCGCGAACATACCCTCGAATTCTGCAGGGCGTGCCAAACGTCTAATTAACAGAGGGTTACTTACGTACTTTTAGTCTCGGTTTGCTAATTGGTTATACGCTTATATCACCTATTCACCTCTTCCTTTGAATCTACACGGTACTCCCTGCTCGCAACCTTCTTTGCGCCCTCTTGCGTTGTTTTTCTTGATGCTTTCCCATGTCGACCACTTAAGCTTGCTGCCCATTTACGTCGAGAAGCTGTCGAGGAACGTTGGGATGGAGACAAGAACAGTGTTGAACTCTAATTTTGACGCGTATGGGTGCTTATAGCCTCCATGGCGTCATATGTTGAGTGCTACATTCCGTATATTGGAGGGGGCGTTCAATAATCAGTATGTTTGCATCGTCATGAACAAGCTGGAAGGTCGAGCCAGGTCCCGACCCCTCGGTGGGCCCTTGCCGGTCTGCTCCGCAAAAATCTCAGGTTTGCCGTCATTGGCGCGGACCGAGCCTCAATAAATCCGACTGTACCTTACAACTCTAAGTCACACCCACCACTGACTGTCTCGCGTCCATCTTCCCCCGTCTTTGACGCTACCGTCTTATATCTCTTGTCTACCAAATGAGCTCTGTCGCACGCGCCCTCCGCACGTCCCTTCGCGCCCGCGCGCCGCTTTCGGCACGCGCTGGTCAAGCGTCGTCCGCTCGTGCTGCCCTCGGCCGTCGTACGATGAGCTCGAGCGCACACGGCCATGGTGCTAGCGGCGGAAGCGATACCGTTTGGATGGTACGTGCATCTTGCGCTTTTATGAAGACTAAGTGGGCGCTGACCTTTCTAACTTTCGTGCCGTTCAGATTGGCTCGGCGGTTGTCTTTGGTCCTGCAGTAAGCACAATATTACGTGGTAAACCTCTACATGCCGTGTAGCTAGACCTCTACGTGAATAGCTTGTATACCTTCTTTCGCCTGCTTCCCGCAAGCCCGCTCACAAGGTCGCCGAGGCGCATGAGCCTCACCATGTTGTAAGTCAAAAATTTGTCTTATGGTTCGATCTTCTTACGTCATTTTTGATCGTCTTAGACAACTCAGCAGGTAAGAATCTCCTTTCGCAAGTGCTAGCAAAGTTGGCTGATGCATTGTTTGTAGGAGACGAAAGAAGAGCCTCCCATGAAGGATGACGAAGGCACCGAAGTCTCCGGCGAGGAAATTAAGGACTCCATGTCGAAAGCCTTTGTACGTCCTCCCAGTCATTCCTTTATATCCTAAGCATACTGAGTACTTGCACAGGACTCCGATTCGCCCAAGGATGCCCAGGATGCCGAGGAGGAGCAGAAGGGTGAATCTTCTGGTGCTGAAGAGAAAGCTGAGGAGGGTGAGCAGAAGGAAGAGAAGAAGGACGAGGGTGCGGAGGTCAAGGGGAAGGAAGGCGAGAAGAAGGACGACAAGGCGGAAGACAAGGAAGAGGACAAGGTGCCCGAGGTGCATGAGCCCACTAATATGGGTGAGGCGCGTTTGCAGGCTAAGGTATGTTCCTCATGCCTACCGTATTGTTTCATGTATGTTGCTGACCGCGCGTATCTGTGAGCAGAGCGGCGTGCAGCCCAAGGAGGCTGACCCCAAGACCGAATCATGATTTACTCCTCCCTGTCTTTAGGGTCACAAAAGGTTGTCACTGCCGACTTTGGATCCCGAGTCTGAACTGCCATCGAGGTGATCCCAAGTACGCTCGCCGTCATAGACTAGAGTTTGTCGGTAGAATGAAATGGGCTAGCTCGCGTGGAAGCTTGCCGATTCGACTCTCATTTGTTTCTGATAAGATTCACTTTTGTTGACGAGGTGGGATGTTGCCATCAAGGGTGAGAAGGCATAAGGGATTTCGACTTCGTGGGTACTCCGGGACCTCTACGAAACCTTAATGCGAAGCGAAATCCGAGACGGTGGCGTCGAGAAAGGGGGGCGGCATGAGTTCGGCAAGCGTTTCTTTGGAGGGTAAGGTTGCTTGTTCAGGGAGCTCGAGTAATGTTAATGATGGAGAGATAAAAGTAGCGGATGGAGCCATCTATAGTTGGAGCTGCGCCCCCAATGGCAACAAGGGGCCATATGCAAGCGCGTCACAAAGTCGAGCGAGAAGACTTCGCGAATTCGATCTAAGAGTGTGTTCGTGGGTCTGGTCAGATGAAAGCACTGGCCCCGATCTACCCCACTCCACCACAGTTTACGCCAAGTGATGTACTCATCCGAGTGGGTCGAAATCAGTGCATCAAGGCATAATTCACTCAGACAACGTGCAAGACAGGCGCGTCCAATGGCAAATTGACTCCCGACCTCTGCGTGCTGCGATAAGAACGAGGCATACGGTTTATAGTAGCACTGTAGTGATTTGTGATAAGTCGGCTGTTGCGCTTCGAAGGATCATCTCAGCTTGGCTTCTTCGGACTCTTTACCAATCAGACGTCACCTTATTTATGGCACAATCTGCTTCCCAGCTCATGCTAACCGCCTCCATTGCTGCCCTCTCTTTATAAGACGCGCCTGGCCTCCTCTCTTCTTGGCCCCCGCCGTCCCCCGCAGCAGACGTGTCTGAGCTCTAGTTGACTGCAGCCATGAGGAAGACATCTTACGCTATCACCTTTGTCGCTACCCTTGCAACCCTCATTCTGGTCAGTCTCTTTTCGTTATAAAGCGTCAGCCTATTCTACATATACTCAATTGCGATCTTGTTGAACTAGAATATCCTGTCTGCTCGCCTCCCAGACTGGTTTGTCATCTCTACCTGATCTCATTCTTTATGCCTACAAGCCTCATCTCCTCAGGCTCATCGCAAAGTATGAGTTCGGCAACGCGCAGTACACCGTTCGCTACGGTTTGACGGAGCGTTGTGAACGCAAGTTCGTTTCCCTCCCCGGTCCCGATGGTGGCTCCATCTATTACGAGGACTACTCCTGCCGTGGATTCCCCCTGTCTGTCCAGGACAGCTGCGATGGCGAGAACCGTCGGTTCTGCGCTGCGTGGAGTTCTGCTCAGTACTTCAGCGAATTCGGCATTGGTCTGGCCGCACTATCCATTGTGGCCTTGCTCATCGGTGTTAGCACCCATTCGAGGAGAAGAAGGATTTGGAGGGCAGTCGCTGGGCTCGTCCTTCTTCATGGTTCGTTTCTTCTCTGCATATCAATCAATGTCTGCTTAATACGAGCGTCATCTAGCCATCTTCCAAGTTGTCGTTTTCGGCATTGTGACGGACCTTTATCGCAAGGAGCGCTTCCCTGCATTTGAGCACGCTAAACCAGGTGCGTTTAGTCCGCCGCGAGTTGATGGCATTCTAGCGCTGACAGAAATTATACAGGATCTGGTTTCATTCTGAACTTTGTTTCGTGGATTGTTGGCCTCCTCGTCGGCTTTGGTGTGATCATCACCGGCATCGCTGCCGACAAGGGCAAGCGATGGGCCGCCGGCAACCGCTACCGACCTATTGGTGATGCTTAAGCCGAAATCCTCCATACACTTCGTACGAATGCGTGTGCCTCAAACACCATGCACCACAAACGCGACATGCCCCTCTGCCATGAATAGATCCATACACGCACCACTCCCTTGTTACCCTTATCTCTTCTGTGCCTTCTCATTTCTTTCTCTTTTTCTTCTGTTAGTTCATGTACTTATACTTCAAGGACGCTAGGTGTTAAGCTCGTAATTTGCATCCCTCTTCAACACAGTGAATCATCATAATCTTTCTTGCGCAAGAATTCACTACGCCATTGGCGTCAATGTTTGCTTGCATGCACAGGAAAGCGTGATGTTTTGCATGCTTCCAGAAACGTTATGAATCAAGCAGACTGCATGTGGCATTGTAGCCAGCCTGTTCACAGCACATACTATCTCGGCTGTTGTTGCAACCAGTGACGTGATGTCCAGCCCTATGATGTCATCACAGTCCTCCATTGCTACGTTCTCGGAGAGATCCGAACAGCGCGATAGTCATCAGACAAGTACAATAAGTACAATACTAGATACAAACAACATCACTAGTAGTGCTCCAACCTTCATGCGTTCACCCATGCTGCTGCTTCGACATATAGCTTTTGTTGTTGCAGTAAGCTCCGAATTCTTCAAAGGATTGAAGACATCCTCGCACAGAACTTATTGACACGTCACAGACCGCAATAATAACCTTAAGCTAAAACTATGCTTTAGCCTCCACGCCAACCGTGTTCTCACACATACGCAAGCTCTTAGCTCATTGCTTGACCCCTTTGAGATAGACAGACTCATAAGTACTAGTCCGCCTTGCTCACAACATCAAGGATGGCCCCGTTTACCGTGACGACGTTCTTACGTGAACAGTGGACCAAGCTCCCCCTCGCTACTGCAGACCTCTCTAACAAGACCGTTATCCTCACCGGATCCAATGTGGGCCTGGGCTTCGAGGCTGCTGTGCACCTAGCCAACATGAAACCCGGAAGGTTTATCATCACCGCTCGGGATCAGGCCAAGTGTGACAAGGCCAAGAAGGGTAGGTTTCTACTCATCTGGCTTACTTCCGTCAAGAATCTCGACTGGAACTTGAACTTTGTTGCTTACAACCCTAACGCAGAAATCGAAGCTCGGGCACAGGAGGGCATTGGAGCGATCGTCGCTTCTCCTTTAGAGCTCACGTCCTTTGAGTCCGTGCGGGCTTTTGTAGATGAATTTGCGGCGGGAAGCAGCAAGCTGGACGTCCTGATTGCCAACGCTGCTGTGTCTTTGCAAGAATACACTCAGACAGGGAATGGATGGGAAACGACGTACGTCAGCGCACCTTTTGCCAGTACACCGAAATTTAAATCACGGTGACGCAGCGTTCAAGTCAACCACTTGTCGGCAGCTTTGCTGAGTATTTCGATGCTCCCTCACCTTGCCAAGGCTGGGACGGAAGAGAACCCAGCTCGGTTGGTCATAGTGTCCAGCGAAGCGCATTACATGGAGAGTCTGAAGGGCGCGTCCAAATGGCCAAATATCCTCGAGAGGCTCAGCGATAAATCTTACTGCACTCCCGCGTATGGTACCCCCACCAAATCTGTGGCGACTAACTCTGACACACCGTATCATATCTAGTGTAATGCGAGCACGGTATCCTATTTCCAAGCGTCGGTACCCTCATTCGCTTTCATCGGACGCCACTAATTCTCATCCTACTATCAGTCCTCGAAGTAGAATTTGCGGCCCGCCTGTCAAAGTCTACTCCCGTCGTCATTGACGCGGTCAACCCCGGGTTCTGCAAGTCACAGCTCACACGCAACGTCGCGTTCTACCTCCAGGTTGTCGCCAAGGTCGGTAAAGCGCTCCTCGCGAGAAGCACCGAGATGGGCAGCAGGACCCTCGTTCACGCCGCCGTCGCGCCGGGCGAAAAGGAGAGGCATGGGCATTACGTCTCGGCGTGCAATGTCGCCGAGGAGAGCGACTTTGTGCTGAGCGAGGAAGGGCAGGAGGTGCAGCGTCGATTATGGGTATGTGATGGTGTCATCGCCTCTTTTATTGTTATGAGCTGATGGTTAAATTTTGTAGGATGAAACTATTGAAGTTTTGAGCAAGGTGGACCCGAGAGTGAATGGCATTGTCACCGAATATCTGTCTACTTGAGTGAGGAATTTGCACAAACAAACTTTGTTCAGTGTTAATCATATGTATTATCGTATATGACAGTCAATTCAGATCAGCTATGCAGACTCAGGTGCTCAGCCGTGTAAAACAGGGAAAACAAAAAACATTGAGCGATTTCCTAAGGGATACAGGTCTTTTTGGCCACTTCTGTCCATGAAAAACCTGCCATGAGTTTTCTCGTCTTCCAGGATTCTGGCGTAGTCATATTTAACGCATGTGAAATAGGGTTTTTGCATGAAGGGACTGTCATTGAACGAAATCAAACGACTCAACTTCGTACAGCTCATAGTAGCTCTTTGCACAGCAAGCATGTTCATTATGCGCAATGAATATACGGTATCATAAAATCGTGGTAATCATTTAAAGCAAGAAAACAACTAAAGCTAGTACTATATGCCTTGACACATGAGAGTCCAAATCCTTAATAATCCTCTATGAACCAAGCCTACTTTCTTTCATCGAGTTTACTCGTCGTTTGGGAAGTCCACCTTTTCGTACAGCCTGAGCGTCTCGCCCCAGTCGCGCTTTCGCCTCCTGCGCACGGAGAAGTATTTGGCACCGCTCTCCCACCGGCTCCGAACGCGGCCCTTTTCGCTGCTCTTCATCCACCTCTGCGCACCATCCACATCCACATCTCCGTTATCGGAGCCGGCGTTGAGCGAGTTCGTGCGAGAGCGGGCCGGACGACGCCCCGTGAAGCTAGCGACGGGATCGCGAGGGAGCTCTAACGCATCGACACCGATGGACATGATGCGCCCGTAAAGGTCCTGTCGCTCGGCTTGCAGGGCGCGCACTCTACTCGAGCCGACGCGGAGCATGTCGAACAATTCGATGGACGCTCGCGCGCTGGCGATAGCGTCTTCGAGCCACCGTATGGTCATCCACATTAGTGCGGGCGTTGCGACGCCCAGCACCCAGCGTGGCATAAATGCGAGGGTGTCGAATCCGAACGTGTACCATAGAAGAAGCGGAACGAGGAACGGCATGGAGATGCAAGTAAGCAGACCAGATATAAGGCCGTAGACGAGCTTGTACTGCGCGATCTCATCAAAGGTATCCCACATGGGCCCCGTCTTCTTGAACTCATGCACGGCAATCATGATAGTGACAAAGGTCGGCGCCCAGAGAACGAGTCCGGGAGAGCAGAACGCAAAGAGGATGGCACACCACGCAGTGCGCACGGCGAGGCTGAGGAACGTCGCGAGCGTGAAGGAGAGCGAGAACGGAAGAGCGAACGGTAGAAGCGGGGGATCCAGGACACGTGAGTCGTGTAGCGATTGCGAGACAAGCTTTTTCTGGTAGGAACGCAAAGACACGCGTAGAGAGCGAAGGTCGTCGTCAGCCCGCTTTACCTCTGGGGTTTCTTCATCGTCCGACAGAGCTCCGGACGGTGCAGGTGCGCCGTTATGCTTTCCGTGGACCTCGGAGGCTTTGAAAGCTTCTAACCAGACGCGCGTCACTCTCACCCAGTCGCCCAGGGACATGCGAGTACCGAGGGGTGCATAAATGCGAGCAGCGAGTCGGGCCGAGCGGATCAGATCCCATGAGGGAGCGTCGAACGTATGCGTGCTTATTTGTGAGTGTAAGGAAGCAGTCAGCGAGCGAATGTTGGCGGGTTCGGCAGGAGCGAGGAGTTCGGGGTGAGTCTAGAATGGTATGGTATGAATGTTCGGTATCGAGTTGAGTCTAGAAGGCGCGTACTCTGGGTGTAAACATCATTGGAGGATTAAACGTTACGAGAACGTCTGAGCGGAAATGTTCCCGGTTCCTGCTGGTTTTTAGACTTTGGCTAGATTGCCAAGTCATGAACAAACATACATGTACGTGATAGAGCACGTGAGGATGGCCACGGCAAAGTCGGGTTTGTCACGGTTTCGAGTGAGGACATCAGATACGATTCGCGCAACTGATCAACGGTCAGCTATATTCAACGAAGCAAGTAGAATGACTGAGATACATACCTCCGGTTTTCAGGGGTGCAATTTCGGGATGATACCGACTCATCCCTTCCGGAAATAGGCAAATGGCGTCTCCCAGTTCAACTGCCTAGTGACAGAATGGGCGTCAAAACCATCGATGAAACCGTGAAATGTTCCACTTGCCTCGATGAGTTTTGCCATGGCATCTGTATTATCTGCATCTTTGGCGTCGGTATAGTCCTTGCGCCGCTTGATAGGAACGGTGCCGGCGGATTCAATGAGCCAGGAGGTGAACGTGCGATGGCCGAACTGCGTGGACTTTGCCGTAAGCCGCAGCATGTTCCGAATCTGTGTCGAAAAGGAAAAGACCGAGCAAAAAGACCGATGATCCAGGGAGGGACATATGGTTGGGCATCATTAGCGTAGAGAAGGGCACTGGGTTAGGGTGGAGTCGACGCGGTCAGGAGGTGAACATACGCTTGCGGGTATGGCATGGACGAGGAGACTGGTGGTGTGTTGTCAGTAACGAGAAATATTGGTTTACAGACGCGACGAATACGCACAGAGCGTCCGTGAGCGAGTTGGAATGGTTTGCGCATACCACACTGTACGGAGCAGTCCATGAATCGATTATGAGTCAAGCGAGGCAAGGAGGAGGATGCACACCAAGGTACACCCGTAGGAGGGATCAAGTGAGCGTTCTCGACTACGATGGAGCCGTAGAAGATCTTGAGGACGAACTTGAAGAGAAGCCTGTCAGGTCCGGTCAGGCTGTGCACTAGAGGTTGTCAGCACCGACGCCCGCACCGTATAAGAGCATAGGACCAGGGTGTTGGCGTTCCCGCTGGCATTGTGCCGGGTTTTGTGTCGGTTGGCTCAAGCCGCGATGTCTGTTCCGGTGCTGCTGGGAGGTATACTGGGGTATATGGGGGATGTCGTGGACCGGCGTAGAGAACCGGATATAAAGCTCCCGGCTGACACAGATACAATCGTATAAGGAAAGCATATTGCCTCTTCAAGACATCCAGGATCAGCACACGTTCTCCTACACAGGCTCGATTCCATTTAAGTGGTCGACGTGTTCTCGTTAGGCGCTACTTAGATAATAAAGCAGCTGATGATGTCAAACTTCAGCCCATATGGCCACGAAACTAGCTACCTCCGAGGCGGAACTGGAAACGGAGTGTCAATGGATAATAGATTTACACTTTCACTACTCTTCATTAACGCTCTGTATGCAATCCAGAAAAGACCGAGGAATTTTGATACTACGGCCTCTCCCATAGACCCAGGTCGTCTAGCTTGTACCGTCTCGACGCAACATGAAACAATGTGAACCCCTCTCTGAACCTAGCATAAGCCTCGCGCGTCTGTTTGTCCGCGTCAAGTACCTTGCGCGCTCGACGGTCCGCGCTGATCGTCTCGTTGGCAATGGTACGCAGCGCGGTGACTTTGCTGACGCCCCTGGCAAACGCTGCACGAGAAACATAGTTGATATTCTCGCCAGCAAGCTCTTCCTTATAAAAGGAGAGGACATCGCTACAGAAAATGGGCTCCTATGAATACTTGCTCCTATATGAGAAGAAAGTGAACGTACTTGGTCACGTTGGCAAAGACCATGATAGATGGAAGCGCCTGAATATACGTCTCGAATGGAACATCCGAGGGGAAGACCATGATGGCGAAGGCTTCGGCAATCCCTGTCAGTGTGCGGACAAAGTATGGATACTCCGGCGCCTCTGGTGACAGCTTGAGATGATCAACTTAGTGAACGCATCAACCAAGTCTAAAGATAAATACCGCACCTTCATATCACGCAAATCATATTCAAGCACACTTCCGTTGATGAAATTCAGAGCAGAGTTGACAATCATCGCTGCTTGCACAGGTGCATACAACTTCGCCGCATCGTGAAGCGTCTGCGCGACGAGCTCGAGCCCAGGATCCGGCTGAGGGCGACCGTTGATGAAGCAGCCGCAAAAGGAGCGAGCACGCTCGACGTCCGACTGCGCGACATCGTCAATCCAGACGAGCACTGCAGTGAACATGGCGACATATATTTGCGCAGCACGGTCCGGGAGGTGGCCGTATGCGAGCTGGCCCATTATCGAGCCGATTTGGATGTGGCGGTGAACCTCGGAGGACGGTGTGACACTGTAGCCTTTTGAGAATGCATAGGCACAGCAATCGGAGTAGTAACTAGGGTCAAGCAAGACGGATCCAGAGGATGGGTAGGGTATGTCGTATTGGTTGAAGAGATCTTGGAATATGACACGGATTGCCTTCACAACGGTTAGCGAAAGGGTTAATTTGCTAAATCTCAGTTCATATTACCTGGAAATCTTCCGAGGAGATGGTAAGAGACTCTGGCATGCCATTCATGATTGTGAGGCCGATAGCTAGTGAGAGGATGCAACACGACAGATCCTGCAGCAGCAGGCTTTTATGCGTCTCGACACTCCCCGGCCCGGACCAGCGGTAAACTCGCTGTTTCTATATGCAGAAGACAGTCCATTCTTGTTAACCACTGAAGGATCCAAGAGCCACGGAGAACAGACCGGAGAGCTCCATTTTGGCGGACGAAAGGGGAGTGGATGCAGCTACACATTGATGATTTAACGTTTCCGCGGCAAATGAAGTACTGATAACCAACTGATAACAGGGTGTTTCAGATCACTCGTTAATAAATCCAGGGGGATAGTAGTAATTGGGACTTGATAAATGATAGACGCATGAATCGACAACTCGGGTGAGCGCTGAAATTTACGTGAGATTAGACCGTTCGATGACATGGGGTGAGAAGGAGAACGAGCAAAAGAGAGGATATACTTGGCCCGGTCCAACGGACGCGATAATGACGGCACAATGTTACGGCCCGCTTGTGGCGCCTGTTTAGTGCTGAGGGCGCCGACCATGGTGGCTTTAAGCGCTCGTGGAGCATAGTTAGTGCCGGGGATGCCATGATATCGATAACGAGTGAAGGCAAAGGAGGGTCAAAGAAGTGGGCGTCGCTGTGGATGTGCACGCCGTCGTTCACATATAGTTGCGTGGGGTCAACATCGAGACACCTATGGGTGTGCCGGTCCTCTGGTTGCAGGCGCGGCCACAGAAACAAGGCCCTCGAGGGGGAGTGGGCTTTGCCTAGACTTTGTCGGTGTGAAAGTTTAGGCAGGCAGTAGAAGCGGAAGATAAAGTACCCCACGTGGTACCGTCCGTTGTACATCATGTACTATGATACATGTTGTCTCGTTGGAGGTCACGGTACATGCGTAATCTGTAAAGGAGAAGAGATGGCGCGCCGGACGGGCTATGAAGTAGAACGTATTCCGAGGTGTACATGGGCTAGTCGGAGCATCACGCACATGGTCTGCGATAAGCCGAGGACCCGGATGTATGGGATCCGTGAATGCATCGATGAATACACGGGGACCTACAAGATGAGCGAGGGTCTTGACTATCGTGGGAAGAGCACGTTCTCTTTCACAATGTATCGAATAAGGAAAATGAATTGCCTCTTCGGGACATCTCCTCGATGCACGTTCTCTCCCAGGCGCTCCTCCAGCCTCAAGCCTTCAAAGCTTCAGGTACAAAAATAGTATCTTTAATCGTTATCATGTTAATTCAAGCAAGTGACCATTTTGATTGCTGTCTTTGGACCCCTGCAAACCAAGAGGGTGGCTCGGATAGCAGAAAGTCGATAGAGAACACATACAACTACATTTTGTTCAACTCACAACTACTCATCGGCGTTAGGCTCTCTCAAATAGACAAAGTGAAACAATCCAAGTACTATACTCGCTCCCATAGGCACAATTCATTTGATCTGTACCTATTTGAAGCGACGTGGAACAACGTGAATCCTTCTCTGAACTTAGCATAAGCCTCGCGCGTCTGCCTGTCCGAATCTAGGAGTTTGTCTAACGGGCCAAGCAATCACCGGCACCATTGCAGTCCACTGTTGCGGTGTGTTTGAATGAGGCAAAACTATGTCTTGGGAGGCGGTTTAAAGCAGGCTGAGATGCCATCGAATCTTTCCAATGCGAAGCACTGGAGCTGGAGGATCGCAAGCCTTGTCACACAGCTGGTGCGTCAAATCGAGTATTTGAGGCCTGATAGCGAAGTTTATACGACACGAAGCCGGTATCCAAGTATATATTTGATTAAGCGCTGGGTGCAACGAGACGAAGAATTGACCAAGTTGGATGGAAAGTGACGAAGAGTGAGAACGACAACGGGTAAAAGGAAGGTGACGACCTGCAGATAATACGCGTAATCTAGCGAGGTTGTCCGCTGGATGCGACGATAACGGAGTTGGATGATGTGCGTGGAACGTCCGGTCAGCTGTGGACTCTACTTAGAGAGAGAGATACCAGCATGCGCAAGCGCTCAAAACGGAACTCGCACAGCACCGGGGCGTCAAGATGTCAGGTTGAGGCAAGGGAGAGCCAGATAAATGGGCAGCGCAAAGGAGAGATAACAACGTTGTATAGACCCGAGAAGTGAGGATTTTGGAGACGGACAATTTTGTCAAGGGTAGACTAGATGTTGAAAACAAGTACCTAGTCAAGTCGTTGTGTCGTGGTTGGACGGGAAGGCACATTATTAGTTGCCTAATCTGAGCGACGGGAAAGAGTGACGGAGGCAATATAATTTTATTATCTTTTAGGTATTACACCATATCTTTCTGCTCGTCCGCCATGGAGAGTCTCGAGTCTGCGCTGGGCAAGATCAGGCCACACACGCAGTCGTCTCTGGCGCACCAGAAGGCGCCTGCTCACCTGCTGCAGGCGATCGATGGGACGCTGGCTGAACGTGAATCGGAGCGGACGTCGACTGCATACTTTGCAGCGATTGTGACTGCACTGGACTCTTCTGTCGGGAAGAGACAGACGTCGCTCGGAGACGGCGATCTGCTGCCCGCGGAGCTGTATCTGCTTGCGCTCGTCGCCCCGTTTGTGCCCCAGAGTGTGGTCCAGGCCCAGCTGTGGACCACCCTCGAGCTGCTCGCCCCCCTCTTTCCCTCGCTCACAGACCATGCACCCCCGCTCCGCTCGTGGATCGCCGCCATCCAGGCCCTCGTCTCCTCCGCGGACCGCTCCCAGCTTGACAAGACGCCGCTCGTCCAGGCCTTCAACTCTGTCCTCCACCTCACCGTCGACCACAGACCAAAAGTCCGCAAACGCGCCGCAGAGGCAGTCAAGGCCATCATCGACAAACCACCCCTTCCTCTCGCTCGCCATCCATACTCTGCCCGAGTCGCACAATGGGCACACACTGTTCTCGCAGCCGCAGCCGCATCGCCCATCGGTGCAAAGGGAAAGAGTCAGCATACCCCAGAGACAGCCATCCACCTCATCCAATTTCTCAGGACCGCCCTCCCTCACCTCCCTCCTCCCGTGCGTCATCCAATTAGTCATGCTTTTCCGTTCTTATAATTTCTCTAGACCATGCCCGAGTTGACACCGCCCCTCCTTTCCCTCCCACGCCTCGGCAACCCGTTCCTCTCCCAATCGTCCTACGCCCTCCTCGCCGATCTCCTCGCTCCCTCTCAATCCAAACACCCTGACGAATACACCACCATCGACATCGCCCCTATCCTCACCGCCGTCCTCACTTCACCTCCCACCCCCAACGACATATCCCTCGCTCCCGCATGGCTCGCCCTTCTCGCCGCAGCAGCCCACTCCGCCTCCCCATCCCAGCTCACTCAGATCTGGCGCGCCTCCTTCCCCCGTCTTGCCGCAGACGCCCGCGACGTCAGATCCGCAGCGGCCAGCGCCTGCGTACGCGTCGCCTCTGCACCCGAGTTCCCCGCGAGCCAGCTTGTTCCGGAGGCCGTCAAAGACCTCTCAGGCGCTCTCGAGCAGCTCCAGTTCGCTCGTGCCATTCCTGATGTGCTCGGCGTCATAGCTGCCCTCGTCTTTGCTCTCCGCATAAGAGACGAAAGCGGGACTACCCACGCGGAGAAGCACGCGCTCCCGCTTGTCCGTCGTGCTGCCACCCTGCGCGTTCAGAAGGGCTTCGAGGCAAAGGAGCACGCCGATGCTGTTCTCCGTGCTGCATTGCAGAGCATGGGCGCCCAAGTCGTCCTCGACGCCCTTCCACTCAACCTTCTTCCCGAGGAAAGAGCCCCAGGCGACAGCGAGCCCCGCGCTTTTCTCCTTCCTCTTCTCGTTGGCCCCCAATCAGCTCCTCTCGCACACTTTGTCCAGTACTTTATACCGCTCTCCATCAAAATGTTCGACAAAGCACAGCAGGCTTCCTCAGAGGCAGAAAAGAAGGTTTGGGAAGTTCTCGTGGGCCAGGTGTGGGCTGCTCTTGGAGGGTATTGCTGGGGTGGAGGTGACTTGAGCAAGGTGCGTCGTCCAAGTCGTAATGTGAAACGGATTGTGGCACTTAGGACCGCCGGGTTGTGATAACTAATAGGCGCTCACTCCGGACTTTGCTCAACTCCTCACGCAAGTACTCTACAATCAGCCTGAGCTTCGTTCTTCTGTTCTCAAAGCACTCAAGACGCTGGTGGAGAGCAACACGATTCTCGCGAACTCGGATGCTGATTCTCAGCCTAAATCGGATGCAGCTGATGGCGACGCGGACAACGAGGAGGACGGGGACGAGGAAGAAGAAGAGAAGGACGAGAACAAACACACTTTGAAAACCAAGGCCTGGCTCGAGATTACCGCGACAACTTCCGAACAGGCCAAGGCCAACCTCGCTCTGCTCTCGAGCCAAGCCGAGAGCTGGCTCGCTGTGCTCTTCAATGTATTCGGTAGTGTGCCGCCACGGTCGCGCGGAGCAGTCGGCGATGTTTTGCGCGCTTGGATTGGGGTTGCCGGAGTCAAGGTGCGCACGCTGCATGACCATCTATAAGTTTTCTAAATAAGCTTCTGTACAGGACGTGAAGAACGCGTACAAGAAAATCATGGGCATGCTCGACAAGAACCTGCCCGCACCGGCCTCGGCACAAAAGGGCGGCAAAGGCGGGGCGCCGAAGAGCCTGCCGCACGAGGATGAGGCCAGTGTGCCGAGCACGATGCTCGACCTCGCGCTTCTCCTGCTGCCTGCACTCCCGCCGGCAGAGCAAACAAGCGCGTTCGTGGCGTGCGCACGTACACAGGTGCTTGGGTGCTCTAGCGGCGCTGTCCAGAAACGCGCGTATCGCGTCTTGGCGCGGGTGGCCCAGGGTGGCAAGGTCGACGTGGGCGCTGTCGACGAAGACGCGCGGATGGATGCGGATGGAGCCGTCGTCACTCCGACTGGAGGCGTGGATGTGCTTCACATATTCCGGAGGCTGGAGGACACCGTGGATGTTGTGCAGCCCGGTGCGAAGAGGGTATGCTGTTCATTCATCCTTTTGTTTGTTCTCGGTATTCATCGCATTCCGGCCTTTGTAGGACCGGCTCGCTTTGCTTGCTGCTCTCGTTCCTCATTTGCCTGACCGTGCGCTACACGCCGTCCCTGCGCTTATACCCGAGGCAGTCCTTGGGACGAAGGAGCCTTCGGAGAAGGCACGCAGCGCGGCGTTTGCGCTTGTTGTTGCCCTCGGCTCGCGGATGCAGGCCGGTGGCATCGTTCGCCGTGGGCTCGTTGCTGGCATGACAGACGGCGACGAAGCAATGGACGGCGCGGATGGTCAGGGTGAGGTGCAGGCGAACGTGGACGAGTTCGTGACGATGGTTGCGGGCGGTCTTGCTGGTGCGAGTGCGCATATGATTAGCGCCACGATCACGGCGATTGCACGGCTTGTGTTTGATTTCAAAGGTGCGTGTCTGTAGAATTATTCACCACAAGATGAATATGCTAACGAGTTGGGTGTCTACGTCTCCGCAGACGACATCTCGGTGCGAATGCACGAGGAAGTCTTACAGACGCTTATCGTCTTCATTACCTCCGCCAACCGCGAGATTGCCAAGGCCGCTCTCGGCTACGCGAAGCTCGCGGCACACGTCGTCGCCCCGGCGCCGCTGTCGTCTTCGCTCCCCGCGCTCGTGCGCGCCTTGCTCCGCTGGGCGGGCGAGCACAAGAACCGGTTCAAGCTCAAAGTGCGGCACATATTCGAGCGTCTCGTTCGCCGGGTCGGCTGGGATGTAGTTAATGAAGCCGTGCGCGTGGTTGGGACAGAAGGTGAGAGCATGGAAGAGAAAGAGGAGGCCAGGAGGCTGCAGGATGTCGGAGAGAAGGTGCTTGTGGGTATCAAGAAGCGGAGGGAGAGGGCGAAGCGGAAGAAGGCTGCGAAGGAGGAGGAGGGTGAGAGCGAGGAAGAGGTGCGTCAATTGCAGTTTGTAGCAATGTGTACTCCTGGGACTGACAAGCCGCTAGGCCCAGGCTCCGGCGCGCTCTGGCGACGCGTTCGAGGATGTGCTCTACGGCAGCGAGAGCGAGGCGGACTCGAGCGACGACGACGACGACGCACGGGGGCCTTCCAAGGGAGGCCGTGCCGCCGCTGCCGCTCAGAGGCAAAATCAAAAAGGCGCCGGCAAGCGCCACGGGCTCGACGGCGGCATGCACATCCGGATGGACGACGGTGACGAGCCGATGGATCTGCTCGCGGGCGCGTCGGCGCGGCTGACGAATACGCACGAGCGGCGGAAGAAGCCCGGGCAGGACGCGCGCCACTTCAAGATGGACGCGGACACGGGCAAGATGGTCATCGATGCCGAGGAGGAGGGTGGCAATGGCGAGGGTGCGGGTGCGGGTGGGGAGGATGTGGAGGGTACAGCATATCGCGAGGGGCTGACGGGCGCTGACGGGTTCACGCGCGGGCCGAACGGGCGTGTCAAGTTCAACAAGGATACGAAGAAGCGGCGGCGGGCGGAGGCAGAGATGGGCGACGGGGATGGGGATGTTGAGATGGGCGAGGCGAATGTGGGGAAGAAGAAAAAGAAGGGAGAGCCGAGACCTGGTAACGAGTTCAGAGCTAAGGTTCGTGCTGCCCACGGTTTGCGTCTTGCCTTTTTTGATGGAGTTTACATTCTAGAGAGCGGGTGGCGATGTTAAGAAAGGTGGTGTAGACCCATACGCCTACCTTAGCCTTTCGCAGGCGGCGAAGAAGAAGGGAGGTAAGGGCATTGGCATTGCAGGAAAGCGATGAGGGACACTCGAGAAACTTCTTCCAACCAAAAGAGCACATCGTTGCTCATTCGACTCATGGGCCATTGCACGTTTTTGCAAGATTATAAATTGCATATTTGTACAAAATGCGCTCTTTTTTCTTTGCTGAGGGATACATACATACCCGTCATATTTTCCATCTTCACCCGGATGATCATCCATAGAGCGTCTGATCGTGTGATGTGCCAAAGAGGCCCTCACCCCAACTTGTGGGTTGTTTCCAGCTCTGCACGTCCGCACCGGCGACTTTGGCCGTAACGGCGGCCATGAGGTGAGCATCGGACCTGTTGTCGCCCTCCATGACGTATTGTAGAAGGGCAACGGTCGGGACGGACCACGCCGTGGGCAGGGAGGAGAGGATGCGACGGGTGAGGCCGCCGCCGGGGATGAAGGGGACACCTTCCTCTGCCTTGGGGTGTTCTGCGCCTTCAGGGAACTGTGGAACAGAGGTGTAACTTGGAATAGGCAGATCTCTGATGTGCTCGAGAGGGGTTTGTGCGAGAGCTGGGGCGCCCTGAGGGAGGATGTATGATGTCGGTGTCCTTGAATGATGTAAGTTACCAGAACCGTGCGCCGGAAAGGGAGGGAACGCACAGCATCTGAGAATCGGTACGGTTGGAGGTGTCGACGCCGCCGAGGAAGATGACAGCAGCAGCCCCCGAGGACTTGACAAAGTCGAGGAGCGCATTGACAAAATCCTGCTTGAATGCCTGGTGTATGACAGCTAAGAATCGAGGCGTATATATGTCCAAGAAGAGGGAATAATACTTGCCTTGAGAGCCGGCGAGCGTTGTTGCATAACCACAACATTCTGGTCCTCCTTGCCATAGACTGTCATACGTCACCCCATTCAGAAGCCGTTCTTCATAGAGCGCCTGAGAGAGAAGCGCTCACCCTCGAGAGGCATCGTGATCCCTTCCTGTCCGTCCTCGCGCGCACCAACAACAGGCACGAGCCACTGGGGGTCGCATACGCCGACGCGGGCGAGGTCGAGCGAGGCGATGAGGAGATCAGCTCCCAGCTGCGCGACATTCGCGACGGATACGACGGGCTACCTTGTCGGATTCAGAAGGAAGCAGTCATCAACCTTGTGCTGTGAGTTTGTTTGATGCGAGACGCACGATGACTAGGGTCTTGTCCTTGAGGGAAAGATTTGATGTTGGGTAGTAAAACGTCATTGGAGGAGTGGGCAGCTCGAGGTCAATATTTCAATTCTTGAGCTTAAGTGATCGCGGCTTTCGCGTCAAGACGCAAAAGCCCCTGTTCGGCGTTTGGCGATCATCGATCAAGCTCTAACTTAAGCGCCCGTAGGTGCGTTTTGGCGCCTGCGCCATTTATCCAACATTTATTTATCTAGTTTGAGTAGCTCAAAGCTTAGGGTAGTTTCGATTTTATTTATATCTGGGAAAAATGGCATGACCATAACATAGAGATATGTTCGACATAAAATGTGGATGTGCCTTATAGTCTCAGAGCAGTCTCGGAATAATCTCGGATTGTCGACAGCTGGTGGTAGTGCTCAGCTGCCAAATTATGTGTACTTACTACCCCAGCGGTACCCCAAGCTATAGCTCACTTGTGCTACTATATATCCTGTGCTATCTTGTGGGCTCATGAGTTTGTTCGTGTCCTATAACCTCTGAACCGTCACTATCTAACATAAGCTACAACATGCGGCTTAGCCAACGCCGAGGACTTTCCTATTGAACGATCCTTCGGAGGTAATGTATGTGGTCGAAGTGCATGTTATTCTTCGGTTCAATTGCAACTTGCTGTACTTAATATTGGAGTGACAGCCACACAGGAATGTATGAGATGTGTGTCGCCGAGGCCATCCACGAGATTGATGCTCATTTGCTCTCAGGATTCTGATCCGATTCGTTCTACGCTATATAAAGCCTAAAGTTGTTGAAGCGAGGAAGCCCCTTTTCCTCACATCTACTCTGACTTTTGCCCTTTTCGCCCTCTTAACACCATGGGAGATGCTGGTGTAGATGCTGGAGCCGGTGCACTTGGATGCTGCTGTATGTGAACTCTTACTATGACGGTCACGGCGCCGTCGACTGACGACACAACAAACCTCTACCAGTGGTCGCCATCCAAAGCATATTTGCGCCTTTCTGCAACACCAGTACGTCCTCGAATGCTTGCAATACCTGAACAAGGCACCTAGAGCCTTATGTGTTCATTCGCGCAGGGGCATATGGCTCAGGCGACAGCAGCTGTTGTGGCGGCCCACGGGGATGTTGCCCCTGTTTTGGGAAGAGCCTCGACAAAGACAGGTTCGACGAGGCCGTGAAGGAACAGGAACAGGCCAAGGACAGCGCCGAGGATCCCGTCGTACAACAGCTAGCACCGACAGAGGGAATGACGGTCGCTCCAGACAAACCTGCGTCCTGAGTTGACACTCTTGGATGCCGAAGTAAGTTAGTCCTACAAACCGCGCTGCTGACTGATGTTGAAGTGAGCCGAACAAGGTCTATGCTGTAGTTCTGATCTATTATACCCTATCTCTAACATTGTACTGCCTAACTTCCACTCGAGACCTGGGCCTGATCGCGCGAGAACAAAGGACGGGTCTCCAATAGTTGACTCACCGTGAAAGTTTCGTTTAAGCGTCGAAGCATGAACTTCTCGGGCTCGGTTCAATGACTGTGAACAAATGACCATGGTTGACATCATCAAAATGAAGTTAAAAACATGCTATCACACGCATCATGTTTGCATGTCTTGTAGACACCCGCGCCTGTCTTCCTCTAGTCTGCAAATTGGTGGATGGCAGGCGGATGTCTGGGTAAGTACTGATTAGAAGCCTTAAGACAGACTCGTTCAACTCCGATTCAGACCGAAACAGTAAAAGAGAACCCTCATTATCGTATTCAAACACATCTTCCCCACAATGTTCCGAGATTTCAGTCGGCCTTCTGCGAACGCTCACGCCATGAAGGACCCCACACGCTGCAGGCTAGCACCATCAGCATACCCAGCCCGATGAGCGCTGCGAATAGCCCCGATGCCTTCGCGTCGCCCATGTTCGTGTACGCCACTGACAGATAGAAAGGAGCGATCTGTGCAGGAAAGCTATAAGGTGAGCTGGTGAAGCGCTGAAAGAGACAAGATACATACGAAGGCGTAGGTCTGCCGGGTGAGAGAGATGAACACAGACACGTCTGCCGTTTCCGACCGGTACGACTCGATGGCATAGGTAACGCAAACCGTCGTGACAAGTTGTTGCCCAAAGACAGCGATAGCGGAGCCGATATCCTTGAAGGCTGAGTTAAAGACGGGATGGAGTCATGACTCGTACTCACTGGTGTTATATTCCATTTACCCACAGTTGCGTCCTGCAATTGCACACCCCAAACTGAATACATAAGATGAGGACAAGTGACATTCCAGGGCAGAAAATATGGTGTCTTACCAATAAGGCCTACTAGCGCCAGGATAAAGCCTGGAGGCGCCAGCATCAGCCGATCTTCAGGTCGCCATACTGGTTGCGTTGGGTCTTCACCATCGGACGTGCCCAAGGCAGAGGCGTTCTTCCGAGCACGCCAGTTGACAAAAGCATCGCTCCCCTTCCCGGCTACCACCTCGCCTAAGAGGGCACCGACCAGTAGCGCGATGAACTGCAGGCTGACTTGGCCCGGGGTGAGGTGAAATGCCTCGCCAAAGAGCTGAGGGACGAATATAGTCTAAGCAGCAAACGTCAGTGGTCCGCAGTAGCCTCGTACTGTGTTTGTGACCATACCATGAGCACATTGGTGTACGAGAATGCCATAGTGTAAGCAAGCGTGGGCAACAGGACAGCTGGACGGGCGAACATGGCGAAAGGTCTGAAGAACTCGGATGCACGATATGGCTGCTTCGAATAAACGTGAAGCGACAAGAAGGGGCGCCAGCCCGAGCGCTTAGCGACTTCGTCCTCATCATACGGCTCTCCGGGCGGCACGCGGTTGAGAAAGAGAGTTTCAGGACCGAGGAAGAAGTGAGCGATGAAGAGCCCGAGGTGGATTGCGGCGAGGAGAATCAAGGAAGCACGCCATCCTCTGTACTGAACAAGATATCCGGAGCTGATGAAAAGTTATTGGTTGAAGGAAATTGATGTATGTATGTGCTTACATCAAGGGACCCATGATAGGACCGCACGTCACCAGGAGGGCTTGATGATGGGAAAGTAGTTTAGTACGGAAAGTTTTTCTCCGGCTAGAGAGCACATACTCCATATGCCCATCTTTTGTCCTCTCTGGTAGGAAAAGAACATGTCATCAACAGTTGATGCGCCAACGCTGAGTGCAGGCGAGATAAAGATGGACTGGAAGATGCGGGTGGTAATGAGCGCGCCCCATGAGTTGGTATAAGCGCCTCCAAGCGCGAATGCTGCAGACAAGAGAGCTGAGAGAAGGTATACGGGACGTCGTCCTATCCGCTTAGATATTGGTGCCCAGAATAAAGGTGCTACACCCATAAACAGGATTTCGATAGACCTGAAGAGTTTGAGAGAAAGGAAGCACCGGATCATGGTCGTGCACCTACACCGAGTAGGATGCTTCTGCGATTGAAACCCCAAGGTCTTGAACAAAATCTTCAAATGCTGGAATAACGATTGCTGCGCGACGGTTGGTGTTATACCACTAACTCCCCGGTATCAAAGTTGTTGCTCGTACCTGCACCGAGGGGTCCCTGCATGGCATGGAAAGCAACGATCAACAACAGGACATTCTTGCGCCAGCTTCAGATGCGTTAGCATACGCGAGTCTGTTACTGAAAAGTAGATGTCGTACGAAGGCCAGTTCAGCGGATCCGCTGGGGTATCCGAGGGCATGGGAATCAAATCCTGACATATGAGGGGTAAATTAGGCTTCCTGAGGATCGAACATCCCGCCCCGGGGGCGAGGAGAGACGTACCACTCGGCCATGACGCTTAAGGACCTGAGCGTACCGATGATCATCGGCTTGGGTCCCCCGTTCATCGCGCTGCTGGCTGACATTGTTCTTCTCGTCGAGCGACATGGCGTCGCGGTATGGACGGGGACAAGAACAAGAGACAAGGTGGCAGTAGGCATAGGCTTATACGTGACCTGGCATATAAAACCTCATGCTTGAATAATTATGTCCGACTTGTGCCTAGCAATTAGTATGATGGAAATTAAGCAACGCCCGCTGCACTCCGAGGTTAACTGCGGCGAGAGGGGAGACGCATGACTGGGTCATGTTGCACCGTGTTGCCCAAAGCTGCGAATGCGGTAAGCGGGGGCGTTAAAGAGCATCGTCCGGTGACAGATACTCAAAAGGATGAGTTGGCCGGACTTGGCCAGTTGAGAGCTGTTGAGAGATGCATAGGTCGCGATCGGCGGTCCGGCGATGTCCGGCGGTTGGTTGACATGACATGTCGGGCTGTCAGTTGGCTGTCAGAGCGGAGACACTTTCATGTAAACCAACCAAGAGCAAGGCAATCAAGTAGCAGACACCTTAGGCTTCAACAGCTAGACGTCGACGTCCATCCAGGCTACAAGAAACCGAGGGCCCATTGGAGACAAGTAGAACATCGTTTTCTTGCTGGATGGTTGTCATTTCTAGCGTAAGTTAGCCACCGACTGTTCATAGCGATGAAATGAAGGCTCATGAATGTATTTTGGTGAAGGGGAAAGTATGTTCTCTAGGCCATGATTAGCTCATCAAGAGATCGAACCTTCGGATTTGATCCCAGATGAAAAGGTGGAACAACACTTACCTAGTACACAGGAAAGTTTGGTCCGGCCTGGACCTATTTTTGGTACAGCCTGAGTGGGGGCTAGCAAAGGATATTCAAATCATTATCTATGTCGGTATGCTTCAGCGTTCGTGCATATGCGGCCAGCTGATCTTCCAACCTGACCTTTACCTGCTAGGCTAAGCAGCCGTGCACAGAGTCAAACCCCTTGATACAGTGACGCATAACGCATCTTGCCCAAAAATAACTTCTGGGCTGCGAGCCGCTCGTACCAAACGCGTGCATACCATCTCGGGCGACGAAGAGCCACAGCCAGGCTCTCTTCGACGTGACATGTCCCTGTTTGGACGTCTGTGCACTCATCAAGAACACACATACAGCGAGTGCGAGTACATTGTTGCACACTTAGGGCAAACACAGCAAGTGCGTTGCATCCTCGTTTCATCATTGGACGCGCGCCAGGAACTTAAAAGGTTTCTACAGCATTCGATTGACGCTGTGCTTATCGCTTTGCAGCTCTCATCTACTTACCACCGCTCGCCATGTCAGACGTCAGAGCCGTTCCGTGGAAATGCCCTTCTCGCGTACTCAGGAAATGTCTCTGGTGTGCCAAGAAGCAAGAGGCTGAGGAAAAGCGGTTTCAAACCTGCTCAGTATGTAAAGAGGTCCGCCACATTGTCGGGAATTCGAAGTGTATTATGCTGACATCGGCAAACTAGGTGTTATATTGTGTAAGTCCTCGACCCTACTTTCTGCTCTGACATCGAGTTGGCACCCTTACAACCTTCAATCAGAGTAAGGAGTGTCAGGTTAAAAGCTGGCCTACGCACAAGGTAAATACGCCGCACACATTTCATGTACCTATAGTTGATGGTCAACAGATGGGCTGTCGTCACAATGCACAAACGAAAGTCACCTGCAAAAATAAGCCAGAGGTAGGAAAGCGAGTCACAGAACTTAGGCTCTGGTATGTTGTAGTATCTGAGAGAGAAAAACTTCAGCGCTGAGATTTTGTTAATTTCGTCAGGCACGCAGCTCATTCTCCCGTATTCTACGCTATCCTGATTTATGCATTGGACCTCGGCAACAAACCGAGAAATTATGCAGAGAAGGTTTTGTTCATTGAGCTTGAGCTCAAGCCCCAGCACACGCAGCTGGCCCTCCAAAACAAATACAGGGTTTGCGATGGAATTGAGCTGACAACCGCGGAGGCACGCGAGTTTGTGGGAGACGAGAACTGCGGAGAGACCTTCAACACATCGCAATTCACGAACCCTGATGGACGCCTCGTCCGCTTTGGAAGTTTCCTGTTGCATTGTGATGACACCGTGATACTCATTCGACTCAACCTTCCACATGAGTCTGCTATCGATTCTGTGCTCAAGATTCATCCACGCCCGACAAATTGGGTGTGTTTACTTGAGTTCTGTTTACTGTCGGGAACTCACTCCATGTAGGTTGAATGGCTTAAGAGAACCATTGAGATCAACGGCTCTCGCCCTGACATGATTTGATTAATGGGGTTTTCAAAGTCAATTCAAAGTTCTTCTGTTCCAACGATGTGTTTTCTTGCTTAGTGGATGTCTGCTTCCGACTCGAATCTCTTGTATTAATAGGACAATCCATGCTGTAGAGAATAGTGCGACGACCGGTGTATACTACATGATGTTACGATGCGACCTCCTCGCTTGCTTGTGGTGATGAGGGCCAGTCGATCGGTTCTTCATCGTCGTCCTCCGTTGGCTGAGTTTCGACTTGAGTACTGGATAGGTTTTCTGTATCTTGAGTCTCATCAAGCATATCAGAATCCTGAGGCGTTTCTCGCATGTCGACGTCCGTCGTATCGGCAGTACCATCGACCGTCTGCTCAGCGTCAGGTTCTTGACCTTCTTTTCGCTTGCTGCGAACCTTCTTCTCAGCTGAAGCTTTTGCAGCCAAACCAAACAATGTGGTTTGCTTGCGGGTCTCCTTCCTTTCCTTCTCTTTCCCTTTGCCGTTTACAGGAGCACCTGCAGATTGTCGAGTTAGCTGAAGCATGAGTCGACCATATTCAATCTAATCACGTTTCGGTTTTTCCGACTCTGCAGCCTCAACCTTGCTAAAGAAGCTTTCACTCTTCTGAATGGGTTTGTTCAAATCGGACTTTCGTGAGAAAGGGTTGGGATTTGCTGTCTGAGCGTTCTTTCGAGAGAAGGGGTCTGATAAAAGGAATTAGGTAAGATCAACAAAGGTCGGTAAATTATCGTACTAGAATTCGTTGCTGGTGACGGCGCGTCGCCAAGCGCACGTCGCTTGACGTCGCTTTCCGTCCCATTAAGCATATGGTCATCCTCGTCACGCTTCCGCTTGCCTTCGGGAGACGCTGAGCGTGACATAGATAGCCCAGTTGCCTTCTCTCTTATCGGGCGCAGCCCTGCGTTGGAGGAGGAAAACTCGGAATGCTCGACGATACCTGTCGGCCGCGCCAATCCAGGCCTGTCAACCCTAGGTGGAGCATTGAAATCCTGGAATGGTTTGGGCATGGCCATAGGCGCGTCCTCGTCCCCCAGAGCCCGCCTCCGCTCTCGTGCCTCCTCCGCAGGCGTCATGGTCTCTTCGCGCCACTCAATCAGCGCCTCAAACTTCTCCCTCAGACCATGCAGCTTGTAGAAGGCAGCGACCTTGTGAGCGGCGGCGAGTGACTGAGGCAAATTGAGGCGTTTGGCGAGTTCGAGTGCGCGCGGCTGCTTGTCTGTTTTACATGCTGCCTGGATGAGCCTGATGGTTATCTTGTCGAGCTCGAGCTCGCGCCGGTCAAGATCGGGCGCAGAGACTTCGTCGTCTGGGAGGGCATCTCGTGCGAGGTTGATGTGTATGCGCTCGCGAGCGATTCTAAAGACCAACGTCCGTCAGAGGCAGCGTACATCAAATGAAACGAGACTAACAGCTCTTCCTCGGTGGTGTCTTTGATCCGGAACGGCATCCGTATGGGAAGTTCTTGGATAAGAGGACGAGGGAAGCCTGGGTATTCTTGACGACCCTAAGAAAAAAACAATGGTTGGCAACACTATTAGCACACTAACTGACAACGCTTTACCTTAAGAATGAGACAATGGAATGTTTCATTTGAGCAGCCTACTGGCCAATATGATTCATCTTTGCCTTGCTTGCGTTCCCATGCGTTGGTATCGAGCAGTCGGGCCCAAGTCGCGCGATTTGGTCTCCGGAAATTGATCATGATGTGTAAGTAGCCAGCTGAGTCATAGATAGCTGGGATCTAGCGGGAAAAATCTTAACAAGGATGAAGTCGAGAATGTTGGCTAACGTACGCCCTGGTCTGTGATACCAATCCATTTCAAGATATGTCCTTTAGGTATTGGGAGAGGCTTCTCCTGCAACACTTCGAAGTCTTCATATGAGATGACCGTAGCCAGTAAGCCTTGGGACCCTGCGTTGATGGAAGTTCATCAATGGACGGTTACCCAGAAAATCTCGCTACCCACCGTCAATGGTAGTAGCACCTGGCCGGTGCACAACAATAACATACTCTTCAGCAGCTGCCATCGTGACGAACTCGCCTTCAAGACCAAGTATAATTTGTTCAACGCCAGATCCGCTGATAAAAGTAAGATCTCCGGCGCTAGTGGCAACTACAACGTTGCCATGACCCTGTAGGTCCCCGCCGCTGTCCGAGTTTTCGCGAAGAGACTTCATGGCCTTATTGCCGCCGGCAGCCACACCTAGAACTCGCTGGCCCTTGGGCAAGATATATGTCCACTCCCCTTGCGTGGACCATACACCGTACGGCTTGTAGATCACCTGAGCTGGATTGTCCTGTTCCGGTGGACAGGCAAACACGGCGCCTCGCTCGCCTGAAGCTCGCCTTGAATAACAGGATCCCAAGTAAAACGACGTACAGTACGTACCTAGACAGGCAAGGTCATGTTTGAAATGGTCAGTAAAGTGATAGCTCTTGCGCGCAGACCGGTCGTGGAACTCGACATTGACGATGTGGTGCGTATCTTGGTCAGTCACTTCAATGACTCCAATCATATTGTACGCCAGGTACCGCCTCTTAAGCACTGACATTGGCGTCGATCCAGGCTGGAACGCCGACTGTGCCTTCGTAATACTGACCATTTCCTTGACGTACCCATCGCCTTTGTCCTGCCGTTCAGGCTTGTCCTGCATTCCTCCCCCGATGTCGTCAATGATCCAGTCCTCGCCACCAAAAAGGCCATCGTCTCCACCCACGGCGTCCAAGTCGACGTCTGCATCGTCCTCCCAAGGTGTGGGAGTTTTCTTACGGGATATCACCTGTCCCTGGACGTTAGCTGCGGCAGAATCCTTGATGGGATCGCCGAATTCGGTCGCGATAGCGTTTGAGACGCGTGTAAAGCCCCCCTGCGTGTCTATCCAGGCGAGTAAGTTCTGAGATGGAGAGAATGCGAGTTGAATGGTGACTGCGCTGGGGGTACTCTGAAGCCTTGCATATTGGTCAGCGAAGGGGAAGAACGGACGCTCTTGGGGCACTTACCTTGAGAGAACACGCCGTTTTTGTGTACTCCATATGAGCACTTCTGAACCGCAAGCACTGGCCAAGAAGGCACCGTTGGCGGACAGTGCAATGGCAGTATGAGATCCAGTCACGCTGGGATCGGACAGTGTCTCTGATTTCGTCCATGTTGCTCTGGAGATAGCGACAATGTCTACCACAGTCGAAATTGTAAGCTGTCTCGAATGATTACATCTGGCACAATGTCACCAACCGTGAGTCCGAGACGCCGCATAAAAGCGTTGGCCCGTGGGGTGCCACACAGCGGAGCAATCATGCATGAACTCCTCTGATCTGCATACATTCAATATATGTCAGCCAATAATGAAGGAGCGTCCTTACTCTGAGTCTGTGACCGCTGGAATGATGCCATCGATGACTTCTAACCGTGTTGGCTGCTCCTCGGATACATCCCAGACGGCAATTGTGCCATCGCCACAGCTGACAGTCTCAAGGGGGGTTGGTGGTAGGTTACGTTGTATGTGCAGCGTGCACTCACAAGCAATGAGCCAGACGGATCCCAAGTGACTTTCCTGACTCCACGTTTGAATCCGTCTACTATCTGAACATTACTGATATTATCCAAGTCGCTGATTTTGACCATGAGTTCGCTACCAAGAGACTCCATTAGCGGACGAGTATACTCGAGGAGTTCATTGCAGCGTACTCGGAAGCAACAGCAATGCGTTTTCCCTTGGGGTCCACAGCTATGCAGTTTATAGTGGCCCCTTTGACGCTACCTGCCAGTCCATTGAAGGTGTTCTTTCCTGCCGTATATGTTCTTATATAAGAGTCTTCGCTGGCAGACAACCAGCACTCGTTCTGCGTAACCGTATTTCAGTGGAAGATGGCGGCAAAGGAATAGTGGGCGTACAGCGGCGGTGAGAGCGGTGATGTTGTCCTCTGCTTCTGCTGCAGCATCTGGCTCTTGATCTTTCCCCTTCTCGACGTGAAAGATGCGGACAATACTGTCTGAGCCTCCAGTGTACGCGTACCTGGGATACGGAGGTTAATTCGAGGAAAGGATATGGATTTAAAACTTGTGACTTACTTGCCGTCCATTGAGAAGGCAAGGCATGTCTTACCCGGAGGATGCACGCTGTTGGTGAGGGTTCTGCTGGAGGTCGACATGGCCTCTGGTAATGTATGTCGCGCGTCGAGGCTGCCTGTGAGTCCAAGCGCATGTCACGTTAACGGAGGCATCACACTGCACGTGGATTGTGACGCGACGCGTTTCTCTGATTAAGAACGGGCCGTCGCTCCGAGCTTAATTAATCGCGAGACTTGTCGCGAGCACTGTTTGCCAGCAGAGCTCCTTCAAACGCTACAGGCGAAAAACAAAAGTAACTCACGATGACGAACTTGTCTGAGCTACGTCCATGGCCTCGTTTATGTAACGTAAACACTGGACTTTCATCGGAACGATGAAGTATACAGTAGTGTATATAATCCTCATCAACAATATTTTATGCAGATGCCTCGTTGTGTCCTGAGTACGTATTGATCCATGAGCCCAGGAAGGTTCCACAGGTGCCAAGCATGTGCCGAATGTTTATAACACGAAGTATGAGCACGAGTGTCGGAAAAAGCGAAATTGCGTCGAAATGCATTGAAACGCATTCTGATGGTAACCCCGTCTTAATGGGGGGTTCGTAAAGTTGAGATGCCGTTCCAACGCTCATAAAAACGGGTCATCGACGACGAAAAGCCAATCATATCACGTCGCTACGACCGCATTCCCGCCTTGGCGCCGTCTTGACAACATTTAAATGGCATTTTGACGATTTGAACCCCCCATATAGTTGCGTTGAGACGCGAAATGCCACCACCGTCAAGATGCCCGTTTTGGTTTTTCCGACAAGGCTTTCGGAGATTAGATGCGGTTAGTAAGTTTGACAAGAAGTTTGAAGTATGAAGTAGAGTCCAGCTATCATATGTTCCAAGTATGAGGTGACTCCAATAGGCTTTATGCTTTGTCTAGGACTGAGATAAGGCTAGTACTGAGGTCGTCATGAAGTACGGTGTTGACCAAACAAAGGTGATGTGCAAAACTCGGTGGGTGTGGGGACAATGACATCGGTATTTGCGCATATTTGTATTAGGTTGGAAACACCCATTGCCTTGAGGCAGAGGTTGAAGCAAATCAAGAGTAGAGCCGGTCCATTTTGTTGTATCATATTTCACTCGTCTGACCTCCCTTGCCATCTCCCACCCTATTCCCACTTTCTTCTTGCGATATCCAACTTGTATTCCATCCAATCCTCCCAATCTCTGTCTCTGTGCTTCTATCTCTGCGAAACATATCACTTCACGATTTCTCTCACACGTTTTCCTTCCCGACCAATCGCTTCCACATCCCGCCATGTCTTCTACCGAGCCGCCCTCTGACCAGTTCAAAACCATTCTCCTTCGGTCGAGCACACCAGGTGAGCTCCTCACAGTGACTCGATCTTCCGCCGAAGCTCACTTTCTGTCAACACAGCTCCCAGTGAGAAAGGTGGCGTGTGCTTCTCCGATAGATTCGCAACTTCGCTGACCGGAAAACACTAATTAGTCCTTCTCTACCTCGAGAGCCTGCGCGATTCAGGCAATTTCGATCCTGGATCCCCCATGTCTTCCCTCCCGCCCCTGAACGGCCACTCAGGCAAGCGGAGTAACGTCAGCGCCTCCCGTGTCGAGGACGCATACGAGATTAATTCCAACACTCAAGACGGAGAGAAGACGGAACTTAGCGAAAATCGTATGTCGGACATGGTGAGTTGTTGGCTATCAGTAAAACTCTAGCGGTTTGACTCTCTCCTTTCTTCTTCCAGCCCGAGCCTGGCCCACAGGACCCACCAGGGCCTCACTACGAATCGTTTGACTCTGGTCCTTCTTTTGGCAACTTCGGCCCTCTGCCCGACCATACTGGCCAGTCTGGCATTCAAACTTCTTACACCGGTGCCAAATTTCCGCTTCCCCTGTCCGTAGCATCTCCTACCTCTGGCTCCCGTATCAATATCAACATCGAACCCCCCTCCAGTAGCTCTGCCTCCAGATCTCAGAAAACACAGTCTCAGGAAAGTGCTTCCCGCCCCCGGACACACAAAAGCTCGGTCATAAGCGAGGATAGAGGCACCCTTACTGGCCGCAGCGTGAGTTCTATAGTAGTGAAGTATAGACATCTGAATTTGAAGCTGAAGCATAACCCATCCAGGAAAATCCAAAGGCGCGCAGCAAAGCTCCATCACAAGCCCTTGCTGGCAGTGAAGCTCCCATGTCTTCCAAGTCGAGATCTCGTGCAGGTTCGAAGTCCAGAACGACTGATTATCCCGCTCTTCCGCCCAGTAATTTCAGTCCTTCGGGCCACACTGCGCAACTCCCTACCTCACCTAGACGTGCCCCCAGTATTTCTCCCTCTGACAGCGCCAGTCTTGCACCATTCAAAGCTGCAGCGATGTTTGCAGAGAGGAACAGAGCTATGGCAGCAGCTGCGGAGGCAGAGGCCGCAGCCTCCAGGCGAGGTGCCAGCTCTGGGCCAATGTCACCTTCTCACCAATCACGCCCGTTCTCGCCTTACCGACACGCCGCCACTCAGGAGGACCTCCTCTTTGCAGCCACCTCAGCTGCCCAAGTGCCTCCACAGCCTACAGGGCAGTCACAGGTGTCTCAAGCTCAGTCCCATGCCTCGCAAGCACGCTCGCGTGTGTCGCAAGCACGTTCTCAAGCATCGCAAGCACAATCTCATGCTTCGCAATCACGCTCGCATATGTCGCATGCGCGTTCTCAAACACAATCCCAGGTTTCTCAAGCGCGATCGCAGGCTTCGCAAGTACGATCTCAAGTCTCCCAATCACAGTCTCAAGCCCCGCCGGCGCGGTCTCAAGTGTCTCAGGCGCCGCGGTCTCAGGTGGCACGGTCGCAGGTATCTCAAGTTCGCTCTCAGGTGTCACAGGGAAAGGGTGACGGTAGCAGGGTATCTCATGCTACCTCACATCGCTCTCAAAGCCGTGCCAAGTCTCCGTCCCAACTAGGAGGACCATCCCAAGAAGGAGACCACGGCGGCGAAATCACTCCAACCCCTTCTCGACCTACTTCACCAGCGTTCTCTCTTGACCAGCGTGAGGCTGAGATTGTCGCCCAAACACTAGCGTCTAGGGGTTCTGGGGCGCGTACCTCCTACGCTGCCAGTACTCTTGAGACCGACATAGTCAACTCGCACTTCCACGACATGGACCTGTGCATCCTCTTACATCAAATGGATGACTCTACCACTCATGAAATCGTCAAGAAGGCCCTTCGCAAGGCTGTTAGGCAACGTGTTAAACGCCTTGGTTTGAAGCACGATCATGAGTCCATTCAGCAGTACAGAAAGTCATTCCACGACCATGACCCAGAGGTGCACCTGAACGAAGACTACGATCCCAGCAAGGTGTGTTGCATAATGTTCTGACGAGTCCGCATTTGACACCTTGATCAGGAGGCTCCGCCGGCCTGGGCAAAGGAACTCATGGAAGGGATGGCAAGGGTGCAAGAACGTCTTGATGTTCTCAGTCCCTTGTCCATGAACTCTAACATGCTTACTGGGAGTCAGCAATCATATGCGGGATCTGTTCGGTCGGGCGATTCTCAACAGCAATATGGCGAGACCGAGTATACTGAAGGAGGCGAGCAGTACACAGAGCATACAGAGCACACTCCTCGGACACAGACCGTTAACATCAACACTCAAGTCACAGGAACCATGGCTGAATCCATGTACCAGCCTGGCGAGACAGAAATCATCGGTCAGTATGTCAAGCACTGCATTTGGCACTGCGCTGACTCAGGTTTTTGGATAGACGATGAGGTTTATGAGGATGAGGCGGTGGATCAACTTTACCCTCCTGAAGAGATGCACCAAACCAGCGAGTTCATGGATGGCAGAGATGATTCACCTGGACAACAGTTCTTGGAAGAAGAACTGTACAAGCTTCGTGTGAAGCAAGGGGGGAGCCAGTCTGGTCACACTCACAAGACTTGGGAGGTCGCCAGGGACGAGCAGGATGAGTATGAGGAAGGACATGGTGCCTTCACAGAGTCTGGTCTGCCCGAGATTCCCGATTCTGAACGCAAAGGGTCGCCCTCCCTTCCTCCTCTTCCGCAAGATGCGAGCATAAGCCAGCCACAGTCACACTCCTGGCATCCTGGTGCGGTGGATGAACGCGGCGAACCCATCCTACCACCCTGGCAGCGCATCCACCAGCGACTCCTCGGCTGGGCGGTCGTGTGGCCCATGAGTGAGCTTGACCAGGCTCTAGACAGTACTACACGGGGACACCAAGTCAACGAAACCGCGCTCAGTGTCTGGTCAGCTCAGACATACAAGCGCTACGTCCGAAGCCGGATGACGGATAGCCCTGACGGGCGTGTGGACCGGCTGTTTGTTCCTCCCAACGTCGCAGATGCTATCAGCACCGCCGTTTTCAATGGGCGGCACCACGACGCATGCAGCATGCTCAAGGAGCTATGGGCTCCCTTCGGTCTAGATGGAACTCCACGCTTAATCATTGTTCTGGCCAAGCATCGCTCGGACGCGAACCACTGGGTTGTACACCGATTCTCGCTGCCGGACGGCGCTTTGACCACCTATGACTCCTACCCAGAACGCACTCTTCCTGATGGCCGAGTAAGTCAAATGCTCTTAAGATTTTTGTTGACGTGACTCATGGTCTCCTTCCAGCCGCTGGGATGGTGGTTTGCGATTCGTATTGCCTGGCCACATGCCATCATGGCCAACCCCGACCATCTCATGCAGAAGATGGTCCGCCTCCATCGCCCAATGCAACTCAACATTGACAACTCGGTGGCAGCAGCTGGCATCTGGCGCAACGTCCTCATGGGCTCGCGCGCAGAGCGCAGCCTCGACCTCGAGCGTTTGCGCGATCTAATCAACACTGAAGTCCGCAACCTCCGCCAGCGCAAGTTGCAGGGCAAGTTGTCCATCTCCAACTCCAAAAACCATCAATGGGGGGAGGAGCTGTAAGAGGAACGAATTCCATGTTACCCGAAGATTACGACTTTAGAAGACTATCACGACGGATGGATTGTTGAGGGATAGATGCTGGCCATTGGAGCTCTGAACACTCGTTGATTCCCTGCTATGGTTGCGACGGACACTAAATTGCTCACTTTTTTCTTTTACTCTTTACTCATCTGACAACCTGAATGTTCACGAAATATATCTGTAACACTTGTAGGTAGCTTGTAGTTGGTAGGGTGTAATAGACATACGTTTATGACTTGCATGACCTTGGCTTGAGCTTGGGTAGTCGATGAGCGCTTGGCTTTCCATCATAATCAAGATCATAATAGCGTCTGGATTGTCTGGGTCAGAGAGTCCAGCGAGACAGAGGCATGTTCGACAGCCTTGGGCATCTTCGTTTGCTACGCAAGTGTCTCAGCGTCAACCACAGAAGTAATAGATTTTGGTGTTTTACAGTGCGATAGAGGTGCATGGATCCATCGACCTCCTGACGAGCTTTGGCTGCCCAGTATTTCGACTTGTGCTTTCTTTTCCCTGCTTGCTTAGCAGTTTCTACCCTTTTGGATCGCTTGGAGATAGCATTCTTGCCCATGTCCTGGCGAAACAACACAGGAGGGTTGTGTGAAGTGCGATAGTCAGCGGCAAAGATCTCCAGCTGGCACGCCGGCAGTCGCCGGCTCTACTTTGTCAGAGAAATTATGCTTATGTCAGCGCATTGGTTCGGCTCCAGCCCAAAAGTAGAGCAAGTCAACAACTTCGTCGCTCATACTAAGGGGTCAACGTCGCGAGACGCACACAATTCACATTCTTTGCTTTTTCGTCTGACCATTCACCATGGCTGACGCGCCCACTCTGAGCATCACCCTCCTGGGTGCCGGCCAGGAAGTTGGACGGTCATGCTGCGTTCTGCAATATAGAGGGATCACCATCGTCTGCGACGCGGGCATCCACCCTGCCTACAGCGGTATGGCATCGCTGCCTTTCGTCGATGAGCTAGACTGGAGTACGGTGGATGCTTTACTTGTCACCCAGTGCGTTAGTCGTCACATCTTCAACACTCGTTTGGCTCACGCAGATCACCAGTTTTCACCTGGACCATGCTGCCGCTCTCACATATATCATGGAAAAGGTGCGTCGTCTTCGTAGACTATGTGCCCATCCGCCCTACCTATCATGCTGTTCTTCTAGACCAATTTCAGAGACGGTAAGGGCAAGGTGTACATGACACATCCAACCAAGGCTTTGCACAAGTTTATGATGCAAGATTATGTTCGAATGAGGTACGCTGGATCTAACCTCAGCGTCCACATTTACTGACTTTGCAAAGTTCATCGTCGTCCGACGCCTTATTCACGCCCCTGGATATGTCAATGTCGCTCTCATCTATCATTGCCATCTCAGCCCACCAACTCATTACGCCATGTCCTGGAGTGACATTCACTCCATACCACGCAGGCCATGTTCTTGGTGCTTGCATGTTCCTCATTGACATTGCAGGGCTGAAAATTCTGTACACTGGGGACTATTCTCGCGAAGAGGATCGCCACCTGGTCAAGGCGGAGGTTCCCCCCGTTCGTCCTGATGTTCTCATTGTCGAGAGTACGTACGGTGTACAGAGTTTGGAGTGCAGAGAAGACAAAGAGGCCCGTTTTACGGGTCTAGTGCACTCGATTATCCGGCGTGGTGGACATGTCTTGCTCCCGGCCTTTGCTCTTGGTCGCGCTCAAGAATTGTTGCTCATTCTGGACGAATATTGGAAACGGCACCCCGATCTTCACAATGTGCCCATCTACTATGCTTCTAACTTGGCTCGGAAGTGTATGGCCGTCTATCAAACGTACATCCACACAATGAACTCGAATATCCGAACACGATTCGCAAAACGAGACAATCCTTTTGTATTCAAGTGAGTTTGGGTAGGTACTAAACGACAGAAACCATTCTGACCCGAATCCAAGGCATATATCTAACCTTCCTCAACCAAAAGGATGGGAGCGCAAGATTGCTGAAGGTCCCCCTTGTGTCGTTCTGGCTAGTCCTGGTTTCTGTCAGTCTGGACCCAGTCGCGAACTCCTCGAACTTTGGGCACCAGATGCGCGAAACGGATTCATTCTAACCGGTTATTCAGTTGAAGGTACTATGGCTAGGGTGAGTTTTGATGGCTTCACTTGGGACTTTGGAGGAGACTATTGCTACGCCGCTATGTCTTGTTCATGTACTGTACAAGAGCAATGTGAACATGATTTTGCCCCATCATTCGGCCTGTCTGAATCTTCTCAAAAAACCGTCGCTCATGCAATCTCACATTTAGGACATCCTGAACGAACCGGATGAAATCATGTCAACGAAAGGAAATATCATACCTCGAAAAATCTCCGTCGACTACATTTCCTTCAGTGCACACGTAGACTACTCTCAGAATGCAGAGTTCATCGACCTCGTCAAGGCTCAGCATATAGTCAGTGATTCTCTTTTCCGCAACTTCCACATATTTATCATGTATTTAGGTCCTTGTGCATGGAGAACAGACCGCGATGGGTAGGTTGCGAGGAGCTCTGACGTCGAAATACAAGGACCGAGAGGAAGACGTGAAAATCCATACTCCTCGGAACCTCGAGACGCTTGAACTGACATTCAGGGGAGAAAGGGTCGCAAAGGTGAGGCTTTTGTCCGGTTCGGAAGCAAGTACCTTGCATTAAGACCTCATAGGCGATTGGTACCCTTGCCGACAATCCGCCTCAACAAAACGATGTCCTGTCAGGGTTGCTAGTAGCCAAGGATTATTCTTACACACTCCTGGACCCACGAGACCTTCGCGACTTCGCCGGATTATCAACATGCACACTGACGCAGCGGCAGATGGTTACTCTTGGCGTAGGTTGGGAACTCGTGCGATGGCATTTAGAGGGCATGTTCGGAAGCGTCGAAGAAGGCGTGGACAAAGACGGCGTACCCACTATGAGGGCAAGTACCTTGTCCTACTCATATTGTGAACCTGATCTCATAGAGTCCTCAGGTCATGGGGGTCATAGATGTCAAGCAAGCTGAAGAACAACTAGCTGTGCTTGAATGGGAGTCTAGTGCAAGCAATGACATGATTGCGGATTCTACGCTGGCTCTCATCACGGGCATTGATAAAAGTCCTGCTTCGGCCAAATGTAAGAACCATTTCCCAGCGGCGTTTGCAGTAATTCTTAAACCATTGTAGTGACGTCGCAAAATCACTCATGCTCGCATTCGCATCCTCACTCGGACGCTACCAATAATTCTTCTGTTACCCGTGTCCAGCACATCGCGTGGTTCTTGGAGGCTCACTTCGGTGACATCGAGCTTCATATGCCAGACGCTGATCAGATGGAAAGCGAGGGAAAAGGAGAGGAAGACAGTGATCCCTCACTGTTTGTAAGCCTAGACGAAACTGGCGCCAGGATCAATCTACTCACCCTGGCGAGTCTGATTTCCTTTCCTTTCCCGGGTAACCGTGCTAATTCTCTCTACAGGAGGTGACCAGCGAGAGCGAGTCTCTCAAGAAACGGGTTGAGGCTGTCCTCGACATGGCTATCACTACTGTCAGCTCGCTGTCAGAGACTTTCGCAACTGGTGGTTCGCCGTTGACGGATGCAGCGGTTACCACTCGAGAAAAATATAAGGGAATCACCAACTCTGCTACGCCCGAGCAAATTCAAGATGATGCGAACGACGTCGAAGAGGAGGAACCAACGGAAAAGACTGAAGATGCTACGATGGGAGACGAGACGGCACAAGCAGCAGCTTAAGCCATTGGTCTGCTGAGGTCTTTTCGTATGTATTATTATATTCCAGAAACGCCGACGTCTATAATGGCATGTCTAGTCGATAATATACGCGCTGCTTGGCACACATGAAAAACCTCTGTTACTGCGGTACCGTGACTGAATCTTGACATGTATATTAGAGCATTAATGATCAATGCATAGTAATAAAACGTCATTTTATCGCTGATATTCCTATTCTCTGATGCTTGACATGCACAAGTAGTTTTCACATACCGCCCTTGCACCCCCAATGCAACATGCGCTGGGTGCGCTCTCCCTGGCATTTTTCTTGAAAGTCTGTGTCATATATTGACCTATAGGCTTGTATAGATGTGTTTCACCAGCCCACAAAAAATTCTAGCGTGAATAAAAGAGTAAACACACCCTGTTGCATTGAGGGTGCCATGTTGCATTGGGGGTGCAAGCTCAAGGGCGGTACATTGGGCGCTTTAGGGGAGCTGGGAACGAAGAAACCGCTTACATAGGGATATTACGTCACAGGCGGACCCCGAACTCTTGTGCTCTCGCCATAAAGTCTGTATGGGAACCAGACGCTGAGCTTACAATTCCAACCCCTAGAAGGTTCGCCTTGGTTGCCAACGTTTACGTTAACGTTTAACTAAGGCAACATCATGTCCAGCTCCACCGGAATCTGTGTGCTTCAAGATAGCCCGGCTGACGCGAGATGTCTATCTTCAACTTTCAGCTTGAAGGAGAGCGCGGGTGCCCGGGCAAGAGACACATGACGTCGCCGAAGGCGACGGATAATCTGGGTTTGACCATGGCATGCACACTCCCGAAGCCAAAATTACTAACATCGAACTCCGGACGGTGGATGCCAGAAACTTGGATATAAATTCCATGACTTTCTTATCTCTCTCACCGCTTCTCTTGCCAATAGCTTGCTATTCGACGCCATGTCCGCTGCAACCAAGAAGATGACATACGGCACGTTGCTCCGCTAATTCGACGGCTCACTGTTATATGCTGAGCACTGCCGTTTAGTCCGCCTGGGCAGTTCTGGGCTCAAAGTGTCCAAAATCATATTGGGCACGATGCAGTATGGTTGGTCTCACCGCCTCGGACACGAATGCTTGTTATACGGGCTATGATCTGACGCAGCGCTTTCTTCTGTGTTAAAGGAACGAGTGAATGGCAAGACTGGGTACTCGGCGAGGATGAGGCCATAAAGCACATCAAGGCCGCGTAGGTGGTTTACTAGGAAGTAGCTGCTCAACCTTACAGCACACTAGCTACGATGCAGGAATCAACACCTTTGACACAGCTGATGTCGGCCGTTCCGTCTAATGTATGCGTTCTCCAAGCTAATGGTCCTCATGTAGATGTACTCCAACGGATTGTCCGAGGTAATAGTCGGAAACGCGATCAAGAAGTTGAATCTTCCTCGCGACGAAATAGTCGTTATGACCAAGGCAACGTCGCTCTTTGATTCAATTTGGTTTCTCAACTGACAAGGCAGCTTCACAGGTGTACAACGTCGTGGGCAAGACGCCCGGTGAACGGGTATTTAAATCTTCTGAAAACCCAGACAACCTCGGTTACGTCAATCAAAGAGGTCTGAGCAGGAAGGTAAACATCATCCTGCGAGCATTGATGGTGTTCAGGTCTCACACCTTCATCAGCATATCTTCCAGTCTATCAAGCATAGCCTTGAGCGCCTTCAGCTCGACTACGTTGATGTTCTGCAGTGTGAGCATCGAAACATGCCACAAATTTATCAACTCTCATAATAATCACTTGACAGGCCATCGTTTTGATAAGGAGACGCCAATCGCTGAGACGGTACGTTAGCCCATTGTTGAGCGATACATTACTGACATCCAGAAGATGCAAGCTTTGCACGATGTCGTTCAGGCAGGCTACGTGAGATACATCGGCATGTCGTCCTGCTGGGCGTATGAATGTGAGTCCTGTCGTCTGCGGTCTTGTCTTTGTCAGCACTAAGGTCACGAACGAAATCGACAGTCCATGCTATGCAGAGTACGCATGCCACAAGAGAGTCTGAAAAAACACATTCTGATCCCTCTTTCAAGATTATGCTATCCAAAACAAGCTTACGCCATTCATCTCTATGCAAAACCATCACAGCCTTATTTACAGAGAGGAAGAACGCGAAATGTTCCCTACACTCAAGGTACAAGTGCTTCGCCAGCCTCACTTGCTATCTTAACACCATGATACAGCTCTTCGGCGTGGGGTCGATTCCCTGGTCTCCTCTCGCTCGCGGTCTTTTGACGCGTCCTTATGGGCAAGAGACCGTTCGCGGAAAGACTGATTTGTTCGTGACATATGCTTTGTATCTGCGTAAACTAACATGAACGCAGCACGATCAACTCATACGTACAGCATGAAGGTGACAAGACGATCCTCGAGAGGTAAGCTTCATCGGACGTGCCTGTAAAACATACACTCAAGATTGTGCCCAGGCTTGAAGAAGTAGCGCAGAAGAAGGGAGCTAGCATGGCTCAGATCGCGCTTGCCTGGTCGATGGGCAAAGAGGGTAGGCTCTTACAAGACGGTAAGCGCTGCATGTCTGAGCTCCATTTTTAGGGGTGACTGCACCGATTGTTGGAACCACGTCGCTCAGTAATCTCATGGATCTGCTCGGTAAGTGAAACGCAGCTGTGTATACCCTATGATGTGTATGATGGACGACATCATTGCACCCACAGAGGCAGTAAATATCTCATTGACCGATGAAGAGAGAAAATACCTCGAGGAACCATATCGGCCCAAGGGCGTAGTTGGGCATCATTAAAATAGTGAAAGAACAGGTTCCAGGGAAGTGAGAGCTCACCCCGACGGCCGTGATGCGTCCTATTATCGTTGTATAATTACGTGGCAAAGTGTAAAGTCCTTAGATGGCACCGGTTAACGCGGTTCGTAGATCTAGAAGGATACGTGATTTGCTGGGTATGGAGATTCGATCAGGCCATGCTGCCAAGCAGCACAGTGCCTATGCAGTGATCTGCAGCGGCGTTCATAATGCATAATGGACGTTCATTCTTTAGGCTGTGTCTTGGCCCAAGGTGTTCTTAATTATCTGCGGTGGTGAATTGCACCACCCTCTACCATAGTGTTTCGACAGATTTTGACGCAAGGACTCGGAGCAGCCAGTGCCAGGGATTCTGGCACTATTCTGGCAGAGGTCTGAGTATATCTCTTAGGAGCGGTTGTTCGACGCTACTGCTATGCTCAACCTTTGAACGCCGTGTGAGCATGTGATGAGAGCAGGAGAGGCAATACTACCAGATCTGGCTTACAACCTGGCAAGCGATGGAGAACTGGACTGTAAATATCTTTTGGAGCCGCAAGTATCAGTCCCGTCAATGTCCTGTCAATGATCTTGGAGAGAAGTCTCTTACTCAAGGTTTCCTGGTCTGCTCCGTTCTGCAGTAATGCTTCAGGCGCTGTTGCAAATCCACGGCCAGGGGAGGACGTCATTGCGCTCATTTATGGTCCAGTCAAGGGTCCAGAAGAACAGTGAACAGACGGTTCACGAGTTGCTATGCTGACGCTGTCAAAGCATCATCATTGGTGTGCGATGGTCTACCCGGTTTAGGTTACCGCCAGCGGTTGTTGTCGAAGAGATCAACAGATGTGTAGCTGTGGCAGTCTTGTTGGTTGCTTGAATTGCATGGCTCTGTGCTCTCATCTCACTTCATCTCCCGCCGTTTGGTCCCGTAACATCGCCACTGTCACCAGCGCGCCGCTAAACAGGTCCGTTGTGGGGAAGAAGAGGAACCTATAAATCTATAAATTATCCAGTGGACACAATGTGCTTCGTGTCCCACCGTTCACCTTTAACGCCCTATACACCATGAAGCTGACTGCCGCCTTCGCTGCTCTTTCCCTTGCCCTCGCTGGCCACGCTGCTGTTCTTAGCCGTCGTCAATGCGCGGCATCCTTAACCGACGCAGAGGTACCTCTATTTCGGTTATAGCAGCCTGTTTGTTGTACCCACACACCATTTACAGGCCATCGCCAAAGAGCTCCAGTCCAAATACTTCAACAGCATCACCGGCCAGTACAATGAGGGAGAGCTCTGGACAGATGCCGTCAGTGTCCTTCGTCTTGCCTGCCCTGTTTCTCCCTGTTGACGCGTAAACATGTACGCGTGCCCTTAGAACACCCTCGAGGACCTGCACAGCCTTATGCTTGCCGCCGGCATCAACGACTATTCGTCTTTAGCTGACAACACATACATTGGTCAAACAGCCAACGACCCTGGTGCTGACTGGGAGAGCGTCTTGAACGGCAGCAACGATGATGCTCAGTGGATCATCTTGGCTTTGTGGAAGATTGCGGACTATAAGGGCTCACAAGGCCAAGACGGCAGCGCATACACGGTGAGCAATGTCCTCAACGTTCCAGTACCTGGCGCAATGTACTTAGTCTGCTGCTTAGAACGCTGCAGCAACTATCTACGATATCATTGCAGGACAGTGGGATGACTCTACTTGCGGCGGTGGAGGTAAGTAAGCGTTCTCTTATATGCAGTGTATGTGACTCATGTCGAGATATTTAGTCTGGTGGTCTACGGCGCACACGTACAAGAACTCGATCACTAACGAGCTCTTCTTGCTTACTTCCGCCGAAGGCTACAACAGGAACAAGAACCAGACGTACCTCGACAATGCTAACAAGGTCAGTGATTTCGCATCTTCGTATCTTGTGTGACATGCTGACCTACGATAACAGGAGGCTAACTGGCGTCAGTGTTCAGCGACGATATGAAAAAAAGAGATCTAACTTTACATAAATTATTGTACCAACAGTCTTGGCCTCTGGGCTACGGAACTCAAACGGCCTGTTCAACGATGGTCTGGACTCGACCTCGTGTCAGAACAACGGCGAGGTGTGTCTCAAAGTACCCACTGGTCCTTCTCAAACTAAAGTTGTTCCCAGACCACATGGACGTACAACCAGGTTAGCCGGTGCTCACGTTGTCGCGTCTTCTATGCTCATCCTACATTAGGCAGTCGTCGCTTCCGGCCTCGGCGCCCTCGCTGTCGCGACCGGCAACTCTTCGTGGCTCGACCAGGCCGAGATCTCCCTCGATGCGACGATCAGCTCGATGACGCAGAACAACATTCTCAAGGAGTCGTGTGACGATGCCGCCTCCGGCGGCGCTACTTGCAACGCGGATCAGGTACGCGAAATAGTCACGGAGCGAAGTTGTACGCACCATGCTGACTGACGCTTGCGTTTACGCCATGCAGTCTATCTTCAAGGTATGTGCCCTCTGTCGTGGCAGTCGCTATGCCCCATAAGGATTATTGGTTGCTCATGGCGTGGTCGTTCATAGGGTATCTGGACGAAGCACCTGCAGTACTACCTTGACAGCGCCAACGACGCGTCGCGTACATCGAAGTACAGCGGCTTCTTGGGCTCTCAGCTCTCCGCTGTCACGCACTACGGTGAGAACGCGAACCAAGACATCGGTTCCGTCTGGTATGCTGCCAGCACCGGTGGCTCTCAGTTCAACCCTCAGGCCTCTGCCAGTGGCCTCGAGGCAGTTATCGCCGCCGCCAAAGTTAGTACCCTTTCAAGCCAGAGCACCTTCAACTTTCTAACGCAAACCCCGTCAGTACGGGCCCTGCTAATAAGGGCGTTGGGATTATTTATGCCTTCCAATTATTTCACTGGGTATTGATGACAAGACATGCATGTGTGGATATATATACCGATGAATAGATTCCAGGATCAGAGCAGTGGTATACAATTGCAAGAGAACAGAAAGATCGAAGCCTATACATGAGGGATTATCCTAGTTGCGTATCGTAAACAGGCCTTCTCTCATCCACCCTCGGCCATTTCTCGGCGGTGGAACTGAGATGATATTGAAGGCTCGTCGGCCTCAAGGATCGTGTCCTCTTCCGGCCGTCCTCTCCACTTTCCTTTCGCATTACTGAGCGCTTCTTCTTCATGGGACGCACCACTCAGGGCGCGCTCGAGTGCCTTCTCGCCCCGTTTCTTCAGCCTGAGCGCCATGGCAGACTGAAGCGAATCAATGTACGACTCGTATTTCACAATTTCTGTCAGGAGGTATTGTGACTTCTTCTCCCAGTTAGCCAGCGCTTTTGTGCCGTTGGCTGATCTCGGGGCATACTACACGCCAGATAAGTTACAAAGGCATAGACGGAAAGTAACACATATGACTTACCAATGACATCATGGGCTGTCGAAGCTCGTTGTGGTCCTGGAGCTCCCTCTTGAGAGTGCTGACATACTTCTGGAGAGCCTCTAGCTGGGTCTCCTCATCACTGGTACTCGCCACAGACGGAGGCATGGGTGGCTTCCAGTCGTTGATGAACGTTCTGTCAGCCCATGGGGAGCTCGTCGCGCGGACGGTCGCCGCGCCTTCCCTCCACCCATTAAATTTGCTCTTATTGCTCTTGGCGCTCCGTATGCTCATGGTATCCGTGCGGTCAAATGTCGTGTCGGCCTCTGTCATCGAACGTCCGTGTGGAGAGGAGTCAGCAACCCGATTCCAGCCATACTCCATGTTCGACACGCCGCCGGAGAGGGGCTCCTTGCTAGTACGCGCGGCCCAGTAGTTGCAAGTCGACACCCATTCGTTTACAAGCTCCTCAGTTCCTGCCTGGAAGAAATAAACGCCACCGCTGGCCAGTGTGAGCACCATGCAGTGTGGGCGCTGTCTGTTGTACCCCGGAGGTGGGAGAGCGTGTGCTAGCGAGTGGGCCAGAGGGACGTTGCCAACAGGTTGAGCATTGTCCTAAGCACAAGATTGTGAGCACGACGACGACTGAACGTAAACTCTCCACTCACCAGCCAGTTGCCGCCGCCAACTACCCCCGATGACCCACCTCCATGCTCCCCAAACAAGAACATATTGAGCTCGCCCTTTTGAATCACGACGAAAACATCCATCCAATTCTTTGATTTTGACCGCTTTCCAGTGGACTCCCAGTATTGCTTCCGGCAAAGCATGCCCTCCTTCGCCCATGGGGCACCGAGAAGAGCTAGTTCCTCGTCGGAGATGCTGATGGTCGTGGAGCTGGAGTCGTGGCTATCAATGCTATTTACTTCGTCTTCCCGTGATTCCCTGATGATGGTGTGCGACAAGTTCGATGCAAATCCCAGCGACGGCGTCAAGAAGGCTGCCATAGAGCTTTGCACATTCTGGTCATGGTTAGTCATGCCAACATGTCTAAGCTGAAAGACCCTACCTCATTCAGAGATGTTGCAAAGCTTGGTGATGGACTGGTGCGGCCATCCACGCTGCTGTTGCTGCTGTACGGGCTTTGTCCAGGAATAGGCACACCGATAATCGTTTGGAGCCCTCGGATGCTACCCCGCTTGAGGGTTGTAAACCGATCTTGAGCTCCACGATAGCTCCTATTCCGACCCATAACATGGGCGGTCCCTGGGCTGAGGGATGAGGTCGACCCACGAGCCGCGAGCATGGCTCCAGAAGGCTGCAAGATTTGCTGAGCCTTCACTGCATTATATATTTCCTAAAATCACGATGATCAAGTGCCTACTCTCTTGAGAACGGTTCTTGTTTACCTTTAGCAGGCCCTCCATATCGGTTTCCCATGTCTTGTCCGTGAGAAGCGTGCTCATACTCGCGGATTTCGAGTCAGGACCGGCTGAGAGCTGCACTGATGTGCTACTGCTATTCAGAGATGGTTGCATAGTGGAGGGAACGGTAGACACTCCAGCTGACGACATGAGGGTATCCTTTGAGATGCTGTTCCAGCTGGTGATACTTCCACTACGTTTCGACCTCGACGCTGACATGGTTTCAGAACCTTCAGCAAAATGTGCGCTACTGTCATCTCGATTGTCCGAAGTTGGTGACGTGGTTTGGAGTGAAAACTTGATAGCTTCCATGGTGTTGCGTTGGAATTGCGTCCTGCTCATGCGACTGACCACCTCGGCGATGTGTAGATCGGTGTTTAGCAACAGGAGGGAATATGTCACAGCATGAACGACGCCTGTGCGTGCTAAGTTTCGAATATGAATATAATGTTGGAACGCGGCGTACTGGCATTTCCGTACAAACGGATAGGGTTACACTCCCAAAATCGCTTGCTGAACTGCTCAAGAATCCGATCGAGCTGTTGAGTTTCGCCTTTCAGGTACAGCTTGCCACAAAGTTTCCTACAAGTATGACATTAGAACTCATCCGTACTAGTTTGTGAAAGCGTACCGGAAGGCCTGGTCTAATCTCAAGTCCGTGAAATCATAGTTTCCCATGTAATGTCGTAGCGTGAGTTTGCTAATCTGTTTGCTTGAGTCCTTGTCAGCAACATGCCTCGCATAAGCGAAGCATGGATCTCACTGTCCACCAAGCCACTCCGACAGCTTATCTTTCGCCAGGAACTCCTCATCCTCTATCCAACATTTTGCCGCCAGCTCCTTGGCAGTCTCGTTAATGTCACCCATCTCTTCTTGAGGTGTTGCCAGCGAAGTCGCCGAAGCATAGCGACTCGGAGCCGCATCTTGTGCTGTCAAATCCTGTTGGGAGCTGTGCATATCTGAGGCGGACAACAAACCATCAATTATTAGACAGGGTTAGCAATGACGGGGCACGCACGAGGTTTCGGCTCATTAGGTGGGGGTATGAGAGAAGGCTCGGAACTTGATGCAATGGAATGGTGATGTACGCGTAACCTGTTGGTATCCCGATACGAAGATGGCACCGATACTCCAGAGCCGCGAGTTCGTAAAGGGCTTGGTCCATGTCTGAGTGCTGTCGTAGACTTCGGAGAGGTCAGTTGACCCGAACGTGAATTTGAAGGAGCGTTTAGCGAGGAAATTCGCGGTGGTATGATAGGATCGGGCGCTCGAGTCGACTGCGAGCTTGGTGGGGGATTGGGAGACGGATCTGGCAGGGGTGTGATAACAGAGGTTGAGGAATTGACGCCGCGAGCAACAGAGGAGTTACTTTCGCTACCTTGTACAGATTCTGCTGGTGCAGTCCTGGAGCGTAGGTAAGCTCGACGAGCAGGTGTTGAAGGGTCCCGTAAGTCGTAAGAGGAACCTGAATCAGGATCCAGCTGAGACAAGACACCACGGAAGTCATTGAGTATACCATTCAGTGACGACTCCGACTCCCATCCCTGACCACCCGCAGCTTCTTGGTTATCCTTGGGAGGCAGGCTCGGTGGACGCGAAGACGATGTTCGCTGGAGATCCAGATCATTGAGACTCGAGCTTCGTTGTCTCTGGTGCCCGGACAGTCTACCTACAGGGCTGGAGGCTTTGTCCATGCCTCGCGTGTTGGGCGAAGGGGTTCTGCCGCGCATACGAGGGGTCGAGTCAACAAGAACGACAGACTGGTCGTCAGAGTCGCGTCCATCATCAACAGGGGCACTGCCGCGTATTAGTGGAAGAGGTTTATCTTCAGACGTGCTCACGGCTGTGCTTGGGCGTGGGCTCAGGAAGACATCGTTCACAGGGGAGGCGATCGGTGTTCGTTGAGTGTCATTAGGCAACGGAGGTACAGGCGGGGCGAAGGCATCGATAAATGCCGGCGAGCTTCGAGGACCAGAATTCGACGAATTGGTTCGCTTATCGACGCTAGCGATGAGAACATGTTTGGGAAGCAGTTCGCCGAGAACTCACAGTACGATCTCTGACGGACGACTGACCAAGCATCTTTCCCAGGAATGCACTCGTCTTCGCCCTGACGGAGCTTTTGGGAGGCTCAAGGGGGGTCAGCATCGTAGTCGAAGGGTGCAAGTGGCACGCACCTTGTCGGTGTTACAACCTTTGGCGGCGGCGAGTCGAGAGCTGGGACTTGGAATGACCCAGTCGGCGCCGATGGCTCTGTCGGGATAGTATTTGTTTGGAAGGGGGGTCGATGGCTGGCGGGTGATGGGCTGAGAATGGACAGCTGAGGAGGTGGATGAGCGGGGACGAGTGGTGGAAGTTCGTATGCCAGTAATGGGGGACGGCAAGGGCGGGGGAGGGTCATTGCGCTTCTCCTTCGGGAAATTGGCTGGAACGTAATTGCCCTTCTCTTTGGCCTTGCGGACCAGGGTAGCGAGATCGGGGCTGCTAGCCGTCCCTGGGGAGCGGTACATCGAACGGCGTTTCGTTTGAACGTCACAGTGGTCCTCTGCATCATAGAATTGTTCGTTCAAGGGCGAGGGAGACGGGGTCGAGGGTTTAGTGGAGGAGGAGGCGGAGCGTGGGGTAGGGGTGGGTGGTACGATGGTGGGTGGCGCGGGGCGGGGGGTGCGCATGTCGGCTACGGGGGTGGAGGGAGAGGGAGAAGGGGAAGAGTTGGAAAGATCTGCACCCAGCTCATTGACATCACGGCCCTCTTTGATGACAACTGTGCCTCCGGCGCGCAGGGCCTGTTCAAAGTCGAGCTGCTGGGCGCGCGACGTCCTCCGCTGCTGCTTCACGTCGCCAGACGCGACCGGCACCAGCCCTGCCGGAATTGAGGACCTTGACGGTGGCATGGCCGACGCCCGTGACGAGGGCGCACCATGGTGCTTGACCAACTTGGGAGCCAGCTTGTATCACTTGAAATTCAAAGGGGACCAACGTCGATGCTGGACTCGAATATACTTGTCCATCCACAACAATCAGTCCAATAACTCTCTGTCACCTGTCACCCACTCCTCGCACCTAACCGAGTCTCTATACTGCCCCCGCACAACTCAAATCACGACATATAAAGAACGTCGCATAGATTGAAATCAAATGAAACAGCATTGCTCCTACACAGTCAACACGAGTTATAGTTCAATGCGCTAGTGCAAAAGAAAAGGAGGGAAACAGAGACTACACACAAGTAAACTTTAACAAGTGGTAGAGATAGGATAAGAACGAATAATCTACGAGCAGTACATACATTGCAGACAGTCATGCTCCATTCAAAAAATATCATGCGAGCGGATAATAACAAGGGAAAACAAGAGGAACCCTAATGGTTACAGTACGAGGCGAATGAATCTATGTGACTTAAGGTCCAATGTCGATGTTTAAGAGCGGGTCGATCCCTGCAGACCGGCCGAAGTTCGTCTTTGGCGCTTCATCGCCAGTGTACCCGAATTAAGAGTGTTGACGCCTGCGCCTACGCCTGCGCGGCCGTTGGGTGTCGAGCGAGATCCAGCAAGTTGACTGGGCATAACACTGGTCGTTGAAGCCCGTGGTCTCGTCGAGGACGACGCAATCTTGGGCAATGCTGAGCCCCCCTTACGTGACGAGCTACTAGGGGCACCTGATGCGCGATTCCTGCAGAGAAGCACGAAGCATTAATTTTCTAGTCGTGTACGCGTCATAATTAGAACCGACCTCTTCTTGATGACGTCCGTCTTTAAAGACAATGGACGTACAACACCATGCAATTTCTACGACAGTGTCAATAAGACGGCCATGCCACTAAGCAGAAACCAGACTCACGTAGAATAAACCACAAGCATTGCCTGTTGGAACGTTTGCATGAGAAGACCATCAATTGAGGAAAAGGCGGATGACTTACAGAGAGGTTGTCCCTCGGGATCGCGCCTCCACAGAGGAGTGTTTGTTGTCTGGCAGTTTGTACAAGCCGTAGGCGTCTGATCCCCATCCTCATTGTTGGCATTATTGTTATTTTTCCCTTGAGCCCCGTTCGCACTATCTTCCGTAGTAGCCGGTTCCAGTGTAGGCGATTCCGAGGCAGTGTTACCGGCACTCTTGGATGCGCCAACTGTCTTCTTCCGTTGAATATCTTGCACTCTCTTGGTCGAAGCAAACTTCCGAGGTTGGTTGGTGTTCGTGGAGGAACTATCCACAGAAGGCGGCGATGACGTTCCTGACGCAGCGTAGGGTTCCGGAGATGCCGCAGAACTTGAGTTGACCCCATTGCCCCAGCCGTCACTTGAGGGGCTCGGATGATAGCTCTGCACAAGCCCATTGTCCTGCTCAGCAGACAAAATCTGGGTAGGATCCACGTGCGTGAAAGGACCTTGAGAAAGGTTCCCATTATTCGAGGTGTCGAGGGCAGGATACGTTAAGCTCAAGAGCTGGTGGTAGTCTAGGGCATCGTCCGTTCCGGTGAAAGTCGGGTATCCCTCTGTCATAGCGGCAGTGGCCGCAGCAGCAGCTGCAGACAAGCCCCCATCAGGTGGATTGGGATTATAGCCGTTCGCCAGACTTGATTGCCGTGAGTTGTCGTGATAACGAACGTCGTGGAGCGCAGCATCATCTGGCCCATGAAGATGAGAGAAGTGACCCTGAGGTGCCGACTGGGCTGTTCCGGCAAGACTAAACAGCCCGTCGTACGGAGGGAAGCTGAAATTGAAAGACGAGGTAGGGAACGACGAATTGGTCAGATATGTCTCGGGATCGTGCGCGGAATGATTGCCATCAACATTGGAAGGGTCTGACCGCAACATGCTCTCGACGTGGTGTTCCACAGCTCGCCGCTTGTAACCAAGCAAACTATCAGGCGACCGCGGCTTTCCGTTAACTTGATGCCGACCGCGTATTTCTGCGAGGATGCCATCTTTTTCGATGGTGTGGTCGAAACTTGTTTTCCTAACGTGCCTGGGGAATGTTCGCTGTGGATGCGACGACTGGGGGTCAGGCGTTGTAGGCCGGAAGGCGTGATGAAGGTGAGTAGCAGGGAGAGAGGAGGGATGGAACGTGGAATGGTCGAACGCGGAGAGTGCATGGTTGAAGTGGTCGTCGAAGTGAAGATGCGTCTGGAGAGGATCAAGGGAAGGGAAGGGAAGCTGTTGTTGCTCATAGACGGCAGGAAGCCCATGGACGGTGGTGTCATGGCGGGATGCTGAGAGGGCGGAAGTGCCAGGTATTGGTATCCTTGGAGATGCAGCGACTGTCCTCGAGACATCTCCTTCCGGACCGAAACGTCGCTCCGTCTGTTTCTCGATGTTTAGCCCCGGACCATGTCCGGCACTTGTGAAGGACAAACGCCCGTCAAGCTGGGTAGACATGTCAAGAGTCATAGGAGGACGAGATCTTGACCTGCTCTGTGGCCTCCAGTCCATTGCCACCCTGGAGCGTGATCTACTCATGGCTCGCCAATCCATGGGCACGACACTGATAAGCAAATTCAGACACGAGGTATGGCGAGATAAGGGCATACGCACTCGTCATCTTCCGTACCATCCTGATTTGTACCATCAAAACCCACGACTTGAACTTTCCCCTTCCCTTTATCTATCCTCCTACCTCTCTCCTCTTCTGAGTTGGCTACTCCGCCCAGAGACATGTCGGCCTGGCCGGGAAGTCCACCAACGGGCTGTTCCCCATTTCTCCCAAGCAGATCGTCCTCGTCCTTTTTCTTCTTGAGGGCCAAAGCCATCATCCTCCACGTTAAATTCTCCATGCGCTGTGCGTGAGGAAGGTGTGCCTTCGTCCTAGCATACATCTTCCATACCTGAGTGGCCAGAGGGTCCTGCTTCGCAAGCTCTTCGGGGCTATCAGCACTCAGCGGCATGGAAAACTCGAGGTCGGGAGAGCCGGTGGGACGGGGAGAGGTGAATGCGCTTGTACCACCGGTATCAACGCTCGGATTGCTGAACAAATCGTCAGAGAAAATGTCGCTCAACAACGCAGATTTTGAATCCATTGAATTGGACGTAGACGATGAGGGCTCTTTATGACCCGATAATGACGAAGTTGTTAGTGAGTTGTGAGAAGGATTTGAAGGAATGCTTAGTTGGGCGAGGTCGTTGTAGGCACTAGGGGTCGTCGTTGCGGTTGTGGTTGAAGTCGGTGACATCCACAATGAAGGGGGGACACCGACATTTGATCGTTCTTGGGTCGCAGGTGTGTAAGAAGGGTAACTCGATGTGCTCGAGGATAAGGCATCTCCATGCATAAATTGACCATACGAACCAGAACCGGATGGAGTTCCATCCGACTTGTGATTCGTTCCCAACAAATAAGACCCCTCGCTCTGCTGCATCCACTGTGAGCGAAAATCAAGCGATCAGTCATCTTGCTTCTCTTACCGGCATGCGACTCTTCTCTAGGTGAGGGCGGCCACTCACAGGCGACAGGCTGTTCATATGATGCATACTCTCGGCTACTCCGTCTTTTTCCTTCTTGTCTGAAATGCCTGAGACGGTGGCGGAAGAGGAGTGAGCCCTCATGATGGCTGGTCTATTCGCATGAGAGCTGCCCACGTGCTGCTGGGGGCTGTCATGCGACCAGGATCCAGGTGGATCTGGTTGGAATCGGGATGAAGACCCTCGGGCGGCAATTGACTGAGGGGGCATCATATTGTACCGGTGGGTCTCGTTGCCTGACGGAACAGGAGGAGCTGGAGGTACTGAGAAGACGCCATTAGCAGCCAGAGTAGCAAACACGGCAGGACTGAGGGGGGCAGAGAAGAGGTTATTCCAATCTGATGAGAGGGGGTGCAAAGTGTTGTGGGACGAGGAGGGCTCTTGGAGGTGATTCTGGGGAAGTGGCTGGTTGAGCATATAGGTCATAGAATGTGATAGACCTGGGGAAGCGAGGGGAGCATGCTGTGTCCAGGGAGAGGAGGTGAGAGAGCTAGGTATAGAGCTTGGATGCGAACTAGGCTCGGAGGGGTGAGGGGAGAAAGACATATTGATCTTTGGTCTGTCCGAAGAGGACCAGGAGCGATTATGGGAGGAAGCATCGACGACGGGACCTGCTGATGGTGGGGGCGCCATGTACGAGGGAGGAGGGAAGCGAGACTGAGAAGGAGTATGAGTATGAACGCTAGCGCCGGCAGCCAGATCAGGAGGAGTATATGCTTCCTGTCGGAGTAATTAAGGAGCACTGTGGTGGAGAAAGGCGACAAGTTTGCGAGATAAAATGTGGCCAAAATGTGCCAAGCTGCTCGCCCTGGGCTGGAGAGGTGGGCAGAGGCAGAAGATGGGCAGGAGCGGGCAGGAACGGCGAGCAAAATGAAGGATCGCAGGTGGCAAGAACTTGATTGAAGCAACAGGCAGCTGCAGACCTGCCGCCCGCGTCTTACGGTCCGCACCCTGAGTGTCCCCTGACACCCCTCTCTCGACAAACTATCTAAATTTGTTGGTTTTTCATTATTGGTCCCCTCAGTAACTCCCCCTGGCTGCACGGAAGCCCTGCCGCGCTTCTTCGTACCTACACGATTCGCTTTCACATGCTCAGCAGAGGTGTCTGGTGTCCGCATGCCACTCAGCCCTCCAACTGCCAATTTGATGCCACCGGTCATGGCTCCCATATCCTCCCTGATCGCACGCCATCGTCTGTCTTCCTCATGTCAATGACAACTGCTCGACAGCCAGGAGTCGTTTTACCCTATCTTCTTAATCCTGCTCTCATCTTCCTCCAGCGAGCGACTCGCTCGCCCCTTGCCATCCCATGTCGGTCGAGCTATACCGTCTGGGCTGATGCCATTGCATGGGAACAGGGCACTCGCTCACTGTTCTCCCTTCGGGCACAGAACCTGGTAAGTTGCCGGCTTTGTAAGCCGGACCCCCCAATGTCGGCGGGTATGTAGCTTGATTTGGAGGTTGCGCCTGTTGTTCAGTCGACCACGCCGCGCGGGTGTACACTTGTTCGTATGGCGTTCAGAAGCACGGAGACGCGCGGGCCACTTCCTGGATGCACACCGAAAATGTCAACTCAACCTACAATTCCGCAGCCCGGTTCTCTGGTACAAGGACAGAGAGTCCATCTCAGTCCATCTCCAATCCCCTGTCACCTCGATCTCAGATCCCCGTCATCAGGGCAAGCCTAATTCATGAGATGACTTGGATCTCGCCCAATCGATCCAGCCCAAACAGGCACACGAGTCCCATCACCGAGATTTTGCCCCTGTCTCTCTTCCCGCAAAATGAAGTCTTCTCCTCATGCCTTCCTATAGCTATGTAATACATACGTCTGTACATCCCTCCGCGATCGTGCATTGGAAACACCTTGTTCGTCAGATCTCCTTTGTGCTCCGACCCTTACTTAAAGTACGTATGAGCTAATTCATACTTTCCCCCACTTTGGCCAATCAGTTGGGTTCCACAGATATTTTCGTCCGCTGCATGATGCATGATCTCTTGCTCAGTCTTTTCTCTCTTTGCTCTCTCACCCTCTTTTGTGCTCCGGACGGAGCTTGTGTGTCCCAAAGCCATTCTCACTGGTTCGCGCTCTGTCAGCCGCCGCGATCTTTCCATGGATCGCAAGAGATCGCCAGCCATTTGGTGTTTCAAAGACGGTTCCTCTCGCCCTCGGAGAAAACAATATCCGTTCCTCCGCGAAACCCTCCGCGAAATTGACAAGGCTGCTGCTTGGCGGACCTCGGACAAATTTTCTTCTCCTACGATGATCAGACGTTTTGATGCCGGGTTGGCTGATCTTGAACCCGATGCTTGCCAATGCCAGCGGCGACGCGACGCAATCAATTTTTTCCTCCTTTACTTCCCCGAGTGCGTCGAAACGGCTGATTTACCTCGACAAAGGATTACTATCAGAGGTCATCAGCGCGTCATGATTGAGCGCAACCGACAAGGACCACAAGGACGCCGACCGCCGGTTCTTCCTGTGTTGCGGGCCCACTGACGCGCACTGACCCGTTCGCAAGTTCGCGCCATCCTTTTATACTGCCCGACGATCTCGAAGAGCGGTCCATCAGAAACCAGGTCCCATCGGGTCACCGGCCCCTGTACAGAGAAGTTTGGGTGGCTGGGAAGTTGGGCGAACCTCCGGCCACCCAGGTCCCAGTACTCTCGCTCTCGTTCGCGCTCTCATGGCTGCAGAAGAATGTAGAGCGCATGCGCACGTCGGAAACGGGATGTCAAGCGCGCGAGCGAACGTTCGATCGTAATTTGTCATGGACATCATCTTTGACGTCGGCGACCGTCAGCCTATCGTATGTAGGCCTATCTGCGAGACGACAATCGTGCTACCGATCCCCGTCTGTCCCTCAATGAACGCATCTCTGACACTGTGGTGTGTATTCATGTCTGCACGTAAATTATCAACTAGCTTCTTCAGGCGTGGGCCTGCGTAGACCCACCTTGGGCGCACCCCTGTTAGGCTATTCTAGGAGGTTTCGAAGTGGCGCTGATGGTTTGAGTACGACCGGTCCCGTGGTCTGCAGGGTGCGATTCTGTTCCCTCAGATGTTCATTGGCATCCACGCTGTGGGAGTGAACTTTTGAACGAACCATGAATCGGTCGCTCGACTTTTATCAGCTTTAGAAGGGTAGTCCACATAGTATCTGGTATATGACGATGTTACCGTTGGTGAAATGTTGTTCCGCTTCTTCACCATTGCAGCAATACAGCATTGATCAGCACTGATGCTAGGGTGCCTTTTTCGTGCCCTTCCTCTTCTTTAATTTGGCATCAACATCGTCATCGGTGGCCACACTCCGTATGCCACTCGAAGTATGAACGTCGTCAAACATCCCACCGGCGGGCTCCGTCAGATCCCCTGACACCCCTTCAACGCTTACGATGCTACGTTCCCCTTGGAGCTTCAGATCCTCATCTATCCCAGGAACGTCCACCCAGTTCCAGGCCTCCGACAGCTCTCCACGCGCTAAACCCGTAATGACGAATGAAAGTATGCACGCGGGGCTAGAACATCGGAGACACCGATCGGCATGAGTAACCGGGATATACAACCTGAAAGAAGGACCGGGCCCCACGTGCTCACCTCAGGTAAAGCAACGCAGGTTGAGCCGTCTTGAAGCAATGCATGACTGTCATCGTGGCGACCAGACCAGCAACGTATGCAAGAAGCGTCGCGATGAAATACGGCTTGCTGTACGAAGCACATCCTTTTGAAGAACGCTGCGCACGCGCATGATCATATCGAAGTGCGAGTGCAACGAAGATGCCAGGAATGACAATATCGCCTAAGCCAAGCATGGTGAATCCGCGTGTCGTGGAAAAGTTGGAAGATTTGGGCCATAGTAGCTTGATAGGGACATCGAGGGATGTTGCGACTTTCACCATCTATGTCGGCCGAGACGTCAGAAAACATGTGTCTTCCGAATATCAGGCTGTGCGCGTACCACTTCCGTTCCAAACACCCAGTAGATGTCGTAAAAGAAGAGGCCGGCGAGTAGAATAGTCCCGGTCTTGAATGAATCGATCTTTAATAACGAAAGCGCGTTATGACTGAAGGAAACTCCTAGGATGTCCGTTAGCAGTGCCGAGCTTCGGCCCGCGGTTGTTTGGCTATAGAGCAAGGATGGCAGGACACCAAGCGGAAACAGGAAGAGTGACGGGGTCCTGAACGAAAGGGAAGTCAATTCTGCAGGACACGACAATTAGTGAAACGCGGACATCCGCGTGTTGGCGGTGAACGACACCTTTCGGGCCCTCCAGCACCAGCAGGCGATAACGCTGGTACTTCTTCCAGCGATCATGCCCTACGACCAGCCTTGTGAAGGATATGGCTGTCTGAAACGAGGATGAATGATATCACGTATCCCAGAGAAGTAGGCCACACACCTTCCATACACTTCCTATGCCAGCTAGGGAGAAGTACCACTTCAGGAACCAGTTTATCCATTCTGCACCAAGGTACTTGATGATGACATACAGTCCAAAAAGCGCTACTGAGCCCACCTGCAAGCGGTGAGCAGCGTTGTCAGCGTTGTGCTCTTCGAATGTACGTGGTACAATACGCACCACGGGGAACAGCCACGCGTCCTCAGTTGACAAGCGCTCTGGTATATCGTCGTCGCCGTCATCATCATCCTCTACGATATTTTTACTCGCTCCCGCTTTCTTTGTTATGGATTTCTAAACAAGTTCGTTGGTAAGTAGACCATTTAGTCGCGTTAGAGAGTGGCGTACCGGAAGCGAACCAAACGCCCCTGCAAAGATTGAGCCACTAGCCAGAGTTAGTAGACCAGCATAAGATGAGATGAGGTCCCAGTCTATGTCTATGTCTGCCATCGTATGAGAAGTTTTCAGAGCAGTCGCACTGGCAAAGCCAAGATGCTCTAAAATGTCTTGGGATTGGCTCAGTAGAGTTCACTGCTGTGACGGTGACGTGCCGTGTCCCCGCCATGTGTCCCTTCGACATTATGATATTATGAAATTCCCACGGTCCTCCCCACCGTCTCTTGAACTTGAACGCCAACGGCAGACCTTTCGTTGTTCACCTTTTTGTGTAAGAGCATATCAAAAGAGATAAAGCCCGTTGTGGCCTGCTCAACAGATAACATGATCATCTGCAGTCATTGTTTGTCTGTTACTTAAGTCACAGTCTGGTCTGTCGCAACCTGCGCAATAGTACCTCACTAGCTTGCTCACTAGCGCTGGATTTCATACTACTACGCCGGAAATCGACGTTCCCTAGGCTTAAGAAGTCCTGGATTAAGGTGTGCATGTGACGCATTGACGAGAATTACCTCAGCGCCGCATGACGGAATGCTTTTCGCCACAAGATCACGAAGTCACTTGGCTCTTCTCAAGGTTGCATGGAAGGATATTTTGGACCTGGGCGTCTTGCTGTTCGGCTAGCTGACCATACACCCATGAATTAGCACAACTCCGGTACATAACTACTGGCACGCCGTAATGATACAGTAATCCAAGAGGTCACCCGGGGTATATGAAGCACCGTTCGATTGTTCATAAGATCATAAACATTAATATCCAGCAGCAATACCGTTCTTGCGTGAGTCGCTCGCAGCTGTGAAAGGTAAACATGTGGAGCTCAATGACAGGTGCGACTAACGTACCAAAAATAATGCCATCTTTGACATGAATGGCCTGAACGACCGCGGCTATGCGGTTGATGTCTCGTACTAATAGCAATTAGAGTCAGGCATACAGCCGACCACCAGTGGCGGCGCCGCCGCCAGTGTAAACCATGTTTGCCAAACGAACCTTTGACCATATGCCCGCGCTCTCTGAGTTCCTCCACGTATTCCTCTGGAAGAATGCTGTCCACCTCCACCACCTCGGGCAAGAGCTGGTTGTGCACGCGGCCATACTCGATCGCTGAGCCTACATCTTGACCCCATTCCACGTTGAGGATGGTCTGGAATACGGCGCCAAATATCTTTGAACCACCTGACCCGCCCGTCACTAGGTGGATGGATCCGTCCGAGTTTTCCATGATCGTCGGAACACAGGATGACAGTGGGCGTTTCCCTGGCGCCGGGTAGTTGTCTGAGAATAACGTAAGTCCTGTCCTTTTTCTCTCACAATGCGGGGAAAGCGGGTGAGCGTACACGGGGAAGGACGTAAGCCATCGCCGTTCGGTGATCCGGGGGTGGAGAAATCGTCCATCTTCCAGGAAGGTGAGTCGTGTGATCTGGTGGTGGCGACGACTGACTATACCTCATTGTTCAAGATCACACCAGTCTCCGGATCGAGAACTAGTGAGCCAAAGATCCCATTAATAGTGCTCGTAAGAGACACCGCCATCCCGGCACTGTCAACGACAGATGTCTGGCTCTGATGCGACACATTAAAAGAGAGGATCTAAAGGAAAGAGACCTTTATACCGTGCCGTGGTCGGTCTTGATGTCAAACTCCGGGTTGTAATACTGCGGAGGGTGGGTCTCGTCCTGATTTAGGTTTAGCATTTATTGCATCCTTGAGTAGAAGTTTATTTACATCCGTGAGGTTGGCCACAACGGCGGCTGCAAACGATTTGGTCATGACTTCATCTATTCTCGCAGTACTGTTCTCCGAGAACGGTGGGTCTCCGATCTTGGTACTAGAAATGAGACGTAAGCAGTCAATAGCTTTGTGAAGATAGAAGTAATTCACCGGGCAGCAAAACCGACTACATGACAGATGCAAGGTGAGAGGCGATATGCCATTAACGACGGGGATACATACATTTCATAGCTTCAAGAATGCGATGTAAATTCAGGGCTGTACGGCCTTCGCCTGCAAGATCGTAATGTTCAAGCAAATTGAACATGTGTAGAAGTGCAGGCCCAGACGTTGGAGCATGCGTCGTATATATGACCTTGCCGTTGTATGTCCCTCGAAGGGCATTGTTGACTCTAACAGAGTACTTCTCCATGTCCGCATTGGTCAAAATACCGCCCGCCTTCCGTGCCGCTCGGACTATGGAATCTGCGATGGGTCCCTAGAACAATATTAGTATAATGGTAGGTGGGCGCTCTTAAGATTAGAGTCACATTATAGAAAGCGTCCGGCCCTTCCTCCGCAATTATGGCCAGTGTCCGCGACAGATTCGTGCGCTTGATGGAATCGCCCTCAACCAGTAGTTTCCCTTTGGGAGCAAAGACAGGTTGGAATTGGGCATTGTAGAGCATGATAGGGGCAAACATCTGCGGAAACGTCAGAGAGAGCACTCGACTGCAAATTGGGCCACATACCTTGATTCTCCGAGCCAATTCTGGATCGACATACCAGCCAGCAGCAAGATCGACGCTGGGCCGAACAAGACGTGACCACGGGAGCCTACCCCACCTCTTGTGGGCTTCTTGTAAGCCACGAAGCTCACCGGGTACGCCGCTAGCAAGTCCACCAATCAGCGCGTTTATCGGTTCGTCCTGAAACATGGTTGCATTCGATGCCGCTGGTGCAGTCTCTCGAAAATCGATTGAATACACTTCAGAGGTGTCATTTGGTGATGATGGGGGTAACCGCACTACCATGAAGCCACCACCAGCAAGCCCAGAGCTGTGGACAAAGGTGAGGTTAGAGTCAATCTAAGAAGCTCGCATGACTCACGAGAACATGTTGACCACGCCTACACATAGGACTGCACTGACCGCAGCATCAACAGCATTGCCACCATCCTTGAGCACCTGGACACCTATGTCGGAGCACCGCCTGTTTTCTGTGGCAACTGCACCATGTTCAGCTCTAACAAGATAAGCTGGGTTGCGCAGTAAGTCGGCATCGGTGATCGTTTCCGGGAGGAAGCTATTGTACAGAAGGCCGCAGCGATTGGTGAAAACGGTCAAGAGACCAAGAGCGGCGAGGACGATGAAGACGCGTCTAAGTGTGCTTGACGGCTGTTTGTGGTGATTCACATGGAAGGGTAGAACGGCTTCATCATGAGTAGGATCGGTGAGGTGCTTTCCGTCGAGACTGTCGTGATATGCAATATGGGTGGATTTGCTCGCCATAGCGCTTCGTATGGGAAGCTACGGTCCAAATAGCTCGGAGGGGGGCGATAGCTGACCAGGGCCGAGATAGTCCGGTATATGACAAAAGCATCATGGGATCCATAAGCATGCAGCCTCGGTCACCCGAGACACCTAACTAGATAGATAAGCTGTTTCGTGGAGGCAGTAGTATTGGTTCCGTGCCAGCTGTCGGGTTGGCACCCCTGACTCAGATGAGATTGGCTGCACGTGCACGCATATATCCCTTCCTTCCTTCCACTCTATAAATTGGGTGTTATGATAGCATGTCCTCAGTTGGTGTGTTTTCCTACGTGAGGTCCGGGTAAGCTTCCTTAATCATGGTGACCCTGAGCCTTGTTCACCATATCCTTTGCATCCTGTCGACACAAACAAGAACGCGGGCGAACAATACTACAAGCGGAGAACGCAGTATGCTCTCGTCTCGCGAAATCTCCCTTAAATCTGACGTAGCATGTAGCCTCAGAAAATTATCGTCCCCAAAAGCGTCGTAAAACAGATCTCAATGCTCGCTTTGATCAAATGGCATATAAACTAAACAGCATGGACAGCGCTCAGAACAGAAGTCGGCGCAGGACGTATTCAGCAACTGCCAGAGCAGCATCTGATCTACGGGATGGCTCACGAAACCCCACGCGTGCATATAGCGTGTTGTCTGAAGGGCATATAGGAGCAGACTTCTCTGTGCTGAAGTTAGATCGATTCCAAATGGATGATCCTTCTGTCGACAACGTAGGCCACAACCTACACGAGCTGTCTCATGAAACTCCATCGGTTTGACTTGATCTACGTCCTTGATTGCCCCTTATACTACTCACTTCGGATAGTGTTCTACCAGGGCGTTGCGAAAACCGCTACCTACTTGGCTAGCACACACTTTTCGGTCTTTGGAGGATCGTCACCCAATTCGTTCTCTTTTACCTTTGTCTGAAGACGAGAAACTCGGAAATGCCTCTGTGTTCTCCGAAGCTTATGATCACGCCCTGGAAAATCGCGAGGATGTGTCGATGGACGACATATTCGCATTCTCGCCATTCGATACAGACGACGTGCACCGTACAGACGTTAACGATTATCCTTTGGCTATGGCAGAGCACTCTGCGATCTCATGTCACTCACCGGATCGCCCCTTTGAGCGTCGAGCGTCATCGAAACAGGCAAATCATGTCCCATTCTTTCGCTATCAAACTCCAGCTACACCACCTCGCCGAGAGCTTGGGTTACCGTCGCCGAGGATGAAGCCTTGCTCTAGCTCTTCTCATAATCTCCCTCCCTCTGACTTGATGACAAACTCAGACACCATGCTCGCTTCCGACGTCGAGGATCCCATCTACAAGTATCTGTGTCATGCTAATCCTTCTGAATCATTTGAACAAACTTCGATCGAGCCGTCTTACCCTGTACACTCTCAGTTAACTTCGCTCGAGAATCCTACGGGAGACATTCCAAACTATGATCGAAAAGAGGTCGAAGACTACACATACGTTGTAGACCCTGAATCGCTCGACTTCCAGTGGCAACCGTTCATTAGACATGAGACATACTTGAAGGCTTTGGGCGATCGTTCAAGACTCGATCTCTACCAAGATATATCTACTGGAGACGTAATCGGATCTGGCACATCGCCATTGGAACAAGATACGCGCACATTCACATACTCGCAATCTCCAGGTCAAAGCTATATCTCGGTCTCAGATGAGATAACGCGTCAAACAGGTATCGAAAGATATACTTGCAGAGAATCGCTGCACCCCAGTCCTTCGCTAGATTCGCCCTTTCAGCAGCAGCGGCAGGAAAGTCTTTACGACATGTTCTCGCCGAAGGCCACGTTTGCGCCAACTACTGGAATATATCTATCCCCTTTACAGGGTGCGCCTGTGAGCTCAGACGACGACAGCATCGATGTGGGCCGTCAATCGCAGCTCTCTCCTGGCTATATGCTACGACTAAGGCGCCAACCAGTACGTGGTGATGGAGCTTGGAAAGTAACAATGCCTTGAGTTTGCACAGGAACATTCCCTCGCCTTGTGACACTATGTCGTAGGCCCGGATAACTTTGAAGAGCTCGGTTAAGAAATGCTTCTTGGTATGAACGAGGAGGCATCAGAAGGGTGACAATTCGTGGTATCATGAAGGTCGTGCGTCGTGCGTAAGTCAGTGTGTTCTTCTCCCAGCGCATGAGAGGAAGGGTCCAATAACAACGCTTTTGCGGCACTTTCTATACTTGTTATTGCATACTCATTACCATTGAGACTTGCTGGATTACTTTCACTCGTAGTCGCTTTCCGGCGGCCTTCGGCCGTGGATGCATCAGTCTTATCTCGGACTTGTGTTTGGCAAACGTAGACGTGTCTGTCGCGATCGACATCCTGACATTCTGGAGTGAACTTGCTCTCATCGGCAAGACGCCAGTATACAAGTATGTGCCAGATATTTATGTCGTTCTCTATTGATAGGGCAAGCACACACAGACTATAATTAGGACAAGCGTTGACCTCGTGAGGTCCAGAGCAAGTGACAAGATACCTCGAAAACGAAAGCGGAAGGGTATAGTGTAGTAATAATGGTAATCATTCATCTATATGCCCAGAGGAAAGGGAACGCAGGTTCAAGAAAATACGTCACCACCCAACTTCTTCGCCATCGAATGGCTCCACAGCGAGGTGACGAGTCCCTTTGGCTTTTGTCAATTTGTATCGCTCAAGCTGGTACACCTCATATGAATTGGCGGCAAGCCTCATTGCACGAATATGATGTGGACGTGAATTGGCTGCGCGTGCGTGCTTGCGTGATTGCCAGATGCAAGTCGCGAGGTTCATGCCTGTCTCCGCGTGAGGCACGCCATACCAGTACAGGATGAGCTAAAACAAGGATCAATGACAAATTCAGGGCTGAGCTTTAGAGCACGCACTCCTCCATTGGAAATTGCCTCTTCGTGTGCCTTTTTATCCGCTTCGTAAAGAGCTAAGCAAAGAAACGGTGTAGTTAGAATAAGGCTAAGACAGCATACAGTGTATGCCGATGTCGGTGGAAAACTGATTACTCACGTGTGCTATCACTACCCGCCTTCCGCTTGCTCCGGAATGCGACGCAATACCACTCCCGCTCTTCATCTTCTGGGAGCTCGAGCTCGTTCCAATTGAAAGCATCGGCATATGTGACCAAAGAGTAGTCAGAGTGTATGGGGCGGAATTTGTGCAAAGCTTTGTGCAAGGACAACGAAACAGGATCAATGTCGGGGAGACGTGTCTCCGTGGCAAGTTTCGGGTCATGGGTTTCAATTGGAGGCAAAGCGTGGGGTAATGAAGAAAGCAGCGGGGGCAGGTAGAGTGTAGAAGTTGTGGGTGCTTCCATACTCTTGACGTCGAAGACCGGCAGCTTGTGCGGGTCTCTGTCCTCCCGATGACCAGCATCGGCCACGGTGGTTTTGGGAGGCGAAACATCAGAGGGCTGAGGTGGCACGAGCGAGAGACCCATAGCTGAAGGATAGATAGGTGGGCGATTCAAGAGCAGCGAGCTGATACTGAGTCATAAGCCGGGAAAGTGCCTCAACTCTTATACCCCGCGTCGAGGAAGTTCCTCGACATATGTTACCACGGCATTTCGTGACAGATCTCGATCGTGGAAAGGCATGACGGCCTGGAGAGAGGATCGAGCAGTGAGATTGTGACCCATTGCGTGATTTTGACGCAGAGATCGGAATGGTCGGCTAGACGACATCAAGGAGACTCTTGCACAATCGGGTCCGCACGCGACTGCATATACTAATGACGAGAAGTCCAGAGTTAATTTAGGAGTCACGCAAACCACAGGAGTCGATCCTCGCTGGCGCAGAATTAGGATGAACTGTGAATTGCAATATGTTCTTTCGGCCGATAACGGAGATATATCCAGCACCAACCAGAGTACTTGCCATCGTGAGCAGTCGGGGCGACACGGATGTTCATCAGGAGTTTGTGGTCAGGAACACCTTTCAGCTGAACCCGAGTTGCACTAATGGGATAACTCTGAGAGTAACGAGAAGACAGAGGAGGGAAGAAACAACGGAGATAAAGGTAAGCGCCACAATGAGTCCGGCTAGCCAATGAGGGGCTGCTTATGTAAAGCATGCCTTCTCTCACCGTCAGTCGTCGCGTCCTGTTGTTTCCGCAATGGCTTCAAGAAAGGCGGCAGAGTCAACGCTCTACCACGTCCACCCCAAGGGATTTTGGAAGAAGTTCCGTATGTTATATTCCTGCTATACATTCATCACCTCTGTACTGAGAAAAGTGTAGGCGACGCTGTGGTCGTGAACCCAGAAATCTCCACTGGTATACCTCTTGCTGGCGTTAACAGGTGGCCGCAGCCTGGCTCTCGTCCTGAGAAATACTCCACCCCTGCTACCAAAGGTCATTATACTATAGCAGTGAACCACCTCAGCTGACTGACGCCCGTGACGCGCAGCTTCCGACCCGGCACAGAACCCGTACTGGAAGAGAGACGTCCGCCGTGCCTACCCGCAGCTCTCCGTTATCACCCAGAATGAGCTTTCCACCCTCCTGATCCAGCATCACCAGGCCAAGGCGTACGTGAACAGGGCCTCCTTGTTCCATGTGCTGACCCTGTTCTTTGTTTCCCAGTGTCCCTGCTCCATCAGAAGAAACCAAGAAGGATGCAGATGCTTCCGCGGAGGGCACTCCCGCGAAGGCAGCCGAAATCCCTGACCTGCCCACCGCAATAGCCACTGTCACCTCGGCGGCAACCGTGTACGACGTGTCGAGGCTTCCTCCCAAGGTTACCTCGCCCTTCAAACGCTGGCGACCCGAGAGGGCTCCCGATGCCCCACATGATCCACACGCGTATTTCCCCATGCTACTGTACAAGTAGCTCATCTGCCTGAAGTCCATGGTTCGGGTTTATGCACTTGTTGTTTAGATTGACACTAGCTGCGTCTTGTCACAATACATCAACGGCCGTACTTCAAACAAATCAAATAGACGCTTTTCACTACAGTAATCTTAGGCGCATCAACTACCATGGTCCATGAGAACTTTGCGTCGGGAGGAAAGCGGCTTTGTGTCTTTACGCTAATAATGATGTTAGAATTGTGCCATACCTACTGCGCAACGGTGCGTTCCCTCACGATGGCTATGTACTTACTACGATCGTCGAAGGCTGTCATTAAAAACCGTCACAGTTTGTGAGAAGCATCCGACACGCACGGCAAGTCTCCGGTAAAGTAGAAGTTGCCGTGTCAAGAAGTCTAATGTGAAGTTCGGATGTGACCGAATTACAGACCACCAGGTACTACCTTCGCTTCCGTGCATCTTCCACCGATATCTCCCGAATTGTACTGTTGGCATAACTTCACGGTTGGGAATAAGTAGTATGGTACAAGGGATGTCTGCTGACACAGGATCAAACCGGGTATGCAATGTCCTTCCTGCAGTGTTCCTGTTCTCATGTCTATTCATTTGGACGAGCAACCAGTTTTTTGGCGCTGACAAGACCGTCTTTCATCATCTGTAGGCCAGCTGCCACGCCATGAAGACCACCAGAGAGGATCTCGACGTCGTTGGGCTGTATAACCAAGGTTGTCAGCAAGTCATGGCTTGTGGAAATGCTGTCCCGTCAACTGACCATAATATCACCATCCACAAGCATCTGGGTAACGTTCGAGAATAGCTTTTCTCCATACTCTCTATTCTCATTCTCATAAACGGTGCCGACGACACCCAAGATCCGCTTCTTGCTCCCTTCATCTGGCTCGAATGCCTGCGGCTGCACACGTACAAGGCACCCCTCGGGAGACAAGAGGTCGTATCCCGCTTTCTGCGTTTCCGGTGACGCAAACGTGTCAAAGACGACGTCGAGCGGTATATTCGTGATGTTCTTGATTTCGGCTGCAAGGGTATCTAACGATGCCTTACGGTCAAGCACGTGCGAAGCTCCGAGTGATTCGAGATGTTTGCGATTATGAAGTGACGCAGTCGTTATAATTGGATGGAAGCCAGAAAGCTTGACTAGCTGAATGGCTGGAGCATGGTGAGAGGCATTAAATATTTACTCAAGGACAGTTGAGACAGACCATATTGCCCCACTGAGGTGGACCCTCCTATGATTAGGATAGGTAGGCCTTGATACTTCCCTCGGCCGCCCTCCCACAGCGGCTGGTACCCCAGGCCAAGGGGCGGCGGTTGGTAAAGTGGGACGGATGAAGTGGACAGTCCGACGGTAATAGATGCAGCTTGCTCGAAAGATAGCTTCTCGGGGATCTAAGCGAAGTCAGTCACCCACAAAGCGCACAAGGAAGTGGACTCATACTTTAGCAATGATGCTAGATGGACAGAGAACATATTGTTGGAATGAGGCATAGTCACTGCCTGCGAGAGCTGGGTGAAAACTGGGGACCTGATTCGTGAGCTGATATAGCACAAGCAAGTATAGAAGACCGTACACTCTGTCTCCTTTGGCGAAACGAGTGACCCCCTCTCCGATAGCTTCGACGACACCTGCTCCTTCGTGACCAACGATGGCGGGGTAGTCTTGGACCCAAAGAACGTGCTCCTGTATCTTCCAGTCTACAGGATTGAGAGCAGTGGCGTACTCTTTGATAAGGACTTCGCCAGGCCCCGGAGTAGGGATATCTCGTTGGTCTACGACGAAAGGACCTTGCTTAGTCTCGATAAACAGTGCTTGTTGCTTTGCCATTGGTGCTCTACAAGGCAGATACGGCTGTCTACTGTGAACCCGAGAATAAGCGTGAAGGGGCACACCTACTAGTTGTGCATGTCCTTATAGAACGGACAGGAAATCGATAAATCGGGACCAGCGATGAAGGGAGGCATGGAAGGCCGATGGCACGTTGTGAATGGAATGTTGCGCGTTTGGACGAACATTCAAGGTGCCGACAAGACAGAGATAATGTATTCGAGGCAGTAGAGTACCGCCGAGGGCTCGAGGGCATCGCAAATGTCTTCACCTGCGACGTCGACGCCGAATATCGATATTTGATTAGGCGGTTCATTGTTAGACATCAGGTCTAGAGAGTTTAGGAGAGTTTCCAAAACGAGACTCCGGAGGCAACTCGGATGATGTCAAGGATGCATATGGGTAATCAATAGTAGCAAACAAGGTCCTCGGACCAATGTTTATGTCTGCACCACCAACAGCAGCTGCCTCCACACCAGAGGAACGCGCGAAAGCGTTCGAGGCAGATCCGCGCATTCATTTTGACAGAGAGTCCAACTCTTGGCGCTACGAGCAGGACGACGGCACAGAGCTCGAGTATGACACTGCCAAAGCAGCATGGGTTCCTGTTGTACGTCCATGCTCACTGATAACTTCCCGTTTCCTCACCTTAAACACCTATATAGCTCGATGAAGATCTCATAAAGAAACAACAAGCCGCATATTCAGTGGCTGGTGTTGATGAAGAGGTAGTCTGCTCAATCGCCATTCGTGAACCAAGCCTAACACAACATGCACAGACCCCTGCTGCCCCCATCTTAGCTCGCATCAAGAAGCGCAAGCAGGAGGACTATACGTCTGCCAGTGCTCCAGCAGGACCTTCAAAACGCGGCAAGGGTGACAAGGAACAACAAGCTAGGTCTAAGAATACTGCTGTCTATGTCACCGGCCTCCCTCTTGATACCGACGTGGATGAAATCGTCGAACGCTTCAGCAAGTGTGGTGTGATTGAGGAGGATGACGAGGGCGATCCCAAAATCAAACTTTATGCCAACGAGGATGGCAACTTCACAGGGGAAGCCTTGGTCGTCTTCTTCAAGGAAGACTCCGTCATCTTGGCCATCAACCTATTAGACGAAGCCGAGCTTAGGATAGGAGACGCGTCGACTGTGATAAAAGTTCGGAAGGCAGAGTTCGGCCACAAGAACTCAGGTGGAAGTGGAGAGACCAATGGGGCAGCACGCCCACGAAGGACTGTGGACAAGAAGAAGATCACGAGACGAATTGGCAAGATGCAGAAGTGCGTATGTCTCATCTTTGTAAACTTGGTGCTGAATCTTCGCTTCCCCATAGAAAGCTACAAGAATGGGATGATGACGACGGCTTCGGTCCATCAAAGACAGAGGAGGACAACTCCCAAGCCCTCAACAAGAATAGTCGCGTGGTTGTATTGAAACATATGTTCGCTATAGAAGATCTCGAGAAGGACGCGACGTTGCTCTTGGATCTGAAGGAGGATGTCCGCGAGGAGGCATCAACGCTGGGCGAAGTAACAAATGTTGTTTTGTACGACGTAAGCAGCACTTTTATCCACCACAGCTGAAACCTGACTCCCCCTGTAGAAAGAACCTGATGGTGTCATGACCATCAAGTTCAGAGAACCGCTCAGTGCTCAAGCTTGTGTTATTGTATGTACCTATCGATGCTGTCAGCAAGCCTCGCTTACATTCCCGTTTAGAAAATGAACGGCCGATTCTTTGATGGAAAACGGATCGAGGCCTCGTTGTATGCGGGTAAGCAGAGGTTTAAGAGAAGTGGCGCTGGCGATGAAATGGAAGGAGACACCGACGAGGCAGAGAAGAAGCGGCTAGATACTTTCGCACAATGGCTGATGGCCGAGGGCGATTAAGTATTCATATCTATTGTCTTCAGACCGCGAATCTCGCTGACACTGCACTTGCAAGAACGCCTTAAAATCCATGCCCGCCGCGCGTAACAGATAGGATAAGCCTAAATACGTACAAGAGGTGCCTCCATGGCCAGTGTCCTACCAGCAGCTAAACAAAGGCTTTGCAGTCACCATTTCGAGTCGCTGCGCGAGATCCACGTTAGCGTCAATTGATCAAAACGCGAAAATACCCACCTCGATGACCACTGTCCGTTTTCTTGCAGCATCAGCGTCCTCTGAGTTCATCCAGTCCAAGCCCTCTCGCTGAGTTTGCCGGCTACTGTGACTGTTCCATCTCAAGTGACGATTCATGTAAGATGCATCCTGGACGTGTGGAACCGACATCGACATTGCGACGAGATCATCCTCCGTCATCGAGCTTGACAGCGACCTGTCCTCTGGAACAGAAGTGAGCGCGCCAGGACTACCAGGCGGTGTAAACTGTTGCGAAGCCGCCATCTCTGGTATGTGCGTTGTCTCAGCAGGCGCAGATCCAGGGATGGGTATCCGGTGCGGCAACGATTCGGCGACATCCATCTCCTCTTCCTCTTCCAAAACGGACTCATCGACACCAAGACGTTGCAGGCTAGCCTCAACAGCATCTAGGCGCTCAAGGTGTTCAAGTACATTAACGCCTAGAAGAGAACGCGTGTTATCAGTAAAAGCCGCGTAAAATATCAAGAAAAGCTGACCTGTTGCAGCAGGATGAACTTTCGAGAATTTAGCGGAGAACGGAATCGGTCTGGAGGTATCAGTCGAGCGTCTTTGTACAGGTGGTGGGAAATCAGAGGTGTAGCTTTGGCTACGCATCCGTCGAGGAGGTAGAGGTACTGAGCTGATTGAGGGCTTGGGAGAAGGTGGTATTGGACCTGACCCTGACGGCCGCGGGAGCTCTTCCATTATCTCTACCTCGTCATCCCAGACTAGAGCTTTGGTTCGTCGAGTAAGCTCAAGGGGTCCTAAACATGCATGCGTGAGTGATAGTGCAATATGCTTGTCTGTAGAGCGTACCTTCGTCCTAACGTGACGCTTGAAGTCAGCCTTTGAGGTCAGGGGCAGTTCATAGGCGTCAACGTACCTCATGCTTAAGCGATTCGATGATGTTATATGCCTGGCCCTTGATGACTGCCATTTGCCGCTGTTACACCAATGAGCAGTCATATAGAACTGTCACGAAAGGCTTACTCTAAACATTTTCGGGTGGAAGTCAGGATCTACAGCAAATAGTTTCTGTAATTGATATGTCGTCTCCTCCCACCAAGTCTTGGAAGTGAGTAATGGGAGGAAGTGATTTCGCGTTTTCTCGCTAAAAGGTGGACCGATCAGGCTCACGGGTAGATACAGCCAGCCATACGCATAAGAACGCCATCCTTGTGGATGTTCGTGGGGGAACGAGAGAGAGTTGTCTATAGCAGCTATGTGTATATGTGGTGTCCGAGTATAGTCTGATTGTGGTTGGCCACATGACGATGGTCTCGACGAAGAAGCTGTCGAGGGATCGCCACGCCGAAGCTGACTCATCGCTGGCATTTGCGGCCGAGAAGTGGGATTGGGGGCGACGTCAATGAGTGATTTCTCATGGTCCCCTTCGCAGTATTTGATCATATAGTTATCGGCACCACGATCGGTGTTAAGCATAAGGTAATCTGGGAACGTCAGTTAGCGCAACGCCATCATTCAAGGCGACCACCACACAGAGAATTACCTAGAACAACAAGCCTGAAAGACGGTACATCAGCCGCCGTCATGATTATGAATGTGGAAGTACCTACTTTTCTAGTTCCTCCCTAAAACTTTGCTGGAGTGCACGAGACCAGTAGAAAGGTCGGCTACCGTCCGTTCCCTCAGAAGCATCGAAGAGTGCTCGCTCGCCCTCGGGATCATCTTCAAGGTCGTCGTCTTCACCGGTCTTGCCGCATATGATCTTAAGAGCCCCAAGGAGCTTCTTGGAAGCGATACCCTTCCGGTGATTTGAGTCATCGAAGGTATCGGTGATGGACCGTCCCGGCCAAGGATGTTTACGAAGGAAATCTGACGCATCTGGGTATTTCCGTTGATTGACATGCTTGTTTACTGGCTCTAGAATGACTAACCCGTGAATCCATGCAAGAAGTATTGCATACTTCCTATCTTCCCGGGGAGAGGTTTGCCCTTCTTTGCCGCATTACGATCTAGCCAGTCATAGAAAAATGCTTGACTAGATAATGTAACCAAGGCTGTCCGTGGAACGATATTAAGAGCAAGGCGTTCATCCAGGAGTGATGCAGCCGCCTCGGAGATATAGCTGTGGGCTGTCTCGATAAACTCCAGGTCTGGATCGAACGATGCTTACCTGAGGTTAGGAATGAGGCACTTTCTGCCAAAGGGTATGATCCAACGAAATTGGCGATGGAGCCATTTGGTTGTCTGCGGAGAATCACTATTAGGCGAAGGGTAAGCGTATTGGGATTGGGCTGTCACCTTGGGGTTCAGGCGGCCATACGGCTCTTCGTCCTTTGGCTTGAACACACTGCGTGAATGTTAATCTAGACGCTTAATGTACACGCAATGACTTTGTGCCTTACGCAACTGTCTGCACCTTGCCATCCACCTTGGCACGCGCAAAGTAGGATCCAGATGAGCCTTTGGCGATCATCTTGGGGTGTATGCCAGCTGCAATGGCACTTCGAACTGACTGAGCGGTACTATAGGGTGAGAGTCATTAGCAGCGACGTTTCCAAGCATCCTCATGTACACACGCACTTGTCGAAGACTGCCTGAGTCATGGGAGGTTGGTGATCAAGGGTCTTGGGCGGCTTCCACCATGGGTCAGAGGAGCAGCAACAACATATTGCTTGCAGACGAACCTGTGATTCCTCACTACTAGGCAACGGAGGTATGTTCTGAGGGGCCTCAAAGACAGACTGCCATATCTCGCGACGGGAGTGGTCCCGGATCCCCTTCTTGTTTCGCTTCATCTTCTGAGCAATGGAATCTGTCCATCTGAGCAGGACAAGATATTAGGCATGGTATATAGGAAGGATGGGAGGGCGGCAACAGACCTCTTGAATGCATTGTCAATCTTGCTTAAGTCGATGTGCCCTGGCTTGTGTGCACGACGGAGACCTCGTGAGGGAGGCTTGACGCCGACCGCGACGTCACCCTCTGCCTCCTCCTCAATTGTTTGAGCAAGAGGTTCGTAGCCTGAGTGGGAAGGCATGGCCGCAGTGTAGGGTGTGTTCAGGTGAGCCGCTAGAAAGACATGCAGTTATGGTGTGCTGCCCACTGGCCTGGAAGCCGGCAGATGAATATGACCCTTTCCAATCCGGCTTCCCCACTCTTGCTGCGCTTCCAATAGGGGCACGTGTAGGCTGTCGACCTGGACAAATGCTTCCGAGATTGTTACGGGCAATGGTCATCCGTTTGAGTAGGATAAAAGATGCTCTCATCACTATTTTATTATTGGTCATTGTACGATTAATGAAGCTAAACCGTGTCTCTGCATTATCATGAGTGTTCTAAACTAAATGATCTTCAACAGCTATTATCAAATCCCGTGTATTCCCTATTTTCGTTTGTCTTCTTGGGCAGTGGTTATTTGCGAGTCGATTGGTTTAGAGACAGGAAGAGCGCACTCTTCTAAGCAAGGTGCATCAAATATGACACCACTCGGTACTAGACTAACTGTCGGGACGACAACTGAAACCCACAGCAGGAGGGTGGCTACGCTGTAAATTGCACCCCAAATGCGGAAGAAATTCGAATCGAACGTTTCCGCAAGTGAAAGCGTGAGGTTTGCGTATACGCCCTAAGAATTCGTTAGGCTTCGTAGCTATAAGGAGTAGAGCTAGACATACGTTGGGGAAGATGGTGGACCAAAACGAGAGTTTGAAGGGAAGACGACCATGTCGGATGGCATCTTGAAGTCCCAACAGTGCAAATAAAATCCACATAGATGCGTATGCCCACAACACAAATGCGATGGTGACACAGATTACCTCAATCGTGTCGGGTGTGCTGGGAGATTTGAGCAACGTTGATTGTCCATATTTCAACGGCAACAATTGTTTGAAAGCTTGACCCAGGGTCAGTATCGAGAATCCTGCTTGGCCAGATGGCCCGAGAGGCAAGAAAGAGGACAAAATCCCAAGGCCAGGAGGGTAGCCGTGAACGATAAGACGCAGTAAATAGATCGTGAGCATCATGAGGGACAATGACAGCCCTACTGTGACCATCCAAGCCGAGACCACTACGGTTAGAAATGCATGGTCGTGTGAGTACTCTTGCAATGCGCCGGCCAAGACACCACCAGTAGACGACGCGACAATGAGAGTAACGACGGGCAGCAACCAAGCGGTGGTCATCGATTTTAGCGTGTGATCGTGGTGTGTTTTCCTATGACGTTGGTGAATAAGTTTTCCCAACAGGAATCGCAAAATACGTACATGACATGCATCACTCCCCAGCAGCAAATGAAAGATATTGCAACGTCAAGCCACCAAAATGCCCAAAGCGCGTAGACGAATTTGCTTCCACCAAAACCGTATGTCTCGAATACACCTCCCGTGGCGACAACAATGAGAGTAGCACCGCCCATAGGGAAGGTGCCTAGATATAAGCTTTGGGCCGGATGGCGGATCATGAGCGACCACACGTCAGGGAATAGGATATAACGAGTAATGCTGATGATAGTAAAAAGTGTAAAGAGGGCGAGATTGAGGAAAAAGAAGACCAAAGTCATGGCTTTCATCGCTGGCGTGTCATTTCCGTAAGGAAAACTGTGAAAGAGGATTGCGATCGCGCCAGTTCCTAGAAAGAGGGAGATGGATTAGGACTATCTGCAAGGCGGGGTGAGAAAACGTTATGCGCACCCATAGTGACAGCGAACCATGCTGGAGTGAAGTGCCTACGAATGCAGCATGAGCAAAGAGAAGTCCCTGAGTGGTTCAGGGGTAGAAAAGGCCAGCACGCTAACCTGACGATGTCTTTAAAAGACTTTTTGCGAAGCCCCTCAGAGCTCATGAGATAGGTTGGGTCAGGAAAGGCGACTGTCGGAATGGGATACCAGTGAGCAAGTGTTTCGGCTCCGCTGTCCTGCTTGAATGTATTGGGGGGCGAGTCACTTTGTAGCGCCGTATATATGATCTGGGTCTCGGATTCTCGGCGACAATCGGCTAGCATGACGGCTTGCTCATTCTGACACTTTCTGTTCCCGCGGGTCCTTCGGTCATTGGCGGAGATTGTGGATGGAGTAGCGCAGAGTGTGCGTGCGCATTAGCCTGTACATGTCGTCCTGGGTGTGGACAAAAGCGAGCGGGACGCGGACGGTATCTTTGGCCAGATTTACTCAAGTTCCAAAGACGATCGACAGTCGTCGTCCGCCGCTGTGACTAAATTAAAGATTCTCACGAAGAAGCTTGTCTCAATACCTGCCTTTATGTCACGGTATAAAGAACTCAGCTGGCCTCCCTGAGTCGCCTCTTCAACCACTGCGCATTTTTTCTTCCACGGGCGGCATGCTCAGCTTCCTCAAGTCCCCCAAGTCCCCCAAGACGCCAAAGTTTGCTGTTTCTTCGGAAAAGGTAGAAGAGACAACGGCTGATCCGGTCCAACAATCGTCTCCTGTGGCCCCAGATCAACCTGCTTTAACCGTCTCCGAGCCAGCCCTCGCCGCCGCCGAGCCGCCGAAGACGGAACTTGAGGCCGCTCCCCAAGGCAATACCCACGGCTCCGAGGAAGGTGGCATCGCGCCTTCCACCACCGCTAGCGCGACTCCAAGCGCGACTACTGATACGCCTGCATCCTTGACTCCCGCAGAGCCCCAGAATCCTTATGGCAAGCACTCCGATGGCCGTCGCTTCTCTTTCCGTTCATTCACTTTCCTTAACAAGAGCAACGAACCGAAGAGTCCACGCAAATACGTGATGACAGCAGATGAGGAACACACAAAGGAAACCAAGGCCTCTGCAGCTTATCTTAAGCAAACTCACAAACCCAGATTGACAGGCTCAGACAAGCGCGCCAAGGAGTCCGCTGTAGTCATCCGTTCTCTCATCGTGGGCTCTACAGCTGGCCAGAGTCTCAAGGGCACCAAAGCCGTATCTCGCACGGAAGTCGGCCGTGTCAAGGGTTTGCTGCTGCAGCCCAAGTCCGCCAATCAAGTTATCACGCACCTCAGGGCCTTTGACTTGAAGGGTGATGGTTCTGTGGGAGATGATACCGACCCGGAGCAGTTCTCGAAACCAGTTCACGCCGTTTGTCTCGATGGTACCGACGATGAAGTCCAGGACCGTCACTTCAAACGCCTGAACGAATCTAGTACCGATTCCTCCGTTGACTATCCTAGCATTGCGACCGCATCGATCAATTCCGTTGCTTCAATGTTTGAAGGCATGCACCTCATCAACCTTATCACTACTGCGGACTTAGGCCTCGGCCAACCTGGAGATGGCGAAGGAATCCTCGCAGGCGCGGTGCCAACTGCTGCGACAGTGATCAGCGGCATTCAACAGATCACCCCCCAACTTATGGCTCTTGGGTATGCGACCGGGAAAGCTGTGACCCCGGACCACAGCGTAGTACATCCTCCGTTGGATCGTATTTCGATCTTCACTTGTGAGCCTTCCTGCCAATTCTTTATGCTTATCATTGACCTTCCTTTCAGACTGGTGGGGCCTCGAGATTGCACTTCCTCAACGTACCCTATCTTATCTGGAGGCGAGTTTGGCATCTGCCCTAGAGGGTGTTGACTTCTGACCTATGTTTGTTCAGAGTGCGAAGTCCATCTCCTCCGCAGTCATCAATTTCCTTACCGCGTTATCGCTCATGAACGAGGGCGTCCGCGAAGTTCTGCCCTTCGTCCGGTACATTGGTCAGTTTATCGACTTTGAATTTGACTCTATCAAGAAGGAAAACTGCGGCAAGGGTGTTGTGTGCGCGGCTACTTGGTACATTTGCATCCATTTCTACCATCGTGCGCATACTAAACAAAACTAGGGTTATGCCAGCTGCGTTGGTACCTCGTCCCTGGGATTTCCCCCCTCCTCTACCTCCCAAGCCGATCGTCCAGGAGGCAAAGGCTGATACAGACCTTTCTGACATTTCTGCGGCTCCCGCTGCCGACGAACCATCAGTGGAGGAACCTCGTCAGTCGGAGGCCTCTCAGTCTGTATTCTCTCAAGAGTCCGAGGCTACTCCTCCCATACCATCTCAACCTCCTGTCTTGCCTGAGCTTATCGTCAGCTCCCCATCCTCTGTTGATACCCTAGGGCCATCCCCTTTGACTGCCTGATTTCATCTTCAAGTCGTAAGGTTTTGGTTCTAGTCACATACCCTCCGGATCTACATTTCTGTTCATGGACTCACGATTTTCCGTCATCGTCAATACACTCCTTAGCGCATCTCTTGGACAATCGCCTGCAGTATATCATCCCGGCTTTACACACGTTTCTCCGTTGCAATAGCTTTCAAAGCAGCACACACACTCATTCAGTACAGCTATATAATACACGATCTCCCAATCGTTCCGACTGATCTATTCACTGGGTAGTGAACGTCTGGTCGGGCTCTAGACATCACGAGTAGTTAGCCCCTGTAAATGGTGGATTTTGAATCAGTTTACCTAGGTTCTCAATCAAGCCTCCGCTTTGGAGTGACTGAAGTTGAGAGAAGGCTGAGGGAGTGACTGTGACGACGATGCTCTGGCGTTGCCAATGTTAGCTGATATATTAAGGTCAAATAGATCGATACGACCTCTGGGAAGGGCGGCTGAGCCGGGTTGACTTTGTGGATAGTGCCACCTAAATTATGCATCGGACCATGTTCGTGAATTGAGCAGAGGTACAATGACATACCGTTGCTGGTGATATCATCCTTCGTCTTCTGGATCTGCTCTTGCGAGGCAGAAGGATCGAAGGTGATGACAAACTCTGGGCAGGTCATCTTGCATGCACGATTCAATAGAAGGTGAGGAGAACATACTGCTGGCAGACATTCTTTGGCTTGATTGATACGGTAAGATGGTAGGGGGAGGAAGAGTGACGAAAAGGGCTACTAACCAGTACTCCTACTTCTGTAAGGAGTACTAGTGCTGTGCTCCGCTCCGGTGGTTTCATATATCTAACCGATCACGTTATGTGATTTGACGCGTGACGTAATTTTATGCTGACTCAGTCGCTCGCCTTAAATTGACGCGTCTTTCTCAGGCACTGAGATTGAGTGTTTTAGTTCTGTTGTGAATGCTTGCCCGCTTCCTCCGAAGTAGTCGAGCACTTAGAAACACAATGCCCGTCACTCGTTCATTCAGTCGTTCTCAGGCTGCGACTGTTCCTGTCGAGCCTCCCTCCACGGCACTTCCCTCTGTGCCTGCACCAAACAAGCGCAAACGTAAAGCTCCTTCTACGGCCACAAAGACGGCGGATAAAGCAGTCAACAATGTCTCTGACAGTACAAGTCGCAAGAAACCCAGAGTGAACAACAAGAAACAGCCTGCCAAGGACGCAGAAGCGCCACCAGCCTCAGAGACGGCGCTGACCCCCATCCTGAAGCATGTCAAATCTACCGGCGACACTTCGCAGACATTTGTCCCCGCTGAGCTTACCTTCTCGTTCAAAGACGCGAAACGACACCTCGTGAGCGTTGATGGCAGGTTTGAAGACATATTTGCGAAACTACAGTGCAAGCCGTTTGAAAACCTCGAACGTGTCCACCCATTCCGGTGCGCTGTCATCAAAACACCTTTTGTAGCCGTCCTGACAGTATCGAAGTGCGCTTACGCAGTCTATACTGTGAGCTAAATAAGGTCTTCCGTCTGTGGGTCAAGGTTGGCTCATCCTTTTCCAGAGGGCAGCAAATCTCTTGGCTTGCAGCCCGATCGATCAATTACAAGTTCGTAAGGTTATTCGACTCATCCTTGTCTGAAATACCGGACTACTCGTGAGCATAAGTTCTAGCCATGCCCCTGTGCAATTTGACCATTACAAGTATCATCAAGTCGTCTACCTCATTTTTCCCTACACCTGCGCAGGTTGCTGCCCAGGATATTGCAACGCTGAAGACGGCGGGACTGAGCACACGCAAGGCTGAATACGGTAATCTTCTTCCGTCGACCCCGTACCTTCACATTAAGCAATCCGTAACACAGTTCAAGACCTCGCCGCAAGATTTGCCGACGGCCGACTCTCAACTGAGAGACTGTTGGAAGCGGATGATGAAGAACTCGCAGAGATGTTAATTGAAGTTAGGGGAATAGGTCGCGTAAGTTGAAGTGTATGTACTGCCAAGTTGGCTGTCTCTCTGACCTATCGCGGTATTTCGTGACCATTCGTGATTTAGTGGACAGGTGGGCGAGGGGTTTTTCTGCTTTGAGCAAACAAAAATTGATGCCTCATGACATAGTTGACATGTTTGCCATCTTCTCGCTGCGTAGGCCGAATATTCTGCCCGTCGGTAGGTCCATTTTCTTTATCCTGTAAAGGCCATCTCATTCTGTACCAGGCGACCTGGGTGTTCAGCGAGGACTCTTACGCTGGGTGCTAGCGCTGCATTCTCCAGCCCATTCCTTTAGTGTATCACCCGATAAGACCAGTCTTGACAAACGCGATAGCCAATCCGAGGCCAGTGTCGACGAAGACGATGAACCGCTGAATGTCAACGCAAAAGGGCAGACGGGTTTGACTGGTACCCCGGCTGCTCCATCATCGTTCTTGCCTGCCCCGACCTCCGCAACGCCGCTGGCAAGCATGTCGAGCATGCCGATCATGCCGACTCCGTTTACGCCTTCAATCAATAAAACCTTGCACGACGTCAGGAAAGCTGGCGCTGCCATTCCCCCGCTGCCAGAAGGACTCACTGTCGCTTCTCTGAAGGGACGATTGACCGGAAAGAAAGTCAAGTGCGTTTGGTGCAGTCTGACCTTCCTCGTGTTCTGACAATATCCGCTAGAGGTGCTCTGCTGACACCAGGCGAGATGGAGCAATTAACTGAGAAGTGGGAGCCCTACCGGAGTCTTGGTGAGATATTGACAATGTCGCCGTCAACAAACTAATGGACGCCGTAGGGGTGTACTTTATGTGGGCACTTCAAGATGCGAGCAAAGATGGTGCTTGATCTAGGATCATGACATTTATTTCCAAGGTGGTGTTTAACGTGTAACGAATTTATTGTCTGGATTATACCGTTTATCCACTTTTTATGATAGAAAATTAAGCGCGATATTCTTTTGGTTTGACTTGAGCACAGCTCGAACAAGGCACAAGGCATTTCATGACGTAGAACATGGAAGTCAGCGAGCTCGAGCAGTGCTTGTTTCGTGGGATGGCATACTTAGCTACCAAGTATGGCATCGAGTATCTTCGGGGAATGCGCCGATTGAAACTCCGCGAAGCCAATGGTCTCCCAAAGCAGCTGGATCCGCTGGTGTCCATTTGTGGCGAGCTTCAGCTTCAGTCCCGGACTCGGGAAGCTGGACCGTATGGGCCGGCTCAGACGACGAGCACTAGCAGCACGAAACGAAGGACATAGGACATAGAGCTATGGGCTAGCATGTACTTCTGTGCCCTCATTACTCTGGCTGGGCCCTCTTGACACTTGAGCACAAATGCTGGAACGCCACACTGGGACTGGATTGGCATCTCGAATTCCTGCATGACCCGACTTGTAAAGCTCCCAAAAACCCTCGCACTTTCTCCAGAGGCCCTCCAACCTCTCTTCTACGACCCTCGCTCTTTCGTGTCCATCTTACGAGAGCATCCAGCACGGTTTCTTCTCAATCGAACCTCGGGAAACACGACACATACCCGAAGTCGCTATACGCAGCCATGCCTAGATCAAACAGTCCAACACCAACCTCAATGATGGACAGTGATCTAGTCGCTTACCCTTCCGCGGATCTCCATCACCCTCGTATTCATGACTATGTCTCATCTGAGATCACTACTTCTTATCCTCATCCATCGGATCAGGCGCACTCGTTTGGGGAGGATACTCCTCTTGATACAATCACCGAGCCGTTCAGTACTTCTGTCCTCGACGAGGTTGACCCGTTCGCAAATGCGTTCGGCTGCAGCTTTGGCGAACTGTCATTTAACTCTGAGGACACGCGAACGCCACACTTCGATGAACCCTCTCTACTGCTTTCTTACGATGGAGAAGGTTTACCGTCCATCTTGAACAGTCAATCTGAATTCCTAGCTTCCGAATTTCCCATTGTATATGCTCACGACTACTCACCTCACTTCCCTATGGGATATTCCCTTCACCCGTCCTTTGCACGCAACTATCAGCTTTGCGACGAACTGGGTTCAGGCGGTTATGGCTTCGTCATGACTGCCGTGCACCAGATCGAGCAGGTTGAAGTCGCTGTCAAATTTGTTATCAAGGACAAGGTCCCTAAGGAAGCCTGGGTTACGGATGAAGTTTTCGGGCGGCTGCCCATGGAAGTGATGTTGCTCATGATGGTCAACCATGGTAACATCGTCAAATGTCTTGACGTTTATGAAGACGAGCTGTACTTCTACGTCGTGCGTAAACTCTGTTGCTCGGTTTTAGACGTCATATGAACTAGCGTTCTAGATTCAGGAGCTGCATGGATCTCCATGGCCTCGGAGACCTGAAGAGCGCCGAGACCATGAGGAGGCCGAAGCAGGGGACCGGAGTCTCCTTTCTCCAGCACATTTATCCTCTCCTCCAGCACTTTCCCCCTCATCTTCTGAGATATCTGTCGATTCGTCGCCGACAACTCCTTATCACGAATCGGCTTATCCGGAGGCGCCGTCCTTGCTTGTTCATGGAATAGAGTCCCCCACCATGACCCAACCACCTCGCATTCCCTTGTCGATGAAGAAGCCTCTCCCTTTCTTGGACGTGCCCTCGAGGCCTCAGTACTGTCGCCGTCCCTCTCATGATCTCTTTGAATGTATCGAGCAGACCAAGCACAAACGTCTTTCAGAGAAGCAGGCCCGATACATCATGAGTCAGGTCGTTGACGCTGTGCATTACTTGAAGAACCAGGGGATCTCTCACAGGGATATCAAGGATGAGAACCTCGTCGTAGACAGAGACTTAAGGGTACGTTATCGATGAATTTCTTGGCTACTTAATACTGAGCATTGTAGGTCAAGTTGATTGATTTTGGTAGTGCAACAATCGTTGATCCAAGCTTCCCTCGCCCATACTACAAGCTCTTCTTTGGAACCACAGCATACGCGTCCCCAGAGATCCTGCAGAAGAAGCCGTATCAAGCTGAGCCTGCTGAGGTGTGGACGCTGGGTGTGTTAATGTCTTATTTGCTCACTGGCATGTCACCTTTCCCATCGGAAAACGATGCCCTTGAGGGACGAATTGTTCTTTCCGAGGTTCCGGGCAAGAGGCTCAGCAAGTCGTGTCTTCACATGATGGCCCGCTGTTTGGAGCCGGATCCAACCAGACGCGCTACCATCGAAGAGGTGAGGGAACACCGGTGGCTGAGAGGCTCCGAATCGGCTGTTGGGCGTCACTGATTTCTGTTACCTGCTACGTTGTGTCTTTATCTCTTTCGATTTCCTATCATGATTGAAGTCTTATGTGTTCTTCGTATCCATGAAACCTCTCCTTTGCGAGGTCTCTTTCCGTCTTTTCTTGTTTAAGTAGTAGGAAGCATGTTCTATGGCACTCTTATTGGACTCTCTGTTTGCCTAAATACTTGACATTGTACTTATACCATGTACCGCAGATACCTCTACGCTGTAAATGATTATGAATGGAAAATTTCTATGGTTCGCAAAGCTGTGTGGAAGATCAAGTATTACGCTTGACCTAGCGACTAGTGCGGCTCTCTCGCCTGTTTGTTACGAGATACGTCTGATTGGTTGCTGCTGCTTAGGACACCGGGGTTAGTAAAGGGATAAACGTGATCGTGAGAAAATGTTAGTTGTGCGGACATTGAGCTCACCGCTGCCACCGACGAGCATCTACTTCCGAAAGTTCCAAGTCAACAGTCATCATGGCGCTGAACCTTGCAAAGGCGACAGGTGGTTATCCTCTTTTCTTGTCCTCTTTGGCTTCCATTGCTAACAAGAGAGCAGCACTGAATGCGTGCCGGCGAAGCACGGTTTCTCCGCTAGGCATTTACGGTACGTCGGCCAGGATCGGCCTCCTTCAGCTAGCTCACAATATTGATGCATTGTCCTATCCTCCAGCCGCACGCTCCCTGCACACCTCGAAAATGGCTAATGCAGCTGAGCCTGTTCCGTCCTCGTCTACCTCGGCTTCCGAGCCCATAACGACGTTGGCCAACCGGAACTCCAACCAATACAGTCTTGAGCACCCACGTAACAAAGCTGGTATGTGACTGAGTCCAGAGCGACAGCTTGGCTGATTGTAACACTTTAGAGTACGTACTCTCGACGCTGGACAAGGTTGTGAATTGGGCACGGCAAGGGTCTATGTGGCCGATGACTTTTGGTGAGGCTCTATCCTTAGTCATAGTCAGCATTTTACTCATCGGAGCCCATGATAATTTACAGGTCTGGCCTGCTGTGCCGTTGAGATGATGCACATGGCCGCTGCTCGCTACGACCAGGACCGTCTCGGTGTCGTGTTCCGTGCCAGTCCCCGGCAGTCCGACATCATGATTGTCGCCGGCACATTGACCAACAAGATGGCTCCTGCTTTACGCAAGGTCTATGACCAAATGCCCGAGCCTCGTATGTGTTCAAGGATGTTAGCGTTTGTTAGATATTGACAGTTATCAAAGGTTGGGTGGTCTCCATGGGCTCGTGTGCCAATGGTGGTGGATATTACCACTATTCTTACTCTGTGGTCCGCGGCTGTGACCGTGAGTCGTGGACTACTTGTTGCGAAGTCCAGTGACTAATGAATCTTGCATTGGTTTGGCAATAGGTATTGTTCCCGTCGACATCTATGTCCCTGGATGCCCTCCAACCGCCGAAGCATTGCTTTATGGCATGCTGCAGCTCCAGCGCAAGATGCGTCGGAACCGGAAGAGCGTTTTGTGGTAAGTTATCATGCTTTTGTCATATGGCTCGCTTATAATGTGATTGCACAGGTACCGCAAGTAGGCGAGAGATGGCTTAGATGTAGACGTAAACTAGAGGCATTGCGTTCCACCCATGTTGCAGATACAGACATTTATTTGCGGTCGAATAATAGGTCTATAGCTATATGTGTCTACGTCAGAGGTGGCCTTGATAAAGCAAAAAAAGACGGCCTAGGCACGATTAGGTCTCGGGGTGGTATGCTTTGAAAAGGAAGGAGTTACGCCATAGGCCTCAATGTAAGCCAAGAATAGGGTGACGGAGTCGGGTGAGTTGAGCCGTCGCGGGATGAGAGGGTTTGGGAAGCTAAAAGCTGCACTGGTTGTTGGGTACCTAGTTGGTCATTAACCAATGTTGAATCTTAGATGTTGAGTTGACGGAGATGTCATTTGGTCATGGGCTAGAACTGTTTATGGTCGTGAGAAGCGGACGAGCTGGTGCAAGTGATGGTGCCCCCCCGCTCAACTGCCAAGCGTGTCCACCCAACCCTTGCTTTCTACTTCTCCCCCGCTTTATCCTCCAGCAAGGCATTCCGTTCATCAGCCCTCCCTCTTCTCGATTTCCATCCGGCCCTTCGAGGCAGCATTGACGTTGGTCAGCGCCGGCTGCAGCGGAGGTTACACAGTATACGTACGAGTTCAAACTCCCGCTCGTTGGTGAGCCGGAACATTGACCGAGGGCACTGTTCCTTCTGTCCTCAGTGCTATACTGGGAATGGAATTTGCTCCCGCCCTCGCACCGTCCAAACCCGAGCTGTCTACCCATCTCCAGCTGTCCAACGTCCACCTCGGCATCATCAACCGCCGCCTTCCAACTGCCATTTCCGACCTCGACCTCAAGGACGAACGCTACCCTCAATTTCCGTCCGGTTCACAGCATATACCAGAACATTTCGCTGTCCCGTCCTCCTCACCCCCACGCCACTCTTCCGACTCTCGCGTATCAAGGAAATTAAATCGACAAGCCGACATGGCAGACGCTGATCTCACAGACCGTCAACGCACTGGTAGCGATCGCCGTCCGTCCACCAGCAAATCCCAACCCGCCAACGACGAAAATCGTGTTTTGCATGGGTCCGGAAATGTTGGCAACCACCCGCTTCCGCAGGCTCCCTATCGAGCTGTTGAGCGATATAGTCTCGATGACACCGAGCCCCCTTCAAAGCCTGGCCTCTCAGACATGAAACTCCTCAATGACGATTCATTCAAATCTATTCAGGATTCTCAGACGGCTTCTCAACACCGTCAAACCCCCTCTCCGTCAGGTCCGGCCGGCCCTCGTGATATACCTCCGTCTTTGATTCCTGCCTCCTCCCGGCAACCTTCCCATCTTTCAGGAGATCCGACTAACACCTCCAAACTCACTACCGCTCTTCCTTCTGGCTCGGCATCCTATGGTCCTACAATGGGTATCACTATTCCTATATCGCCAACGCCTCGAGCGTACGCCCAACACCCGACCTTTATCACACCCGTGGCAGCCGCACCAAATCCCGTGAACACCGTTCTCAATCCTCCGCCGCCCCCTGAAGAGGTTTGCATCGAGTGTGCGATGCGTGATCAAGACATGGCTGATGTCGTTGCCGTTGGCCCCGGCGTATGGGAACGCGAGAGCGATGTTCTGTACGAGGAGCTTGTTCGGCGGGAGCAGGAAGAAGAGGCAGCTGGTATTCCACCTTCAGACAATCCCCCTAGGCCCCGTGCAAAGGGTGGACGTCTGACAGAACAGAACCTCAAAGTGTTTAACGACCTTGTACGTGGTTTCAATTGTCTCTTATTGCGCGATATAATCAACGTCCTTATAGAATCCTCGTGAGCCTGCGGCTAGAGCACAGACTCTGAACAAGTACGTAACGGCGCAGCAGACACTCCTGGAAGCGGAGGCCTTAGCCCGCGCCCGTGCTATGAAAGAGTCTATGTTGCTGGACACCAAAGCCCGAGATACCTACTCTCAGCTTAGGCGCTCAACATACGAGGTTGGCAATGGTGGTATCCCATTGGAAGATAACGGGCCTTTACGGGTGAAGGCAAGTCGCAACGTGTCCGGTCCGAGCGGTTACCATCTCCGTTCGCCTTCTCGGGAAGTCACACTTTTGGAAAATGGTCTCGTGGTTGAGCATGTAGACATCCGCAGGGAAGAAAGAGAGGAGAAGGAGCGGCGAAGAAGACAGGAGAGGCAAGAAAGGAGTCGGGCGCGCAAATCGTCTCGTGGATCTGCCGTGGATGTTACATCCTTGTACTCTGTGCACAGTCTCGTTCCCCATACGGACAGCGGACTTGCGTTGGCGCCGACTAGGCAACAGTCGACGCTGAGTCCAGTGCGCCCAAGCAGCTCGCTTACTGCGCCGTTTGATCGACAGTCAAGCATTAGCCAAGCGTACTCCTTCTCAGACGCTCATAGTCCGGGGTCCTCCTCCCCACGTCGATCTCGTTTCTTTGGTTTCAAGAACCTCAGCTCGGCCTGGCGGAGCTCAGACAGTCTGGCGCCTTCCGGGATGTCTGGAAGTATGGTTGACATGCAGTAAGCGGTTGATTAATATTGCGTGCTTACGAATTCACGTTTTGGTTATCAGCGTTGCTTTGCAGCGAGAAAGCCAAGGTCCAAGGTTACGTTCACCTCTTGGCGAGCAAGTTCGCTCCGTGTCTCAGCGACAAAGTCAATTGTTACCTCAAGTAGAATATGACGATTTGACGCAGTCTACGGCCAATACCAGTGTCAAGTCCAAAAAGAAGCGCAAAGGATTGGCCAAGATATGGAACCTCGTCAAGGGCTCTTCAAACAAAGAGGATCCGGCAGCTACGCACAATACGTCGATTCGCTCGCAGGACCGGGAAGATGATTCACCTCTTGCGCCTCCGCCTCCCTTGTCCTACCTGGTGAATCGGAACCCGACTGAGCATCTCGGCGGTGCTCGGCAGGGTTCGTCTTCGTCAATCCCAACCACCTCTTCGCCGAGGAATCCTCTATCTTCCGCTGGTGTGTCTCCTCCGACTGCTCCTTCTAGCCTCCTGCCATCACCAACCTCTTCCCGCCCATCAGGCATGGATCGAGACTCAGTCAGAGCGGGTACCTATCCCGACGAGAGGGATTTTGATGCATATGACAATTCTCAAGCACTAAAGGGTCTGCAGTGTATGACATCGGAGCCTGACATACGCCTGAAACACGCCGAGGGTGCCTATCCATATCATAACGGTGGTTTGGCTGTACCGAAATCAAGTCGTTCTCAAGTTACACTTTCCAGGGAGAAATCCCTACCCCCTCTTCCGGGGGAGGTGCGCTCTCGTCGCCAGAACTCGAGCAACGATCTTCGGCCTCAGACGTTGTACACATACGACCCGTTAACGAGAGAACCAGAAGAACTGGTGCCACCTCAAGCACCATTCCGCGCCGATCAACGAAGGCAATCTTTTAGCGGCACTGCATCACACCCACCGTTCGGTGCACAATCCCTACCCCTTGGCGCCGGTGCTAGTTTGCTCCGGCCTGGAGGGATGTACAACGAGTTTGGTCTCTCACGTCGGTCACTAGGGCGGCTAGAGTACATAGAGGAAAATCCTCCAGCTAATCGGGCTCCCTCGAAGCGAAAGAGCAAGTTTGGTCTATCGTCGCTCCTTGGGAAGAAATCTTCTACTTCACCCGATACACGACATATCAATGGCAATCATCTTGAATTCCCGCGCATTAACAATATCTCTCCTACCGATGTCCCCGACGATTGTACCATGACAGGGTACACGCACTCCGCTTCGCGGCTTAGTGTTGGCCCTCGAATGTCGATAACGTCGAAGAAGGCTCTGGAGGAACTTGTTGAGCAAGATCGGGAGTTCGTTGCCTACCGGTATCCCTCGAACGACCAACGCATCGACGCCGTACAATGAGATAGTAGTCAGCCAGTGTTCCCATTTATCCAATGTTCTTACATACCATGCATTCTACGCTGCCCATTCCTTTGCATCTCTTCTCGTCCAAATACGTGCTGTAACTCATCCCCAATCCCACTCGTGACTGAATATATACATGTTGCGTTTTGAACAGGAGCGACGTCGCCTCGTGGGCGACCTCCACTCTTTATTTTTGTGTTCCTTTGACTATTTTCGACTCTTCATCCTGGTGAGCCTCTCTGTGAACGTCTGACCCAATGATCAAGCGCATGGGCCGCCAACGAACAAGTCAAAGGCATACTATCTCGCGTGCTCAATACTGCGGGCGCGATCAATACCTATTAAATACTTTGAATGCACTATAGTTTTTGAACCTACCTTGCTCTTCTGTCTGGTTCAGTTACGAAATAAATATCTACGAGGAAACTATACTGGTTTGCTATCGAAGCTTCGGCAGGAGCCTCCACATATTTTCGGAGCTTACGCGCAGTCACTACCGCAGGATCTCAAATCCAACACGGATAGTGGTTTGGCGTTGGGAGGAAATGAAGAGCCTCCAATCTCCGGCTGTCCAAAGTTGGCATCAGGATGATTTTCAAGCACGTGATGCGGACGCGGGTGTTTCAGCAATATTCGCGCGAGTGCATCGCGCCCAAATCGCACCAGATTTCTGTAATCCATCCTCGGGCTTTTCACTAGACACACTCATCAGGCTAATTGCAGAAAATGGTGACTATTCCAGAGTCAATAATTCACAATCATACTTATTGGTAGGCTCCTCGTGGGCTTTCAGTAGAAGAAAAGCGTGTTAAGCTGCTCGAGTTATTCCATGAAACGGTATGTCCAACGAAGCCAGAATCTCGATGTCACGACTGAGACCCTTCCAGAAGGATTTCTACCAGGTAAGTAATGCCAACTATCCCTCTAAATGCTTATTAAACTCTCGTAGCTGAAGGAGCTGGAAAAGTTGGCTCCTAAGATGAAGGGCATAGGTATGCTTCAGGTCGACAGCCCCGAGAAATGCAGATTAGGTGAACGCTGTGATATAGTTCAGGCCACCGTGAAGGACATCCTCCAATCACTTGTCGATGATAGCTTGGTCCAGGCAGACAAGATTGGCTCATCAAACTGTCCGTCTGCCGTGAAAAGGTGGCTATATGCACCGCAAAATGTTGCTAACCTTTGCTTTCCCAGTCTTTTGGTGCTTTCCATCTCAACAGGGGACGATTGTGGGTAGTAAATACCTCCATGTTTCATGTCGGCTGATGGCTTGTGATAGGCTCAGAATCGCCTTACCTCTCTCAAGGACGCAGTGGCCAACAACGAGTCGCAGTTGACTGAACTTCGTGCAGCTATTGACGCTGAACATGCAATGAGACCGCAGAGCGTAGAAACCACATGTTGACCCTTCTTTACTCTCTGATCCATTGTCATCACAGAGCACGCGTACACAAGCGCTCGATAGCTTAAACGCAGCTAAGAGAGAGCTCGCCACTCTGGAGAACGAGTTGAGCGCATATGGAGCCCGTGACCCCGTCAAACTCGCAGAGAAGAAAAACGCAGTTGGCCTCGCCCGAGAGGCAGCACTACGATGGACAGGTAAAAGTTTGCTTCCTAGATGGCCATCAAAGTGTTAAATTTTCTAGACAACTACTTGATTTTGCTTGGTCACTTCACTAGGCAGAATGGAGTGGATGCACAAGACATCCGAAGGTACCTTGAGATTGACGAGAACTACGAGGACCTGTGCTGAATGATTATGGTGTCATCTTCGTTGCCCGCATGCAATGCAGCATACATTCAAATGAAGAGGTATATATACAGTGATGTATATGAATATCACTATATATGCATTAGGAGTCGCGTTCCTGATGCGTGAACGAATTAGATATCGACAAATCCTGGTGAGGTTAATGGAATGAGTCAAATGTGCAAGCGATAAATTAGAAGTCCTTGCCTCAGGAGCGAAAGGCCATCTATCAAAAGCGCTGATAAAAGCAGCCCAATCTCTTGGATCCATCGTCCTGATCGCTTTCTTTACATCTAACCGTTCCGATGGATGCGCGCTAGGATCTGTTAGATACCTAAGAAGAGTCTGTGCGCCAGGGGCGAGATTACTGCAAGACTTGAACACTATTTAGTTCAAATAACAGATGGCACATACCCGACAGCTTTCTCCAAAGGAGTGCTCTTCTGCACATACAAACGCCTCAGGCAATAATCCCACTTATCTACCATCCCAGGTTTGATTGACTGCAAGGCAACCTTATCAACAAGCACACAACGTTCACCCCCTTGAATCACTGACTGGCTTTAAGTGGGGCAAGAAATTGACAGCAGCCATAGGGACCACAGGTCGTGTCTTTCCTGACCTATGTAGGACAGACCCTGGGTAAAATTTATCACCAGGAGGGGTAAGAAGATCGGGATCAACAGCAAGGTCCGCCTCCGCTGCAGCTTTTGTCATCATTGTTAGTTTACACCGTGCTCGGTTGGACATGTTGGCAGACATGCGCTGTAAGGCTGTTAGATTGAGGGGTGTCATTTATGACCTGAGTCTCATACCTCCCAAACCCAGTCGTACATGAGGACACTCATCGGGATCCGGCCATAGTTGAACAGCCAAGATTTGTCTGGAATGCATCTCATGAGCTGAGACATGAGTTGTTCACCCATGGAAGACACCGGGAGCTGAGCAATCCAATGAAGATTAGGATGAGCTATTGATAATGACCGCGTTAGACAGGATACGACTCGAGGGCATGCATGAACCCACGTTCGTCCCATGGTAACGACTGAACACCGAGTTTGTTCAGGTCTATTTGCTCATATGTATCCCAGTTAACTGCGTTGAGGGGAATGATTTCTATCCGTGGGTCTGCTTTAGCGAGAGGCTAGAGGGAATAAATAGGTACTCTTGGAAGCGCTGAAGATTACACACCTCAAGATACTCTCGAAACACTTTCACATCCTCGAGAAGGATTATCTTTTGCACTCGTTCTCGAGGCAAATCAAGAAGCGCTCTGGTTAAAACACCAGGCCCTGGACGCGTCGTAAGGAATACACGAGAACCTGACTAGCTTGCCAATACCTGGGAATGCCTCTATAATGACTTTGTCACGGGCTATCTCTGGGATGAAAGCATTTGCTAGGCCCCAAGCCGTGTCCGGGTCCCTGAGGGTGACACGGTCCGCAAACATCATGGGCGGCTTGGTCGATGCTTGCCCTGAGGTGGGGAAAACGTCAGACCAAGTTTCGAGCGGCGGTAGCTCCCATTTATCCGCTGGAATGATTACTGCTGGCTTCGAGGCGACAGGACGCGGTGGGGCAGGGGAGTGTATGACCTTGCCAGCACCAGATTTGGTAGTAAGCTCATTCACGGTTTGTGGCTCCTTTGGTCGGCGACCGCGTTTCTTCGGGGGACTGGCGGACTCTTCTGTGCTTGGTTTAGGGTTCGTTGTATCAGTTCGGGGCGGTCTCCCTCTTCTCTTTGGGGTCGCAGCATCTGTAAAAGCCGATGCCGTACTTGACAGAGTGGCCGTGAGGACTGACCTCCTACAAGGCAAGACGAACACGCGCGAAAGAGCTCTAGAAAGCATCGGAACAGGTCGACGAAGACAGACGCGTTCGGAGTTAAAAGCGACGAGACGCGTCTCGACGTTAATATAAAGGGTCCGAATGTTAACTTGAACTCTATTAGGTTGAGGGCTGACAGCAATCATCTGGAGCGAATAGCTTAAGAATATCGACTACTGTGCACTATACTAAAGATCCGTACTGGACTAAAGGATTATTAGCAGGTATCATGAGTCAACGCGAGCCTATCCCTCGATATGAGAGTCTGACCCCTCAGACCGCGGGCCTATGGATGACTTTCGGAGCACCGACAATTCTACTTCGCGCTCTGCCAGTGCAAGTCGTCTCTCTGATAGTATCTGCTCGAGGTCATGCAACGTGATCCAGCCGTAGCGTTTGTTGCGGATCCAAACTGAACCTGGGAGAGACACGCACTCCAGGGCTTGACAGACTGAGTGCCACTTGGAGGCGCATCCCCCAACTATCGCAGAGTTATGTAAGTCGTCGGAGTCATCTCTTGACAGCAGCAAGAAGGAACGTAGTCGCTGAAATCCCGACAGCACGTTTTCAATTCCAGCGATAATCTCCTATGTAAAAATTTAGTGAGTGTACACAGTCTCACGATAAGTGAACGAACAGCTGTCACTGCGCCGGAAGCCGCATGAAGTGCAAAGGAATCTAGTTCTGGAAATACCAACGGGATCACAGAGAGCGCTTCTGAAATGTCCCTTGCAGAACGTGGCTCTGCGAGACGAACAATGATTTGAAGCGAACGGACTTCGCCTTTAGAGAATTTTAGGATGCGCATGATAGTATTCATTATGTCTGTCGCAAGTAGGTTGGAGTTGATGAGGCATACTTCAATTTCTTGGACTGGACGCAAAGGGACGGTGAGAGAGAGTATCAGGGGTGAAGCTGAAATCCGAGCGAGGTTGGGAAGGGCAGCAGAGTCAAGCGTCCCACTCTCATACTGCCCACCGAACAAAGCACTCCGAAGAGATGCTTGCGTACTCAGCCATCGAGTCAATGTAGAATTCCAGTATAAAGTCGTCGACAATATCTCGAGTTGAGAAGGGCAGTGCTGCAAGACGAACGAGTGCGGACCGTCGAGGAGGAGGGTTAGGGAAGTGAGATGTGCCATATTACGAAGGACCTGGGAAAGCAAAGAGAGAAAATTCCGGGTAACATACGAGTGAACCTGCTCCAAATCGGCGATGACAAGTGAGCGAGTATGCTGACAGAGCTGAGGCCGATGATGAAGTGTTCGGAGGCATCGGATGATACGCGCGGGGGACGGTTCAATGCAACGGTAGAGAACTTGTTCGCTAGCAACTTGGAAGGTGTGATTGACGGATGCGAGCACGGCGAGTGAGGATGCCGAAGTGTGAGACATCACTTGATGGAGGAGTTCAAAAGGCAGAGAGAGAACTGAGTATGATTTCATGAGTGATTTAGCTTCATAGCAGTGACACTCTCGAAGGTTACCAGAGGCAGATGGTGGTGCGCCGTTGCGTATGAGGTTGCTAACTCTCAGTCCGTCGCTAAAAGACTTTTTATTTGGCACATAGAATGTGAGTAGGTGAAGATAAGACGACGGTAGAAGCTGACTTGCACTGGTTCCATAACTTCCGTCCCGGACGAGAGTCGCACTGGTGTCGCATTGTGATAGAGAACGATCCAGGTTGGTATCTCCCGGGTCAATGAACATCAGTGTAATGGAGAGGGCACAGAGTTAGGTCAGTATGATACAATAGCGAGGCGGCGGAGAGTAGTAGGTCTGGTGTTTCTTGGATGTGCATGCACTAGAGTGACTTCAAGGGGCAAGATCCCGGATTCAAAGCAATATTATTGGCTATCGGCCCGGATGATGACACCGAGCGACGCGGGGATGTTGTTTGACAGCCGTCAGCGTGTCCACTGTCCATGTCATTGCACTAGTACTTACTTTTATTGCACTTATACTTCAAGTTACTAGTACCCGTAACTGGTCCCCTTCTAGTTGAGGGTACTGCTCTGACGTCCTCCCTTCCAATGCCTACATCACCTCGCCGCAAACATCCCGACAGGCGTTTTTCAACCTCTTCTACTGGCTCAAAGTTCTCTCCGCCATCTACTTCCCTCAAACGTGGTCGACGTAGGCGCTCCTCTTCGGGTGATTTCAAACAGAACAGACCCCCAGCTCTGGAGCTTGGACTAGATCAGGGGATTCCTCACTTACAAGGAGACGCTCATGCACACGCCGAAGATTTTGATGACCCTAGTCATCACATTGGACAAGAACTTCGTGTCCGCCGTCCACTAGCTTACGCCTCTTTGCCTCCCACACCCATACTCCCCTCTCCACCAGCCTCTCCGCGGCCCACAGAACGGAGGTCTGAATCTCCTCCCCATCCACCTCTTTTCTCTCTTTGGGATTATCTGCGGGAAGAGCTTCTTGCAACTGATTTTGATTCCCACCAGGAGCTTAAGTGGGAGAGAGTTAGCAACTTTCTCAATATACCCTTTGCTATAGAAAAAGTGAGTGCTCGCATCTATCTCATGCAACTTACATACTCAGTCCGAGTTAGATCATTGGCTTTGGATTTGTGCTTTGTTTGGACTCGTTCATTTACACGTTCACTGTCCTGCCTATCCGTTTCGTCCTTGCTGCATTCCGATTCTTAGTCAACCTCGTTACCTTCTCCAAGAAGCCTTTGCCCTCTTCTCAGAAAGCCGACCTTCTGAAAGTCCTCTTGCTCGTAGCCTCCGTCACCATATCGATTCCCCTCACCGACGCAAGCAAGATATATCACTCGATCCGTGGTCAAGACACAATCAAACTGTATGTCATCTTCAATGCCCTTGAGGTCAGTCTTTTGTCGTTATTTGGATCCAGTATCCCGGATATGCTGAGTCACCGTTGTTGACATAGGTCGCAGATCGTCTATGTGCGTCCATAGGACAGGACATACTCGACTGTCTTTTCTCGCGCTCCACATTGGAGGTCCTGTCTCACAGACAACGTCCTACTGCACACACATTTAAACCATTCATATTCTTCGCCCTATCGACTTTATACGTTGGTACGTGCCTCAGTGATCCGTCATAGTTGCTGAATGACAGGACTTCACAGTCTGTCACGCTCTTGTGATGGTTTACCAACTTCTATGCTTGAATGTCGCCATTAATTCCTATGATCACGCCCTTCTTACGCTTTTGACATCGAACCAGTTTGTTGAGATCAAGGGCAGCGTCTTCAAGAAGTTTGAGAAGGATAACCTGTTTCAAATTACTTGCGCAGATATCGTAGAGCGGTTCACGCTCACGCTCATGCTCACGGTGGTCGGCTTTCGTAACCTCATCGAGTTGAGCGGTTTCGAATTTGACTTTGCCAGTGGATTTTCTCTACCGAAAAGCTGGTGGCGAGGGAACAACTTGATCTGGACTATATCATACGTGTGTGGAACCGATGACATGGCTCGGTCTTATATCGCTAATCATATTCTATGACAGCCCATAGTGACAGTCATAATGTCAGAAATGCTTGTTGACTGGCTCAAACACGCATTCATAACAAAGTTCAATCACATTCGACCTTCTGTGTACGAGCGTTACACCGATGTCCTTTGCCGGGACTTGGCGAGCGGTAGCGTAGTGGGGCGGTGGGGCCGCAAGGTGAGGTTGTGGCTGTTCTTCAAATTACCTTCTATCTAACTTCATTACGCAGCACTCTTATGTTGACCAGTCACCTCTTGTCGCTCGCCGACTAGGCTTCGCTTCTCTACCACTTGCTGTTGTCGCTATATTGATTGGCATGCAATCTCTCAACCTTGTTTTTTCTCTTCAGTTTGATTACCAGTGGAGTGTGCATGCGTTGAAGACAATGTCCACTGCTGAGGCGATACGGCTCGTCCAATGGGCAATTATGGGAATAGCTTTCTGGCTGTGGTGAGCTATACCCAGATGTTACGTGAAGTCGCCGAATTCATGCCATCATTCTAGCTTTGTGGCCCTCAAAGTCCTGCTGGGAGTCAACCTAATCTCTTATGCCACCAAGCGTCATGCCGGCGTGGAAGAGCGTGCGGCTGTGGACGCTATCAACGATTTTGGGCGTGATCCGATTGGCGAGGGTAAGGATGAACGCGAATACAATAAGCAGCTCAAGAAAATGGTGGAAAATTGGAAAGACGATGCCGCACCAGTTGGGGAAATGGGCGAAGGTCGAGGGCCAAAGTCAGACGGCAAATCGGGTGACAGCTCGTCAAAAAAGAGAGTGCCGCTTGAAGAATTGACCAGGTTCACGATGGTCAAACGTATTTGGTGATGTCCTTTATTAACCATTAAGTATCGAACGTTAGCATAGAGGTATGATATGGAACGGGCTACCGGTGAAACTGAATGTTGAAAAATCTACAACATAATAAAGTTCTGCCTACGACGGAACATAGTGGAGTAGCAAAACGTATCACAGCAGGATTGCTTAGGTCCAAAGGTCATATGGACAGTGATGATTATTGTTGATACTTTGTACGCTCCTCGAGAATGCCGGTACGTCGAGGGGTAGGTATGCAGCTGCTCGTCGTATGATTCCGCGGCATGGTCGCTTCAACAGACGTCTGCATTGGAATTGGAGCTCTTTGACGATCACTGCTCCCTTTACTCTGGCTCGAAGAACATATATGAGGCTGTGGATTTAGCGGATATACATGAACATAAGAACGACTCGGAGAGTCATCAAGCGTACTATATTGATGCTGAGAGGATCGCCGATCTGTGTTGCGGTAAACGTCAGAATGCGAGTCTCTATTTCCAATGCCAAGCCATGAACTTGAAGACGAGTATGGGGTGCCAGCGGAGGGTGTGCGTCGCCTATCTCTAGGGCGGGCTGGGATCGTCCCACCGTTGGCCCTTCCCCGATCAGATACTTGTTGGATGGGACAAGGTTCCCGGTGAGGCTGCAGAGCTGGCGTTGGGCCTTCGCTATATCCTATCACGAACCCAGGAGGTGGTACAATCCAGCCACTGACAGGAGGGATAACACCTGCAGGCCGAGGTGAATTGCTTAAGGGAGCTTGAGGGAAATTTCTGATATTGCGTTCGGTGCCCGACCTAATAAAATCGCACAGAGAAAGAGGTGAAAGCGGACGGTTTGGCATCTCGAAGGTAATGTCTCTTGGATTCTAATGCGAGGTTCAGCAAAGGATTCAAAGAATACTTGTACAAGTACTGCGATGAAAACTTGACCCTTGTAGTAAGTTCTTCGCTGCTTCAGAGATGGAAACTTAGCCTCGAGTTATGTATCAAATTGAAGGGCAGATGGCTTACTTCTTGCAAAGGGCTCGAGTCTGACGTTTGACCTGGAAACTTCCTGACAACCTGGATAGAGGGAGAGGTACTTGACGGTAATTTGGGGCAACGACATTTGCCTTTTAAGCATTATCGGCAGGTCCAAGCAGCCTATGGCACACCAACCACGATTTAGTCAAGGCGTTGAGCTTGGACCACCCGTCCATTAAGTTTGCCAGAGTCGCATTTCAGGCCAAAGCACAAAATGCTTGAGCTTGGGTCCAGTGAGTCCATAGTCATATATGCCCTGTTTGAGAAATTCAAAGCTCCATGAGCATAGACTTGAGTTGGGAGTAAGTGTCCTCGAGAGAAGCCAGACACCTTCAAGTTCAGTTTCAAGAAGGAAAATAATATTCTGCAGATACTACTCTTTTGTTCATGCTCCATTTTTGGCCCCATCGATATATTATGATTGCTAACCGTTGAGATAGTGCTCAGCTTCAGGGTGCTGCGTTATGCTAGCCACCTAGGCCAAATATTGGGAGTACTGGTTGAAATTGGCGAGTACAACATGAGAGACCTAAATGAGATTGAAGGTCAGGATCAAGTTCGGATAATGAAAGCCCGACGCTTCGAATAAAAGATAGAGACGGGTCTAGAACCAGGCTCGAGCTGCTCCGAGAGCCGGCTCTACATAACTTGCGAGACTGGACGATCCGAGGGGTGGCGTGGGCGGTGGCCACGATAACAACTACTTATTAACAAAGGTTTGAAACAAACCTGATATATCGGCATCATGCACTAGGTTGGCGCGCTCGGATAAGATCCTCTGTTAGCAAGTCAGGGCTATCAGAGTACTGGCTGGATAAGTAGGAACCTGGCCTAGAACACGATCATATACTGTAATCCTCTGTCCTATTAATGGCGAAGTGACCTCAATTGATCGGGTAGGCGAGCGTAGCCCATGCTTTCGTGGGTCCGGATCGTAGGTCAGAAGTACGCCTTGGTACATTCTGACCTGGCAAGGGGTTCATCAAGCCCTTCGACCCCCAAGCCAGATGTGAAGAGGTGAATCTTCAGCTTACATGGTGCCAAATTTGACCGGGAATGAAATAATGAAGGTACTTCGTGTAAATTCACACGATGAACCCGCTCACTGATCGAAGATCTTGCAATATGCGCTCAAATAGCAAAAACTTCAGTTATCGTCCATGAATACATTTGATTAAATATGTCCACGCCTCTGTGCCAGCGAGGCTGAGATGGGGTCTCTAACTTACGTGTAGGCTGAGTTTTGTTCATGTCAGGTGGCTTGGAGCGCATCAAGCCCATCCTGAGTGTCTCTATCAGTACTATCAACGAGTGTATTGTGTGAGTCCAGTATACTGTAGCTAAAACGCTATGCGACCGGGGTATACGTATTCAAGGGCGATCCCAAGTCAGACGCGTTTAGGCGTTGATGTTGATGGGAGAGCAGCCGAGGTTGATGAAACCGTTCTGTACAAACTTTCAGCAACCCCGATGATAGTGGTTAGTTTTTGGGCTTACGAATTGGTTGTCAGTACAGCAGACGGGGTGCTGGTTGCACTGACCACCGCCGGAGCTGAGGAGGTCAAGAGGAGAGCAGTCGACACCAATCTGGCCGGTGACGTCCTCCAACACAATGCCAACGAGGCCGAGCATGTCAGTCATGCTCTTGTCGCTAGCCTGTGTAGAAAATTGAGCTTCCAGGACGCGCATGGCATGACGCGTTTCGCACCTGCTTGACGGAGTTGCAGCAATGGGCAGAGCCGGTGTTGCACTGGCCAGAGGAGGCAGCCAGGGCGAGGACAGCAAAAGGAACGACGGCGAGAACGCGGGCAATCATCTTGACTGGAAGGGTTGGGAGGGTTTGAAAGAACGACTTTGGTAAAAGGAATGAAGTGGGCTTGGGAGAAACCAAATTTGCAGAGAGTGTTTATGTAGTCCCCCAGCCAAGAATTGACGGAGATATGTGTTATCTATACAGGGCATGCAACCGGGTGCAACCTTGACACCGTGCCCCACAATCTGTCAACGCTCATCAGCGCGTGGCTGACAGTCCAGACTCACCGTGATTAAAGCGGTCCTTTGACTTCCTTTTGGTAAGTGCTTCAAATTTATTTCCGGCTCCTGTTCACTTGGCGGATTTACTCACCGCTTTGTATTGCTTGTAGTTGCTTGTGGTCTCCTTTCGCAGACCTCATACTGCAAGTTGTGACAATTGGTGTTATATTGAGTGGTGTATACTGTAAGATGGTTCCGTGAGTAAATATTCAAAGTGACCTCCACTTGTCAACCTTTGAAAATACACAGAGCAGGGCCGAATGTCCGCAAGAGGATGACATTCATTCCTAAATGGAAGTTGGGATAACCAGGGAAGAACACAACCTAGTGGGCAACCCATAACTTTCTGGTATCGGTTTGGCGCTCTAATGGTGCTCGCGCGCGGAAGAAATCTTGGTCAAGATGCTGTTCGATGTGTTGTCTCGTAACGACGGATAGTTGTCGAACTTGCAGAATGGCGTCATGTTACACTCACATAGGAGATTAACCCAGCTTGGTGTTGATGAAGCATCGAACGAATACAGCGATACCAGCAGGTATCAAGATTTAACTCGTGCTCAAAGACGTGAAAGATGATTTGATCAAATAGTGCAAACACAAGTATTAGTATCGATTGGGCACCATTGTTGGTGACCTCCTGCCATGTCAGCACAGCTACTTTGTTCTGAGCATTGACAAAGCGTGCTCTGCAGTAAAGTTAGTCAGGCTCATATAATTCAGAGATTACGGTGTTCTTGCCTGAAAAGACGTTCATTGTCGCATTTATTCCGATTCCGGGCAAATCTTCAAGTGACAAGGCGGGGCTGGTACCTTGTGGAACGCATTTGTGAGAAGTATCTACCACAAGAAGAGGTGTCTCATACCCCGGACTGCAGGTAAGTGAGTGACATGTCCAAGATGAGATGGGCCTCACCACTTACCTCTCGTATAGGGGCACGTTGTACATGCGAGAGCCTGGCAGCCATACTGAACGACACCATGCTGAGGCAGAAGGTGAATAACGCGACGGCTCTCATGTTGAATGGGTTGCAGAAGACCGTGTATGTACGCTATGGTATGATTTTTTCTCTTCTGGCTGAGGCATTCCAGCTTAAATGCAGCATCCGGTGACCTTCAACAAGCCGCTGTCGACGCCTTCATTCTGCCAGTATTATGCCCCTGTCATAGCGTTCCTGATGACGGTGGGTGGACATCATGGTAATGGACTCCTGTGCGCAAAACAGTCCAAGAACATTTCAAATGATCGAGGAGGGGGGCCGTAAAAGGGGACGTCATCTTCGATCGGCGGTCGACTCGGTCTGACAAACCAACGCTCAGCGAAATGGCGGGACACCGTTGCAGCAGGAGGCGACGGGTACAAAGATGGATGCTGTGCGCGCAGTGAGACGACGATGGTTTTCGAGAGCCGCCATCCGACATCGTCGAGTATCAGACCAAAGACGCTGATTGTACAAGCAGATTCGTCGTCTTCCGGCGTGACAATGAGACATTTGACTGATCATAGAAAAAAATTAACCGGGATATGACGGATTGCGAGGATGGGGATCAGTCCGTTTATGATGAGGGCTATAGAGATGTATAGCCAAGAATGAAGAGCTTGTTGAACCTAAGCAGTACCCGCAGGCTCGGCAGGCTCCGTTTTTCAAGCTTAGAGGTAACCCGCTTCAACATTGGATGTTTGGTTTGCGCCAGCAGTGGCCCAGCACGCAGTAGAGAACGAGAAATTGAGGCGCCTTTTCTTGCACCTTTTAGCTTGTGAGTCAAGGCCAAACAAGAATCGGAGAAATGGAGCACTGCCTGGAGCCCGTGGCCCCGCTCAGACCCAGGTCGATCGGTAGATGAACCTGCTGTGGAGTATCGATGTCAGTTAGTATAGTCCACCTAGGCACTTGTGTCGGGCCGATATTTGTTGCCTAGCGGCCATCGGAATGAACAGGAAACTGCGCGCTCGCTGCGGTCCTGTTAGCTTTGGCTTGGTACATGCGGTACATACAGTGGGCTAACCAAGGCTGTCGCTCCTGCTGCTGGAAACGTTGGATCGCGTTCCTTCACCGCGGGCAGTAATAGGCGCAGTCAGTACGGGGTGCGGGGAGATGACTGGTGTGCAGTGGCACGACCTGGCTCCGCATGGGCTTGGTTAGGCTTAGGTAGGTACCGAGTTACCAATTTGAGGGAGCTCCGTACCTGACGGAGGCAGTTTCTTCCTCGTTCGGAAAGTACCAACGTCTATGTTACATCATCCAGCATCATCCCCCGCAGCTAAAACCGTCCGAGCCGGTGAAGAACGACGTCATGCCAGACAGCTGAGAACATAAAATGCTCCTTCATTCTTCCAATGTCCTCTTGCACCTGCAGCGGAACCCCCCCTGTTCTTTTGCCTTCGTTTTCTAACAGAAGCCTAGATCACTATCAGCACATCTAAGATTTTCCACAATGGCCGCTTCAGGTGCACTTCCAGGGCTTTTCTGCTGCTTTGCGGCCATGGTCCTCCTCATCTTTGTATGCCATTGTCACCATCCCTATCTCCATCTTCCTACTCACTCTTTCTCATCAGGTTTCCGTCTCATCCCCGAAATGGGAAAGAATATCTTTCCTTGACATAGGAAACCTCCACTTCGGTGTATTTGGTTACACCGGCTCTCAAGCACATATAGGATGGTACTTCCCCATTGACACCGCTAGTCAGGTCACCAACGACGTCAATACCGACATCCTCCACAACCTCACCTATGTTCTCATTCTCTACCCCATTGCTGCAGGTTTGTCTGGCATCGCGGTCCTCTTCGGTCTCTGCGGCGCAAGCTACCATCGCGTCGGCACAGTCTTCATGACCCTTGTTGCCGCTCTCGCCATGCTCGCCACCTTGATCGCCTGGGCTATCTCAATGGCCTTATTTGGCGTGGCCCGAAATCGGTTCCAGGATGCTGGTATCTCTGCCACGTGGGGCAACGCTAACTGGCTCGCGCTTGGAGCTCTTGTTGCCCTAGTTTTTGGATTCTGCGCCTCAGCATGTGGAATCTTTGGGCACTACAGGCGCACCAGGTTCTAAAACAGCACCCTGCGCCAGTTGGTAGGCTACAACGTGCAGAGTGGTAGCTTATCCTCGATCATTCATGTTTTATGTTTCATTTTGACGACGACCCCTTATGTACCAGAGACATTTCGATCTTTCGCACACCCCGCTGTATCTTTGGCCTCGATGTTCTCCTATTTATAATATCATTTCGTAACCTCCGAATATTGTAATTACGAGTTGAGAAACTCATGTGGACTTCCGCTATGTGGATGGCGTTTTACTATACCCTTCGTTATTACCCTACGCAGCTGCAGTACTAGTTTATATCAGTGTATCCCCCATCTGAAAACATATAACTTCCTTGTGGTTCTAGTGGTAGTAGATGCTCATGCTGAAATTAGTCTGACGTGTTCTGCCTAAGGCTACAGATCAGGAAGTAAGGGGCGCCAGATGCAAGTAAATATGGGCCAAATGAACCACAACAAGGCCACGGACAAAATATTGCAGTTTGTTCTTGATGTCTATGGTCTTATCTTGACATCCGAACTTGACCAGAAACACCGCAACATCGAAACATTCGTAGTCTCCTTTATACAGCCGTTTTACACGTGTCGCTGCGCTCTTTTGACGATGTGTAAATGGACTACTGCTTGAAACTGGCAAACGGCCATGGACCATCTCAGGCTCTAGCAGGTATCACCTTGACCTGTGGCTCACGCGCGTTCTTCACAAACTGTGCCGCACTCATTACGCGCGATGAAAACGTGCTCTCTGACCTCAGGCTCAACCGCAACAGCCTCATATCTAAAGATAGGCTGTGAGCAACCTCACCTTGAACTCGCCGCTACATGCAGGCGCGATGCATGTCTCCTTTCCAGGGTCGCGTAAAAAGGCTAAGCTCAGCCGTGTGGATCCACCACCTGCGTTATAAATGTGTCGGGTCGCTCTTATGGAGGGTCTCTTCCTCCTTACTCTCCTCACCAGCCTGGATTACTCCGTTTCTCTGGGGCGTATCTTCTGGACGATTCTACGACCAGACATACCCGGAATGGACGGAAGCGATGTCTTTCCATCACCTGTCGGCGGAGTGCCCTTCCCTTCAGACCTCGTTGTCTCTGTGCTATTCGCGCTGCTTTATGGGCTCTTAATCCCAGTACTCGCTGGACGTGTTATCAACAAACACTATCGCTCCACTCTCAGCATCAACACTGCAGTCCTGGCTATTGAGAGGTATATCATTCGCTCTTTCGTGACTGAAGACGAAATAAAGAATTGTTGTAACAGGTTGATCGTGTTTTGTCTTCGAGCAGCACAGTCTCAAAAGCCCGATCTGAGGACTTCACAGACCCTCACCACATACATTCAAGTTTCCATCGGGTTGGGATACGTGGTGATGGTGCAAGACATCGTTGCCCTTCTAAGATGTGTTTTGGTCAACTCTACCGTAGGGTCGCTCCTCCATCCTAGCTCGCCAAACCCTTCTATACAAAGCGTTTCCTCGCAGTCGCACCTTCATATGGCGGATCACTCCGTGGTTCAGGATCAGCCGCGCAGGAGGTTCTGGTATCGGCGCTTGACCGATTTTATCATGCTCCTCATCCTGGCTTCCCTCCTTGTGGGTGTCATCGGCAACTCGCGCTATCGGAGAGCGATGAGCAACCCGAACTACACCCAACAAGTGACGCAACTCCGGTAAAGAGCCTACTCCGCTTATTTTTGACATTGATACTTATTCCAAGTAGTTACGCTAGTTCAGGCATTGCCCTGGCGGCAATTATAACAACCGCCTTTGTTGTGTCGTGGGCTGCGTTCGCGTTGCCCAAAATGCAGAAGAGCCAGGTCATGATCCTCCTTGTGCTTTGCGCATGTACTGTAAGTTAGCTTCATGCTTGTTTGTAAACGTTCACCCAGGCATCAAAATCTAGGCTACTTCGGCGATATACCGCCTCGCAGTTTTGCACAACGACACAACATCTTTGACTTCTACGGCATCTGGATCGGGAAACACCGCCGCTGAGAAGACAGAATTTTATATTTTCCACATGCTGACCGACTGGACGGCAGGTGCGCTTCTCCTGCTTCCCAATATCAAGACAAGGTTTGGTACTGGAATGTGGGGAGATTGGCGATCCTCAGACGAGTCAATCCGGAAGAGGGCACGGAAGTCGACATATAGGAGTAGATCGCCTAAACCCAAACCCGCTCCTTGACCAAACTCTTCCTTTCCCCTGGATAGTTTTTCCAACAATACTACACGGACTCGTTATAGCGCCATTTACTATGTGTAGCATTACAGCTAGAGTATGTCGTACATAAATGACATGGACAAAACTCACTTATGACAATACAACAGTCACCTTATTAATTAGTGGTACGGACTCAATATAATCCTGAGATTGTGAACCATCGCTACTTTTGGTTGTGTAATTTAACTCAATGCAGCTTATGACGTGCGTGAAGTTAAGTAAATATTAACCTTCCAACAATTATGCCGACCTAGATCTGGTTTCGACATCTCTCGACATCCCTGTACCTTGACTCGATCCACAATGAGAAGGGAAATCGATTTCTCACTTTACCTGGTGACTGGACGAGAATTGCTGCCTCCCGGAAAGGTACTGGCTGATGGGCACTCAAGAAGTCTCATGCATCTCAGATATTGGCTGACACTCCCATGTTATCTAGGACTACTTTGAATCTATACAAGAGGTATGTTCTTGTTGATATACATGATCTCAAAAGTTCCTGATGCTTTTTAGTAGTCTCTGGAAGGTGGCGTCACCGTGGTCCAAGTGCGAGAGAAGACAGCCGATACCGCAGAGGTTCGTTGGACTGTCGTAATCGCACATCGCGATCTGACTCGTTTAATGATTTTTCTATCAGTTCCTCGACATAGCCTTGAAGACGAAGGAGCTGTGTCAAAAGTATGATGTACCTCTCATCATCAATGACAGGCTAGATATTGCTCTCGCTGTCAAGGCTGATGGTGTGCACCTTGGTCAAACGGATATGCCAGTATCCGTGGCACGACAGCTCCTTCCAGCAGGGACCATCATCGGTGTATCCTGCAACAACGCAGATCATGTCAAGAACGCGATATCGGAAGGTGTTGACTACGTTGGCATAGGTGCTGTTTGGGGCACGGCCACGAAGAAATTAACAAGTCCTATCATTGGAGTTCGAGGTGTGGGAGCTCTGCTTAGGGAACTGGATAACACTGGTCTTAAGGCTGTTGCGATTGGTATGGATACATTCCAGTGGCGTGGAAAGAGATGCTCACACTGGGCTAGGGGGAATCAAAGGAGCCAATGCCTTGAGAACCCTCCACGGCACGGTTTCTACCACGGGGCATGGTTTGGATGGTGTAGCGGTGGTGTCAGACATCGCTGGATCAACAAAACCTAGGGACGCTGCCAGGACTCTACGTGACACTGTTTCAGCGTTTAAGGAACAGCTGCAGAACGAGCTTCAAGCTTCGATCAATGTCAGCTATGCTAAGAAAGACGTCCTGACATCGGTCTCAAAGTTATTGAACAATGTCAAGGCATACAAGCCTCTCATCCACCAGGTAACGTTTGCGTAGATAGATATAGACCGACTAATGTGCCCCATACTAGATCACTAACAACGTCGTTACGACTCAATCTGCAAATGCTACTTTAGCTCTCGGGGCGAGTCCGATCATGGCCACAGCGCCCGAAGAGATGAAAGACCTCAGCCGAGTTCTAGGCGCTCTCCTGGTCAACTTTGGTACTATCACGAGCAAGGAAGGGATGCTGCTCGCAGGGCAGTTCGCCAACGAAGAGAAGAAGCCGCTAGTGTTTGACCCTGTCGGAGTTGGAGCGACAGACTTCCGACGCACTACAGCAGCGCAACTTCTGAACACATGGCAAGCTAGCGTTATCAAGGGCAACGCTGGCGAGTTGGCTGCACTTGCGGACTCCAAAGAGGTATGTGTATGACGCGAAGTCAAAGCGAGATGCAAGCTTTCTCACTGCGTTTTTTTTGCAGGTTCAAGCTAAGGGCGTGGATACTTCAGGTACTGGATTCTCTGATCCTGCAAGTTTCGTAAAAAGTCTGGCTCGGAAAGAAAGTACAGATCCTATGTCACTGAAGCCATGGCCTCGCGCTCATTCACTTTTCTCCAGGATGCATAATCGTTTTAACTGGTAGTACAGACTGGATCTCGGACGGCAATGTCGTGATCCGTTTGGACAATGGCCATCCCATGTTGGGGGATATAACGGGTTCTGGCTGTATGCTAGGCACTTGCATCGCTACTTTTTGCGCAGGAGCATACCTTAAGGCGGTCGAGGATGAACCGATATCGGAAAGATCGCTTTCAACGATTGTCCGGGGTGACATGCTGCTCGGTGCCGTTGGAGGGTACATATTCATTGCATTTGTACAAGCGCACGCTAACGTAGTATTACTCCCACAGGGTCCTGGCTCTCACCATCGCGTCTGAGATAGCAGCTCAACGAGTGGACGTCCGCGGAACAGGCACATTCTTCCCAGCGCTCATCGACGAATTATACCACCTCACACCTGACAAACTTACACAACTCGCAAAGATCCAAATCTTGTGATTATATTACAACAGCTCCTATTTCAGCTCAGTGCATGTCGCTGCTTAGCCTAGATATGATATATCACACAGACAACCAAGATATATCTTTAAGCGGCCACAGAGTAAATCTCCCCGTTGGGTGTGTCCAGAATCCGAGAAAATGGCATGTCCCTAGTTGGTTGAAGCCAATTCTTGTGGTCGTATTCTGCGAACGGTGGTGACTCTATCATGTGGAACGTGTACGCGTATCGAGTGTTTTGGCTGGTGTTCCGCTCTGATTTATGCAGAACGCTTCCATGGATCAGGACCAAGTCCCCTACAAAAGGCATGGTTGGAAGTTGCAAGGAGGGTCGCTCCTGAGAGCATCTCACCTGGCTCACAGACTTCGAGGATGTACTTTCCATCCGATGCCTCTTGCGATGCTACCTGCTGCGCCTTGGCACTGGTAGCGTGGGCCGCGGGCACTGGTTCGTCGGTGGGCTCAAAGCCTGTCCCACGTTCCAACCGCACGAAACGTTTCGTTATCGGGGTCGTGATATGTGATCCGGGCAGAAAGGACAGCGCCCCGTTTGTCGGTGTGCAACGTTCCAGGGGGATCCAGAACCCCAAGGCGGTAGGCGGGTTTGTGTACTGGTTTGTATACGATCAACTCGCAGCGCCCTTACAAGAAGTAAGATGAATCGTACCAGGAACGTCCTGTAAACGCAGGGGGCTGTTAAGTCATGGTAAAACGTAGCTCAAAAACACACACGAGTCGTTGTGCTCTGGGACTGTAGTTGCAAATGATCCGTCAAGGCAGGGATATCGCATGTGTGCCTTTCCGCTCACCTGCTCCGCCAATTTCGGGCTGCTTGAAGATGAGCATGGACTGCAGTGCTATAGATCATTGAGTGTGAAGCAAGTTTGAAACCTGGATCACTGGGAACGTACCGACAGGATCATGGTGGAAGCGCAAGTCCCTCGCAACAGCCCTTATCCGGGCATTCTCCAATGTGACCTTACGAAAGGCAGGGTCAAGCTCGTGAAGGGCTACTCGAGGTCGGCGCCGTGTTAGTAGGAGAATGGTCCGCTGTTTGAGTACATGTGACTGACCGTGGCCTATCTTATTAACGGACTTTGCCTTCTCTTTCACAAGCTTTCCGCTATTATCTAGTGCATCCTCTTCGAGGAAGTACCTGATTTTGTCGCCGGAATCAAGGAAATAGTCGTCACCGACTTGGTCATCGCCCGTAGAGAACTTGGTCTACGAGGAAGAAGTTCACGACGAAACCAAAGCTGGGCGCTGCCATGCCTGATTGTGACTTACCATGGGGTGATCATCGACGTTGAAATCATCCAGCAGCTCGTGAGCCCGCTTCAGCAGTGTGTCGGTCTCGTCTAGGGAGAGGAAAGAGGGTATCCGAATGTACCTGGTTTGTTAATTAGGAGATTCACCTCAGCAGGGACGTAGGCCTGTGCAGTTTACCCATCTCTGTAGAACTGAAAGATAGCGACTTGTTTGAACACTACTTCAACGAATATGACATTATAAGCTAAAGACCACATACCTGTTCGACTTGTGCTTTGGAAAGATAATGAAGGGTGTTCACTGAATGCTGCATGGCAAGGTGATGATGTCAAGGAACAGTCGGCAATCACGGTAGAGCACAGCGTCAGGGGCATAAGGATTAGCAGTCCGACTCTGAGCGCGATAAGATTACATGGGAAAGGCCCTGATCATCTCGAAAGCCTTAGTTGACAAAAGGCATGGTAGCATACATTAACATAAGCGATAGCTAAAGTAAATTAGGCGTCTGTCTGAGTAAAATCTTCGTCCCCTTCAATATTCTCCCCGCTGGCTAGCTTTGATATCAAGTGGTCAATCTTGGCCTTGTGGATACGATGGTGCTCTTGCCACCCCTTCCAAGGATGATGGGGATACTGAAAAATTTCACTCAGCCTCGATGTGACCCGCAGGATAAGTGACAAGCTTACCATCCTACCAAATGCTTGGAAGATCCTGTCTGAAGTACCGTCCGGCTTGTTATAGAAATATCTCGCGAGTAAAATGTCATCAGCTCGACTGTATCTCATTTTCTTTTCGGGAGGTTGAGGCAGGGGCTCATCTCCTTCCATCCTATTCAGCTCGTGTTTATGACGCCGCCAGAACTTCATCCAAGATGCTCGGGAGTGATGAGGCGCCTAGATGTGCCGTCATAATATGTAGGTGATTTCATTCACGAATCTCCACACCTTCGCTGCAACGTCTTTCCAAAAGGCCACCATGTCAAGGCGGCCTTGTGATCTACGTGAGAGTCAGCCAAATACCTCACCCAATGGCAACGCGGCATACCTTCGGTACTCCATGAACCGGACCAAGAAGCCTACGTCTTCATCTGTGAACGCGACACCCTTTCCGGTAGTACTACGGAAAAGAGCGCGTGGAGGTGTAGGCGAGCGATTCCGCGGTTGATGCGATTCTTGTTGAAGGCGCTGCTGAGCCGCTGCGATAGCCGCTGCACCGCTGTGAATCTGAATCTCTTCATCACCATCCTGATCGTCTTGGGAGTTACTCTGACCGCCGGTGTCCATCGAGTATCCACCGAGACGGATCTGGTGTTTATTACAATACCTCCGCCATGAGTAAAACCTGTGCATGAATGGGTGTCAAATTGGCGCTTTGGGTCTGAGCCAGACAGCGCGCACGTATGATGGGGGGCCTTGAAGGTGAGGTTATTTAAGTGTCGTATGATGTATCCGCGTAACTTAACATACCTTAACTGCAACACGTTCGCATATTTCGCGGAGACTGGCGATATTATGTCAATTAGGTGCATCCACTGACATGGTCACGGATTAGGCTCACCTTAGCACTAGACCTTGTTCTTGACAATAGTCGATATATTTTTTAAGGTACAACACATCGTCTGATGTGAAAAGATTGCCGCCATATGTACTTTTGATAACTCTTCTCGGAGGCGTAGGCGATCGAGCAGTAGGGTTGCGGCGATTTAGGACGAGTGCAGAAGGCAACGTGGTAGGCGTTCCCTGAGATGGGACAACGTTTGGACACAATTACCAGCCAGCGAAATGTTAGACGCACTGAATTCCGGGTCCGCTTCCGCCCACGAGGTTTTTCAGCCACATCGGGAGGAGATGCGGAAGGACCAGCCGGGGCTGAAGGCCCCGGTTCAGGCACATATGGAGCTGGTGGTCCATATTGCTCAAACTAGAGTACGCTTAACTTGAGTAGGAAGTGACTGAACAACTGACGCACTGGTGCTGGCTCATACGAAGAATATTGGCCGGCAGGAGTGCTCCACTCTGGCTGTTCCTCCCTGTAGCGGTAGTCGTAAGGTGCTGCGGTAGGGGCGCCAACCATATTTGGCGGTGGTGGCTGAGTGTAATCGGTTCCCCACGAGTCATCTCGATAAGGGTTGGTCGGCCGCGAAAGCATGCCCGGGGCAGGAGGTGGAGCCATATGCGTTTGTTGCGGGGCAATCACACTGGGTCCTTGCCACGGCTGAGGACCCGTAGAAGCTGACGGCATTGTGCGGGGGGCAGCTTGCAGGGGGTGACTATAGACAGGGTAGCCATAGGTATTTGATGGTTGCACGAGCTGATCAGGAGGAACAGTGGGTAGAACGGAAGGTTGTTGAATGGCCTGTGGCTGAAGGGGCGTAGACTGTGCAGATGGGCCTGTGCGCGCGACAGAGGAATCTTCTTGGGAAGGAGTAGCAGTCATTGATATGACCCTGTTGCGACATCAGCGCAAAGTACGAACTACACGGAAGTTACACACTTTTCTTGACCAGTCACTTTGCAGCCCGCATAATTGGTGTGGTAGGTTTGCAATGCTCCGGCGCGGATGCATTCATGAATCCATCGAGCATCCAGGACAATCTTGCCTTTCTTGCCAGCATACTGTCTATAGAGATTCTGACCAGACTCTTTGGATGGGTCGACTGCCAAGCCAAACCGTGAGGATGACGGGGAAACACTATCTGGACTTGTGACTCACCGAGGATGTAAGGAGTGCCGCTGTAACCAGGTGAAACAGCCCCGCTATATTTCTAAATGTGATACTTGAATCAGCTTGTGGTCGGATAAGTAGAATAAACGAGAGAGAAATTGACAAGGGGACGGGAGACGCGTCCGATCTCGAAAAGACGTGCTGATGACGTACCGTGACGAGCTCGACGAGGATGTCCCTGTCGTGGACATCCTTTTCGATGTAGACGGTGAGAGGTGTGCCCATCATCGGGTCGAGGAAGAGAGGCGAGGCGGGATCAGGATTTGTTGAGTCGTTTGTTGTGGGTCCATCTTGCTGTTGTTGGTGTTGGTGTTGGTCAGGGTGGGGGCGCCTGGAGGAACGGGCTGGTGCCATGGGTCTTGGCCGCGACTGTCTGCGAAGTGGTGGTAGGAGTCCCAGCCACGAGCACCCGCTCCCACTCACTCGGACCACCTGCCCAGCGGAGTTTGTTTTTACTCCTGCCGCTTTTGGACAACCACTAGAAAAACACACTATCCGCATATTCTTTGACATTACTATATCTTCAGGCTTCTAATTCAGGCTTACTATGGCTAGTGCTCATGATCCCACATCTTAGAAGCGTCTTTCATCTGGCAGTATCGGGCATGGCATCCAGGAGCAGGTACTGTTACAGGTTATTATTGAAACGCCTTGGCCAAACTCCTGGGCCTTCCGTTAAGCTCGATCCAAAGAGTCCCTATTTAAGGCGGACTGTATGGCTTGTGAAGCATGACACTGTACTTTACAACCAAGTCCTCCTGATCCCATCAATGGCTGAGAAGCTCTGAAAAGTTTATCGTCGTGCTGCTTCCGAGTCCTGCGACCGAGAGAAGCTTCGCAGGCTCGCGGTCGTTGCACCCACGTAGACATTCCCTCGCATTCATTTCTCACTATTCAGCGCGACAGCTCTTCTTATATCTACCGCAGAGTCGTCGTTAGCCGGGGCGTCCCTAAGCTCGTGGGGTGATAACTTTCTTTTGTCGTCACAACTTGTCGAGAGCAAGATCGGGTCCAAAAACCGCGTGCTCTTCCGGGTGTCCGTATCGAATTGCCCATCTTGGCGGGGTGGTGAGTATCATCACATATGGTGGTATGTCTGTAGTCGGGTGCAAATAACGCCTTGAGCTGGCAGCGTTCCATAACATAACCTCGGCAGGGGTACATAGATCAGTCGCCAGATGTGAGGCAACATATACCAGGGGTATTAAGGTGAAATCTGGGGAGTATTGCGTCATGCAATATTCAGTAAGCACTTGCAGGTCAGTGTGGGCCACATAACACGGGAGGCTGTCCATGGCTACGTACTGCTCGCTGTTACACTGGACCGAACGGATGCGAACGGCGGGACGTGAGAAGACAGTGGAGAATCAGTCCAAACTGAGCTTCTCATCTGATCTTTCACGTCGGGACTCTGGACCGCGGAAGCTCTTGCTGAAAATAAGCGAGAGCAATGCGAGAGATTACGCAAGAATCTGAGGCAAAAGAGCATCGTTGAGGTTAGGTGCAATGGAATAGCTGCTACATGTCTTGGCGTGGTTGTGGACAACTACAGTACTAGTGGATGCCGGTCAGCACAGGCCAGGGATGGCCGCGATGAACGGCAAGTGACAGTTTGGTATGAAAGGTGGGATGTAGGTGTGAAAGGGCAAATAATAAAGGAATTATTATCGATGTTTATGGGGAATCAACAAGGACTGGTCGGAGTTTGAAGGGGTATTATCTATCCCATGCGACAAGTGTCGCTGGTCCATTTCTCAGTCAACGCCCTCGAGTTCTCGTTGCCCTCTGGCTCTCCGACTTCCACACTCTCCCTCTCCTTCCCCTTTCCCCCAAGGGCTTGTCGTTTCGAGCTCACCGACGCCAGCATGGCGACAGTCGCAGGCCGAAAAAAGTCGATTGCATCCAACCCCGGTCTCGTCATCGACACACCGGTAGCACACAACACTCTCCTCAACAAGTCCGCTTCACAGTCCACTTCTCTTTACCAACAATGCTCTTCCCTCCGCGCAAAGCTCATGCGCATCCCCAACTTCTCTCAGTACTTCTCACTCGCCTCGCAGGCCGGTTCTGCGCGGCAGTCCACCGACCCGGTAACACAAACATGGGACGTTTTCGCTCTCGGAGTTCCCCTCTGCTTTCTCTTCAACCTCCTCCCCGAACCATACAAGAAGATTCCCATCGACACAAATGTCGCCGCTATCGATCCCTCGAACGAGCGTGCCAAGAAACATGCGATTGCACGCTTCTGCATGGCAGTCAAGGAGATCCCCAGCTGCGAGCAGTTCACCGTCACTGATCTTTGGGAAAGGCATTCAACCGATGGGCTTGTCAAGGTGCGCTGCACTGGGCTTTGTGCCTCTCATCATATGTATTGAAGCGAGTCAAGGTTGTGGGTAATGTGACAACACTAGTCGATTTACTTCCCGAAGACCTGTTTGAAGCGGTTCCTTCATCGCCATCCCTCTCAAATGCACAGGATTCTATCGACGCACTCGTCTCCACTACTCCTAGCGGTACCACCCCTGTCAATGCACAAGAGTCTGCACGGAACAACATTATCCGTGAGATGGTGGAGACGGAGCGTAAATACGTTCAGGATCTGCAGGTCATGCAGGTACGCCGCCATATGTGTGCGTGCGGGTGTTGGAAGACGGAAGCTGACATTGTTGTAGAAATACTCGACTGCTTTGTCGCAAAGCAACACGATCGACCAAGATACAATCCACCTACTTTTTCCGGGTTTGAACCAGCTACTCAACTTTCAAAGGAAGTTCCTTATCCGCCTCGAGGGAAGCGCGGAGCTACCATGGAAGGAGCAACGATGGGGACTTCACTTCTTGGAGAATGTGAGTGTTGTCTGTCTTACGGATACGCTGCATGCTCATTATGCTCGTTATGGCGCTCCCATTGTTTACCCGTTGGCTGTGCTGCACTTGTGATCTGGAACGACAGGAAGAGGAGTTCACGGTGTATGAACCTTACTGCGCCAACTACACGAATGCGGCGGAGATCATGATTGCAGAGGAGCAGAATCTGTCGGTGAGTCTCAGTCTGTCCGTTTCCCGTCGTTGCAGGTGATGTGGCAAGAGGGAGGCTGCTATAATTAGGCGTGTGTCCACTGACGACGGAAATATCCGACAGGCGCATAATTCGCTAATCAATGCGAAATCGGAGTTACCTGCCTTTTTGATCAAACCCGTCCAGCGAATCTGCAAATATCCCCTGTTACTTGATGTCAGTTTCTTTTCCGTCTGGGCCCCATAGTTACCAACAACTAACATCATATACACAGTCTCTCATCAAGGCTGCCTCGCCCAGTGACTATCCGTACTACGACGAGCTCGTCGAAGGTTCCGCAGCAGCGAAACGAATTACCGACAAGATCAACGAGGCCCAACGCCGCGCGGAGAACTCGCAGACCGTCAAGAACTTGGAAGGCCGAGTGCGCGACTGGAAAGGACACCACCTGTCCAACTTTGGCAACCTCCTCCTCGACGACATATTTACTGTCACAAAGTCCGAGGTGGATCGCGAGTATCATGTCTTCCTCTTCGAGAAGATCGTCCTCTGCTGCAAGGAGGCAGTCCCCTCCCCACCCAGTTCCAAGCGGGGTGGTAAGAATAATTCAATCTTGAAGAAACCTGCTGCTCCCGTGCCTCCCCCACCTCCGTCCGGCAACACGAGCAAGAAGAAAGACACCCCTCTACTCTTGAAAGGACGCATCTTCCTCAACAACGTCACCCAGGCTGTTCCCAGCTCCCCGCGCAATTCTACCAGTGAGCATGTTTCAAATTTGTTGCTCCATTTGCATCTAATGCAGTCCATCAGACTCAAGTGTTGGAAGCCAGTATTCACTCGCCGTCTGGTGGCGAGGTGATGACGACTTGGAGTTCTTCACTCTCCGCTGTCGCACCGACGAGCAACTTCGTCAGTGGGAGTCACAGATTAATCGCTTGATCAGCGAGTTGTCCAATCGACGAGCCTCGGACCGAAACCTCTCCCACTTCGTTTCCCACTCTACCAATGGCTCTCTCGTAAACCCATACACAAGGCCGGCTCCTGCCCCTTATCTGCACGACAGGGCATCGTCCTCGATGTCCCAGAACCAGTATACTAACACTCTCCCTTCGCATCCTGCAAGTTCTCGACGTCGGCCCAACCCTTACGGTGAGGAAGTACCTATGGCTGCCACCTACTCCGGTTCTCCGTCGCAATCGCAGTATGGCCTTTCGTTAGAAGGTTTTGAGTTCGATCTGGACGACGAGTTCGAGGACTATCCTCCCACTACCAGTAGCATGCCCACATCTGGCCGCGCCACTCCGTCAAGCGCGCGGCGTAGTCAACCACATGCTTTGGTAATGACAGAGCGCGATTCCTTTGCGGCCTACGAACGTATTCGTGCTCGGACAGAAGACACCAACGGACATGTCATGACTCAGTGGCGGATGAATGATGGTCTCATGTCACCACCCCCTCCTCCTCCACCGGCATTGTCCAGCCTACCATCTGGTCATCGGCCCTCGCTTTCACGATTGAGCTCAGCGGCCAACGGTAATGTTGGTCTCCCCGCAGATAACAGATTGCGAGTACCTCTACACTCTCAGTCTAGCTCTACCCGTCTGCGGTCCGCATATGAGGGGGAAAACAGCCGAAGTACTACTCCAGCCCCTTCCAGTGCGACTCCAACATCCGCCGGTGCTCGTATGCGAAGCGCCAGCCAACCAAACGGCTCCGTTCCGAAGACGACGCCTCCTCCTCTTCCAGACACTTCTGCTTGGGCTGACCGGTATCAACCTTCGAACCAGGAGAGGAAGAGAGGGAGTGGATCGTCGGGGACTTCGGGCTCTGTTTCGGAGGACTCGCAGCACAGCTCGTCTCCCATCACTCCTTTCGGTTCGAGTGAGTCTTCTCTCGGAGGCTCAGTGTTAAGGCCTTCGAAGTCGCAGAACTTCGACGCCATGAACGGCACTCATTCTGGCTCAACAGTGAAGGTCAAGGTTCACTTCAACGAGGACATCTTCGTCGTACAGGTGCCGCGATCCATGGAGTACCATGATCTCCTTGATCGCATTGCAAAGAAGATCCGTCTATGTGGGCCAGTTCGCGACGACTCTCCTCTCCGAGTGAAATACCGCGACGAGGACGGCGACCTCGTATCCCTTGGTTCTACGGAAGACGTTCAAATCGCGTTCGAGTCGAACCCAGGAAGTCAAGTTGTCCTATATGTGATGTGAGGCATCTCTTGCCTCGTTGCCTTCTCGTTTCCCTGTCTGTTCTCTATTGCCTATCCTATCGTCTACCTGATCATATTCGACATTCTCATGCACATTTCACCATCCGACCGGAACTATCACACACTCCTTTGCTTTCTATGTATCATGTTTATGCAAGCCTCACACTCCTTCCCGTTTTCTTATCCGTCATTCACTTCACTCTCGTCCGACTCCAATGTTTCATAGGGCCTTTGGAGCTCGGTAGGTCATACATTCCTCACCTATACATTGAGGTTTTGCCCTTTATCATCGCACCCTGGAATCCTCGTCTTTTCGCCTGGGCAGTCAATCTACTTATCTAAAACTCGGAGCATCGGTCATGTGTAATTGTTACTAGAGTACTGCATTTCCTGCTATAAGTCTCAATATACTATGTTTCATTCCAAAAAGACTGAACATTGTAGTAGAAAGTACAACGTGTATGTTTGTATATATGCAGGCCTGTCTGTTGGCTTTATGTAACAGAGTATCGAAGACAAGATGCTCATTTCTAGAGGGCGTCGGGGGATACATCACCCAAAGTGTTTAAGTCTGCGGTGCTGTATGCGCTGTACAAGGAACGGGTTTCGTCACCCCACTCGGATTGTGAGTCAATCGTTTCCTAGGGCGACGATAAGCAACAATGCGGTCTACGACAAGTGACACTTACATCAAAGTAGTGGCGGACCACACTGCGAGGGGCTGTGATACGTGTAGTAATCAGTGGCGTGTTCTTTGTTACAAATGAAACCTGCGTACTCTTCGGTGTCCTCGGGAGACGACAGCTCGCTCCAGTCTGCAGGATATGGTACGCAACGAGCCCTGACCTGATGATCACATAAGTTGCCAGCTTTGAATGAACCAAACGAGGATGCTCACCAGCCGGTTTGATGAGATGCACCCAGGCCTCGTCCGCTGTCCCCGTGGAAGAACTATCACAGGTTGCATTTCAGCTCATTGGTAACCCGGCTATGCAGCGATGGTCATACCTCGTGGAACCATACATAGTCCCGGAAATGAGGGTCCGAGTCCAGCTTGGTATCACCTCCGTTAGTAGCGCGTCGACCCTCCATGTCACGACCGAAGATGTGGATGATGCGATGTTGAATTTCTTCGGCGACCTCAAGGAGGTTCAAGTATTCACCACTGCCGGTGGGACATTCGACCTGAAGGTCCTCGCCGTAGTACTGGTAGAAACGTTGCAGACTCTCGATGAGCAAGAAGTTGACGGCAAGCCCTTGATTCTTGTCAGTAATCATTCGCGATCGCACCTTGGGCAACTCACAGATAGGACCTCTCCAGTTAGAATTGCCGCCGAACATTCCTGAAAAGGAATCACCAGGCCAGTAGCCGACTTCGTACCACTGGCCATGAACGCTCATGCCCCACGGGTGGTCCTTGTGGCGCTTGGATAATCTGAAAGTATCGTTAGATCTCGAGTTCACACACAGCAATGATAGTCACGAACGATCGAATGCCGTATTCGCTGAAGAACTCGTCTTCATCGAGCATCTTCTCCAGGATGCGCACCAGTCGATCCTTGTCTGCAAGGGCCAAAAGGCGTCGCTCACCTCTTCCACGGACTAGAAGACGATGAATATCAAAATGAGGGCAAAGAAAATATGACTCCTTACCTCTCATGTTGGCCATGTTTCTGGCGGAGACTTCGGGTCGGTTGTCGATGAACCACTCCATGCGCTTCTTAAATCCAGGCAAGCGGTTGATGACAGCGGGCTCCAGCACGAGTGTGGCATATAGAGGAATGAGGCCGACAAGACTCCGCACGGGAAGCTGAAGAGAGTTGTTTGCACCGAAATCGATGACATCGTAGTAGAGACCGTCCTCTTCGTTCCAAAGAGTCGCTTCATCATTGCCTTGATGGTAGGTCATGGCATCTGCAATGAAGATGAAGTGCTCAAAGAATTTCGAAGCAATATCCTCATAGACAGAGTTGTGCTTGGCTAGCTCAAGGGCCATATTGAGCCTGTCAAGAAATGAGGGGATATTCTGCTCTGCATTTATGATAACCCACATGTTCAGAGCGTAGAAAGCCATCCACGCTGTTCCGTCGGCTTGACGCAAGTTACCACCAGTAGGAAGAGGCTCAGAGCGATTGAAGACACCAATGTTGTCCAAACCCAAGAAGCCTCCTTCGAAGACATTCTTGCCATCCTTATCCTTTCGGTTGACCCACCAGGTAAAGTTGATCAAAAGTTTTTGGAAGACACGCTCCAAGAATTTAAGGTCCTCCTTCCCAGTTAGTTTTCTTTCAATCTTGAAAACTCGGAAGGTCGCCCTGCGTCATTGTTAGAACCCATCCACGATAATATGGTTTCCGTTTAAGGAATACACACCAAGCATGCACAGGGGGGTTAACATCGCTGAAGTTCCACTCGTAGGCAGGGATCTGTCCATCGGGTTTCATGTACCACTCCCGGGTAAAAAGATCAAGCTGCTTCTTTGCAAAGGCAGGGTCCACGACCGCCAGCGGGATGCAGTGGAACGCTGTGTCCCAGGCAGCAAAGAAAGGGTATTCCCATCTGTCACATTGTCAGCCAACGAGGCAAGCGCGGCAAACTCGAGTGGCTCACTTGTCAGGCATCGACAAGATATCCTCAGCGTGCATATGACGCCAGTCCTGAGTAAAGTGTTGGTGAATGGTGATGTAGTCGAACAAATTAACGCACTTGGTTTCTGATGTGTTTGCGATTGGAAGGGGGAGGCGGTTGAGCAGGATCGCCTTCGCTCCATTCCTTGTGAATGAACTGGTAGTATTGCTTGGTCCATAGCATGCCTCCCAGAGCTTGTCGCATGATCTGCTTGAGGTCATCGCTGATCGGACCCAGAGCTAGCGAATTGTAGAATTCGTCAGCTTCCTCCCTGCGCTCCTCGACAAGGTCATCGAAAAGGCCTTCATCTTCTAGATCAGGGTTCTTTGACGGCGAAAGGTGCGTCAGCTTGAGACGCACGACAGCGCAGCCTCCGCCGGGGACATCGCGGAAAGTGTAATGCGCTGCAGACTTTGTACCTTTCTTGCTCTCGTAAACAAAGCTATCGCCCTTGCTGCTGGACGGTCGGTGAGAAGGGATTATGTGGTCATGGAATGCATCTTTGGTGCACTTCCCCCCGTTATCACCACTGTACAGCCTTTGGAAGTTGGTATCGTTGTCGGTGAAGAGCAGCTCAGGCGCGATTCCGTCTTCCGCATCTCCTGTGAAGTTGCCATCTGGTCCAACGGGAGGCGGTGATGCGAGACAGTACATGTAAAACTTGGACATCTCAGGGTGGCGGGCGGTGATATAGTCGGTCTCGTTGCTGGTCTTGGAAGCGGTGAGCGATGGAATGGATATGTCGCCGGCGGGCCATGCCCAGGTATTTCTGAACCACAGTTGAGGGACGACATGAAGTGTGGCGGGATCGGGACCACGATTATAGCTCGTGATGCGAATCTGGATGGAATCGGGGTCGTCCTCATCCTTCGCGTACTACAACGACAATATATTGAGTGAGAAGCGCCATTTATGAACGGGAAGATGGTTACCTCCATGAAGACATCCCAGTAGCGGTCCTCGTCGAATGCATCGGTATCGAGAATCTCGAACTCGGGGACATCGCGATCACGTTGCATGTTTTCCGAAACGAGTTCTTCATAGGGATATCTGCGTTGGGGGTACTTGTAGAGGAACTTCATGTAGGAGTGGGTGGGAGTGGAATCAAGGTAATAGTAGACTTCCTTGACGTCCTCGCCATGATTTCCTTGGTGACCCGTTACGCCAAAGAGGCGCTCTTTGAGAATGGGGTCCTGCTCGTTCCATAGAGAGAGGGAGAAGCAGAGGCGTTGATGGTTATCGGATATGCCACCGAGACCGTCCTCTCCCCACCTATAGGCACGGGAACGGGCATGCTCGTGAGGAAAGTGAGACCAAGCGTCGCCATTGTCCGAGTAATCTTCACGGACTGTGGCCTACAGAGAATGAGCTCTCATCGAGAAAGAAAAGGTCAAGGTGGTTTACCCATTGGCGATCACTGAGGTAGGGACCCCATCGTTTCCAGTGGCGCTTCCTGTTCTCATCCTGTTCAAGACGATACTTTTCTGCGCCCTGATATGCTTCTGGTTGGAGTTCCTTTAGCCTTGCACGATATGGTTTCTGTTGGGCACTGGCACCGCTGGGAGATACGGTAGGGGGCTTTTGAGTATTTGTCTTTGGCTGGACTGAGGTAGAGTTGGGTTGAGAAGGCTTGGGGATCTGGATAGTGAGGCCAGCAGAATCAGAAGGGCGAGTGTCTAGTGAAGGGGGAGGTGAAGGGCCGGTCTTTTTGACGTTCTGGGGAGTGCTAGGACCGGCACCTGCAGCCTTGAAAATTCTCTCTTGGAGGGATTTGACACCCTTGGGACCATTTGAGGCCATGTGTGGAAGGGGGAGAGGCAGAGGCTGGGAGAGGAAGGAGTAGAGAAATTGTCCTTTATCGTGAACTCATATGAACTTCTGACGTCAATTGCACCTTTGCCGACTTATCAGCAGCCGCATCAAGACCTGACACATCCGTTCAACTCCCGACAAAAAGTGTAGTAAGAATATTTGTATACAGCCACGTTCCTCAGCTGCAGTCGGGGATGTGGTGAGTCGAGACTCGGCGGGAAACGAGGCCCAGGCCCAAAATAGGCACTCCCTCGTCGCGTCGTCGTAGTCGTGACGCGTGCCAGTGGGGGGTTGCGCGTCGGGTGTCGTTCATCCTCTATCCCACCCCACCATCCTTTCTTTCTTCCGCACCTGTCGCGATCTCAATCAACCAAGTCGACTGTTCCTCATACCGGATCTCTCCCAGTACGAATGACCCCTTTCACCCAAATTAAAACTCCCAAACATGATGCATGATTATATGCATAAGTGGCGTCGCGCGCGGTTCTGGTCTCGCAATCGCGGCTTGCACCTCAAACTCTGTTGTGCAATAGTCATCGAACTCAATCCATCTTGCGGGCTTTTTAAACACCAACTGTACATTTATACCTTTCAGGCTCAAGGATGAGTAGAGGATCCAGAGTGGGGACCCACCCAGTTATCCACATCTTTATGTAACTCAAATTAATCGCCTACGCAGTCCGAGCTCTTGCAGCGTTCCCCTTTTCAATCTATTTGATTCTGTCATATTTTCAGACTGAAGCAGACCACGGTTGCCATAGACCTTACGCCCAGCATGCTGATACTTTGCAGAAGGGCACATTGCACGGCTCCCATGGCAAGAGGGTTGAATGATTAGGAATCTATTCACGGATGGATCTAACCAAGCGTTTACCAGTCCTGCAGCGCAGTCAGGCCTTCTGATGAATCTAATCAACCCGTTTTCGCAAACTTGAGCTAGTCTGGGCTTCATCTCAAGGTGCACTGTTGCAATGGAACTGAAACCAAGGCCAGATTGTGTTCATCCCATTCCCGGCCATCAACATGAGGCTACAAACCATCGCAGTGCCGATTAAAAACATCTCTGAGCATGGCACTCTAGGAGGAAGATTGAGCAATCCTACTTTTGCCATCACACCAAGTCAAAGATGTTTGGCTCATCACCGACTAAGTCGCATCGAATTTTCGTCGTAAATAGGGATGTGTCATTCCCCTGAGATTCCGCAAGACAACAGAGCTGGTACTAACGTATCCGGGATAAATGAGTATCTGTGAGTGATGAGGCTGGGAGGGTATATATATCGCGATTAAGATATTTTATGCAAGCTACCCAACACCAGCGTGTGAAGAGACGACGACAACCGAGAGACTCGCTGCTCGGAGGCGTCACATAGACAAGTCCATGAATGAAGGGTCGAAAAAAAGTCAAGTAAACAAGAAAAGGGAAAACGTTAGATTGAGTATTCGCTCATAGTGGCGAGGTACTATGAATTAGCACCAGCAGCCATGAGGACACTTCTTGTCCAATCTTCTTCATCGCCACACTCGTTATCACGAATGGTAAAGTCCAAATACGTCGTTGACGCTATTGAGTGCCGGGAAAGCGAGCGAGAAGGGGATACCGATGTCGGCCGGCCTCGGGGGGCGTTCAAATCCCCGGCCAACGCCTCTGACGCACATTTACGGGTCGCAGGCTTGGCGGTGGGGCTATCCGACGCAGCGGTGGCTTCAAGCTGACTCGGGCTCTCGTCATTGTCGATACCCAAAGCGAGAGAGATTGACGATGAGTCGATGGCGGTGTTCAGCACAGGTGGATTGGCAGATCTACTAGACTGAGGTGCCGTGAACAGGGAGCCGGTGGACCCAGATGTCGCTACTGAGTGAACCTGGGAACGCCTCGAAGGCGACAACATCATCGACGAAGTCGCAGATTGCGGCACCGGTGAATCGGATGCGGTGTCCGGATTCGACATGGTCATCTTTGAAAAGAGTAAGTGCAAAGACGGCTTTCGCAACAAAGCCTTCGAGACAAGTGAGTTCGACCTCGACGCTTGTCGCGGTTGTGATGTTGTGATGGAAAGAGACGGTTGCGATCGCTGATGGGCCACAGCTGGCCGTGTCAGAGTATCGTCTGATGACGGAAACTCAATGCGGTCGAATGAAGGGACTTGAGATGGCGGGGCAGTGATAGGCAGAGGGATGTTGGCAGGTGCGATAGGCTGGCTAAGGTCATTTTCGTGCCCAGACAACTCGTCGCCCAGAGGCAGAGGCTTGGTGTTGTGACTGGGAGAAGCGGACAGCATAGACGGAGTCGAGAGCGTATCCGCAGAGGACGAGAGGGAGGGAGGGGAGTTGACGTTCAATGGACCATATTCCAGACCCGGAGTCGAGAGCCTTGAGGATGATGAAACACTGTCATCGTTCGACGTTCTTGGGGAGGTTTCATCAGCAACCTCGGAGTGAGGGCTGGCCTCTAAGGAGGTAGACGGCGCCGGTGGTTGGTCATCAGATATGCAATCCAAATACAACGTTTCCGGAGGGTTCTGAGGATTTCTGCGAGGGATTTGAGGTAGAGGCCTGACTGTACGACCCGTCCTAGATGCTCCGGCCATATTGGCCTCGTCCTCCTGAGGCACGTCATTTACGCCCGGTTGAGTTTCTTCGTCCTGAATGGCACCCTCCCATATACCCTCGCTTTCACACAAAGCCTGCAATAGGGTAGGGTTCATGTTCAAGCTAGGACAAAGCACTAGTAGGAGATTGCTCATGGGCATCTTGGTCTCCTGTTTCCGTCTCGCGGTCTCGTTGATCAACTCAATGACCGTGAGGAGCAAGTCCCGGTTTTCTGCTGGAAGACGAGCGATAAGGTTAGACAAGGCACGTCGCAAGTATTCTGACGGTGGATTGGAGCCAGCAAAACCCGGAACAGCTAATGTAGAAAGGGATGGTGGTTTGCGCAGTCCAGCAAATCCAGGCTGACTGGGAGACCGAGCATGTTCTGGGGCATGAATCGAACCGTCAGCATGATTGCTACGGTCCGAAACCATCGCTGCTTCAAAGTAAGGCGATAGTCCATGGGTTAAGATGGGCTCCGGAACTGGTTGACGAGTTAGCACAGACTATGGGTAGGGTAAGGGCCCAGAACATACGCTCTCGAAGATACGCTTTGAAGACGGATGCGACAGCATGCGGATCGAAGTCGCCAGGCCCACATTCGGCGAGCTCGAAATCAGCACCTTTCAGAGTATATTCAGCAAAGAGATGGTAAGAATGTGTACTGATTTGGCGTACCGGTGTCAAACTCGGACCTCAGCTTCGATATGTGAGCAGGGCGCCCGCTGACCCTACGGAATCTCAGATCAGCCTCGGACGGGTTACAGCTAAGGTTGCAAGACCTTACCTGAATAAGCCCAGCTCCTGGACACCCCACGTCAAAAGATGCTGCGCGCATCGCACAACAATCGCAGGCAGCAGGCGCTCCTCGATTGTGGCTGTGTTCTTCCACTCGTAAGAACCCCCGTTTTGCTCTGCTTGTTCCAATGCAATCCGAATGGGCTCAATTGCAGTCTGCTTAACACACAGCCGGAGATCACGACCAAAAACCAGCCCTCCAGCGACACCAGCACCTCCTGGTGACATGCGCACCGGGCCCCGCAGGCGTTTCCCTAAGAATAGGGTGGATGAAGTGACGAAGCCATCCTGGTCCGATATAGATGACGACCCGTGAGAGCTAATACTCCAGCTTGCTGAAGACTGCGGATGGTGTTTACTGCGTCTGGAGTTGTGGGTAGACTCTGAGGGGCTCAGGCTGTTGCGCGACGTTGACTTGAACGGAGCAAAAGCACTTGGCCCTGAGCTAGCTGGGGAAATACGACCCGACGATGACGAGGACGTCCGGGAGCCCCACACACGGCCCATCTTTTCCACGGCGCGCCTAGCCAAGCCAGCTGCCGGAGCGAAGCTGGAGGTCACGCTGATAGCAGTATGGCGGAAACTGTTACCCGCATCCATCTGGCTTGTCGAAGACCGAGAGACGTGGTGAAGTTGATGGGAAGGACGGAGCTGCAAAGGTGTCGACGAAAGTGGTGTTGAGGGCATGAAGCCTGTAAATCTGGCCTCTGGTGAAACAACAGTGACAGGGTGCGGCCGCGGGGTCCGAACAGGCTCGGTAGACGAGAAGTTGGAAAAAGCTTCTAGGCTAGCGGAAGTAGGGATAGGTGTCGACTCAGACGGTGATAAACCCCTGATCGGTCCGAAACAGACAGACTGCGACCTTCTGTTGCGAGGAGTGAATAGAGAAGCACTAGAAGCATGAAGGGTAGAAGAACGTGTTATCTCTACTGGTCTCTCCGAGTCATCTTCTTCGACCATCGTGTTCTCCTCATCCGTCATGAATGCGCTCAGTCGCTTGCTTGAAGGTTGTACTGTGTGGGTGGAGTGTAGCGACTCGGCCATGGAAACGGGTCGGGAAGAGCGATTGCTAATGGAAAAGCCAGGTCTGATCGTATGGTGACTTATCGTAGAGTCGCTCTTACGCTTTCCCTCCTTACTCTCCGGCCTGTCGCCGTCCTTGTCTTTGCTGTCCACGCGACGCATAAAGTCGAGTGCAGGTGCCATACTTGGACTTGTGGGCATGACTGATGTGCGTCTGTCGACAGCACTGTTGATTTCCGTGGGCCGAGGTAAAGGCGAAGACTTGGGGGGGACGGGAGGAGGAACGGGAGATATGGGTGGCGGCACTGGTGTAGTTGCGGTGGAGGAAGAGCCCTTGCGATTGAACATGTGGGACGCTAACGAAAGCGTCAACTGTTTGGCCAATGGGTGCCGTTGCGGAGTACCCGGCGCGGCCGTGGTGTCATTGAGGTTGACATCCCTGCTGGCATTGGACTTGTGAGGAGATGAGGGAGCATCTGCTCTCTTCCTCCTCGCGCCAAACGCGCTCTTGAGCTTGAAGGCAGCGCCAGAGCTGGACGCTGGTGGTGAGCCGGGTTGAGAATGCGTGTCTCGGGGGCGACTGATGACCTGGCCCATGTCAGAGGAAGAGGGAGCGGGGGAAGGAAGGGGAGAAGAAATGCCCTGGAGAGTGGGCTTGTGTGCGGGGGGAGATGGAGGAGAGAGATCAGCAGGCGTGATATCAGACTGGCTCGAATTGGATGGGGGTGAGGCAGGCAGCAGCATGTCTGGATCTGAAGGGGTAGATGAGGACAACGAGGAGAGGGAAGACGAAGAAGCGGCGAAAGTGGCGTTCATTTTCGGCGGGTGGGAGGAGGAGGGCGATTGATATTGAGGCCTGGAATGCATGCTGGCGACGGGATAGAGTTTGGATTGACAGACAAGAAAGATAAACGAGCAAGGATAGCGGTGAGATAATTATGGCCTCGAGAGCTGGGGGGAGAGCAAAGTGAGCAACGAGCTGGGGTTAGAGCCGAGGAGCTGGAGCTGGCATGTGGGGTGCTAGCAGAAAATTGCAACGCGGTAGGAGCGAGGCACTAGATGCTCGGGAGGGAGGGGTGAAGGTAAGAGAGACTGACCATGTAAGTACAGGGAAAGATTGAAGGAGCGGAGGGTTGAGATGGCAGTTTTGTTGCTACCGTGTGTGATGATACGTGGCCAGGCTGTCTGGGGAGGATAACGGGTCTGTGGTCAGAGCATGGATGACTTGTCGCTGCCGACTTCGCTTGATGATATCTAACAACTTCAACTCCAATAACCAAACGACAACTCCAACTTTCCCGCACTCTAAACACAGCTCCCAGCCTGGCAACCGTCAATGAATCCACCCATTCGGGTCATTCCGCTCTTCGGTCCGCTACTGGCCCGCAACGGCTCCGTCTCTTCATTCCACTGCGTCATCAAGAATCCATGTCCAAAATTAATCTTGCATCGCTTCATGCACATGTTTGAGACAAAAAAGTCTATTCTACAATACTACGAACTACGTAGGGTACTAATCAACTACGCTCAACCTCCAGAATAGCTTAAGCTTTCTACCTCCACCTACTTAAATCTATAGTGTTCTGCAACATCTACAGTTTCTCTACTACTCTTGTGTCAGAAAATCCTTCACCAGCTCGTATGTGAAGAACGACGTCGCTATGCTAGGTGCAACTTTCACTGTCCAAACCCAAATCATCATCAGAACATAGCATATCCACCAACAGCAATGCACTTACGCAAATTTGGCCACAATCCACGGTACAGCCCCTTGAGCCCCTCCGTCCGAACGATCGAAAAAAGCGCGTCAAACGCCCCATTATATTTCGCCATCCCTCCCGATTTCATCCCCGTCACTTGCATTTTTCTTCGCAGCACGTCAAATGGATATGTCAGCGTCTGGGATATTGACCCTTTCACCAATAATCAGCCATCAGCCACATATCGTTCTGACTTCAGACTTACCAGCAAGAGCACCACATGCCAGTTTCCGGACCACAGTATTCTTGCCAGGCGGGGTAACGACACCTCGGAGGGCCTCGTATGCCGCAAAGTTGATTCCAACGTAAGGCGCTACGCCCACCGCGGTGGCGACGAGCCCCCGATACAGTGCACGGACACCGCCTTCTTCACGCATCACCTTCAGTGTCATAGCCTGCATTGTCAACTCCGACTTCAGCACTGGTGGTATGGAGCTTTGCGTGTGGATGCCCGCCGTCAGTGGGGGTCGCGAGGAGGAAGCCGACACCTGTGAGGCTTGTTGGTGCATCACGGATGCAGTGGCAATGGACAATCGTGACCGAACGAGGTCAAGGGGGTATGTGGAGCCTTGAAGCGGGTTCAGAGACGTGTCCCTCTAGAATCGAACATACGTACAGACAGATGTTATTCCTGCAAGAGCACCGCTGGCGAGCCGTTTTGGGGTATCAAGTTCTAAAGTTCCATAGCCGGTGAACCACTACAGGTCAATAATGAGCCGAGACCCAAAATGCATCTGTGTGGGCTGCTCACCTTTTTCAATTGCTCATAGGTAGTGAACTGGACGGCACTGTAAGGTACAATGCGTAAACAGTTGATTCCATTTCCGCGCATATAACCCTTGAAGCCTTCCTCCTGCCACATGCGGACCAGACTTCTCCATACGCCCTTGTACTCTCGACCAGACCCTCTGGGTTGGACTTGCCTATGAAGAGCGTCGTACGCACAAGTAAAAACGGTGAAGCTCGTGAAAGGGAGCAAAAGGGAACGGACTGAATAATTTTGAGGCGCTCCAAAGGGCTGACTACTGTGCGGGACGCTGCACCAGCTACACCTCCTGCAATGAAGTAGGACGCGATCTCGGGTGTAAAGAACTGATATGTCTTGACGGATTTAGGCACCGCATGCTTGGATTCAAGGGAAGACGATGAAGAGGTTGTGGACGTCATTGTAGCCGGATGTGACAAAACATAAGGAGATGGTTGGTGTGATTGAAACGAGTGTGTCGAATGAAAAGAGCCAGGTGCGGAATGGCGGTGATAGCGTCCCGGGTCGGGGCCGGGTGAGGAGAGCAAGAGTCGGAACTCGAGAGAAGTCGCGTGCCAAATCCCAATGAGGCACAAGTACTCGCTGCATGGCATACACGTGATTCACACTGCAGAAACAAGCTCAGTACTTCTTCCCGCCGAAGGACTCCCGCGAATCGGGAACATCACTTTGTTTAGCTCAACCACCTCCATTCGTCCCACAGAGACGACACAAATAGAAGAAGCCCGGATGTAAGCAACCGTTCGAGGTGCAAGGATACAAGCGTATATAAGGACAGGAAGATTTAACTAGATAATCGACGCGTAGTAGACCAAGTGCAGGTTTACTAGTCGTGGATAGCCTGCACATAATTTGGTGGAGGCATATCCGCTATCGTGTCAGAAGCAGAGATGCGCCGACTCCCACCCGCCTGGACCGCTCCTGACACCGCGCTTCCGCCAGCCTTTTCGCTGGCAAACGGCGATGGTCCGGCAGGAGCTTCAGGTAATGGTCGTCGCACAGGCTGGAACACAGCGTCAGCCATATTACTCTCCGAGTCGCTCATAAAAACACACCTCTTCGTGACGCGCCACAGTTGATTGTGACACCGATCGTGACGGAGTCAACACCGTATCTTCCATCCGAGGCTCTCTGGCGTACTCTCCATGGTTGTAATCTGGGTAAGCCGTAACCTGCTGACTGCCCTGATATCCATAGTCTTGCGGGGATCGCAAATATGACGTGTGCGACACTGTGCTCGCGCCCGCGTACACGTCGTTGCGAACGAGATTAGAATTACTCCGAGTCTCGGTGGCGTAAGAAGACCCGCCGGTAGAGTAGTGTGGCTGTCTTGGATCACGCTGAGGCGAGTATACTCGGTATAGGTCGTTGCGCGCGGCCTCCGCCATTTTCCACCGCCGGAAGAACAGTACAGCTAGAGCTGCGCCAATCAATGCCGCAACTATAGGTATGACAATGCCAGCTATTGCTCCAGGGGGTATTCTGCTACTCATTTGGGTACGCATTTAACTTTATTGTGACGATACCAAGAAAAGGCTTACTTCGTGTTGGTGGCAGCAAGAGAAAACTGGCCGCTTTTCAAACGTTACAATTAGCCTTATTATAGACAATCAGGATCCTTGCTTACCTGGCTACAGAATTCCCGCTACTCGCCAACGAAGAAATCAGAGCATAATCGATATTCAAGAATTGAACGGTAGATTCGGGGAGATTGACGAGATTAAGTTGATGTTGCCCGGACCCAAGGTTGTCCGCGTGATAGAGCATGCTCCGATAGTAGGTCATCTGTCTTGTAGCGTTGAACGACGTGGGGGGTCCATTGTCAAGTGCTACAGAGTATTGCCCATTGTTGGGGCCTACAGTCCCGAAGACAGATACGATATCCCCTTGAAGAAGGGGTTGTTAGCGAGGCCCGAGGTTTACGCCAAGGAATGTACCCTGCATAAAGTTGTCGTTATAATGTATAGATAGAGACAGACTGAATAGCTTACAGTAAAAGTGAGGGTCACTGAAGCATTTTCGACACTGGTCGAGCTGATAAAGTCCTAAGTAAGGTAGAAATGCAAACGATCGCGTCTGGCAGACTTACTGCCCGGAACCTTGGCTGTAGAACATGGCATTAGGAGGGTCAGTGGTCCACACTGACTGATAGTTGAACCCGGGGTCGGTATCTTCGACCGTCACTGTTGCTAGTTGTTCTGAATCAGACCCCACTTCCGAATCCCACACGACCTGCAGGGTCTTGGCTCAGCAACTCAAAGAGAATTGCATCATGATGGCCACGCACCAAATCAATGTCTACAAATGTATTTGTTCCCGATCCAGTGTTGGTGAGAGAAACATTGTGCATTCCTTGCGACAATCCCGTGCCATTGAACAGAGCCTGCTGAAATAGCGAGTTCGCGGAGTTGCCTTCAATGTTTGAAAATGTTTTGCCATCCACTTCAATGCTGTAGGTGCCGTGGTTGGGCCGTTTGGAGCCAAAAATGTAGAAGGAAGTGCCGTTGAAGGAAAAGCTTGCTTGAGCGTTGGTGACGTTCGTATCTGTGAAGGTGCCCAAGAAATAACTGGTGACAGGAGCGAGAGCAAGTTGAGTATCATAGGATTAGAGCGGTCGCGTGTCAACTGAGACGTACTCGCTGGCGTCGTTGTCGTCGGCCGAGGTTCCGGGGATCCAAGAGGGATCGTAAGTGATCAAGGGCGAAGTATCATCAATGAGCGTTGTGACCAGCGGCATGGCTTGGGGAAGGGGAGCGGGTAAGAGGAGAGGAAAAGCGCCTGTGAACGAGAGTATCTGGCTTGTACGAGTCGTGCAGGCTCTAGTTCCCCCGTCTGTAGCCCAAGTTTAGGATCGGTGCAGACCAGGTCCTTACCCTGACTCCGTTACAACGGGGCTTGGAGACATGGCGCCGCATCAATGGTCGAAAAGCTTTGGGTGATGAGTTGATGATGAGATTCATGCCTGGGAGAAATTGGTGAGAGACATAAGCCGGAAGGCAGTGCGAAGCTTGGAAATGCACGCTGGCCTACGCTAGCTCGCGCTGGAACATGCTCTCAACGCCGAGTTTAGAATGGCCACGGACATGCATATGGATGATGGCTTGCATCATAGCTCAACGCGATTGGTCAATATTGCCTCCGCTGTCAGCGATCATCCCAATATTGACAGCAGCATTTGACATTCCCGCCATTTCGACGGGTTTCGACAGGTTTCGACTCGACTTCCTCGCGACGACCGACGCTGACGTCGATCACGATCAACACTAGAGTAGACCTGCGGAGTGTCATACTTCTGGTAAATGCATACAAGTGCATATAGTAACGCGCTGTTCGAACTCTCATACATCCGCTCGTCAAGTGGCATATCTGGCGTTTCAGCATGCCTGCATTCTCAGGACTAGTACTGTGAGACAACGCAAGTCAATATAACCCAGTTATCATTATGATATCACACGACGCCATGTTAACCACCAACAGAACGTAGTAAGTTTGGGCCAGGCAAGAATACTTGTGCCCACCCGAGGTCCCCGAGATACATATGGCTGGGACCAAAAACAGGGTTGATCCCCATGTTCCCCCACAGCGTGAGAGACTAGCCATATGCAACTGCCCAAGAGGTCGGTATGTACAATGAAATGACAACAGTTCAATCAAAACTCCAGGGTCTAGTACAGATGTCATATTATTGATCAAGAGAAACTAAGCGCTACACGAAATAGGCACGGATGCAACGGTGGAGAAAACAGATGTAACAAGATAATTCTGCGCCTTTGCGCCAACAGAAGAAAGCCACTCATCGACGTCACTTTCACGAAGGTGGAGCCTCGCGTCGCTCCTGGAATCCTGCTGACGATCTCAGCCACGATGACAAGGTAGCTCAAAGTTCTCACATACCTCCTCTGTCTCCTCTATCTCCTCTATCACCTCGTTCGCCTCGTCCACCTCGTCCACCTCGCTCGCCTCGTCCGCCTCTGTCGCCTCTGTTTCCTCGTTCGCCTCTTTCGCCTCTGTCGCCTCTGTCTCTTCTATCTCCTCGTTCTCCTCGTTCTCCTCTGTCGCCTCTGTCACCACCACGTCCTCGTTCTCCTCTGTCCTCTCTGTCACCACCACGTCCTCGTCCTCGGCCACCCCTGTGATTGTCATCTGACGGTGACCGCCAGTCACCATCAGATCGGCGAGGGCCTAGAACCGATCTCAACACTCCGGAGCCACACTAGGGTTGTTATGCGTACCTCCACGACCACCCAGGCCTCGTTCTCCCCGGAATTCGCCTCGCCCCCGACCACGTTCTCCTCGGAACTCACCCCGTCCCCGACCTCGTTCTCCTCTGAATCCCCCTCGACCCCGGCCACGACCTCTGTGCTGACCGTCGCTGTCACTTCGCTGCCTTTCATGCGACGGCTCAGCGGGAGGGGGACTTGTACCAATGTTCTCAGCTAAGGGTGTCGCAGCTCCGGATGGTGCAAACGTTGCCTGTAAGGTGGCTATGGAAGGGAGACCACCCTCCTCATCAGCCCAATCTAGAGCGCCATTGGGAGCAGGAGTATCGGCCTGTCACCTATCAGCGTCGAGAGATAAACTAAACGAAAACCCGATAATTACCGGCTGCCCATTCGAAGGAACATCGATAGATGGATCAGTGACAGCCACGTCCTCTACCTGGCTTTCGAGTGAGTTAGCTTCAGTGGAAGTACTTGGCTTCTCGACCAATTCAGCGCTTTCGAAGCTGGGCCCATCAAGTTCACTGGCTTGCATGAAGTGGAAACCGCTAGAACCATTTGTTGGTGCACCGGCAGCAGTCATTGATATGGGCGGTGTTCCTGGCGCAAGTACTGCAGCGTCGCCCTCGTGGATACTTTCTGCATCTGTAGGCAAAGGGCTAGGCTCCCGTACTGGGTGCAAGAAAGAAGATACAATGTCCAGTATTCTCGCGTCTGCAACGTAATGAGAACGAGTATGGAGGAAGGTTGACGGGGCACTTACAAGCAACTTCATTGAAGCTCCCTTCACCAGACATCAAGCCATCCACGACATCACGTTTTGCCTCGCTGTCCACACCAAGAAGTGTGTCAGTAACGCCGAAGATAGCACTCCCTTCGATATCGTTGAAATCAAGGGCAGACGAGATTGCTCCTGTGGCGAGCGACGAGCGGAGGCGTATAAGGGAGAATATTGACAGGGTCCCGTCGATACAAGACGCCTGGTACTTGATCAACGGACAATCCAGTTAGTTCAGGATGCTGTTCACCTTTGTCACAGATATTGCTTCCGAAATACGCGCTTGTTCGGCACGTTTTGCTTCCGCTTTTTGGAGAGCAAGTTCGCGTCCATAATCTGCTTCGTGAGCCTAGCACCACATATAAGAATCACAGGATCAAGGGTACAATTGACGGATAGAAGATACCTCGATTGCCTTCTTGACATCGTCCAGCTCCTTATGAACCGCTTCAAGAGCTGGCAGTGTCTTGAGAGTGCGTTTCTGATCGTCGTTCAGCTTCTCGTACTCGATGGAGGCATAACTGGATATGCGAGTCTAGGGAGATGAGGATCGTGAATGATGGAAGATATGACGCGAGCAGGCTCACTATTTTTTTGCCCAAAGCTTTGGTACGCTTTTGAATAAGCTCAGCGACAGGGCTCGGTTTGGGACTATTGTCATCCGTGACACTCTCGTTTTCTGGTTGGACGACGAGTTCGGGAGCAACTGAACCTTCCTGTATATCAGTCGCGTCTGGTGCACGCTCAACAAGGGCCGCTGCGGTGGAATCGGGGATAGCGACAGGAGGCTCGATGGGGGAATCAACGGCTTTGGATTTGGTGGTCTTGCGCTTCTTTCTCTGAGACGTAGAACCGAGGGGAGGAGCACCTGGTACGAGGCGAGGGGTGGACACTGGAGTGGTTAGTTCAGTCATGGCAAAGGATGGCGAGGGAGACAAGCAGGCAGCTAAACACTAGGGCTAAGAACTTGGTGGCTTTTAGGTTCAGGTCAAGTTATGCAGTTGGTGATTCCAGTGTCCTAATTGCGTATGCGCCCTCGACCATCCACTTCCCACGCAAACTCAACCAAGTCCTTCACGCGACTCTCAGTTACACCTACACACATCCTATCCCACCGCCCCAAACATCTCTGAAAATGACTGTTGCGGCCGATTTCAGCACTAACAGACACTCTACTCCGATCATCAAGCAGCCCGTCACAGAAAGTCCTCCGGTCAGGCACGCTGATCTCTGCTTTAACGATGGAAATGTCGCCGTCCTTGCCGCGGAGCAGCTCTTCATCGTCCACAGAGGCCTTCTCTCCAGAAACTCAGACATCTTCAGGAGACTGCTTGAATCTACGGATTCTGCTTGCGATGAACTCGAAGGACGGCCTGTACTCCGCCTCTCTGATCGTCCCGATTACGTCTCGTACTTGCTCCGAGCCCTATACGATGGAATGTAGGTGGCTGATTCCTTTCCAACTTTTTCATATTTACATTTGTTAGCTCCTTCCTCGCGTACGATGCCGAGGGGTTCCCTGTCCTTGCGGGCTTGCTTCGGCTGCTTACCAAATACCAAATATTACGCATCCGAGGCGACGTTCTTCGCGGCCTTGCTGCTATATGGCCCACGGCTCTTGCACAATGGGAAGCTCGCGAAGGCAATATCACCGATGCACAGGGGCTGTATTCCCCCCATAAGGTGTTCCCCCACCCAATGCAAGTACTTTGCGTTTACTTCTACTCCTTACCTTCATGGTCCCTTGCAGAGATGTCATCAATCTGGCTCGGGAGATAGGTTTTCATCAAGTCCTTCCGGCGGCAATGTACGACCTCTCTCGGTATAATCCTAGCGATACCGCTGCTGGTCACCTCTCTTGGGATGGCTCCATGTCTATGCTCACTCGCGAAGATCTTTTGAATGTGCTACGGGGCCGAGAGCACGCTTCGCGCTTCTTCTCTACCTTCATCGTGAACGAGCTGGAAGGTCGGAAACCTTCTTCGTGGTGCTTCCGACGCAAGGACGACAAGAGCCATGAGAGGCGTGCTTGTCAGATCGCTTTTGAGGCTATCACGTTCGAGTTACTCCGGGACGTCAATGGCGTCATCAGCAACCGTCCCTCCGACCCTCTCTACGCTATAGCGGACGCTGAACTCATCCAGCTCAAGGATGATTTAGTGGGCAACGATGGACTTTCTGCCATGAAGACCTGCGAGGCGTGCCGAGCTGAATTCAGCGTTTCCGTGGAAGCTGTTCGAGAGGAGTTCTGGCGGAAGCTTCCGACTTGGTTTGGAGTTGAGGTCCCTAACTGGGGATAACTGTATGACCTACATTCTACTTGCACTATACGTTCGTTTGTATCCCAGGCCGATCTGGAGAAGGATTGATTTCTTTTTGACTTTTTCGTCATGTGACCTGTGCGCGACCCGTGTTTGTATGCCCTTGTTGATGAGAAGCTTGCTCTTGCCCGATCGATCCCTCACAACTCCACTCAGTAAACACGGTTCAAGATCCTACAAGAGAGTATTCCGGCATGGAATTAGATGATACAGACATTGCTCGTATGTTTGAGCCTAGCACTTCGCAAGATGGGTCAGGCGCAGATAGTGAAGAGAGGTCGTTTATGCGACTATTGTCACACTCCATGGGCATGACTGAACCTTGTATCCTAGGGCAGAGATGTTGACATGCATAGAAGTCTTTGCTCATACTCTTCTCGACCAACTAAATGCGTCCCTCACACCGAAACCAAGAAAGAACCGGGCCGGCTCAGATCATGATGCTGACAGTGGTGCTAAAGTCGCGGGACTTCGCCTTGAACTTCTCAGTCGGAAGAGCAAGAGGTAGGGCCACAACGACGATTAGTAAACATCAGTCAGGAGTACGATGCTTATCTTCTTTCAGGGCTCGTGTTCTCATGTACCCTCGTAAAGCTCATACGAACAGTTCTCGATCATTGGGTGAGCATATATGCATACACTCTAATTTGCTCTAACTGAATTCACGACTTCTAAGCTCAAGTCCTTGGTGTGCTAAATTTGGTGCACGAAGCCATCAGTGGAGGATACACCACAACAAAACGGTAACGAGGCTAGCATAGCTCCTTGATCTCTATTCACTGGGACTGCAGCGATATCTACTACAAAGACGTGGAACTTTTCAAGTCGCAAGCAACAGTTGACAGGGTAAGAATAAATTACGTCTAGCTTACCAATGCTAAAGTCGCCGTATCGTCAGATAGTGGATGATGTAGCCGCCACTTTTGAAGCCGAGCGCTCAATGATGAACGTAGTGAGCACTTAACTTGTGCAGGATGTAGACCTTATTTCTTGATCATGTTATCAGCGCGCCACGTCAAAAGGCCTGCTGCTAGGAAATGGCCTGGAGATTCATTTGACTAGTAAGGATGTAATTTGCAGCAACGTCTCAGAGGTAGGATCATACATATAGACAACGAGATATTGACACCTGGCTCAGGGTATCCTTATACCCCCTGGAGAGGCAATTGAGCGCTTTGATATCACAGAAGTGCCATCTTGGATTCTTATTGTGGAAAAAGAGGTAACGAAACTTTCTCATTGTGGGCAAGTGATAGGCCGTTAAATTACTAACCGCATTAACTCAAGGCAGTTTTCCAAGGTTTATGTCAGTCGCAGTTTGCTTGTGACCCTTGGCTTCCGGGACATGGGTTCGTTATCACGGTATGATGTCGACAAGTATACATCTTGATAATTGAATGCTGAAAAGAAGTTCAGGGCAAAGGTTATCCCGACGTTGCCACCCGAGAGCTCTTGAAGACATTCGGAGACAATTTACCCGACAGGTAATGGTGGACTCTTACCAACTCACCGATAGCTGAATGACACTTTGAAAGCGTCCCTATCCTCGCTTTGGTTGACGGTGACCCACATGGCTTGGATATTTTATCAGTGTACAAATTTGGCAGTGCAAGCATGAAACATGAAGTTGACAAGCTAGCTGCAAATCGCATCGAGTCCGTTGGTATATGGGGATCCGAGCTTTCAGAGTGAGTTGGTCTGGACTATAGTGACGCGGGTTTTATCCTGACAGTTCAGTTTGGGTGTCGGCTTGAGTCAACTTATACCGATTACAAAACAAGACGAAGCTAAGGAAAGTCGCTTTTCAATGATGACAACAGGCTTTTATAAGTAATGGGCTATCTCCAGGCGCTCGCTATGCTTCAGCGTCCAGATTCCCTTATGCCTTCGAAGTGGAGGTCGGTTTCTTGACAATCTCGGAAGGCTCGGCGTCCAGTGCCTAATGCTGATCCACAGGAAGGAACTCGCACGAATGCTTCATTTACGTCGCAAGGCTGAGATTGAGGTATTGACTAGCCAGACGGAAGGGATATCTGGACGATCGGACGTGTCATTGCTGCTCCAATATCTCAGACGAAAGATAGTATATTTCGTAGACTTGTACACCAGCTTATGATCGGTAATCGGGGTATATAGCACGCCTATAACATTGTGTCGTCCTTTGTTAAAGTGATTCAAGCCCAGAGCGCTCTCCGAACCAACGACAAGAGGCGAACAAAAGAACATAGTCCAAGGATGAGTGTCTGTTAATTTCCGTAACAAAGCGCGCAAACGTTGCTCTAGTTAGTGTAAACAGGGGGAGGATCCAACGGCGCCTCAGTTGCATCCAAGCTGCCCTTGCGATGTTCCAGCTCCAACTGCTTCTGGTGTACTATCAAGCTTTCATGAGTGGATTTGCAGTACTCAGTTTCATGGTATTACCCCAGCCTGCCGTTGCCGAGTCCCTGACGCCCTATTACTGGTGAGTAGCTACTCCATGCAGACTTATTTCGCAACCTCACCACGTCCATAGGCTGCTCGTCCGGGACCATGGCCATGGAGATGATGATGATGATGACGACGACGATGATCACCACTCCAGCAGCTCGACTACCTCCTCGAGTAGCACCACCTCCTCGAGTACGACTACTACCTCGAGCACAACTACCACCTCCTTGAGCACGACTACTACATCATCTAAGACCAGGACCTCCTCTACAACTTCTGGGTCCTCGGACAGCTCATCCAGCCTGAGTGACTCCAGTGGGTCTTCATCATCTACCACCACTACCAGAGGGCAAGGTAGTAGCGACTCGTGCTCTGGAGATCAGTGCACTGCAACTTCGTCGCATGGTCTGAGCGCTTCTGCAAGAACTGGACTTGCCGTTGGCATCAGTACGTGTTCATTACGCCGTTCCCATGTCCTACTCACAGCGTCTGAACAGTTTTTGCATTCTTACTGGCAGCATGGGCGCTTTGGTGGTGGAGGAAAAGGCAACGAAACATCGAGAACGCTCGAGCTCTTTCTCAGTCTACTCCTCCCATTTCCTCGGAAGCCACGCGCTACGGACCTCCGGTTTCTACTTCGTTACGAGACGATCGGCCGCTCCCTCCATCCCCTCCTGAGATCATCGCACTCGCTACGTCGGCGGCGCGCTCAGAACAAGTTTCGCGTCATTCATCATACGCCACGACTGCGAGCAATGAGCCCCTTCTCAGCCCTGCAGACCGTTCCTATCCAGTATCGTCCTGGAATAGGCACGCTTCACTCTCACCTACCTTGGCTATGTCCCCAGCCTCATACAGCGAGACAACTCCGTTCCTTCCCAACCCACGTGATCCTTTCCTGAGCCAACCCCCTTCGACTTCTTCTCATCACTCGGCCTCACAAGGGTCTTCAACGAGTCGTCACTCAAACCATGCGACCTCGTTCACTCAGACCGACATAGCCCCTGGGCCTTCCCAATCGAGTCGCAGGCTATCAACCTTGAAAGACAACGGCAGAGGTCAACAGCGAGCCTCTGTTCTGCCCAGAGAAAGTACGCAAGGCTGCGAGCATGGTCTTGGGGATGTGTAAACCACGATTTATTTGGACGAGGGAAAAACAAGTGCGAGACCACGAGGTCAAGGGAACGTTTCGCAGAGATTGGTGGGAGTGTAGGGTGCCAGGTTAAATTTGGTCAAGTTAGAAAAGCATATTTACCCAGTATGTGAGAAGCAACGTCCTTGTGCAAGGCCAAGTTTTTCCAAGCAGACACCCCATAATAGCCGCACTAAATCCGAGAGAACGGCGATGACGGCACGATTTTTCGACCCTCAGCAGTCCGACATGAGAAAGAAAAATATGATTTGTTCCATGACCGTATCAAGTCGGAGCGACCGTCATAATCAGCAGCAGTTAGTATGTTGACCGAAACGAGGGATGGATTCAGCGGTCGGAGCAATGCTAATGAAAGAGGTTCGCGGCCAGCGAGATTGCGACTGAACTGCCGCCGGAGATGGAAAGAAGAGAAAGTACTGGCTCAAGGGTACCGGTAACTAACTTTGCGGCATAGATGGTGTATGGACGCGATGGGTTGCAGATGCTACCCGCCTGCGAAGTTGCGCGACCCTTAAAGTGTGTGGTGAGGTCGTGTATTGCCTCCGAAGTCAGAGAAAATCTCACGATCACATGACGAGAACAATGCGCGATTAATATTAATATAAGGATCGCGACCTACACGTGAGGTGAGCGCGACGCGACGCGTTGATGAATAGGGCGGAGTTTGAAAGCGTGACGAGACATATTACGCGCGAGTGACAGAGACCGCGACTAGCGCTGCTTGCCTCTGCTCTCTATACTCTGGGTTGCGCTGCTGTAGCTCATTTCTTTGCTCGTCTACCACATACTCCTTGTTACAGATTATTCATCCTATTCTTCCCACTTCCCCTACGCACATACACACTCTCATATTCCGCTCTCATTTTTTCGCTTCCTACCCGACGCCACGTCCGCTCTCCCAGCGACCATTGTCATTATGCAGACCAGATCTTCTGTCCTTGGAAAGCGCTCCCTTCAGCTCGACACATCCCTGTCGTCGCTTTCGTGCAGCTCCATCGACAGCATTAACTCGCTTCCCACTCCGGACCCGACACCCAAGTCAAAAAGAGCCCGGGTTTCTCCGGTGGTCGACGGCGATGCCAACAAGGAGAACGTCAAACCACTGGCTGCAACCCCCGTTAATGGATCATCCCCCGTCTTAAGACGCGCTTCTACTCTTACTAGGTCGTCTACGGAAATCATCACTCCAACGAGACCTCGAGCCAGTAAGTGATACACCATCACGTCTTTCTCACGTGTGACTTACTCTTCTGTTTATTCGAAGCGCGCCGGCATGTCTCTACCCCCAACATCAAAAGCGCTCCAAGCACGCCCTCGGCCAACGTTTCCCATTGGGCTCTCTCAACTCCCCCTCCTTCCCCGCCTCTTTCCCTCCTTCCTGTTTATGCCCGGGCTCGCGCACTGTTGCGATCGACGTGTACCGACTCCCATATGGCAGGCCGTGTAAATGAACGAGAGATCATTACCAGATTTGTCCATAGCTCTGAGGACACGACCGCACACCGCTGTCTCTATGTATCTGGTACGCCTGGCACCGGCAAAACTGCGCTGGTCTATAGCATTTTGCGATCACTCGATGTCTCGAATGTCGCTGTTGCTTTGATCAACTGTATGGGCTTGGGCAAAGTCGATGCTCTCTGGGATCGCCTATCTGATGAACTCAGCGGCTCCGGCTCTCAACCTCGACGGAAGCTGAAAGGCAAACAAGCCGTAGAGGCCATAATATCGTCCTTGAACCGACCTTGGTATGTTGATCGTTTTTGGGCACCTCAATCCTTCTGACTTGCGTTCGCCAGTGTCATACTGCTTGATGAGCTAGACCATGTCTCAGACACGAATGGGGCTCTCGAAGCCATCTTTTCTCTCCCTCGTGACCTGCCTATGCTACGCATTATTGGCATTGCAAACACGCATACCCTGACATCAGGTCCCGAGCATAAACTATCAGGCGTTCAAACACTTCACTTTCCTGCATACACATCTCCTGAACTTCTCATCATCCTCAAAGCACGCTTATCTTCTCTTTATGACTCGGCTTCAGACTCCGTGTCTGAGAAGCAGACACAAAAGCTGCTTCCTGAGAGCACTCTAACTCTTTTGTCGAAGAAAATTGCCTCGCAGACTGGAGATGTACGAGCCTTGTTCGAGGTACTCCGTAGCGCAATTGACCTTGCGGTCTCGGCCTCTAAAACAAAACCTGTGGAAAACCCCCTGGATACTCCCACTCCTACGGTCACCCCTCCCCTTATCCTCTCTGCTCTGAAGGCGTACCTACCGGCTGCATCCGCTCGCTCGGCTCCTCGGACGGCCACTCCTTCAGGTTCAGTAACAGTATCCAGTGAGACGGTTACCAAGATTCAAAATCTCGGACTTCAAGGGCGTTTTGTTCTCCTCTCTATTCTGCTCGCTTCGCAGCGTTGCGATGCTTCCCTGCCTCTTGGGTCATCACCAGCCACCACCCCAAGGTCGCCTGTTAAGCGTACCTCTTCCTCCAGTGCCGTGCAGTCTGGTCGTGCCAGTGGTCACGACCTCACTCACCTGCATGCCTACTATTCCAAGGTCCTCTCTCAAAGCGACGACTCCGGCCACCAAGCCGTCTCTCGCAGCGAGTTCAACGACCTCATCGGCGTCCTGGAAACAGTGGGTCTGGTCGTTATCTCCGGCTGCAATGTTGTGGGAATGGGGTCCCCGACTAAACCTGGTCGGAAGGGCTTTGGACGCTCCGCATCTTCAGGTGTCATTAAAGCTGTGGCACAGCGAGTCCAGCTCGTGGAGACTCTTCGGCAGGAAGAGATTCTACGTGGGCTTGGCATTCAGAATACATCTGAGGGGTCCACCGACGTGACCCAGGAGGAGATCCAGTCCATCTGGATCCACGAAAATTCCCGCATGAAGAAAGACATGAAAGCTCGTGTCATGCAAACAAATTCTGCAAGCAATACTTTTGAGGACGCTTGGGAGTCCTAATCAGCGCTTGGTATTTATTATGAAAAGTATGCTTCAGTTTTGTCCTTGTGCCGAGACATAGGTTAGTTGTACATTATTCCTAAGTTCTAGTACTAGTCATTCCCATTGTTTTGTATTCGTAATCCAGCAGTATGTAGATCGCAAGTAAGTTAGGCACCCTCAGTACGCATCCAATATCCACTCGTTATGCTTTGTTATGCAATCCATTGTTTTGATCACTCTTCTGTGTCCCACTTCTTGATTGTAACTTTTCTGCATGAGTCCACCAATCACTCAGGTCCAATCCAGTCATCAGTTGGTGCAGAGCTTCCAACCCCCCTGGTGCTTGTGAAAGGCCAGGCCCGGATCCTGAAGTCCGGCTCTGTAGCTGCAGCAACATGCCCTCGTCCCGGTTAAGCAAGTTCCGCAATCCTCTGGTCTACAACCCAAAGGTTAGTTGTGTAAGATCACTAGTTACTGAGCTGTAGGCCTACCATTTGCGCCATCTTGCTTTTGAACCGGCCATAGAGTTGCTCCAGTTGATGGGTTGCCTCATACTCTTTTAAACTGCCGCAGGACATGTCATTGAGCAGCATCGTGAATTCGAGCACAATTTCTATCCCATTCCTGAGTAGGTTGCCGACTGCTCGCTGTCCTGATCGCAGCAAGCAGGCGCTCAGAATGTCATCCAAGAGCGCAGAGTGCCTGTCGGCAAGCATAAAGACGTCTCTGAAGCCATGCTTCTCAGCCTCTTCAGCGCTACGCGAGGAAAGATCTAATTGACGAAGGAAAACATCGTAATTAGCGCCGATCGCGGTTCCCATCACGTAAGTCGACAGGTTGGATATGAATGAGTGAGCAACGAATCGGAAGTGGGAGAGGAGCTTATTTGATTTCGAGAAGGTAGGGAAGACAGGTGCTTGACTGTTTCTGGTGAGCCTGTAAGTGTACCGTATGGCTGCCTCAACTAAAACTCGATGTTAGTCAGCGAACTGATCGCCTGAGGAAACAATCACCTCTCGTAAGCCGAAGGACGAAAGCAAATACTCGTTGGTACTTCAGCAAACTTTCCGGAGTGATGACCACGTCCAGAGGGTGTGGTACTTTGTAATCTAGGTACAAAAAATCCAAAGCTCTGAATCGGTTCGGTGAGTAGCCACATTAGTAAATGAACTCGAAGGCGTACTCTATAGCTAACAGAAAGTTAGGAAAGGCAGGAATTTACATATGCACGTCACTCACAGCGAGGGTTCAGCCAGTTATCTCTCCCTGGGCCAACGGGAAGATCCCTAATCGCAAATCCAAGACGGCTCTCAATTTCGGATATTTCTCCTCCGGTGGTAGCATTTCGTGCCAAATAGGCTTGCTCCAGAGAGTCCACTATCACGGTCCTTAACACGTAGCTCAGTTCTGCACCACCTGGAGGCCAAGACTCTCTGTTGGACAGGAGAGGTGACAGGCCAACCGGCCAGAGGATGTTGCCAGCGGTGTCGCTTGCTTTTTGGCCACGAAGCATGACAAGGGATCGGGGATCGTGCTCTAGATCCTCCTGATCACCACGGTCTGAAAACAGCGCGTTGGTGAGACGCAACCGGAAATGATGGGAGGTGAACAACATGTGAGATCGAAGTAAGACTAAGTGTTGCTGAAGAGATAAGGATGACTGAGTGTCCAGCAGGAGCAGGAGCAGTGCTTGGGAAAGCGAGGAGGAATGAACGGTCAGTGGGGAAAAAACAAGCTCTGACAAAGCGTGGAGCGTTGGGGTGACAGAGGGAAGATGATCTGGATACCTTTGAGTGAAAGCTTCCAGTCTTGCATAGGTCTGGCCCTTTAGGGATGAGAACGACCCTATTGACGGCTCTAAATCAAAAACGCCAAGTCCTTCTAAGCCTGTTCTATATTTCTGTTGAGGAGCTCGACTCGTAGGGTCTGGATCAAGAGCATTTTCCGGAGATGGTGAGCTACCTGAAAGCTCTCCAACCCAGGCGCTATGTATTATCGACACTTCCCAAAGCCAGACGACTGTCGGCCTTTCCTGAAAATTAACCAGGATAGGGTGGTCAGGGCGCGCCGCAGCCAGTAGCTTGAGAGACTTTGTCGCAGCAGGTAGGATGGCAACCAACTCAGGTGGTAAAAAGCTTGGGTAGCGTCCATCTTCAATCTCATCGTCATCAACTGCCTTGAGAGGGTGAACCCCGACTTGATCCCCTTCAAAGTCTCCGAAAGAGACTGCAGTGGATGCGCTTGCATGGAAGGAGTCTAGTTGCACCCTTCCGAGCCCACTCAAAGCAACCGTTTTGCTCAGCCGGTCGATGTATTGGGTAGAGCTGACAGTGAGAACGTGCGCTAGTAAAGCACATGTCATCCTAGAGGACGACTTGCTAGTATGCCGATGGAGCTCGTCATATATTAAAGAGAGCAGATTGACTGCATCTGAGGGAAGATCCAGATAGCATGACGGATGACAGTCGAGATTCTTAGGTAATAGTGAGGGGAGTGAGACACTGGGAAGCTCATGGAACGCACCCTTCCACACAACTCGGCCAGCGTGAGGACTATATCTTCGTATTCGGCCCACATTGACCATGTTGAAGAGAGCGATTGTTGACTCAGGTCCGCTGTTCGTTGGCGCTCTGTTAGACTATGTCGTATAAATCCCACGACGTTGGAAAGTGTGTAGATGAAGGCGTGTATTGTAGCACTCGACTTCAGTCTTCTACCGGAAGAGAATATTAGGGCCCGGTTCAAAGTTGGAGACCATATTACCTTCTTGGAGACGTCTGTACGAGAACGTCTAGCCGACGCAGAAGACTGCTCAAGCTGAGAAACTTTGAAAGAAGACTAGCATAAGGCTTTAGACTTAAGCGTCAATCGACTATAAGTGTGACGAAACCTTTGATTGATGACTTCCACTCTGTCCTGGCTGGCCAGAAAGATAAGTTGATTGCCCTCATGGGGTTCAAACAACTCTGCGCTCTCGTTCCAGGAATGCAAAGTGGTAGATAGACCGAGCAAGTTTGATCTGAGTGAAGCGAGAAGTTGCGTATTACCAATACGGATAACAGACCGATTGACGTCTTTACCGCCTGAAATCGAGCTAAGATCAAAGTCAGAAAGGTGGTCCTCATAAGCTGGAGTTAATACTCACTTCAAATGAAGTGAGGCATAGAGCTGGGTGTCTTGCTCAGATAAGTATTCAGACGAGCAATGAGAAATGTTCAGTGGGAGGCGGAGAGCGTCCCAAGAGTACAGCTTGCCGCTCTAGGGTGCGTCATTTCAAACCGGCACAGATAAGATGAGATGACCCACTGTGACATGCTCATCTGTGGAGAGGTATGGCCAGAACGTGGACTGTACATGAGACTGAGGATCGACATGGGCAACCGGTGGTGACTGTGGCAATTCGGGGTCGGCTATGTGAGTTGTGTGATGAACTATGTCTGCCGATAGATCCAAGCCTTGACGTTTCTGTACAAGGTCGAGGATAGGATCTTGAGGTCTGAGAGGTAAAGGTGGTATGAAGAAGTGGCGATCGTCGTCCACGGAAGCCAATTGCGGTATAGGCTGCACAGAGAAAAGCACGTCCAAGTCCTCGAGGGACCCCGTTGTCGTACAAAGATTCATGACATTGACAGCTTGTTCGAAAGTCTGGTGGGGAAAGGAGCATGAGCAGACGATCGAGTGACAATGAGCGCGTCTCGACACGACAGGGGCACGTGACATATATGAACGCCCTCGGAGCTCACATGGTAGGATCGAATATTGTTGGTCGACAAATCGCAACGTAAGTTTTACCAGAAGAACGGCATACGTTGGGTCGAAAATAAGGATTAACTCAACAACGCCATACAGCTAAGTGATGTCAGACGAAACCACTGCCCAAGATAGGGGTGAGCGAGACGGCGGAGAGCGTGATCAGTCACGCCCCGGACGCGTTGTTTATTATTTGTTCGCAACTTATAGTTATAGCATCACTCCCCCCACAGTCGTTATTCCAGCTCGCCGTCGGGCTCGCCACTCCCCCTTCCTCCCTCCCGCCAGTCTCCTTCGCTACTACCTTCTTTCTTTCTTCCCTGCATCTGCATTTAACCCGGTTTTGTTTACTCTTTTCGCTTTCTAGCATGGCCTCAGTCAATCGCCGCCCCCTCTCCGCTCGCCCAGTCTCGCTTCAAGTCCCCGCTGTTCTCTCTCCTCTCAAGGCCAACGGCCGTTCAATACCCCTCTCCTCTAAACGTCCCTGTCCAGATGACGCGGATCCAGCTCAGAACCAACTCGCTACAAAACGGCCCCGCCCAGTTGTCAGGACAGCTTCAGCCACTTTACCCACCGCAGTCCGTGACGAGGACCGCAGAGATAAGGAACGAAAACGAGCAGAGAGAGAAGCACAAAAGGAGGAATTCAGAGTAAAATACACTCGTGCTTTTCCCTCGTTTGTCTTTTACTTCGACACGGACCTCTTAGACTCGGAGAACGTTGATGTCCGTGACGACTTGCTTAGCAGAGTCCACCATCTCGGCGCTGTGAGTTTAAACAAGTCCGACATCTCTCTGTCGCTCTAACCTTCCCTGAAGCGCGTGGACGACTTCTTCTCTAATGAAATCAGTCATGTCATCACGAACCAACCTGTGCCTACAGACCAGGCCCTTCTGGGCAAAGAAAATCTCCAGAAAAAGTCCCTGCAGTTAAAGAGTCCCCTCAAGCTGAGAGGCAGGTATGTGCTCTGCTCGGCCTGATCGGTCACATCTCACCCGATTTCAGGCCTGTAGAAGAGGAATCTGTAGGTCAATCGCAGTCTTGTGAGGGCTTAGTCCAGAAAGCCCTTGCGTTCAATATGAAGATCTGGAGTGCTCAGAAACTGGATGGTGTCTTGGAGCGATGCGATGTTTCATCCACAAAGTCGTCAAAGCAGCAGATCGTCTCACAAGCTCCTTTAGTCAATGGTAGCGGTCAACGCTCACTCACTCGTCTCCTCGCATCCGAGCGCCTGCAGGGTGCCACGACGGAGCGTGACCCTACTTCTCGCCGGCATGACTTCCGATACTTTACCAAAGGCTCTTATTTTGTGCTGGTCGAGGATGTCTATCAGGAATTGGCCACTATCCATGCAACTGAGTACATGCCATACAAGGGACGAGATGGCAAGATGAAAGGCGAATGGCCGGTCCTTCACTGTCATCCGCATGCTCGGGGCCCTTTCGTTGAGTTCGATGCTAAGGAACAAAAACGATGGGAAAAATCCCAACGGGCGGAAGCTGACAAGGAGAATGAGCGTAAGCGCAAAGTGGCCAGGGAGCTTGAACGCAAGAACCAGGCACGGCTACTCTCAAACAAGTCAGGAAGAGACCTTCGCCGCTCTGTTTCAATGAACAACCTTCACCGGCGGGTGACAATAGGTGCTGCTGACTTCGTTGACCTGGACATTGACTTTGGCGACGGGCAGGATTCCGCCAACGCTTCCGGATATCTGGCATCTACAGGTACGGGGGCATACATGGCTGCGTCCGGCAATAGCGTAGGGATCACGTCGACTGCTGGAACTACCTCCACAGCTGGAGGGTCCATCCGACCCCTGGATTTACCAGCTTCTCTGCGCTCCCGGCTTCAACAGCAGGTGTTGACGTCACGGAAGGCCCCTACTACTATCAGCGCGAAGGATCAAGACACTACCCACAAGAAGGGCACCATGGGACCTCCTATTGGATTGCCCGAACGACCTCACGGTCTACTGAGGAAAAGTAGAAGTACAACTACCATGCGTTTGCCGAAACGCGATGAGGCTAGCAAACCGGGGTACTGCGAGAGCTGCAGAGTCAAGTTTGAAGACTTTGATACGGTTTGTATAATTGTTTCCAGTCTAGCTCGGTGGTTTGACTTCGCCCATGTGAACAGCACACCCGGCAATCCAAGCATCGCAAGTTTGCAATGGACGACTCAAACTACCTCCAGCTCGATTTCCTGCTAAGCCGCGTTCAGCGGCGAACGCGACAAGAAGTCGAAGAAAGGGAATGCAAGCAGGACGATGTGGACTCGGGTTTTTTGGATGGATCAGACCCTGCTCAATTTTTGCAAACACAGAGCGACGCAGTTTCCGATGAGGAGATATGGGAAGGAGGCTTCAGCACGAGTGGAATGATTGCATGATACCTTCACACCTTTTGTTTGCTTCGATCACTTTCAAAGCGAAAGACTTCCCTTGGATTGTAGTTTCTTGACCCATCATTGTAGCACATAGCATCAGCATCATCCTCATTCGTACTTCACTTTATGTATGGCCTTAATTATAATTTCCCTACCATTTGGCTCCTAGTGTGCTTGGTTACAAAAGCCTGAATACACAACACCTTAGCATACGCGTTTCAATTGCAACGAGGTGAGGGAAGATAGAATGTATTTCGTGGAAATAACAATAATTTTACGAAATTTAAGGTAGCCCAACAACGAAAAGTGGGGCAGTGACCCATCCCAAAATATGATCAAAACACAGCAATTGTATCCAAGCAAGATCATTAGTTAATCGTAACAGTCAGCACTGTGACAATGCCATCCACGCTAATGTCTAGAGCAGTTTCATTAACACGATGCCGTGAGGTAGACCTTTCGAGGACGTACTGTGGTTGACACCCACTGCACCAGGAGCCAAAAGACCGGTGACGTTCTGAGCGGTGGTGGTGTATGAAACACCGCCGAAGCTGGTTTGCCCAACCGCGTTGCTGACAAGGTCGTTCCTACAAGCGAGAAGATGTGATGTAAACATGCGGAAGAAGTTCTCAGGGCCAAAAATTGCACAAACCGTCCGATGTTGTAACCATCGGGCACTATGTCGTGTCCATCAGAGACATCCTAAAATAAGGACAGATTAGCTGTCGAACGCAGTTACAATGAAATAAGAGCATACCTCCTCCTTGGAAACGGCAAGGAAAAGAGCGCCGCTGTCTGCCTGGGTGCCGTTCTGGCGATAGACACTAGATCCACAGCGTCTAGATAGGGAAAGACAATCATTGAATCTATGTCACTTACCGGAAGTGGTTGCCTCCAATAAGGCTCTCGAGGCAGGTGCCGATAGAGGAGCTATCGTAGTCCTGACGGAGCTCATACGTCTGGTTGACCCAGCTGTTTCCATCGCCAAGGTTTGCAGATTGAGGGCCACCGAGGTGAATATCGAAACACTCCTCGGAGCTGAATAGAGTGTTATAGCACAAGCAGGGTCGTTTCCATCAAGTGAAAGACGCACAATCCAATGGCGCGAGCGTAGTTGACAATACCATCGTCGGTCAAGACATCAGGAGTGCTGAGTCCGGAGACGATGACCTTGGAGGTATCAGATCAGCCAGAGTTGCTCAAAGTTGAGTGAAGGTGACGTTTACGTTAAGGGGTTCACCAAGGCCGTCACCAGCGTTGTCCAACATGGATCCACCGTTGGCATTAGGGTCGTAGTACGCGACGCCCTGCCGCTTGATGATGGCGGCAGACAACTGGATAGCAAAAGACAGTACAGATGCGAGAACGTACATGGTCACAACGGTGGGACTGCGACTGGTAGAGAGGGACGAGGGTGTCAACCAAGTACGGTCGAGCTTGATCTGAGTTTCTTTTATAGAAAGACCGACTGAGACACGTTCCAAAGCCCGGTAAGACGAGTCTGGGACGAGCTTCTTTTACTCAGAGGCATATGGAGTTGGGTTTGAGTCGCCACTTGATTGCACCAATCAGGATAATCTGTCGACAGAACGGGAGGCGTGCTCATATGGGTACGACAGGGAAGATGACGCACGCGAGGGTGACCATGTGATCGGGAAGGCTAAGAAAAAGTGAGAAGCGACAGGGCGGACTGAGACGGTGAGAAGAGCTGGCAGAATCCCGAGGAGGGCCAAGAACGTTCAACGCGAGCTATCTCAAGGCCTAGGTACCTAGGGGCTGCGAGAAGAGACGCGTCACCGGGCAAGACCGTGACAGCGCTACGAGGCAAAATTTAAAATTGAGCCTCTGCTCGCTCCAAACAGCGATAGATAGCGAGCTGTAACTTGTCGGCTTTGGAGGACCGGCCCTCGTCAGAGCGATTGGGTGGTCGCCAGTGGTCAGATATCTGTCATTAAGCGACAGGAAACACATGATGATGGAGCGTGAGGACAGGAACACGAGTGACTTCTGAACGGTGAGCGTTTGGAAGTCGCCAGTGACGATGAGTGTTGACTTATGCCAGCTTGTGCCTTGGCTGCCTTGGGGGCATATTAGAAGCAGTAGGCACGTTCGTCGTGTGGTGTTAACTGAGGTTAGCTGGCAGAGCTGGATCTTTTTGGAGGAGATATCAGCCACATGATACACGGATCCAAATGGTTGCCAAATGGTATCAAGTGAAGGTGAGCAAATTTGGGCGAGAACAAGCGCGACAGCGCGCTTTGGTCTCACCAGGTTACTGCATGCGAGTCTATGCGAGTACATGCAATGTTATCACTCAAATTCGCTTCCCATTAATTTACTAAACGCTCCCGATGATATAAGGTACCCGATGCACAGTGAGAGGCGAGGTTTTGCAGATTCAGTCAGTCCAGGTCAGTCCCCCAGTGTGACTAACTTAGTACCCGACATAGTGTTCCGAAGCTGAAGGTCATGCCTTGCGGACAACTGGCACCCACGACTCCCACCGGCTTTGAATAAGGGTAGGCTAAATGCGTCCATCCTTCAGAACTCAAAAGCCTGCTTCTTCAAACAACCTTGTCTATACTGGGCACTCAGCGCTCAGCGCCAGCTGCAAGTATTCTCGATGAGCTCCGTTCGGTTCTTGCCATTGTTTCCAGCGCACCAACTTTTTCGTGCCCCCAAATGGCATGTGTACTTCAAGCTGTCGTCTACCCTAGTATAGCTGATCCTAATTAAAATTAGTTACACCACATGCCGCAAAATCGACCGGCTGCAGCTGAGCTTGCCAGCATGGTACTGGTACAAAGTATAGAACTGTGTGGCATTGAATAGATTAGAGGGAGCCAGGAGTGGCACGCCTACAGCGATCAACAGGTCCCGATCAGGATCAATTCTAAATAGTTGAGCGTACTTATTGAACGAAGAACGGTTGAAGAACGGATAATGCATGTTCAGGCTGTCAGTATGTACTTCAGTGATCGATGGCACTACTTAGTCTTCGAATAGCTCATTCCTGAGCACATGCCCATTTATCGGTGGTTTAGTCTTGCCTCTTAAGGTTCATTCGGAATATCCTGGCTTGACTCAAGTCCTAGCTTTCCTGTCACAAGCCTGAGGGTTCATTGATATTTATAGACGCTCGTTCTCCGTTAATGAGTGATCTACTATATGTCTTACATATCAGGCGGACGTGACAGTCACATCACGCATGTTAGTATGTTCAGCTGCTGAGGCCAGCCTCCCTGTGTCCTCGACATGTTCCACCTCGTCTAAACACCTGGCCAGCGTCTTGTCCTCCGTAAAACGCTCTTGAACTCATCGGAAGGATAGAAAATTGACGGAATACCAACTTTCTGTTTTTTACTCCTTTCCACTGTCAAGTTTCACGACAATCTTGGCTGTACCCACTGGCATTGTAGGTGCTCAGTTTCAGCTTAGCCATTATTCAGCCACACCTATCCTACCAATAAATCGATGTAGGTTGTTTAGGATCCGATTGCTTTCCCTGGCCCCATTTGTAATCTTTTTTGTCCGATTTATAGAAATTAGGTGTAACCCCTGGTCATGTCGGACTCTCCGGACGGTTCAGATTCTGTCGGTGATGCTGGTGACGACGAACAGCTCACTATCCGTATTCCCAACCCCAAAATGTATATGGCACGCCAATCCGGATGGAAAGGTCGAAGAGGTAAACCGCGATGTGATCATTGCAGGATGAACAACCTAAAGGTCAGTCAGTCCCCCAGTCGCCTCCCAAAATTAATGACGGAGGGAAAAAATCCCCAGTGTGACAGGGTTCTACCCGTATGCAACCATTGCTCGTGGGCCAATGGAAGAGAGTGTAAATACACCCCTTTGCCAACTCCCGCCCATCGCGGTATACCAAGGTGCGATCGATGTAGGCTCAGAAACTTGAAAGTGCGTATTTGGCTTGTACAATGAACAGGTTTCTGACCTTGTCTGAAGTGCGACAGGAATCTGCCTGTTTGCAACCATTGTACTGAAGATGACGATCCTGAATGTAACTATACCCCGAAACGACGCCACAAGGCACCTACAGACCAGGCATTCATCAAGGATGCAGCAGCAACTATGCCGAACGGAGCTAACGCAGCATCATTCTTGGTATCAGACCTCAATACAGGGGAAGAACTGCTTACTTCTGACGTGGACGGGCATAGCTTTTATGGTCAAAATGTCGCGGGCCCCTCTCGCGGCGGCGAGCCTTTGATTTCTGCAGCACATATCCTTGAGGATCCCCATCCACCGAAGCAGAGGCGGTCCCAGCGAGGAGATGTAGACGAAGCATGGTACAATGCTGGATCTACATCCGGACGCCATTCCAACGTATCATTTATATCCCACTCCTTCACCTCTGACCATGGGTCGATTGTTCACAAATCGTTGATCAAGCCTTGGATTAGTCCTGAATTTGCTCCCCTGCCGGCGCCTGTTTTGGATTGCATCGCTCAGGTAAACTCTGTGGAAATGCCGAGTCGGCCTGCTTTTGAAGAAGGCCTGCGAACCTTTCTGGTGGAGTTGCCACCAGAGTTATTGGAAACGGCCGTTTTTGCTCCTGATACCTACGCGACTTTGGCTCGTTTTGTGACTAAGGGCGAAGACAGTACGCTCTCGGAACGCTTACGAGTATGGATCAGAATACATCGCGTCCAGTCAGGTTCAGCCAAGTCCCACCTGCTCTTAATTCCCAGGGACGCTTTCTTCCATCTAGATAACGAAGAGATGTTGCGAGAGGAATACGTAGCTCGTGTCGATGATTCCTCAAGTGCCAAAGGCAAACAATCTCGAGCTCCCGCCAATGGTCACGGCACCGAATACGATCTCACTGATACTGTGGCTTTTGAACGTATCCCAGTTCAGAGTCAGATTTACGATATCCTTGTGTACTCCCATCGGTCTCATGGCTCGTCTCCATCCATGCTATTTGAAGCGCGACGCATCGGCGTGGTCTGTGGTCTCACCTTTTGCTTTCGCTGCACCTGATGCTCAACAATCTGTGGAATAGGCTTGTATCACTTGGCCTATGGCCGAGATATTTATCGGCTTATGTCCGCTTTGCAACCTACGGAACAAGTCCATCAACTCTCAAAATACGAAAGCTGATTCTGCCAGTGCACATGCGCCCATAGGTGAAAGCTCGCACGGAGATGCAACATTGTCTTGATTTTGGCGGGCTCGTGAGGTTGATTTATCCACCAGGGCATTGGCAGCTATCTGTAGTCACTTTATAAAATATATGTACGGATTCCTGATTCGTCTTGGAACTTAATTACTCTATACTGCGTGTATACGTAGTTGACAATGCGTGGTCAACTGAAGACTAGTTTACATGAAACACTGAACTGAGATAGTGACATCGTCCATCCATTTTTCATCCGTCTCAAGGGTGAGATTACGCGACAGTCGGCAGACATCCCCTCCACCGAGTGCATCGCGGAGAAGATCCAGAGCGAGGTTGCGTCGGTTGGGATTGGCGATGTCAACAACAGACTCCAGGTACCGTGCAACAACAGCGACCCATCGGCCGGACATTTCCGGCTCTGTGAGCTGAACATCATATCCGTCGTATAGGTCTACAAGGCCGTCTGAGCATAAGATGAGAAAGCAACTGGGTCGAGGTGGATCGGCTTGCGGCAAGCAGGTATGGTGCACCTCGGGTATGTTCGAGACATAGGGCGGAGTGATAATGCGAGACGCAAATAGTTGAGAACGGGGAAGCGAAAGCCAGTCTGAACAGTGCCGGGAAAATAGTTTTTGTGTATATATAGCTGGGATCTTTAGCCAAGTGTCACCAATTGCTGTGTCGACATGAAGTCAGTAACTGGGCTCCACGAATCATAAACTTATCGCACCTCTAGTTGGTGCGAGATATCCAATCAAACGGTTATCGGCTAGACAATGCGGTTCTCCGGGGTGCTCCTGGGCCACACGTTGCCGCTCATCTGGGTTATTTCCATTGTGCGATGAACTGAGCGCCTTCGTTGACCACCCATTGTCAGCTTCGGGCGACCGAAGTCCCAGGACTTTAAGACGTCAATATCATGAGTGGGGGCTGCGAAGTGCGGTCCACACACCTGCTTGCGAGTCCCCAAGGTTTACTACCCACAAGTGACACCTTGACGGATCAGAAAGTGCCGCAAGGACGGTACTGCCTTGGGTACATCGAGCTGCCAAGTCACTCCATTCTGACTGATGCTGATGCAAATGCTGTTCCACCTCATCCTCGGACATCTGCTCCAGCTGAGACTGAGGAAACAGGCGAAAAAGCGCATCAACTATCGACTGGTCTACTTGCTGGACTGCTTTGAACAGAACGCGCGATACTTGTGAAGGATCAACTAGGTATCCAGGTCCAGATGTCTGAAGCAATCGTTCCAAGGAGGCCTTCACCAAGGACGGGAAGTTGCTTTGCACATATTCGACTGTATCATGACCGCAGTGTCCTACCTATGTGAGTAGGTAAGACTGACATTCGGACCAAGACCGGACGCACCATCGTAGATAGCGTTAAAAGACCACCGGCCGCCGGGTAGGTCCCAATCTTCGGCCGAAAAGCGGTCTTGATTGAGCGACTCATAAGCATCGCAAGACTGAAAAGTAATGATGTCGATGTTCGACCGAGTTTGTGGGTCTGCTAGCTCGACGAGCTTCGAATCCAGAACCTCTTCAGGCAAAATGTGGTAGATCCACCGCTCATTGCCGCCGCGGCCGAGATCAGTAGTGAAGAAATCCTTCACCTCCTCAAGGGCCTGCAAGTTCTCGGTAGACGTGGCTGCAGGAATTAGGACGGTGTTGTAAACCATTGGGGAGGTTCTGAAGAGAGTAAAATGAAGGTGCATTTTCTTTGTAGTGGTGAACCCTTTTAACGGGTGGGCGAATATTCTTCATGGCGCCCCGGTTTGGCGGGTTTGAGAGCCCAGATTGTCGAAGGACAAGGACAAGGTTGACGCCTTCGATGTACCGCGTGGAACTCTGCTACCGGTCTCGAGCCAATTGGCACTCGGGTATGGAGTTGGACGGCAGAAACGGGGGGACCGGGCCATGATATCCGGTGTCGACTGGAAGAGAGAAGGACGACCTGGGGAATGGTGACGCAGTACTCCTGCAAGCCATGTGGCCTCGTGGATGACAGAAACTGCATTGCGCGTAAATGCCGGAAGAGCCAAGTCGGTACATGGCTTGATCCCAGCGAGGAGTGTGATGACCTGCAGGCGTTAATATTCATACTGAACTCTTCCCTGCCATATGCTCGTCAAGAGCGAACCTAGGAGAACACCTTATCAGGGCTTATCGAGCCTTTATAGGCATAATTCCCGTGCCACAACGCAAGGTCCTGTCAAGCTGAGCGCCCTGCAACTGAATACAACGCACATTTTCCCGTCCACGAATATCTTTGTTCTCCGCTACAGAGCTTTGGCGTGGACTCTGGAGCTCGTATGGGAACGCCGGCCGATTAGATGGTGACGTAAATTGACTGCAATGAAGGGCACCTTCAAGTTATTACTGCACGCATGAGAAACCACATCTGCGAATCTTGAGAATAATCAATATCAGTCCGGAAGGTTCGTTGTCGTAACATCATGCACCAGAACAACCAGTCATTCAGAATTAGTCCACAGTATCTATAACATTTTCCTTGCATGGCTTGTAAACAACCTCTAGGCCCGTGCATGAGGAAGAGATACTCGAAGACGGAAACAAATAGATGTGTGCCACAACAGCAAAACTGGATCGAGGAGATCATTGTCAGCTGGAGATAGGCGATTAATGACTTGAACAAACCTTAGTATAGCTCAAACGTTGCAAAAGCTAGGTCATATCCCCCAAACTCATAGTTAATTTTATCAGTCCTCCGGTAGCGCCTCCCTCTCCTCAGCCACTCCGAACCTTCGGCATCCGACCCACTAGATGATCCAGAGAGAGGTCGCCTGCCCATCATGGCAGACTTGAAAGCCTTTTGCGCGGCCTCTATAGCGGATTCACCGACGAGTTCTTCGACATCCTCGTTGTTTGAACTCGAGATGAATAACGTGAGGCTGAGTCGGCCCGGGCAAAAGATGTCGACTACCCTTCGGATGAGGGTACGAAGGTCGGGTATCTCCTTGGCAGTCGAAGAGCGGGAAGTGGACAAAGGAACATTGCACTCGAAACTGGCATATGACCAGCCTTCTTCAGGCGTAACATGGATGGTGTAATAGCCTTCGCCTCTCTTGCCCGTTTCCTCGGATTCTTCTTTGGTATCTGCTTCCCCCCATCGGAGAAGTGCGTTACAAGAATAGCCGCAAGGGCTGAATGCATACGCGTCTAGAGTGGTGAGATGGGGAGGGAAAAGGTCGGATATTCCGATGGATTCCGATAAAGTGCGGCCACTGCCAGATGCAGGATCAACGGACGCGTCCTCGGAGGGAGTGGGAGGTGCGGAGCTGAAGAACGGCTCCCGAGCTCCCGGGGAGAGATTGCTCATGAGAATTTCGATGGTGTAATCTTGATTGATCTTTGCTTCTTCTTCTTCTTCGAGATCTACGGCTTCGAGTGAATCAATAGATGAGACCGAGCGATCTAGAGGAGAGTGTTCGCCGGGGGTAGTGATGTACAATAGCCAGTGGTCCCCGTTGACCTTGCCAACGGTGTAGGCCGAGCCATTAGAGAAAATGGCGTCTAGGTAAGCGACTTCGTCTTTCCATTCGCGATGAGGCCCTTGCTGACGTTCAGGGAACATGAACGACTTTCTGGAATAGAAGCATCTGTAAACGGTAGGGAGGGACGCGTATTCGCGGGCGATTTCAAGGATGCGGGGGAGACCGAGAAGGTTGAGAGTGGTGCCGCACGTCTTTAATATGAGACGGTGAGCAAAGACAAAGAGCGAAGATTCGCTGTTGTAAAATAAGAGTATAAAGGTGGAGTATGTCAATAAAGGACGGGATTACATCGGAGGATGGAGATAGACGAGACGAACCTCAACAAATAGGCGTCTGTCTCGTGACCGTCGATAACACTGAGGACCTTGCACTTGACTATGTCAAGCATGTCCTCCCACACGTGCCTGGGCACTTTTCTGAGGCCGATGCGGCCATCCTTTGGATCGTGCGCGTCTGGGACGTGCTGAGGAGAAGGGGCGAACCAGATCTCTAGTAGTTTCTCTGGGCCTTCGAAAGGAGCCGAGTTTGACTGAATGTCATCGAACGGAACTGCCATAGATTGTGGAGGGTATCCAAGATGCGATGAAAAGATCAAGATGATGTTTTTTATTTTTGGGGATTAAGGACGCTATCGAGAAGGAGAAATGTACCCGCCGCCAAGGGCTGTTCCCGGATGCATGAAATGGGGTTTGTTGAACTGTAGAAAAGAAGAAGTAGCCGGGCGAGAGGCTAGAGAACGGTAGAGACCCGACCTGGTTGCAGGAGGGAGTTGGGAGTTGGAAGGGAGGGATGTGATGAGGGACCATCGTTTTATGGATCGATCTTTCGTCAAACAGACTCAAACGGAAACCAGCTGTAAAACTGGCACGCGCTACAGCAAATTTTGTACAGCCACTCTCCACTCGGCGGATTTGGCCGGTTGTCAGCCGCGGCCGAGACAGTGCGTGTCCTTGCGAGTCCTACTCTACAAAAACTGACAATATTTGAGCAACTAGCTGGCCACATATCTACTACAAACAATATTCTAATCTGCCATGCTTAGACGTCTGCTGCCTCGCATCTCCGTCTTCAGGGTCTCTGCACCCATATTGCCGATGTCCACCCGGCTGCCTCCCAGGACCCGCTCACCCGTCTCCCTCACTCGCACACAACCAAGGCCCACCTCTCGTCTCTTCCACAACTTTCCAGCACGCCTATCTCCCCCCTCTTCCCCCTCTTCCCCCACCCAAGACCCCCATTCTCCCTTGCCCCCAGGTGCCAGTTTTTCACAACGGCTAAAGCATCTCATCAAGGCGTATGGCTGGTATGCCCTCGGCGTATACATCGTCATCTCCACAGCCGACTTCACCGTCGCATTCATGGGCATCAACCTCATAGGCGCAGAACACGTCGCTCGCGTCACCGCCTCTGTCAAACAAGCCGTTCTCGAGTTCGTCCACTCTAAGCCCCCCGAACCAGGCCAAGACCAAGTCGCCGCTCCTGCCGACGTTTCATCGGGCGGCCAGGAAAGCCTCTACGCCATGCTTGTCCTGGCTTATACTGTCCACAAGACTCTGTTCCTCCCCATTCGTGTCGGTCTCACCGCCGCCTTGACTCCCAGACTCGTCCACTGGTTACGCACCAGAGGCTGGGCTGGCGGTGAAGGAACGAAGAGAGCTGCTCGCGAGGTTAGAGACAGGATGCGCAGACCTCGCGATCTCGATTAGGGACGTGTACCAGCGAGGCGAGTGAGGATACATCCGTCGATCTCTTATCCTTCTTATATCTTGCTCTCATACATAATGATCGCTGCATGCACAAGTTTATGACTGGACACGGTCAACTAATTATCTGTACATTTCCTAGAAACATTAGTCCTACACGTTCGTCTCCCCACTCCAATTACTCCAACCAGCTCAAGATTCAGCTGGCTTGACTTCTTTTGGTAACCAGTGAAGCTGTCAGCATATACACCGAGAGTAGGCTTGGTAGGAGACGCACCGTCGCTCAGAATGCCCTTCTCGACGAGCTCCTGAGGGTTTGGTCTCTGTTGGATGGCATGGGCCAATTTATCCTGTAGAGTAATGTTGAACGCGGTGAATAATGAATAGGGAACGGCGCATCAACCTCAAGCTGGGACCTCTGAAGCTTTTCCCGGGCGGCCTGAAGAGCGGGAGCGACGCTGTCGTCTGATGTACGTCGATGGAGGAATCATGTACGGATGTAGTGATTAGCCCCTGTCTGTTCCCCGAGATCATAGTCGATCGCTCACCCTTGAGGATGTTGCGCTCTTGCAGCTCTTCCTTCTCGGGCCTGCTGCCCAGACGCTTCTCGAGAGCGTCGACAGTCTCTTTGTCCAGCGTGGACCGACGGCGGACCGCAGAGGGTGCATTGCTTGTGTTATTGTCGGCTGCATGTCCATGATGAGTGTGTTGCAAGAATACGGGGCTTGTACTTGCCCATGGTAGTCAGTAGGCGAGATAGGATGTGGAGGTTAGGATTGAGGTTGCCAGGTGTTCTGAGACACGCGTCAGGAAGTAGACACTTGTCGTATATGGGAGCTTTGTTCGCCTGGTAGTGGCGCTTTGTGCCAAGATTGACCCCTATTTGGACGACTGGGTGGAACTATCAGTGTCATCTGATCAGCAGCAAAGCAAGTACACGAGGCTGCACTTGTATCACGCTAGGAGAAAGTCTGCGTGGCATTTGATTCACCTTGTGGGGGTGTAAACTGGGAATCTCAGGTTTACATTCGTAGTTTTCCGTGTCATGAATATCAACAAAATCGAACAAAACTATTGTCTGCAATCACGCGAGCTTTGGAAATAAGCATCCATCCTGAAGATTGGGGGTGGTGTGTTTAGAGTGGGGAGAGGGTAGATTGCCGCGGGACCTTTTCGGGACGTTCCGTTGTGCTCCTCGCGCAGCCTCGCGCGGACAAACTCCAACGTCGACTAGCACTACCACTATGTCCGTCGCCCGAGCAGCAACCCTGCTTCGTCCTAGAGCCACACAAGGCGCACTCACCGCAGTCAATCGAAGACATTCTCACCACGATAGCCATGGGCATGCGGCAGAAGAGAGCGTAGCTTACCCTGCTGAACGTATGTCCTTGTCCGAAATCCTTGTCTTTACTTGCTACTTATGAATTTGCCAGCTGGCTTCAACACACCACTCTGGCGCGGAACCATTCTTTTTGGACTGCTGGCTGTCGGTTTCTACAAGTTTGCGCCAGAACGGGGAGACGATGTCTACCTGACGCGGTATCTTTCGTACCTATCGACGCCTCGGGATGTATGGGCGCGGTTGAACGAGCGGCACCTCGAACTGTCTCAGGAAGCGTCGAAGAATATTATGCTGCAGGCGAATGCCAAACGGCCTGACATGCACCGGTTCAGGCACCCACAGTAAGCAGGCATCCGTGGCTAGGGCGAGGATACTCACGACCATATTCTAGGACGATCGTGGCTGGTTCGCCGCATTGCAATCCGGTCGGAGCTGTGCCAAACACGCAGTGAAGGGATGTTGGCACTGGTACTGGAATGAGATAGAGCTCGATGTGTTGGCCTGGTAGTGTGTGCAGCATGTGTTGGCCGTCTATGGACAGCTACTCGGTACACGGGAACATTGTCATACATATCCATAGAATCGATATCGGCGAGCCCAGCCAACTTTGAAAGACTGAGTATTAGTCGCCGAGTGAACGTGGGAAGGTGATCTGCACGTGGAAACGCGTCGAGATTCAGCAGATTCACTGTTATTATTATTACTCTAACGTAAAGGTTCACCTTGCCTTGTCCGCTCGTTTCTTTCATATTCCTTTCTCTCCCTTCTCCCTCTCCCTCCTCCTCTCCCTCCTCCTCCTCCCTCCCATCTCCCGGAGAGCCTTTGGGCTCGTGTTCATCGTCTACGGCAACTTCGAGGGCCCTTGTTCATGCTTGTCGACTCTCTGCCATGCCTACCAACAGAGAACACAGTACAACCATGGCATCCCTCTTCGCTCTTCTCCTTGTCTCCCCTGCCCTCGCCTCTCTGCCTCTCGTCGACTTCAACCGAATGGGTCAAGTCGGCCTAGCTGGAGCATTCGCAGGTCTCAGTCTATTCGACAACGCGTCACAGATCACCGTAGACCCGTCCGCATCCACTCTTCTTTCCCGTTCCTCTGATGGCGAACTCATCGCCCTCGCCTCAACCAACCAGGGCGGGCAGATATACTCAGGATGTGCCATTGGTGACGTCTACTATGTCGCTGGCTCCTTCTCGTCTCTTGGCAGCGCATCCGCATCCAACATCGCGTCCTTCACTCCCTCTTCAGCCTCCTTCGCTTCCCTTGGTGCAAACGGTCCAAGCGGGCCAGTACATGCCCTCTACTGTGACACCAACTCAAACCAACTCTGGGCCGGTGGCGTCTTCACTTCCCCCGGTTCATCCGTCGCCGTCTATGACACCAAGGCCAACCAGTGGTCTGCCCCTTCGTTCAAAGGCTTCTCTGGTTCAAGTAGCCAGGTCCTTGCCATCGTTCCAAACGCATCCGACTCTAGCCTCTTCTTTCTTGGTTCCTTCACCACCTCATTTCAAGGAAATGGTACTGTTCCCAACAATAACAATCCCAACGTGCCATACTCTGCGGGTGCGACACCCTTCTCAAGTTCCCTCGTCCCAATTCCTCTTCAGAACGCAGAGATAACTGCCGGCCCATCTACGACAAATACTGAATTCTCGAATATTCAGAATATTTTGTGTCCAGCGGGACCGGATGGGCCAGGCAATACTTGGTTGGCTGAGAACGGGACACCGGCGCAGATCACCATCCGCGCTTTCAGTGCCCTCAACGCATACGGAGTCCGTCTTGGGAACACGTTCCAGAGCGGGTTTGGGACGACAGCATTCACGTTAAGACATTCCTTGTTCTCCATAGAATTTTTACTGATATCTAAACAGTGTAACTTCAGTCCCGGATAATATCGTACAACCCTTCCAGTATATTGACCCTCAGACCGGCCAGAACGTGACCTGTTCCGACTCCTGCCCTCTTTCCACCAACTCGTCTCTCCCTTACCAGGACTTCATCTTCGCAAATCCCACCACATTGAGCGGTGTACAGATCACGTTATCCGCGTGGACCGGCCAAGCCGCTGGATTGCACATGCTTCAGCTGTTGTCTGCCGGTGCATTTGCCTCCGCAGTTCCTAGTCAAAATGGCCAGTCTTGCTTCGCACCCAACCCTTCCAATGTCACCACTACCGGTACATGGACCGCCGCAAATGCAGACACGAGTCTTCCTGGGACGATCCAATCCGTCCAGGTGGCAACAGTGAACGTCGGTACGCCTGCTTCACAGGCGCCGACTTATACTTGGATGCCTTACGTATCAGCATCCGGTGAGTATGAAGTCAATATGGTCGTTCCCGGCTGTGGCAATTTTGGAGACTGCCCTCTTCGCACTTCCGTGCAAGTCGAGATTTTCCCCGGTGGCGGTCAGCAGGGTGTAGTCACCACCGTCTCGCAGCAGAATGTTGCCGATGTGAGCACTCTGATTTACAGGGGTCCTATTGTTCCGTCATCTCCCAGCTTTGTCACCACTGTTACCATGTCTCTTGCATCGAACCCGTCCGGTACCGGCCAGAACGGCCAATATGAGCTTGTGGCAGGTAACATTGAGTTAGTCCTGACCTCGGCCAACGTGACTGGTAGCTCGGGTGGCTCTGGAGGCAACGGCACAACAGGAAGTGGAGGCATTCAGCATGGCTTTGGTTTCTTTGAATGGCCTTTGCACACAAGCAACAACGCAGATGCTACGGGGACACTTCCCAACTCTACGGAAACTATGTACGACTTGGTGGGCTTCAGCTTATACAATGGCATCAACAGTGCTTCTGTCGGCTCTTCGTCAATAGCGGCTGCTGTACAACATCCCTCTGGCTCAGTCTTCTTAGGCGGCTCATTTAACATTACAATGGGGTCAGCCTCTGGAACTACCAACTTCGTCGTCTTTGAACAAGGTCAGCTGGTCACGCCCTCTAATTTCGGGTTGAACGGGGCGGTTACATCCATGATTCTTTATGGGGAGAAACTCTTCGTCGGTGGTTCATTCTCATCGACGAGGTCTACCTCCAGCAATGGCGGTCTGAGCGGCGTCGCTGTCTACGACATTCAGTCTAGGACATGGGCTGCGCTTGGTGGTGGAGTCAACGGCCCGGTGGAGAGCTTAAACATCGCCGCTAATCAACTACAAATTGTTGGCAACTTCTCTACTGTTACCTCCCCCACTGGCGCTACTTATCAAGTGGGTGGACTTGCTGTCTGGGACATTGCGTCAGGAGCATGGTTAAACAGCGGGGGCTTCCTGTCGGGGCACATGTCCTTCGTTGGAAACAGCTCTTCTGCCGCCCGTAACAACTCGTTGTCTCAGTTCATTTCTGGCAATGTCGCAGAATTGGCAGAGTTCGGCGCGACTGGGCTAGTAATGCTGTCTAATGGCAACAACGGCCCTACGGTTTCACCGTTGCAAATCCCATTGGAGGGTAACGGGAGTGGAAGCACAGCGGCTACGGTCACAAAACGACGACGTTCGCATGTGCACCATGGCCCAACTTCGTGGATCCCTCATCTCACGCTGCGAAGTCTCTTTAAGCGCCAGAGTGGTGGCTCTCAACAAACTCTGCCAGAAGGACCTCCTACCCCTGCCCCAGCCGTTCTCGCCGGCGCCTTCTGGGCAAATAGTTCTTCCTCTAAACAAGTGTCCATCATTGGCGGCAACTTCACTTTTGCCTCGTCATCGCACGCCGTTGGTATATACGATGCTAGTGTCCCATCCATCCAAGCTCTTCAGGGTAATCAAATCAACGGCATTGTCCGCTCTTTGAAGGTGGTCGAGAACCAGCTCTTTGTTGGAGGCCAGTTCTCTTTGAGTGGCACCAATGCCAACGGCTTGGCGCTATACAACTTGCAGGCGCAACAGTGGAACACGTCAAATCTTCCGCCACTTCAAGCCTCTAGCGGCTCTACCGTGGAGGTTCGGTCCATATCATCGTCCGCATCCAAGCCAAACGCCATCATCGTTGCTGGCACTTTCACCGGCGCCGGTTCTGTCGGTTGTCAGGCCGTTTGTGAATTGGATACCTCGACAATGCAGTGGTCAACGCTTGGTAGTGGCATTCAGGGCCAAGTATCGTCGGTGTCATATGCTGGTGTAAGCATATGCATCCGCCAGACTTTGAGATGTAACTCACTGTAATCCAATAGAACAACCAGGAATATCTTATCGCCGCTGGTTCAATCACGCTCTCTGGTGGTTCGGCCAATGTTGCGATGTACAGCTTCTCAAGCGGGACATGGAACGCCGTTGGTGATGGGTCGAGCATCCCTGGCCCCGTGACTGCCCTTGAGGTAGACAACAGCAATTCGTCAAGTATCTTCGCTGCGGGGCGGTATGTTCCTCTAAAAGTCTCGCTCGCGATCATTGGTAACATTTGACGTAGGACTTTGGACGGCTCTTCCGCGTTCATGTATCACTGGAACGGTGCAACCTGGAACAACATCGGTATGCATTTCCTCTTCTTCCGCACGTCCTACATTGACCTGTTTATCGCAGGCTCGGGCCTCCAGGGCACATCCAACATCTCTCAGCTGTTGATGGTCCCCTTGCAAAACGCCCACAGCACAAATAGCATCGTGGAGTCGGACCGCATGCTCATGGTGTCTGGGTCGTTGGCAGGATCCACTTTTGCGGCTGCATCTTCCGTTCTGTTCGACGGTGCCTCTTTGATACCCTTCGTCAGCTCTGTCACAACCAGTGGTTCATCAGGATTCGTGGCATCTCTTTTCTACTCCTTGGCCAATTTTAGCTTCACCCAACAACGTAAGTGTTTGCGGTAGTATGCTCCCGCCTTGAAAACTCAAGCCTCTGCTTTTTCCTTCCAGACTTCCTGGCCACGGGCATCGTCATCTTGATTTCTATTGCGATAGCCGCTGGAGTAGTATTCTTGCTGGCATTGATTGGCATCTTGTGGACTTTGTTCTCAAGGAAAGATGACAAGGTTGCCAAATTGGACGGGGAGGATGATGACTCTTCCATCCACCACCGTCCATCTTCGCTTCTCGAGCACATTAACGCAGCCACACGAACTACTATCCTTGGTGGCGGGCAAAGTCCATTCAATGACTTCAGTGCTGAGAAGGACGATGCAGCTCATGAAGCTGTGGCAGTTGGCGGCGATCCTGACCCATTCGGTCCTGATGCCAGCAACTATCTGCGAGCTCAAACTCCATCAGACGCTCACTTTGGTACCATGGTGGCGGAAGAGGAGTTCAACAGACCTGCACACGCTCGCTACTCTTTTGACGGGGCTGGAGATGGTGAGCTACCTATGGCTGCTGGATTGGAAGTGGAGATTCTTGATGACAGAGACGCGGCGTAAGTCTCAGCGTTTCGTGTTATACCAAAACGCAGCTAACAGATAACAGATGGTGGTATGCTCGAAATCCTCAAACTGGACAGGAAGGTGTCGTTCCAGCTGCGTACCTATATTGATGTGCATGTCATTTTGTCATTATTGTTTTCGAGTTGCATCACAATCATACCCTACTTATCAAGATCGACCTTCGGTCGTTCCTTCATCCAATTTAATACACTACACTTTGTCGACATTCCTCGATTTACATATCCTCTCGGGACTCAACTGTGTGCTATTAGAGGACTTGGAGCACATCACTACTTGATATTGATCAGCGGTTCATACAAGTTCGACGAAGGATGAGAGCTAACCTGAAGCAGTGGGTCGCGGAAATGTTTTTGGTGATTATGTCTAAAGCCCACTTTTGTCTTGAATTGTTCGCGGCGCTGTTGATCACGAAACTCGCGAATATGTCTACCAGCTTCTCTCGCTTCTCCGGCGTTTCTGGCTTTCACCACCTCAGCACCCTGACCAAATGCTCCATAGCCGCCTTTGCGAGGGACCAATGCAGAGTTCTTGTCAGCGAGTAATTGCCGAACGATTGCTGCACCAGAGTTGGCATCGTTATCGTAGCGTGGGCCTCTGAAGGACTGAGCGTAATACCGCTTCATACTGCGGTGCCCTATTCGTGCTCCCGAGGGCAGAACAAGTTCGAAGGGTGTGTCGCCGTAAGACAGTTGATTTTCAGGTAGACTCTCAGTATCAGAGCCGCTGTCGGGCGGCTCTGAGCCTGATTCATCCACGATGTCTCCTGCTTCCTCATCCTCATCGTCTTCTTCATCCACATCCTCCCACTCGCCATCCGCGTCGGGCAGCAGCAACCTGCTTTTACGCTGTGCTTCGGGGTAGGAAGTACTAAAGTCATAAAAGTCGGATATTTCTAGTCGGTCTCCTTCTTTGTCGTAAGCTATTTTGCAATGACTCTTGTCGAGCATGTGTTTCCGGACAGCATCGAGAGTTCGGAATTCTCTGCCCTTGCCGTTGCAGTAGATGCAGACGTTCCCAACCGCGATCTTCTCTCCAAGATAGGTTATGAGGCCGTTGATGTCGACAAGGTAATCGGCATCGGGAACGAAGAACGAATGTGCGGAGGCCATGTGTGTGAGATTGTCCGATAGAGAGGACGAGCCCATCGCACAGAACAGACAGGAGGTCGGAGATAGCTTGGCTCGGGCTGCCGCAATCTTGGCATCTATGGTTTGGTTGATCTCGTCCTCGTCCGCGTTCTCGTCGACGACCAGTTTAGGCTCGGGTTCGCTAGTTGCGCGAGTTTCAGAGGGAGGCTCGGATTCTACAGCTAGTTCCTCGGTGAGTGAGGGCGTGGAGGCGATCATGGGCTTCGATGCAGCCTTGAGCTCGTTGTCCTTGTGCTTGCGAGAGTTTATATGAGAGCGGTACGCGTTCTCAGTCGTGTATGTCTTGCTGCGATGCCATTGGGATGGATCATGAAGTATATAAATCGCCAAAACTCACCCGCAAACCTCACAGCTTGACCCCTTAGCTGACGACATGATCGCGGTCTCGGCTTTCCTGTCGAGTACTTTCTGGTTGAAGACGGCAGCGCTGACGGGTGGTAAGGAGGCCACTCGACGTTTCATGTTATACCGATGATGGTCAGAGCGGTAATGTACCCCTGAAGAATTTTGTTAGTCTGGAGAGTTTGAGGAGATGGGTGAAACGTACTCTGCTCTTCTGCAGAGAGAAATGCTATTGAGCATGATAGGCAGGTGAAAAGCGGCTGATCAGGGGGAATAACGGTGGTGGTAGTGGTAGTGGCCATGGTGGTAGAGGAGAGAGACGAAGATCGGGGGGTTATCCTTAGTTTGTTAATGAGCCACTTATCCTTTGATTATAAACCAGCTTAAACCAGTCAAAAGCGACGGCTCCGAAATCCGCTAGTTTCGGCGTCAGTCAGTGTAAGCAAGTAGCTTGCACACTGACTCGTTCATCGGCTGACAAACATGAAATAAATTCCTTGCGGCCGTGTACTGACGAGAACAGTTAATCAGCGTCAGCGGCCAAGCTTTATACCACAAAAATGTAACTACATATATGTACATAAGATTACACGACCTAAATAGATGGATATGGATCGAGAATGCGACCGCGATGTGGTTTAAAGCGGTAGGATCAAAATTGTCGTGTCATCTATCCATCGAGATGTCATCTCCACGGTCAACAGCTGGGACACGCAGTCATCATCGTCACCGCCGAATGCGTCGCGCAAGAGTGCCAGAGCCTTGTTATCCGCACCCGAAGCCTTCTCCGACGTGAGCTGTTCAACAACTCTGTCGGCCACTTGTTGCAAAGTGGAAATCTGCTGGTTAACGCTGTACCGGTACAGATCTGTGAGACCGTCAGAACATAACATCAGGAAACGTTGAACCGAGTCAGCGCTAAGGGCGACGTGTTGAACATCAGGCACAGCCGAAAGGTAAGGCGGCGTCTTGTTGCGGCCTAGGAAATCGGGTAGTGGTGTAGAAAGCCTGAAGCCAGGCTTGCAATTCTCGAAAATGCGTTGCGTGTAGACCCTTGGCAATTTGAAGAGGTGGTCTCCGATGGCTGGAATAAAACAATCCAGTCACTATCACCATAAGATAGGAGAAGCAAGCGTATTTTTACCTCTTGTGACGGCGATGGCCCCGAGCACTCGGTCTCTAAGCACGACTTCCTCCTCGCCGGGATGCTCAGACCTAATCCTGTCCACCTCGGATTTCTCAGCTCCGTTGTGGTTCGCACTCAGCAGAGACGCATCGAGCTGTCCTGATGAGGATTTTGTGCCCAACACTACAAACCAAATTCAGTGGGCTAAAGGTAGCTACGAGGCTGAAGGTACTCACCTGCCTGACAGTCGCCCAAGCTGGCTACCCAGAGGTTCTTTGCTCCTGGATCAACAAGCGAGACCAGCGCTGTAGTGCCACGGAGACAACGGATGACTTTGGCATTGTTCTTGCCGCCAGACTCGTGATCATTTATGACCGCAGAAATTTGATCGTCGGAAAGCTTTAACACAGCCTCTTCTCCTCCAGGAAAGAGGTCGAGTAGATCCTGGGTGATGGAATCATCGATGCCCTTGACCGAGTTGGCGAGAAGGTGGGAAACAGCCGCAGGTTCAAGAGTGCCAGCGGCAAGTGCGGTGGTTAACATCCCCTTGAGGATACCAGGGTAAGTGGTGACGACATATTCTGCAGTATCCGCACCACCGTGTCCTGAGGGGTATAAGGATATAGACTTTGGTCATATTGAGATAGACGATTACCATCAAAGACAGCAGCGAGGGTCCATGTGCCATTGGATAGGGGCCATTCCTCTACAACGTACCGGTCTTGGCTCTTCTCATTCGGATTCGGGCAAGGCTGGCACGAGACACAGCTAACAGAGCCGATCTTCTTGGCGAAAGAGAGCCGCTCTAGCTCGTGGCTAAGCTTGGGCTCGGAGAGGGCGTGATAGGTCCATGGGCCCACGTCAGGGGGATACCCAAACTGGGCAAACCGAGTCTGGAGGGGCTCAGGCGCTGAGGACATGGTGAATTAAAGTCAATGGAAGCCTGAATGACTTGGAACGCAGAAGGTGAGTCTCCTGAGTATTTATCTGTCGGGAGTGAGTACACCTCAGTTCGCTGGCTGTGTCGAATGATATGTCGATGCGCCCGTTGGCCGGTGCTGGGCAAAGGGCGTGCAAGGAAGTAACGCTGTAACCCTGGGTGGAGGGTATCGAGGGGACGGCATCTCACGGACATATGCACAATTAATATTTGGTCATATCATCGCTTGCCTCGGACCCATTGGCGGCGCACTTCTCCACGCCCCTCGCGCCTTCAGTCGCCAACAGCAGACCATCAAGTTCACGGAACCCTTGCTCTCATACCTCATCACTTGGGCTAGCAGTCAAATAATTATGGATGGATTATCAACACTTGTCATAACAGAGCGTCTCGAGGGTCCTCTAGCGGATGGGCGTTAAATTACAGACGTGGACATCTTTCCACAGTTTAACTAGCGTTCTGAGCAACCGTGATGAATGGTAAGCGTATGACCAAGTGCCAGGAAAGGCAGAGTGACGTACAAGACCAAAACGCTCGGCGCGCTTCTTTCTTCTCTCGAGTTCTTCAGCATCAGCTGGTTCTGTGGGCGAGCTGCGCTTCTGACCAGCTTTGGCAGTAGTCGTGTCATTCTTGACGGACTGGCCGAATCTTTCTGCGCGAGCCTTGAGTTTCTCCGTATCCTACATGTCGTGCGTTAGAATACATTCGGGGAAACGACAGCGAAAAGAGACGACAGACCTCGGCAGGAGTTATAGTAGTCTTCTTGGCTGACTTGGGTGCTGGCTTCGATGCTGCTTTAGGTGCTGGCTTCTCTACCAGAGGGATATTGAAGCGAGCTGCCCGAGCCTTTCGTTTCTCAAGGTCCTCATTACCCTCGGCTGATGGCTGGGAAGTAGGCTGCGGAGCGGCTGCCTGTAGAGTGTCAGACTGGAGCAAGGAAGGAAGAAGTAGTAGTCTCACTGAAGACGCGGGTTTCGCTTTAGGTGGACTTGCTGGATTTGTAGTGGTAGTGGTAGGGTCGGGAGTGGGAAAAGTGGGGACGGCTGTTGGCTGTGGACGCGTCGGATGAGAAGAAGACGCGTGGAGAAATAGCAGGATAGCTTGCCTCTGGGTCTGGAACAAGGGGTACAGAGTCGCCGGACTGGGAGTGAAGCTGGTGGAAGACGGCGATGGCCTCTGGACTCTGAGTGATTTTGGCAATCAGCTCACTTTTTGTAGCTCTAGCCGGGACTTGGACAGAGGACCTGGAAAGAATGCCCTTGAGGTCGACGACCTTGAGAGATTTCCTGTAAATTATTTGTTATATTTTACTGGGATTTATTGGAGAATTGGGTACTGACAGTTGTGCTTCCATCGCGCGTGTGGCTGAGTCGCGCGAGGCACGCGTCTGTTGATTTGGTGACTGGTGGGCGGGGGAGTTTAATGTGACGTTGTGTGACAAGGGAGGGGATTGGACGAGCGTGACATGCAGTGGCAGCGGTGGACGTTGTGTCTTAGCCAATCAATGGACGACGGCGTCGATCAGCTGCTCTCCCCCGCTTATCCGAATCTCCAATACAACCAGACAGACCTCTACGCCGTCAACGTCTACCGCGGCACCAACCAGGTCCAGTTCCCAAACTCACCCGCTCCCTCCACACCCTCAGAGGACCTTTTTCTCCACACCCACCACCACAATGCACACCACCACCAGCAACCTCAGCATCACCTCCACCACCACCATCACCAGCAGCAACAGCATCACCAGCAGCATCACCAACACCACCAGCAGCAACAACAGCAACAGCCACCTCACGAGGAAAACACAGTCGACGAGGAGCCCCTCTATGTAAATGCGAAACAGTACTTTCGCATCCTTAAGCGCCGTGTCGCCCGCGCCCGTCTCGAGGAGGTCCACCGTCTCTCCCGCCAGCGCAAGGTATATCCTTCTCTTACCCTGATCCCTTTCCCCTGTCTTATCTTCCCATCTCTTTCAGCCTTATCTGCATGAATCTCGCCACAATCATGCTATGCGTCGTCCTCGGGGCCCCGGTGGCCGCTTCCTTACAGCAGAGGAGATAGCAGCACAGAAGCTCGCCCGGCCCGGCCCAGTTCACTCCCTAGAGCACGCTGACGACACAGACGACCATCTTACCCCTCCCCAGGAGCCCATGGCTCTCGACCATCCTCACACTTCCTCTTCCAACCAGGCGCTTCTTGACCCCTCCACTTCATTTCCCGAGTCCACCTCCGAGTCCGCCGAACTCGCGATCTCCTATCCCTCTGTCCCTGACCCGCACCCTTCCTCCGTTTCCCCCCAGCCCTTACAGCCGTACACTGATTCGTCCCATCTGCAGCGTCAACCACACGCACATGCGCATACACAGGCGAACCCCACCACTTCCTCGCTTGCCCAATCAGCTCAGGTTTCCTCCAAGGACGCTGGTGTTGCTCCTGTCACACTCCGTTCACCCTATCCTCCGATGCAGATGCATCACGTCCCGCATCCCCATGCTCACGCGCGCCACCACAGACAACGTCTCAACTATTCTGACGATCTCTATCAAACAGACTCTCAGCAAACCAACAGCGAGATGCCGACGGGCATGATGTCGTTCCAAGGTCATAACGCCCAGCACCTCCCGGGCGCGGGTGCATGATAACTTCTGTTCTGATGTGACTCAAATTCCCTGACTGATTCTATGCTTTCCCTTCATTTTGGGTTGTTCTTGCAGTGTTATTTCTATTTTGCTGTTTACATACATAGATGTCCTGTCCAACTCCGCTCTAGACCTTGTGCTCTCAGATAATATCAAACATGTTGTGATTTGTAAATCTTTGGCTCAGTTCATCTCAATGTCCATCGCATTCGAATCCACTACTGGCTGGCTTGACGAGTCCTCGTCAACCAACTCGTCAGGCGATGGTACGATTGCTGACACAGGTTTAAACAATATCAATGCCCTACTTGTATCCTCCTTATCCACCCTCTGCAACGGGATCAACGTCGTGGCTGGTGGGTTGCGGAGGAGCTCTAATACGGCAGATGATATCTTGAAGCCACCTGCATCATTTTCATCCTCGTCTTCGTCCGAGTCGTCGAGACTAGTCACTATAATGCCTAGGCCTTGTTCAGATGATAGAGCTGGACTCTAGTTAGAGTAGACTCACGATCTTTTTCTGGTTCTGACCACGAACGCTGTACTCGCGACTGCGTGGACAAGGGATCTGCCGAAATGCCAGTCAAAGGAGACGTGGGTTCTTCGACTTCACTGGGAAGGATGGCACCCTCCGTGGCCACCGCAGGCATGTCGTCGAGATCCATGGTGCTTGGTTCCGAGGAGTCTGGTATGATTTCAACGGCAGGAGAAGGATTGGGAAGTAAATGGACGGGGTTGGTGTGATTGCCAATGTATAGATGGGCAAAACCGCGCTCGAGGTCAGTGCATTGCCTCTTGCTATCGCGCGAGTCTGCGCCGGCGTCGTTGAGGGGTCGCTTTCTACTTGCTTGCTGGAACCATGGATGTCGGATGCTGTGTATCCACGCCGGTTGAGACATGACGGTGGTGAATAAAGTGACGTCCGGCGCCAAACCGCGGTCCGGTCCCGGGGTTCCCGCGAAAGCGGTTACATGTCCCCATGCTGCTTTTGGCACTGGAAAAAAAGTATCAGACACGGTCCTAAAGGGCATCCCTGGATCCATGCCCGCATCATACAGTCGAGTCTCCAATAACCCATGCCCCCGATAACCCATACTCGCCGATAACCCATACGATGGGGCTACTCCCGAGTTGGTCCCCACCCAAATGGGTCCAAAAACCCATAACTCTCTGATACCCAATACCCCATACAGATTTTGCCAGCAAAACCCATACTTTTCGGTAGCTTTCGGACCCTTTAAAGTACATTTGTAAGCCTTAATTGTACCGTCACATTTTTTCGGTCGTGTTCGCCCTCATTCCACCACCCAATTCCCTTGCAAGTGAACAACAGCAACGTAGAAATACTCAAGAAGGGCCTTGACACCCTTAGAAGTAACATCAAGCAGCGCAAAACTGAGCTCGAGGCTCGCATTTCTCACGGTCAACCAATTTCCGAAGAAGACGAGAGCTGGCTTGATGGCCCAGCTAACCTTGTTGATGAGGAGCGGGTCATTGAGGTCCTTGTAAACGCCTCTGACTACAGCCAGGGGCTCCAGGGGCTTGATGAAGAAGGCAAGGTGCTGGTTCGGAAGCTACAAGAGCTGGGAGCAGGTGGGAGTAAGACGGCAGGGAAGAAGAAGTCAAAGTCAAAGACGAAGCACGTACCGCAGAGCAACAAGAACTCAACAGCTCCTAAGAAGCCCGTGCCTGTTGCACAGTTCAACACTGGCAAGCATCAGAGGGCCACTCTTGTCATCCGCATTGAAGTCCTGAACCATATTAGAGACACAAAGATGAAGCAGAAGGCAACAGCTACTCACTTCGACGGCATCTACCCCGACATCAGATTCTCACAGCCCCTCATCTCCGACTGGGTGAAGGACGAGGCTAGGTGGTGGGCTGAGTGGGATGACAGCTCTGTGGCTGACCGCAATGTCAAGCGCGTACGGCAGACAGAACACCCAGAGGTGACGAAAGCGCTGGACATGTGGGTAGAGGACACAATGACCAACAATATTCTCATCACTAGGGAGGTGATACGACAGAAGTGGCACTTTTTCGCAGCTGAACTTGGAATCCCGGAAGAAGACTGGCTCACGCTGAGTCCTGGCTGGTTGACGAAGTACAAAGCAAGGATGGGGCTCAAGGAATATAAGCGGCACAGTGAGGCAGCCTCAGCTGACGTGGAGACTGTCGAGAGAGAGCAGAGGCATGTCCAGGGGCTGATAGAGGAGTTGGGCTATTTGCCACGGGATATTTACAACATGGGCGGAACTGGCCTTTGCTACGCGTGAGTGCAGTTCGCATTGCTGAGAAATTTTACTGACTTAATGCTCAGGATGCCACCTGACCGCGGTTTGTCAAACAAGGAGATGAAGGGGGTGAAGTTGCGGCTTACATATGCCCTCACAGCAAACGCAGATGGCACCGACAAACTGCAACCTCTCGTTATCGGGAAGTACCGCCAACCTCGAGCATTCAACAAGAAGTCGGCAGCAGCACACGGTTTCCTGTACCGACACAATCCGAAGGTGTGGATGACAACTGTCCTATATCAAGAATGGATCAGGGACTGGAACGAGGAGCTGCGACGGAAGGGGAGACATGTCTTGTTGCTGCAGGACAACTTCTCTGGGCATGCTGTCCCTGCTGGTCTCACGAACATTCGCGTCGAGAACTTCGAGCCAAATCTGACATCTCATGTGCAGCCAAACAACCAAGGCATCATCAGGTGCTTCAAGGCCCACTACCGTGCTGCTTACATCGAACGCGCGATTGCCCGGTACGACCAGGGCATCACCCCAAGCAGCATCTACGACATCAACCAGCTGCAGGCTATGCGGCTGGCTGATATTGATTGGTGGCAGGTCAACACCACCACCCTCCGGAACTGCTGGAAGAAGGCTCAAATCTTACCTGAGTTTACCAGTCCCACCCGTTCTCAACCCTCAGTCCCAGTCTCATCCCTTCTTGATGGCGATGCTGATCCTCTTCTGCATGCCAAGAAAGTTGTTGAGGTGGCTCTTGATGCTCTGCAGGCAACAGGAACCCTCCAGAGAGTGAATCGGATGGACTTGACGGAGCTCCTGAACCCAGAGGTGGAGCAGGGGTTAGCTTCCAGGATGTCGGATGCGGAGATCGTGGAGATGGTCATGGTCGAGAGCAGGGGAGGCGAGGAGAGTGTGGGAGCAGAGGGAGCGCGTGATGAAGATGACGAGGATGGCCCAATTGAACTTCCTCCTACATGCAAGGAGGTCCTCGAGGCCACCGCTGTAATTGGGCGGTGCCTCGACAACATGGACAGCATGCTCGCTCAAAAACTCGAGGTCATGCTTGCCTCCCTCACACGTCAGATGAGGGTTGAAGCATCACAACAGCTTGAGACGTCCAAAATCACTGACTTTTTTACTCGTAGCTCGTCGGAATAGTTTAGAAAATAGAATAGAAAGCTAATAGAATTTTTGGGCTCATTTTATCCCCCTTTTTTCAACTTTTTCTCATAGCCCATAATTCCGATAACCCATGTCTTTTGGCATCTCCTGAAGAGTATGGGTTATTGGAGACTCGACTGTATGTATACAATGGCAGCTCACCGGACTTTCAAATTAAGATTCTGCTGCGTGTGCATGGAGGAATATTCTATACTATGTCGGAAAAACCCCATTTGCATTATGATGCATTTATATGCATCTTAATGCCGACTGCATCTTGAATGCATCTTAATGGGGAGCGGTAAAATTACGATGGTGCCTCGCGTTGTTAAGATGCTATTCTAACGGCAACCTCGGCATTTAGTCAAGCAAATGTATTGTGATGACACATTATCATGCAGCCCTCGCCATCTGGATTCTTAGAGGGTTTTTACGCATCTTAATGCACCCCCTTCCATTATAACATACTGTAGTTTTTTGACCACAAGTTTGCGCCCCTCAGTCTCCCATTGTTGCAGAATAGTTGGAGTTTAACCCTTGTACATGGTTTGTGCTTGTATGAGCTCTGTAGGTTATATGCTTTAAAGAATCACAGTAATTCTGTGCATACCCACCTTGGGGCAGTCTGTATGCAGGAAAATGGGGGACAGGGGACGAACTTGTGGTCAAAAAACTACAGTATCTAAATACATGCCAACCATTACCATGGACTTCAATTCAATAGATGCATTAAGATACTCATTTGGTGTGCTTAGTCATTTTCATCGGCGTTTTCATGTGGAAAAATGAGTAGCCATGAAGATTTACATTAAGATACGAAGTTACAAGTGATGCTACTACATGTAATGGATAGGTATACTACGATAGAAATAAGAGACGAAGGCAAGAATGAAAGGTGATAGGCCAAGGAAGATGGAAAGGAAACGGACAATGAAGGAAGGGAGAGTATGCAACACAGAGGGGAGGATATGCAGGAAACGGATGGGGCGAATACACAGGACATGGATGGGGTGAGTACGCAGGACAAGAACGGGGTGAGTACACAGGGCAAGGGGATGGAATATGCAGGACATGAATGGGACGAGCACACAAGACAAGGACAGCAAGAGTACATAGGAGGGAAAGAGGATGCGGGTAGGAGGACGCAGGAAACAAATGTGGAGCAGGCAAAGAAGGTGACAACGAATGCAAAAGAGACAAGAGGAGGAGCGACAATGGATCAAAGGACTCACGAAAGACCTGAAGGCTGTAACCAGCGTTGATGGACTTGAGGGAGGAGGAGGAACAGGTGGAGCGACATGATATAGATACATCAAGAGCAAGAGACGATTCGTGTGAACACTGAAAACTTTGCATTATGAGGTGTTATGATCGGACTCTGAATATCTTGACCGCATCAGGAAGCTGTCATTATGTAAGCCTGTGCAACAAGACTCCTTATTCACAAAGCAGAAACTCCAGAAAGCCTAATTGATTGAATCCTTGCAAGTGTAGTTACATCAGATAACGTATTTCATTAGATTGTGATACGAGGAGCGACTTTTGATATGCATAGCAAGGAAAACACCTGCAGTAGTGAAGAAACAATTATTCTGAGCCTTGAAGCTGTGTCTTGCTACACATGCCAGTACGAGTAGTAATAGCATCAGACTCAGCATTCCTAGGCACTCTAGCTCCAGGACCATGGCGACCTGCCCTTCGGGCCTGGGCAGGAGAATCAGACTCTGAGCCTTCTGCATGGTCTGAGGAGGCAGGTTGATGCTGTGACGAACACTGTCAATATGTAATATCAAAATAAAGGAAAAAGAACATGACCCACAGCTGGGTTGGGTGCACGAGCAGCAACCACTGCGGAGATCAATTCACCAGCATTGCTATCAGAATGACGCAGCATTCGGTGGTCTTGACAAACACTTTGCTGAAGCCAAACCTGAGCAGCCCAAATTGGCGTCTGCGCTTGCGGGCCTAACGCAACAGGTCGGCGCTAGTGTTGTGCAGGGCCGGGCTTGGCCTGAAAGCCCTGGCTTTGGCCTGGCTTTTGAGGGCTCGGGCTTTGCAAAAACCCAGGCCAGGCCCTGATGTAGGGCCAGGGCTTGGCCTGGGCTTGGCTTTGGCCTAGGCCAGGGCTTTCACTATAAAATCGTGTATTTTGCTTCCTATGTACATAAAAAATTGGAGCAGTCAGTTTTCTACTCAATGAAGCTATCAGGATTGATCAGACAGTAAAAAACAGTGACAAAATCGACTTTTTATTGTGTTGCAACAATTACTGTAGTAAAAGACACTTATTCATCCAAATCCCAATGGTTCTCATTGTCTGAAATACCTAAAATTAAGTCTCCAAGTCCATCATCATGCTTCTCAACAGTCATTTCATCAATACCATTGTCCTCAGCTTTCTCTAAGGATAACTCAGTTGCTGAGGATGGCCCTGGCTCATGGGAAATTAATTCCTGGCAGCTGAGTGTCATCAACACCTGAATAGCTTCAACAACATCTCCACCAATGTGATTGCACCTTTTTGTGATTATTTCAGCAGCTGCAGAAAAAGCACACTCACTGGACACTGAAGAGGCCATAATAGACAAGCAGCTGCTTGCAAATGATCCCCAAATAGGGTACAAAGGAAAATTCAACTGTAGCACTGATTAGAGTCATAGAATATGATACAACAAGATGACTTACACCCCACCGGTGGATAATAGATATCTCTTTTGGAAGAGGCATCACAGAGCCAAGGTAAGCATGAAACTCTTGAGTCCAAGGTGCTGAGGCATTTTCAGCTTCACTGTTTGCACCAAAACTGCCTTCAGGACATTAGTAACCTGCTGAGTCAAACATCACATAATCACTAACATAACTCTCAAGGCTATATTCTAATAATAGGGCAAGTGGGTCAGATAATGCCATAGCTAGATTAGGACACAGCGCACTTTTGATTAGAATTTCCCACAGTCAATAGAAACATTGTACACTATCTAATACTTAAGTTCAAGCTATACAACTTTTTGTTACTAGAGTAATTGTACAGTCATATCAACATTTTTCAAAAATTTAGCTACAGGCCCTGGCTTAGACCCTGGGCTCGGGCTTTGCAACAACCCAGGCCAGGCCTTAGGCCCTCAAAAGCCCTAGCCAGGGCTCGGGCAGGGCTTGGCCTATATAGGGCTTGGCCTGAGGGCTTTAGGGCTTCAGACCTGGCCCTGCACAACACTAGTCGGCGCTCTCGGACTTGGTCCCAGTGCAGCCGATGGCTCTGCGAGCAGCACTCATGATTTCCCCATATCTGCTCTGACAGACTTGTTGTCGGCTGCAGCTCTGCATCTTGCTGCTGCTGTGCTGCATTTGGTTTCGCAGCAGGAGCTGCATTAGCAGGCCCATCAGAAGAGGGCGGGATGCCAAAGATCTCGAAGTTGTAGAACTCCTGGACCTTCTGAACCCATTTAGGGTTCAATGTCGTTAGCTTCCCAAGAAGATAGTCCCTGTCAGATGTGTAGTTGATTCCCGATGGAGAACTGGGCGTGGAGTATTCATTATCGGTAGTAAGGAGATAGCGGACCTGATAAAAAGTCAGTATCATGTCACGGGCAATTCAGATTGACATACATCGGTTGCACCACTTGCAATCATCGGCGTGCTGATGGTCTTCACACCCCATTTGTGACCATTGGTGTTGCTTCGCGGTCTGGGCACGCAACAAAACCTCAGGCCAGATTTGCTGAACAGCTTGATGATGATCACCTAGGCCGCTGATGGTAAGAGGCCAATATAGACAAAGATAACAGCTTTGCACCTTAACAATGGGCTCAGACATGAGGAGCGTGCTCGGATCTTGTATCTCTGGATTCGTATAGAACACGGGAGGGACGCAATTGTAGTGCTTAGACTTGATGTCCCTCTTCAGAAGACTGAGTTTCTGGTCAACGGTAAGAGCGGGAACGATTGTGGGCATGGCATCTCTCAAATGAGACATGTAGGGGCGCCAAGCCAAGTTGATTCCGTCAATAAACTAGAGCGAACAGGGTTAGATCTATTAATGTACTAGATAAAGCATGAGGCATACAAGTTGTGCAAAAGAGGGCTCCTTCTCCATCAACGGGCGCATTTCGAGGGAGAGGAATGCGTACAACTCAGCCATGGCGCCCAGAGCCATCTTGTTTGCATCCTCCCAGTGTTCTGGGCTGCCGGGATCCATGGCGAGGGCAAGAGGAGAGACCGGAAATATACCATCGTGGGGCCAAGGCCAAACACAAACCCCATATTGGCCGCCCTCGCTGCGTATCTTGTTTGAGTTTGCAATTGTGCGCAGGGAGAGTCCCTTATCAAAATTGCATCGAGCCTTTGCCAGTAGCAGTGCATACAAGATCGCGATCTTAGTCTTAGCAGCCGCAAGGGCTTTGTACACTCCCCCATATTCCTCCTGTAGGTCTTGATAATACTAAACCCAATAAGGTCAATATCAAATTGCCTAGACATGAGAGTACCGTACCTTGCAAATCTGAAGCATGTCAGCACTCGCCGGCAATGGTGCCACATCAGACGGGCGAACGAAGCACTGATCGTCTTCATTGTTGATGTTGGAAGCAGCGTCCTCAGCAGCGGCATAGTTGTTGTTGTCCTGAAAGTCCTTGACGGCAGCGCCAAGCTGTCCAGGGCCGTTGTGAGTCGTCATGCAAAATATGTAGATAGAAGTGAAGGCAGGAAGTTAGAATGCAGACGACCTAGAGAGATAAGCCCAAGCACTCACCTATTTATATGCTGAGTTGTGCAGAACTGAGATGGTCAGCATATGTCTCAGCCTGAGACGCGGTGGGTCCCTTGCAAAGGCCTCAAGACGTCAGATTTTTGCGGCTGTAAGCCACAGCATGAGCCATGAAATGAAAAAGAGAACACACTGCCTTCTAAACTTTATGCTACGAAGGTTTCATGCTCACCGTAGTTTGTTTTTACAGTTAATCTCCGCTGTACAGGGCTATTTGGAGAGATCACGGCTGCGTTATTCTACGCATTCATGCTGGCGTACCTGAGGCGACTGCAATGGATAACAAATCAGGTAAACAAGCATAAGCCTTCCTGGTCATTTGCCAAACACGTTGGCGGCAGCCCGTACACTCACCTTACCAGCCCGGGGATCCACAAACACGTTGATACCCATGCACTGCTGTCTGTGGAAGGAAGGCTTGTCATGGGACAGTCCCAAAAGGTGTATTAATAGTGTGAGCAGCGATAAGAGAAATCTGGCTCACCTAAGTGTGTATATGCACGCAGGAAACACAAGGAGGACCCTGACAAATGTGAGCAGATGATCAAGCTAAGATGCTGCCGGAGGGAAACAAGTGTGATGTCCATTCAGATAGCAATGAATGCAAGATAACAACAAGGCAAAAGAAAGTGGGTGAGAGCTGTTGAAGCCATGAAAGGGAAGAAGAAGACTCCGAGTATCGCAAGAAGCCAGAGCCGTGTTTGATTTGTTGAAGGAAATGTAATACTGTACATGATAGAAGCAGAGAGAATAGGAGCCTGAAACAAGTAGAACACGGAAACAAGGCACAGCAGGAGAACATTGAATAAACAAGGGATGGCAGGGGATCAGAGACATGTTAGTGAGGAGCTGGTGGGGCAAGAGAAGACACCACCCGGTGGTTGTGGCTCCATTGTTTCATATGGAGAAACATGTCCCCATTGATGTGATTAATGACAAAAAACTGCTGTGTGTGACCTGCCTTGTAGTCCTGGGCTAATAGAGCCCCCCGAACAATAGATGCCACTGGGACAACTCTTGCAGATTTCCGGTGGACAGCCTTCACCTGAGTAAAGCAAAGGTCGCCATCGATTACGTTGCTTGATCCACTAAGGTCTGCAGTGTAGGGCTGCACAAGAGCCAAATCAAGCAGCCCCTCGAGCTCAGGAAGACGGAGTTGGAAGACAAGGATTAGTTGTACAAAAACTTGGAATGTGTTGGTCATCTGAACCAGAGCACAGTTGTATCGAGCCTGGCTATGAAAACTGGGGTTGCACCGTAGATAGTCCGTGCAACGCTTCCAGGTCTCCAGAGAGTCGTAGTTGACTTTGAGAAACCTGAACTCCTGTAGCTAATAGGATTGCGTCATATATAAAAATATTATAAAGACACAGATGTGAACGAGATGCCATACCTCAGAGTTGCAATTGAAGCTTTTCCATGAGATGTGCTTGTCTTTGAACAATTCCATACCATCAAGATTAGGTAGTTCCAGGTTCACAAACCGCTTGAGATGCTCAGGGAACCTCTGCAAGGCTGCATCTTCTGGACACTGAGACTGGACTTGTCCGATACATGCGATGGCTTGGGGTGAGCCTAAATAGAATTGGTTAGGCGAAGATCTGAAGTTGCTATACTCTGGTCCTTTGTCGCTATCTTCACTTTGGTCTTCTCCTTGTATTCTTGTGTTGTATTCCTTGAGCCTAGCAATAATGAGGTTGACAATCAGCCGGTGCTGATTTTTGCAAAGTATCTATGGTGCAGTTCACCTAGCCACCGCTACCTTTGTGCAAATTAGCCCCTATCCTACTGTAGCCTTCAATACCAGACATTTTTTTATTTTGTCTTGTAGAAATGCTTGTTTCTATCGTACAAAGAGTTCCACAAGACGGAATTTTGATTGAGTAAGAATTGGCGGAGATTTTTTTTTAAAGGTTGATCGATTTGGCGCGGCCCCATAAAAGGGAAGCCCCTATTCCAAAAATGGAAACACGTACCCACGCTCAGTCAAAGCGTTGAGCAACACGCTCTGGCACACGTCGATGGGACTTGTATCGTGTTGAGCTGAAGTTGCGAACCTCGATATGTGCCTCCTTGGCATCCAAACCAGATCTGTATGCCTCTATCCAACGGTGGGTGCGATTTTCCCATAAGCGGATTGTGCGAATGTCGACAGAGGCCATTGCTTTGGGGATATTGGCCTTGAGAGTGGCAAAGGTATAATCACAGTTGTCGCGAATATACTTCTTGACCTTGCCCCAGAAATATTCGATAAAATTGAGTTCGCAATGAAACTTGGGTAAGAAAAGGCACAAGTGACCGGCTGCCTCGATAACCTCGCGAACAAGTGATTTCTGTTCTTGAAAATCAGGCTGCAGTTGCAGAATGCGGTGCAAACAACACTCGGTAGCATCAACAGCACACTTGCTGCTGCATTTCCCTCTGAGATTGGTCCGGCTAATCCCTCGTTCAAGCAGTACTGCCTTGATCCCCTTGGGCTGATTTGGGTGATCCGTGTGATCTGATGGGAAAACCATTGGTTGAGTTATTTTTTGCCCATCCCGAAGGAACCATCCATCCCGCATCCGAGCCTGTTTTCCCCCTGGATTTATGTTCATCCATGTGATAAGAAGGGCATCCTCTGCATAAGCAGAGTGCCCCTGTGAGTTGTCGATGAGAAACAGGGCCTGATAACCAGCTCCATGATAATTCTCAAATGTCGGGATTATTTTATTTTTGAGCTTTGCATAAAAGGAAATCAGCAGCAAAAACTGCGAAGATACCAGTGCTGTTCATACCTGTTCAACAAATCTTTCTCCATTCCAAAATCCATCTTTATTTTTCCCATATTCCAGCGATTCACCGGCTTCAGGCATGTGCCCAACTGTTGAGCAAATAACTTCGCTCCTGTGCTCCCCAGCCCCAACTCCTTTTTTGACCAGTGGCTGCTTGCCATCAAGAAGCCATGATGCTTCATGAGCATCATGTGCTCGGACGACCATCTCATCATGTGAGACTGTAACAAGCCGACATTCAACAAAGTTAAGTGGCACATTTGTTATTTCTTCATCGGGATTGGCAGGATCGTACCGGACAAGCCAATGTTCAACCCTCTTTAGCGCTGGTAAGAATGTGTTGCAGTGGTACTCAACCACATCGGGACGTTCATGGCCATCAAAGTATAGCGCTTTCTTGTGTGAAGTGTATTTGAACCCTTCCTGATGCAGCCAACACCGGGCTGTGCTCAATGAGATACCATGACCAACACGGAGATGAATGCGAGGGAAGAGTTCAAGCTCCATACATCTCTTCAAACCCCGTGGCATCTCCTCGTTAACAAGTTGATGAAGGTATGCTTCTGCTTCGGCTGGGATCAGCTCGTTTTTGCTGAATTTTGCGAGTTTTTCCGGGTTAACAGCCCATTTGTTGGATCGCAGATATGTGCGAAGAGCGGCAGCAATACCGGGGTCATCCAGCAGTGAGTCTGTTTTTGCATGCTTTCCTATCAAAGATGTGGGGAGGAGTCTCGACTTGATCCACTGACGAGTCCATGATCGGAGCTGTTGCCCACCCCATCTTGGTGCAAAACCATTACCCTCTGCCACACGTTTGGACGCGTCGGTAAAGCTGCGCCCATTTTTGAGCACCATCTTGAGATGAGCCTCAATAGCCTTGGTGCGTCGTGCCTGCAGGCCGTTTGGTCCACCTTCGAACTGAGTTTTCGCTGACTTCATCATCTTTTGCAGATCGTGCAGTCCAACAGCCAGGTTAACTCTCTCATCTTCCTGCTTTTCCCCTCGCCTCTCTTCTCGCTGTTTTTGGTATGGCACCTCAAGCTTCTGCCGTTTGGGCGTGGGAACACAAGCGGCTTGTTTTGGTCGAGCTGCGGGAACAGCAGCCTCAATGTCTGCACCATCAGACTCAGATGAGGTGTCCGAGTTATCAGCTTCATCGCGAGCATCGGAGAAATCGGATGCAAAGAACATGAATGAGGACATGTCATCGAGGCCATGGTGAGCTGTTGTATGAGCCTGATTATACAGGTTGAGCTGCTCTGATGCCCGTGCAAGGCTGGCAACCAAAAAATGGGGAGGAGCTGTAGCGACAGGCTTAAACATCTCTTGCATCATCACAATCTGTGGGTCAGTTCTGTGATGAGGTGAGTCTTAACTTATTTTAACTCAAAAATGAATTACAAACAAAGTTTTTGCCCTATCCTGCTTTTCCTCTCGCTCCCTCGCTTCTGCTTCTCTTCTCTGCCTTGTCTGGTCAGACAAGCCATTGCACCCCAAGCCCCGGTTCTTTTCTGCCACTTTCCACTGGCTCACAGTCTTCTTTTGCGATATCTTGTCGATGGGTGTTGGTTTCTCGAGCTCATTGGCCTCTGCTCGCAACACCTCCAAATTTTCCTGTAATTCTTCGCCCTCCATCTCCTCGAGGCTCTGCTCTGACTCATCTCCAGCCTCATACTCTTCATCAGACAACAAGTCAACATTGACACCCCCTTCATAACTGCAGTTATCCGAGTCCTCATCACTGATCTCGTGAATCTTGGGGACCCAAGCTGCTTCAAGTAGAGTGGGAGCCTGAGTTGGCTGACCATTGCTGTTTCCAGCACCGGCTTGCTGCTGTGCACGCTCATCGGTTCGGATCTGCAGCCTTTGGGCTCTTGCAGCAGCAGCAGCTCGCTGACACTGCTGTTTCTGATGTTTGGACATAGCTAGAGTATTCTCGATTATCGCGATGTAATCCTACTGCTACGCGCATTGTGCTGACTAATCAGGGGTACTCCATATATATCAACTGTGAGGTTAGGGTTCAAACTTGAATTTTCCGCCACCGATTTGGCGCGTGCACCAAGGTAGCAGTGGCTAGGTGAACTGCACCATAGTCGCAAAATATGCGCATAACATCCAGAGATGATCAGTTGTCATTTATACAGTGAGTGAGTCCGAGACATCAAACCTGAGGTTCAAATGCCTTCCCATTTGTCGTGCTGTATGATGCTTTGAGGAACGTGTGTACGCCCTCATTTGGTTGTGTACTGTAGTTTCAACTTGCCCCCTTATTGCAAATATCCTCAACAGCGTGCTTGAAGTAGTGCACTTTTGGGAAATCCCAGTCGGTCTTGATATCGGGGACCCCGGACTCAGCAGCAATAGTCATGTATTGCTGAGAACCAATGTATAAGTACGGAGGGCTCGATCAAGGAGCAGGAACTTACATCTAATAGTAGGTTAAATTGAATAAGCTCTACCTCGCCAGCTTTAAGTGTGGCTTCAGTGTGAATGTCGAGCCCGACCCACGTGTCAAACTCAACATAGCTTGCTGTTAACTAAAGGAGAGCATAACCCACAGGTGAAACGTCTTCCGTTAGGATACTTTGAGCTGCATAAAGAATTTGCTAGAGTAGTTTCAGTTGGGTATAAGTGAATAGACCCGATACAACCGCCCACATACCTTTGACATATCATGAAATTTATTGCCATCACTAAACAAAGTGTTGACGGCGTGGCTGAAGTGATTGAGGTTTTGCCAGTGTGGCATACCATCAAACCTAATGTAATTTAACTCGATCAGCAGTATCCCTATCATAGGACTACAAGGCACTTACTGCCAGTCAAACTGTGATAAGATATCTGGTTGTTTCTGCTGCTTACTGACATGCCTCAAGATTTTCTGGAGCTCGGGAAGAATATGCCATCCAAATACTCCACCATGGTTGAAGTGGAGGCGGTCAAATGAAAGTGCATTGTGGGGACCTGATCCATGCACCAGCTTCCAGAAGATGTTCTATTATGTCCATTAATAAGCTAACTTGAGTAACGGACTCGGATAGATGATGCGTACCTCAACCGGTCTCAGTCCAAGCACTTTGAGGTCCTCTTCGGCGGCCGTTTTCCTACTCTCGTAATCAACCATAATATCCATTCCATCCTTGGCAGTTCAACGGTGAAAGTCGGTGACTGAGTCGCATAATTCGTCTTTTGGAACAAGACAGACCGGGCATGGGCACTTGCAAGCCCGCCCTCAAATCAGGGACATCATACATCTGAATGTCGTAAATGTCATCAGTTTTATAAAACGAATGAACCAGGAATCACTTACTGCTCCTCATAGTCACCAGATAGAATAAGAATAACAGGGAACAAAGCACACTTGATCCCGTCATAGCACTTGTGAATGAAACCGGTAAGATTATGCTTGATGATACCCTGGAAGAAAAGCTCAAAAGTTTTGTGCCAAACAACCCGCTTCAGGTTTACGTAGCCCAGGACACCATCCTTATCAGGTGCGTCTGAAAGCTTCAAGCTGTTAACTGACATAGCTCATGTCATGCAGCCCCAATAATCGGGCTAAGAACGTGGACATACCACGGGAAGCCATCCAACAATGCGTGCCCCACCCACGTCAACATTACTGTTGCGGATGTGAGTGGGCAGGTTAGCACATCTCGCGATCACCAGATACCCTTGTGTAGTGCCAAAAGATGATAAATGTGTCTTATCTGCATAGAGAAGGATCGAAAAAGGGGCAGGAACAGCACCCGGTGTTGACAGCAGCTTTTCCTGCATTGTGATTAGTATACTACACATATCATAGTGAAGCTACTTGCCTGAATATTCCACCACCTGTCGGCTGTCCACGGTTCATCGTAGAAGCGCACAAACTCGTCATTGGCATCGCGCTTGTACACACACTGAGCGTCCCATTCGAAATGCGGAGCCAGGGTCTTGTTATCCAAAAGCTCCTTCATCCAGCCCCATAGATCTCGTGTGTGGACTTTTGCGGGTATCTCTTCAGCCTTGTACTCAAATGCAACCTCGTGGGTCTCAACCTTTGATGGAGGCACAGCGCAATAGATAGAGATTGAAAATAATATGTTGAATAGGCAACACGAATACATACTACACTATGACTAGATTGCTTACAGGTGTGAGCTCCTCAGCGGCCTTGTCGCATGTTGAGCGCAAGTCTGCATCATTATGAAAGGTGACTTCCGAATTGCCTGCAGCTACACCCCTAACAAGCTTGAGGAGACAATCAACGCAGGTCTGCGTGAGCTCAGCGTCGATTGCGATTGAGGTGAATTCACAATCGCCGCAAGACTTAAAGGGCTGCCAAGGGTCCTCGTCGGTGTTGAGAACAATTGGAGGCACATGTGACAGATTGCGAAACTTGTCCCATGGCTCAAGTTTCTCCGGTCGGCTGCTCTTAGGGTGATACATGGTCTTGAAGTCCTGAGCTGTCAACATTGACAGTGTAGAGGGAAGCGCGGTTGCGGTGAAATCAACACTCTGAATGCTGAAGTCTGACCCAGATCCTGTACATTATATGAATAATGAGGCTTCCTGCAAGGTGAATGCGGATGAAATGGATACTCACAAGATTGTGCTCCTTCCATTTCATGGTCAACGCCCTCCTGCACGCTATCATACGGCTCCTCTGCTGACTGGATGGGATTCGAATCCCAACTGTGTATGCCATGTTCGAGTACAGACAAGATGGATGGATGCTGCAGTATCCCCGCCCGATTGAACCAGACAGGTGCAGAGATGGCAGCAGCGGTTTGATGAGATGACACGCCTGCTTGTCCGAATGGGCCGGCTGCAGATATAGACGCAGCAACATGCCGGTCCTCTCTAAGTTGGGCAATACAAGCTGTTGAATCGAGTTAGCTACAGATGGACGGGTTGTACGCATGGTATCAGAGGTCAGTCCTATAAATCGCACCTTGTTGCTGAGCCGCTGCAATCTGGTCATTCACAGTGTTGCAAGCTTGAGCTTCAACGGTATTGCGCTTGCATGCCCTCAGGTGACTATTGAGACCGTTGGGCTGGATGAATCGAGGGCAGTTTGGGCACTTGACCTTGTCACTGATGGGCTGGGAAGCCTTGTTCTTGCCCTTGCTGGAGCCCGATAGAGCCCGAGGCATTGTTGCAAGAGCAGAGGGATGGCCGGAAAGACAGGGGGTGCAGAAGAGACAGATATACGAGCAGCGTGAGGAGAGATGCTCGATCGACAATATCGATTAGAGACGGAATATGTTGGGTTGGCAGCAGAATGCCATTAAGACGAGAGGCCAACATCGGTAACCACATCAAGACAACATTACTAAGCATTGAAACACCTAACAACAACAAAGACCGCATTACCACAGCTTTACTTAGCATTGAGACACAGAAGGATGTCAACGACCATGATAAGATTGCTCAGTCAAGATTATTACGAGGGCTCTCACGTTATGATAAAAGTTTGGCACGTAGTAACTCATCTACACCCACGCCCTGCTGTTAAGACAGCATTTTCTATGCCATCTTAACAATGTTGCAACAGCTGTGTCAGGGAATCATCAAAATGCCCCTTTTGGTTTTTCTGACATAGCTGTGTGACCTGTGGACAGCCATGCAACAGCCATGGGACAAAAAAGCTCTTGGTACAGTTCTGTAAACATAATTATGCTATTATAGTTGGCTATCAAGTAAATTTCCAGTGGGATAATCACCTATGCTTCCCACACTCCGGGTGAAGGTAAAGCGGTTGATCAGAGGTTTTCCTCCCCATTAATATGGTTGTTTAGGCCCTTCTCCCAGCCTCTGGCGGGTTGCCCTCCCAGGTCCTTAGGGACTTAGCCTTATTTCTGAGTCCCTCGCTGAGCGTGCTGCGCAGCGTCCCTTCCCACATATCAACATCTTCCCTACTGCATTCCTATTGGCTATGCTCTATTCCTCCCACCACATCTGCTATCCTGCATCACCCCTGGGCGTTGGCATGTCCCGCGCACCGTCCCCGGCACTGTGGACACTCTCCCAGACAGCGAGCACGTGTTTCTCCATCAATTCTCAGTATTTTTGTGCCATTTTTTCTTTATAGTATGTTACAATGTATTCATAGTAGCTACAAACAATGTGCTGTATGTTTTAAAACATATTGGGGGGTATGTCTAGGTGGGGAGAACTTAGGAAATTTTTCTGAAAGTGCGGCATTAGTCATCAGCAGTTTGGCATAAGGAGATGACGTGTCCATGGTGTATATTTAGTCCCGGGCCAAATTGATCTCAGGCACAGAAGGGATGATGTGTTCTTGCATTATATTTTGGTCCGGGCCAGACTTACATAGCCAAAACCTTGGCCTAAGAATAATGACATGACTTTTGGCTCCAGGTGACAATACATGTGGTGCACCGTGTGGTGCCTGTGAACCATGCCACCAGTGTTTTTACCACAGATTAGTAAAATAGTTTTGACTTCACATTATTGACCACGCGGGGCTGGCTACTCCCCCCATTCACTCATATGTTCAGACCCGTAAATACTTAGATAAAAGTAAGCATATCACAAGTCAAGTATCTGCTGGATAGTATGTGGGATAGTACACCTTGGGTGGGACATCATGTAGCATCATTTAGCGGAGGTTAAGCATGGCAACGGCCAATTGATTGCAGTTTCAATATTCAGGGACTACCGGCTAAAACGGCCGGTCATGGAGACATTCTAGAACGACACTACACGTGGCTACTTTGGTCTTTTTAGATATGACTTATGTTTTTGTGCATTTTTGGTGAGGTCAACCATAGGCATACAATTTATTCATTGCATAGTAAGATATATGCGGTACATAACATGCAGATTAGTCTAATAAGAAAGTCATGCAAGATGATGAAGTATGTAGATCACACCCCCTGCCTAAGGTGCTGGGCAATGGGGTAGCCATTGTTGATAGCCTTTGACAACCATTTACACTTGCAACTGGCCTGGGAAGTGCCGTTGTAGTCGTCAACGTCATCAGCATTGGCACCTTCTGCGTCCGCAGGCAACTCGGAGGAAGCAAGGGCCTTGGCAACTTTGCCACGCTTGGCACAGTGCTTGCTGCAAGGGTTGCTCTTGGCAACTGGGGTGGGAGCAGGGGTGTGAACATCCTTGACAGGAGAAGTCGTGGCAGCAATAGTGCTGGCCACATCTTCCAAGGTAGGGGCACTGACTGCAGGGGGAACAACAGGCTCCACAGCAGCAGCCTCAGCAAGAGCAACAGGCTCCACAGGAGTAGCTCTGGCAGAAGAGCTGGTCTCGGCGTGAGGCACAGCCTTAGCAGGAGGGCAGGTCTCAGCGGGAGATGCAGCCCCGGCGGGCAAGGCAATCTCGGTGGCCAAGGCGATCTTGGCGGGCGGGATGATCTCAAACACCAAGTATGTGGGTGCTCAATCAAAGCTGTGGCTTACATCATCCTGCAATGAACACTCAGTTGAAATGGTACAGTAGGCCATGGCTTTGTTAGTGCTGTATATCAGTAATTACAGTTGATGTTAGCTTGTTCAATAGTTTTGTAAAGCTTGTACACCTATCTTTTATCTAATCCTTGTCATTTGTGGACCATGTTTGTTTGTGACCATAGGAAAGTCAGTGTTGAGATCTTGAGATGGCGTCCTCTAGAGCTAAATAGTTTAAAGCCTAAGTCTTCATTAATGGTGATTGGCCTTGCATTAGGCTAGTCTTTAATAAAACTGTTATTTATCAGAAATGATCCTTGACAATGCTATCCCTCAAAACATACCCAACCCTTGACAGCATCTGTTTGTGGAAGAACTAGCCCTTTATAAAACTAATGTGTAGTAATAATAGTCCTGAGTAGGCCTGATCCTTGGTATAGCTATTGCCATATTAGTATTAGATTTTGCAAGACATCACACATGGCAACATGTGTACTGGCTGACACAAGCAGTATCTAATGTTGGCGTCTACATCACGGTAGCGCTGGTATTGTGGTGCCAGGTGCACTACCGCACCCTGATTCATTGCATATACCCTTATTAATATTGCTCCTTGACAGATGTTCATTATTCATCACACACATTTGTTTTGTTTTGTTCTTTTGGGTTCTGTATTATACCGAGTCACTTGCCCGAGTTACACTTATACCAGAAAATTAGTTACCAACACCTCAGTACTTCAGTGTTTGTTCCTTGCACAACAACTGAGGTGAGACATATTCTATTCCGATGCACCTACACACATACTTACACTCCTTTGTAGTCAGCTGTCCTTGTGTCAAGGTGAATAAATTACAGTGTTTGTTTCTCAAGCAACAACTGAGTTAGCTGGCCTTGTGTCTAGGTATTACACTGTTGCTGTAGTCATAGCCTTGTAAAAATTAGTACTTCCTAGCAGTGTAAGAAAAGAATGGTGCGCCAAGTCCAATTGGCACACCATTTTGGTGGCTAGCCACTGGCACACCAATGGCGCACCAATTGGCGTGGGTTGTGGCAGTGCTGCCATTGCCTGTTATGGCAGGTAGCATGAGCCGCGGTGGCGCTGTGAGAACCAGTCCTGCCTGGTCAGGGGCTAGTGTTATTCTTGTTATCTGAGCTATGTAAAGGCTGCTAGGGCCGCAAACAAGCTTTGAGAAGGGGACAGAAGGTCGAGTTTAATATATCTAAAGTTCCTGTGTCGCCTTTCTGACCCCTGGACCCATTCTTTCCCTCATCTTTCCCTCTCACTGTATCAAACTTCATTATGTCCTCAGGCTCTGGTGGTGCTTGGTATTGATCCCTTTTCATGGAAAACAAGACTCAGGGTGGTGTAGCCAACCTGGGCACTCAGCCGAGGAGCCAGAGAGTGAAATCTGTCTGCAATATGTGCCTTCAAGACCACATCAAGAAGGAACAAGCAGCAGATGCCCAAGCAGGGCGTGTTCCTTGTTCTTCTGATATTATTACCGATGCTGGTATGTGACCCAGATTATTGTAACTGTATTCCTGTTTATCATGATTTATGCAGTCTGGGCTTGGGAGCCGAGGCAGCCCACTAGTTTGCTTACGCTGGGAATGGCACAGCCATGGATACAAGGGCATACAGAAAACTGGCTAAATCATCTTAAGGTATGTGTACCATAATCTATTGATATTTATGATTAAAGTACTTTAAGGTGTGTACACTCCAGCCACCCAGCATCCGCAGGGATGCAGCTGAGGTGCAGGCAAGGGGAAAGCATGTGGCCACTGAGGTAGAGGCAAGCAATATTTATTTTCCCTCGGAATCCTCCACATCCCCATCTTTTGCTATGCCCACACCACATTCTGTTATGCTTCTGGGCAATCTACTTCATGCTACACCATTTCCCATGTCCATGCTTCCTCTTCAATCACTTTCTTCTTTGTCTGCCAGTCCCAGCCCCCACTCAAGTGTTGCGCCTTCACCCACCCCACGCTCTGCTACTCCTTCAGCAATATCTGCTGTTATCCCGCTGTCTAAGCAGCAGCAAGTCCTTTCATGCTCTACCAGCTCCCCCGCTCTTGCTCCTTGGTCTTCTATTGATCAGGACATGCTTGTAAGTCACCTTGCTTGTACTGCTTTGTGTGGGTTCCCACAAAGCTGGGTGGAAAATCCAGCAGTGCAGGCCTTTTTCAAGCAATACTTTCCTACAGCCACTCTGATTTTGAGCTACCGTCTCACCCACACGTATATCCCCCACCTCCTTGACGGTTACAGGTATACTGCTATGCAAAGGTCTGCGGGCAAGCTGGTAACTCTACAGACTGATGGCTGGACTGGTATTAACTCTCATCATCTTGTCGCGTTTATGATGACAACCTCACCAAACCATGATGTGAGTTTTAATTTTCTTTTGTTCCATTATTCTTATGTTATTCTTATTTTATCCTTATTCAGGTTCACACTGTTGCGGTGAAGGATGTGTCATCTGACCGTTGCACTGCTGCACACCTCAAAAATCTCATTATCAATGTTATAAGTAAGGTGAAGCCACAGTGGCAGGCAACGGTTGTTGCCGTCACATCTGCCACTTTGGGGGAGTCAAGAGCTGCAAGGAAACAGTTGCTAGAGCAGTTTCCTTTGCTGGTAACACCCGACTGGTATACTCATCAGGTATGATTTATTATTGTATGATATATCCTCTAATCTGTGTTTTTGCAGATAAACCTTGTTGTCGGAGATTATCTCAAGGCCAACAACGCACCAACATATCTTTCTTATACCAAGAAAGTGACTGAGCTGATCACTTGGCTCCAGAACCACTCTCAGGTCACGGCTCTCCTCCAGCGTATTCAGGAGCAACTTAACCAGATGTGTGCAGCTCTGGAGAGGATTTTGTCTGTTATCAGAGCTGTTCTCACTTGTTGGACTGCTCACTATCTTGTTTTTTGTTGGCTTCTCAGACTCAGGTCTCCCTTGTTTCAGCTCGCAGAACAATCCTCAGGGTGGATGCTGGCACAGGGTGCTGCAAAGGCAAAAGCTCAGGAAATGGTGAACCTGATTAAGGATAAAAAACTGTGGGAGGTCTTAGAGGTATGAGCCATTTATTCAAGTTTGATTACTGACGTTTGCGTTCGACCTTGCCAACGCGAATTTTAAAAATAAAAATCCACAAAAGGCAGCTGCATCCACGTGTCTGGGTCTCGTAGTCATAAGTAATCTCCTATTCTCCTCGTCTACTACGGAACTGGGGATTTATAAACCACCTACACCATCTGAGAATACTCTCCATGTTCTATGAGATAGATCAGTCATAGCATAAGTCAGGAATGATGATTCGGGGCCTGGTAAGATACTGAGTTGGTTACAGAGGTAGTCAATATTAATTACCAAGAATTGACTTATAATTATCAGTCTGATTGAATCCAAGCTACATATTAGCCACGTGTTGGCTTGGCGTAGACATGATCTATTTTTATTTAATTTTTCCGTTCAGCAAGGTCGAACGCAAACGTCAGTAATTGAGCACCGATTGCATCGTAATTTGCACAGGTCACTGCCGCCAGGAAATGTAGATGCACTGGCAGGAGGATAACGCTCACCCAGAACTCTCATTCAGTTTGTGCGGACCAATCGCTTTTCGTTCTTACTGACGTTTGCATTCAACCTTGCCGAACGGAAAAATAAATAAAAATAGATCATGTCCGCGCCAAGCCAACACGTGGCTAACATGTAGCTTGGACTCAATCAGACTGATAATTATAAGTCAATTCTTGGTAATTAATATTGACTACCTCCGTAACCAACTCAGTATCTTACTAGGCCATGAATCGTCATTCCTGACTTATGCTATGACAGGCTATGACTGATCTATCTCATCGAACGTGGCGAGTATTCTCAGATGGTGTAGGTGGTTTATAAATCCCCAGTTCTGTAGTAGACGAGGCGAATAGGAGATTACTTATGACTAGTACGAGACCCAGATGGCACGTGGACGCAGCTGCCTTTTGGAGATTTTTATTTTTAAAATTCACGTTGGCAAGGTCGAACGCAAACGTCAGTAACTTGCTCATTTTTTTTCTAGAATGAAAATGCAGATGGAACCTCTTATGTATGCTGCCAACTTCTCGCAGACTACTCATACCCACCTTGATAAAATTCTTCTTGTTTTTGGCTATCTTCACTTCAAGTATACCAACATGCCTCTTCAGGCAATCAGTGATGGTGAGCAGTCTAGTCTTTTGGGCTTGGTCATCAAGAGCCTGGAGAGACACTGGGCAAAATGTGACCAGCAAGTATTTATCTCTGCTGTCATTCTCAACTCCATCTATAAGCTGACACCCTTTGCTAAATCTCCATCATTCCTCCCTGCCAATATCTTCGAGCTTATGTGCCTACTCTATGAGTGCTTCTTTGGTTCAACAACTCCTGCTAGCCTCTATGACGAGCTCAACAGCTACTTGTTTGGTACTGGCATTTACACTGGTTTAGCACAATCAGCTGCCCATGCTTAGGCTGATGCTTTGGCAAAGGTATGTATTTATTCAAATATTTGATTAATCTTCTAATTATTTAATACAGAACTCGCCCGGACCCACTCAAAATTCTCCGGGGCTTTATGCATCCAGGACTCCCTGTATCTCCTTTGTTACAGCTAGCCATGCGCCTGTTTGTGATCTGTGCAAACTTGGCATCCTGCGAGTGCTTGTTCAGCATCTTTGGTCTTATTTTGACCAAACTGCACTTGAGGCTTGGGCTTACTAATATGCTCAATTTTGCAGAGCTCCGACTCCACCTGCACAACAAGTATTTAGCTACAGGCAAAAGCACTGAACGCCTTTGGCGCAACCGCAAAGTCATCAACAACACTGTTCATGAATCACTACCTGCACAATCCAATGACACCCAGGATTTGTCCTCAGAGCCAGTAGAGGACCTGGAGAATACGCTTGAGTCAATCAGGAGGGCATTTGAGGTGCAACTTCAGGAAGATGATGACAATGCCACTATTTCCACTGAATCTACGCAGATGCACAGCCGCATTGAGCTTGTGGCCCTTTTTGACTTCAACAACAGGGGTTGGATGGATTTACTGACTAAGGCTGGGGAGAAGGGACTCAAGGAGGAGGAATTTTATGATTTGGCTGTTGAGCAGGAGAAACACATTGATGATGACAGGATTGATGACATGTTGGCCTCGGCAATGTAATGTAGTGATGTAGGTAACCAATCAGAACACATTTTGTGATGACTAATTTGGTGGTGCCTGGTTGCAAACCAATGGCGCGCCAAATGGCGGCCATTGGCAGCTCCATGTAAAACCATTGGCAGGCCACCAAAACTCCAATCACTGCTTCCTAGTGCCTAATAGAAATTATGGCCTATTACTTTCATGTTTATTTGGACTGCCAATAAGGCGCTTATAATCTGCCAAAGACTATTTCAGTTAAATGTTGTTTCTGTCAATGGTTAGTTACCATGTTTTTCTCATAGTCAGGTGTTTGGGAATAAGCAAGTGTTCTCATAAGGACTTGGCAAGGCTCATATCAAGCATATTTATAAATAGTTGCTCACAGGCATATGGCATTTACCACTATACAAGGGTTAACCTGCAATTAAAGCATTTGGCTGTATTTTGTAGGTAAATTTATAGTGTAGCTAAAGTACCATACAAAAGCCATGACTTGAGCCAAGCCAAGCCAGGGCCAAGCCACAAGCCAATAACTTTGGCTTGGCTTGAGATTTGGTCAGGCCAAAAGCCACTTGAAGCCAAGCCAAGAACAACACTACTTGCATAGAAGGCCATTATAATTCAAGAACCTTCGGTCATTGTAGATCATATAAAATAAATATATTAGGTCAGGCTACATGAAATCCAATCACATGTCTGTAGAATAGGGCACACCCAATCCCGTTGCTGTACCTGCCTGCTCCTGCTTGCTGCATACCTGCCCATCCACTGCTGTTGGCTTTCCATCCAGCTTGTTATGCCACTCCCGTGTCCCATGTGGCTCCCATTCTCCAATCAGATGTGGGCAGGGATGTCTGAGGACACCCAGAAGGCAATGTATGTGGATCTGTGGCTTCCTCTCCTGGTTGTTGTTGATCCATCCCTGCAAAACAGGTTACAAATGCAGACAGTTGCCAGATGACCGCATACTGTTGAAGCCCAGGCATGAGTGGTCTGTTGTAAAGTGACAGGTGTGAGGTTCCATCACGTGATTACATCACAAGATTCCATCTAACTATGTAGTACATCAGCCACTGTTTGCACTCAATACCCATAGTTTATCACTGTATGCTAGACCTACTAGTCATCGTCTCTGTTGAATAAAGCAAGACAAGAACAAGATGACATTAGTCTCAGCGTCATGAGTAAAGTCACATGCTCTCTGCAGCATGCTGAACAAGGTTACTCCTGTTGCAATGAATTTAGTAGTTGGACAGAACTACACCTGAAACCGATGGCAAACTGTGCCCATATAATTCATATGAGTAATCTAAGTGTAGAGAAGGCCTATAGCCCCTACAAACTAGTAGTATAAATAATAGATGAACTCAAGTGAGGAATACTTAGCTTGCACTGCTCTTGTCTGCTGTATGATTCTCTCAACCTAAGTGGTTATGAGCTCCACACATTTCTAAACCCCCATCCTTATATATGCTGATAAACTTGCATCTCAGGTATAACAACCTGCTCTCACACCTCATTTCCCTATATCTGTCTCGTGCAGCATCCCCAAACATGTCCAATCCCAATCCAAACAGCAGCCATATCCTGCCAGCTACTCCCAACTCTGCCAGCACAGCCACTGCTGTGCCACACCAAGAAACTGTCATTGTTCCCAAAGACAACTCCACCCACGTGATTATGGTTGCACTGCTTCACACAAAGCATGGCAAACTGGCCAATATGACTGGTAACAACCAACTCCGCAAAATCTCCGGGGGGACCAACTGGCTCCCTTTCAAAGACTGCACTGAGAGTCTCTTTGAGCTTTTTGGGTGCCTTCATATTGTCAACAGCAAATGGCTGATCATGGAAGCAATAACCCCAGAAGAATAGGAGTTGTGGAAAAAGAGAGATGGGATAGCAAGATACATTCTTACCAATCCAGTCAGTGACAACTTATCTTCCCACATGAAAAAGCAAGACCTGCAGAACCCATCAAAAATCTTCACTTCTGCAGAAATGTGGAAGAAACTCACTAATACATTAAGATCCAATCAGGAGAACATGTCACCAAACTCTATTCACGCCTATACACTATGCAGGCCGGAGACAAAAACAACATCAGCTGTCACATACTCAATAGGACAACTGATGAGCTCATAGCTTTCATTTGGGCTGAGGGTGCTTACCGTGCGGGAACCAAAAGAACTTAGAAGTGGTCACATGGGGAAGAAGCCTTCACACTTCCTCTGGAGAGGTGTGTTGTGGGAATAATGGGAATAGAATCTCTCAGCCACATGGTTGTCATGTCTGCAAGATGAGTAACCATTCATATGTGGACTGCACTGTCAAAGACAAACCTGAGTGTTACCATTGTGGGTATTGTGGTCACATTGCACATAACTGTCACCTCAAAAATGGTTACCCCAAGGGGTATCATCACTAAATCGGGGGAAATATGTCGGAGCATAAACAAAGTTATCAGTGTTATAACATGACCATTGATAGAATCGTGTATGACCATAAATGGCGAGGATTCAACATTGCTTAAGCGTTAGTCCACAGTATGAGAATGAACTATGGTAGAATATCATATCATCGGAATCTTACCATTAAGTACCATATGAGTGTGAGCTTACCGTGGACCGAAACTCAAGGTAAAATCACTTGCGATATGTTGGAGCATAACAATCCGGTTCTCATTTCAAAGGCAATATGAACACTCAATTATAAGACACTACTCATAAATCAGTTAGCCACTAACGTTGGAAGCATGCTGAGTAGTAGAAGACTGACCTCCAATGCATCAAAGCCAGCCTCCTCAGCAAGCGCTTCGTCCTCACCAAGAAACCTCCTCACCTTGCTCTCCCTCATCACTGATGTGGTCATCAAATAGGTTGTGTTCCTCGGCTTCAAGGACACTGTCGTGAAGACGACCAAGGCCCCTATTCTTTTCTTTCTTTTCTCTTTCCTTCTCTCTCTCCTTTTCACACTTAGAGCCAGGTCCGCGCACCTCCGGTCATCTTCGCACACCTTCGCACACCTTCGGACCCTCCGAAGATTTCGGAGTTTTCTCCACGTCTGGAGTTACCTCGGACCTCTTATGTTTCCCTTCGAGCATTACTCCCGACAACATTTGGACTTTATGCAGACCATGCGGACGCTTGACAGCAGCGCTGTACTACCTCCGTGACAGCAGATGGTTATCAGTAGCATGATCAGGATCCGAAGATCGCTGGAGTTGTTTATATACTGAGCGGTTCGCATCCTAGTCCCCCATCTCGACCTCTTGGTCATTGGGACTAGGTGCGCATTCACTTTGTAGTAGAGAGCATGCTTTATTGACTTGGTCATTGGGACTAGTGCTTTTGTGCTCACCGCCGGCACTCGTTGAGATCCTCCATCACCTAGCCTTGTGGTTTCGGCCACTTGTACGCCTACGCTTCTACGCTCCTACGCTCCGCTCCGTTCCGCCTACCTCCGACCTCCTCCGAAGTTTCGGAGCTGTTTAGGAGTTTAGAGTATCGCCCCTGTTGTGTCCACAACAGACACTCGAAGTCAATGCTAGGAGCTTTTGGTGCCATTCTTGGGGTAAGTTGTGGCCAATGCCACTGCCTCAAAACCGCGTGAGCATGTCCCTATCAACAAATCTAAGGAATAGTCAGTAGAGTACATTAATGTTCAAAGAAACACGTACATGTTCACATAATAGAATAGCCATTTGCTCACTATATGGTGAGGGATTGATGGACCAGGTGTTTGCTCATACTTGAAGCTTGAAGGCTGGGATTAAGTGGGCACCTTGAATTACAGTGACGGGATTAATGAAATATCATTCTGGAGCCACCAGACAAGAAGAATAACAATCTTCCGATCACAGAAGGACACTCACTGAGGAAGTAGACATTGATATGAAAGGTATAAACAAGTCTGTTGGAATTCCCCGATTGACATCATGGTGTCATGTTGGGTGCTTCGGGAGAAGTGCAGTGGAGTCGCAGAGAAGCATGACGGAGACGGGAGATACGGGAGAAGGGAAGCAGAGAGATATGGAATGCTGGCCTTATATACCCGGCCCAGCGTAGCGACGTCCAGGCCTCACTCACTTATGCCACAAGTGTCTGAGGGTAAGTCATCCGCGTCACCGTTGCAGTCAGTTGATCCTTAAATGACAAGTTTACTAAACAGATCGATCCAGATTACGCGGTTCTATGGCCAGGATTGTTCGGACACTCATTCACACGCCCCCACTGCACCTCCGCACCTCTGCGCTGATGCGCACGTCACTTTCCGCCCCAACCCCCCTTGCCGCCCTTTTTCTCCCTGGCAGCCCGCGGACTACTCGCAAGATGCCAGCACATCCACCTGATTTGTTCCAATGGAAATGTTCGACCCCTTCCATCCCTTTGATTTATCACTGCTCTCGTATATTGCTCATACTCGTCCTTTGCAGATGCTAGCCTCAATAAATTCTCTTGTATATTGTATTATGTAATGTCTGCTGTAGAGTGTACTGTATTATTTGCAATGAATTTCTTGGTATCGGAAACCTCGTCGTGATCGCAAGTCGTTATAATACACCTGTTGCGAGTTATAGTAGCTGTGAGTACCCGTATGTTGTTATCATGTGGCCTCTGCTGATGGTAAGATGACACTTAGAGTAGATCATGGATTCTGATTGATGTGAGTACCCATATGCTACCCATATGTTATTATCATGCTGTATCTACTAATGATAACACGCCCCTTCGAGTAGATAATAGATTCTTTGCTGTGATCATATCCCCGTGATCTTTCCTGCATGCTCAAAATGGACTTTACATGCTACTAATGTCGGAGTCTCACCATTTCCCCGGTGTATGTTTGTCATGATCTGTGATGTTAGTCAAGGTCATTTGCTTATCATTCATCCCCCCATTTAGTGATGATACTGGCAGAAGACTCATGGATAATGATAGAAAGAAGCTTGATAAGGATATCAAGGCAAAGGCTGCCAAAGAAGGTTTCCATAAGGAGAAAAAGAGAGGCACAGATGAGGCTCATTTGGTCAAGACTCCAACAGAAGCTCCGGCGGAATCTTTCCGCATGGCCACAGAGTGCAAGACTGAAGCCTTAACAGGATTAGAAATTACAGATTCCAATCCTGATGTATCTATGAATAGTGTTGAGGCTGATGACAAGTCAGCCGAGACCAAATTTACTGTTTCCATCTATGACTCAGAAATACGGAGAAACAAAAAGTCCGGCGGGTCTGCACGCAGTTATGGGGTCTCCCAAGAAAGCAACTGCATGTGACTTCTGCGTGTTGCACCTTAGCCTGTTGTAGCTAGTGTATACATCCCTGTCCTCAACACAATTGATTTTGAAAAGATCCTCCACTTTATCCAGCTTGCTGGTGAGCTACAATTTGACATTGCAAACATAGAAGATGGTAGTGTGGACACTGAGTCGGAGACAGTGCCTCAATACTTGCCCTACGTTCAGCAGGTGTGCCTTGCTTGGACAGCTGGCATATGGCTATGGATGATACCCGTGCTATGGCAAGTGTTCAAAGTCTTTGTATGGACAAAGTGGCAAGCAGCTGAGGAGCAGCAGCAGCTACACCAAGACTTTGAGGAGGTCGGGTGGGATATGGGCATCAGTGAGTGATCTCCTCTTTACATTTTCCGGGTTCTAATCCACACAGCACTTTATGTGCTTGCACCTCTGAGCCGGAAGTGCACAAACCTGAACTGTGAGTGCAAAAACGTTGAGATGCACGCCCAGGATAAGGATGTGCATGACACTGTTGTCTTTACTGCAGAGCATGGCCCTCAAGTGGCCAAGGCCATGCTATTAACATGCCCAGGTATTTTCTCTATTATTTTAGTTGCCCATCACTAATATTGTTATATTGCAGCCTGTAATACATGCTACAGGGACAACTACTGCGTCCACAGCAAATCAGACACATGTACATACTATTTTGACCTCCCCAATTTCATTCAGGTTGGGGACCATCACTTTGTTGAGACGTCAATGGTCAAAGGCTGGACCAACAGCATGGTTGTCAGTCAGTGAGTAGGCCATTTCAATGTGCCTTTCATGATCTAATCTATGTACAGTACCTCTGCAACAAATCTTGCAACTGCCTATGAACTGTCACACACCCGGGACCTCGACCTATACTACTTGCACCCACACATATCTCGCCGGGATGCCAGCCTACCTTATAGTGGAGTACTCTATGTTGAGCAAGTATGGCATGCCTTCATCATTTTGTCCCTCCTTTGCAGCCACCGTGCCCACCGTGTTCCGCTGTCAGTACCACACAGTGGGGATCAATGTTCTCGCTTTGAGGACGCTATGAAGCAACAAAATGAGTGCATTGTGAAACATGGACAACCAGAAATAACTCACTATTGCAATGCTTGCATGCACATATTTGCAAAGAGGAATGATAAGGGCGAATGAGAACTCTGTGAGTGCTTTTGTTAGTATCTACAGTCTCACCCTGTCTCATTTCTTCAAGATAAGACTCAGGTTGTTGTTGCGGATGGCCTCACAATTGGGCATCCGTGTTGCAAAGAATTTTGGTTCCCTGACCCTCTTGAGAATGCTTGCCATCACTTTTGCAAGGGTCACAACAGCTTACACAAGGTCTGCTATGCAAAGAATTGCACACGGTTCTCAGTCATCACGCCGTTGACATCAAAGATGTGCAATTTGCCTCATCACCAAGAAATGGAGTGGCTAACTCGTGAGAGAACAACCGCTATGTTCGCATTGACTCGAAAGTGCGAGGCTCAGAAGAAGCTTGCTCACAGTGCCAACTTGACTACACCCACCGCTGCCAACCTTGAGTTTGATGATGTGGACAAATGGTACGAGCTTGACGCTGCTGTCACTGTCTCCCAGCGAGTTGATAGCCACCCGGTTAACATCAGCATTTTGGATGACATTGCCTCGCAAGATCATCATGCATGTCCTGGCAAGACACCCCGTGCCCAGAAAATTCTCCTTGCCTGCTGTCAAACAGCTTGCGAGGTAACATACATCAGGCCATGCAGAATCATTGTTGGACAGACCACCATGTTTGGTGCTGAGGCTGTCTCCAACGTTCTTGTAAGTCTTCTGTTTTTGCTAATTGATCTGTGACTAAATTATATTTAATGATATGGGACATGGGGGAAGTGTTATTCTCTGTCCCCGGTGTCTCTGTCTCTGGTGCTCAGAAACCAGAGCACTTCATATACAACACTGCATGCGACACCCATTGACAAGCTAGAAACTACAAGAGCAATTTCTGGAAACCGGTGGGCATGTGCGTCAATGTCTGGCGCCTCAAGAACAAGCACAAAACAACTCATATGTACTGTCACGACCACTGCAACCCGGCAGATTTCCCCGAGCTCAAGACACCTGATGGCAAAGGTTGGTATTTCAATACTTCTATCACGGAGCAGGTGAATGTATGGCTGGGTGGTTATCAGGCCATCGTTTGCAAGATGCTTCCCACTAAGTATAACTTCTTTCTAGATGAAATGGTTCATCTTTGTAATATCAATACATTTGAGTCTCTCAAGCGTAAGCACCTAGTTCCTTTGCATTACCCTGTTCCCTCTGTAGATCCATAATGTTTTGTAGTTGTATGCTATTCACTCTGGAGGTATGCAAGCATGAGTACAGCGACAATAAAATATCTATCCTTGTAAAAAGCATGAGTATAGCAACAATAAGATCTATACTTGTAAAAGTCTTGAAGGTATGCAAACATGAGTATAGCAACAATAATAAAGACTGGTGAGCGCATGAACAGCTTGGTTGAGCCTGGTTGAGCTTGGTTGAGCTTAGTTGAGCCTAGCCCATGCATGTTCACAACGCACTCAAGAGACAGTCACATAATACATTATCAAGTTATACATAACAAGTGAAAGACACAAGCTGGTACAAAGCCACTATACAGAACTACATGAGAAGGCAAGGTCTAGTAAATGTCTGGTTCACGCAGCCTGACTGCATGCATCATGAAGTCCCATAGGCCAAGCAGAGTGCGGCCGTGGTCCAACATTTCATTGTGGTATGCTTGCAGGACCTTCTTCCAGCACTTTTTGGCATTGCTGAAGGTTTGTTTGACATAGCGAACTCCATATATGGCTTCAAAGTGGGTGGGCGCAGCCATCCAGGCAAAATGGCTATCTGTCATCTGTTCAAAGCCATCAATGATATCAACAGCTGGCCAACTGTTAGGCCATGGTTTACTCGAACACCCTCCTCCTGGGACAATGCTCTGAGGCATTGGCAGCCGTCAGGGCATAGCACGCCCGACATCCTGCGTAGACAAGGCAGGAATGTCATCGTCAGAAAGAGTGAGCGTTGGGGAGATGGTGCCCAAGTGCGTTCACCTGGAGTAGCCGTTCTGCATGGCTATGTCAGCAAGCAGCTTGTGGACGCAGATAGGCAAGGGCAAGCAAGGGGCCGAGGGTGTAGACGTGAGTGAGATTAAGTCCAAGCTTGAAAAAGCTTGGCTGGATGACAGGGGAGTGTCCAGTTTGTGCTGCTTGCCAGTTGTGCTGTCAGGAACAGAGAACATCAAGCCACTAGATGATGATGACAATGACAAGGGCCATGGCGGCAAGACAGCACGCTTCATCTGCTTTACATCTTGGCAATGAAGCTCCCACTGTTGAGGCAGGTTTGCCTTTGCATTGCCCAGCAAGGTGTTTAGTCATTTGTCAAGGATATTGTTAAAGTCCTTGCAAGTGGTAACACCCACATGGCATAAGAATAGGAAGCTGTTTGACTTCACCATGAAGCGGTGACAGAGGCTGCACCCCTTCCAGGTGCTAGATATGAGGTTGTAGTATTTGATCCCTGGGATATCCTCCCCTGCTAGTTTATTCAACACCGCCAAGTCAGATGAACAAGGAAGGTCCTTGTGCACAGAGAAGATAGGGAAGAAGGGCACCTCAGAGTGCTCGTCTGCCAAATCCTGCAATGTACGAAGTATGCACTGAGCATCCTGGAGTTTCTGTTGTAAGTCACCGGTTTAAAAAAAAAAGCGGAAAATAGAAGGGCACGAACCTGGAGCCAGAAGTACATGTCAAATGCTCGTTTGCCAGCCTGCGTGCGTGAAAAGTATTCCTTCTTGTTGTACCTATATCTAACATGTCCATCATGTGAGTATTCCCACTTCCATTGCCAGAGCTTGTTGAGATGGTCTGTGTGGCGAGGAGCATCAGGGTGATCATCTGGGACTGCAATGTCCATGACAAGACTGTGCAAGGGAGGAGGGGTGGACTCTGGTAGAGGATCATTGAGGAAGACATAGTTGTCCTCCTGGGCTTCATCTTGAGGCATTGCAGCAAGCAGCCGAGCCACGTTGTCCGACGCAGCATCTAGCGCAGCAAACAACACATAGGGCTGGGATGGAGGTGGTGGAGGTGGTGGAGGTGGTGGGGTCATGTCCATGCCCAAAACTGAGAGATCAGGAGCTTGAGGTAGACCCTCACCTGAGAGGCAAGAGCGCTGGCGGTCGGTGAGGTGCTCTGCCCAATGTTTGGCAAAGCTGCACCCCCCAGAGAGGATGCAGTGATACTTGCACATCTACCACTGGCAGCACCCCTTCGACGATGCAACCCTGCCGCACTTGCTGCTGTACGCGCACTTGAAGGTGCCTGGTGCTGGCTGCAACTGAGGGAGAGGTTGCAAAGGTGGCAGTGATAGCGGTGCTGGAGGTGGTTGTGACTGAGGCACAGATAGAAGAGGGTTGTTGGTGGATGAGGACACCAGGGAAGGAAAAGAGGGTATGTTAGGCTGAATTGGATAAGAGTGCATGGGGAGGACCCAATCAGGATGCGAAGGGAGATCAGTCACCGGAACAGAGATTGGAGGCAGGAGACCATCTAGATGAAGAAAGCTGGAGGAGGAGAAAGACATCAAGGATAAAGGGTGTTGCATTAGCGAAAATGAGGGCGTGCTTGGGATGGACTCAACTGGCCCATCCCCGATCAGTCCCAAAGGCTTGATGCCCTTGGGCCAGAAGAACCACTTTGACTTCTGTTTGCTTGGCTTGCTTGGGTTGGGGGGATGGCAGCCATGAGAGCACTGGATTGTATAGGTTTCTATAGGGATATAAGCAACATTGAAGGTGAGTACTCACATTGATATACCACTGCCCTTTGTGAGGCCCGTTCTTTGCTTTCTTGGGGGTAAGCAGTGTAGGCCTGCCTTGAATCAAGCAGGTGTCGCAGATTGCCTTGCCGTTCTCCATGGTGGGGCCATGGATGTGAGAACATGCCACCAGCGGCATGGTCATCTGGGTACTGGTGCTCATGGTGGGACTGAGTGAGTTATTGCAGGGAGAATAAAGAATGAGTGAGGGTTTTGCACAGAGATTGAGGAGGAGAGAGGAGGATTTATTAAGTTTCCAGAAGTACTGTACAGTTAGTAACTATTATGGCTTTGGAATTCTGCCACAGCGCAAGCAGGCGCAGCGCAATGCGACTGGTCACGGACTTTGATTTTAGGCTGGACCCTGGGTCCGCAAGAGACCCAGGCACTGGATGCTGGATGAACATAGTTGCTGGACTTTTCATTCCTCCATAGTCCTCCTATGACTGGGTTAGCAACTCAGGAACAACTTTCCATATCTGCCTCAGCTGAGAAGTCTTTTCTGAATATAAAACTATAAGTAATAAACTCATGAAAGGAACAAGCAGACCAATAGTCTGGGCCCTTAGCCAAGGAGCAGTCTATATTAAAACACAGGCTCATAGTGATCAGCACATATTAAAATCAAATAAAGTCCTCTATATCTCCAAGGCAACTTGAAACCTTCTGTTTGTTTCTAAACTTGACCAGACAGGGGGTAGAGCCATATATGGTAATCAGAAAGTCAGACTTGTAGATAAGGTTGGCAAAATTCTTGTAACAGGCAGATTACTGACGTTTGCGTTCGACCTTGCCAACGTGAATTTTAAAAATAAAAATCTCCAAAAGGCAGCTGCGTCCACGTGCCATCTGGGTCTCGTACTAGTCATAAGTAATCTCCTATTCGCCTCGTCTACTACAGAACTGGGGATTTATAAACCACCTACACCATCTGAGAATACTCGCCACGTTCGATGAGATAGATCAGTCATAGCCTGTCATAGCATAAGTCAGGAATGACGATTCATGGCCTGGTAAGATACTGAGTTGGTTACGGAGGTAGTCAATATTAATTACCAAGAATTGACTTATAATTATCAGTCTGATTGAGTCCAAGCTACATGTTAGCCACGTGTTGGCTTGGCGCGGACATGATCTATTTTTATTTATTTTTCCGTTCGGCAAGGTTGAATGCAAACGTCAGTAAGAACGAAAAGCGATTGGTCCGCACAAACTGAATGAGAGTTCTGGGTGAGCGTTATCCTCCTGCCAGTGCATCTACATTTCCTGGCGGCAGTGACCTGTGCAAATTACGATGCAATCGGTGCTCAATTACTGACGTTTGCGTTCGACCTTGCTGAACGGAAAATTAAATAAAAAT